GGGGGGGGGGAAACGAAGAAGAGAATAAGTTTAGCTGGCCCTAGTGCAGCAGCAGTAGCAGCAGCAGCAGCAGAGAGAGAGGGAAGCTCCGTCTCCGTCATTGCTCCGAAGCCGTCACGCTAGACGCGCTTGACGCATGGAGTGGTCTGTGCACGTGCGGCGGCAGTATCGAAGCAGACAAGCAGACCGCCCGACCGACCACCGACCGACCGTCAAGTTCCCCTCTCCCTCGAGTCCCTCCCCCGCGCGCCCTTGGTTCGGATGCCCGCTTTGCTGCCTCGTTTCATCCCCATTTCTTCCCCCAGAGCATGACGCTATCCACCGGATTCTTGGTTTGCGGCCGGTGAGTCACTGCTGACTCGAATCGAACACTATACAAATCGAACTTTTGCGCGAGGGAAGACGGCCCGAGGTTGACTTCTGCACACAAGACACAACTTGATATAGCTATTCCTATCGTTGGATCGGTCACCCCAAGCTTTCATTGACAGGGGAATGCGGTTTTTTCCTAGCGTCATCTTTCTTCAGTCTTTCGCCTTTGATTCGATGGAGATCGTGTCGCGTTAATGCGCGCCGAACTGTGGATACAAGACATATCATGGCCTCTAACGGGAAGTCGACCACCGCTCTTGACGACTCCCGTCGTGCAACGGGCTCTCCGAAGATGAAGGCACGAGGTTAGCTACATGGTCTTAGTCGCGCAAGGCTTGCCTGGATTGTTTGGACGTTTCGGCTGATATTGTGCTCTGCGGACCTAGCGGAAAATGCCAAAGATACTCTCTGTCGAAACGTGACGATCTACGGACGATGTCGATACGAGGATAAAGGTACTTGATACACCCTTGTTAGTTCACACGACACACATTTAACGTTGGACGGTATCAGGATGCGCTTTCAACCATGACCCTCATAAAGTGACTTCATACGCGGACAGGTGGGCATCCCATAACAATTGGGCTGCCGAGCATGCGCTCGCTGGGCCACTGCGTCGGCCATAGCTCGCTGACTTATGACTTAGGAAACGATTGAACGTTGACTCTCCGAGCTTCACCCCTACGATACTATCCTCCAATGGGTCTTCACCTACCATTGCATCTGCAACCATGAAAAAGACGGCTACAATATCCCCCAAAGCTGCGAATGCAGCTCCCTTCCAACCGCGAGGTATTTCATCACGTATGCCTGGCGTCACCCACGAATGAGAGTTTTCGTCTGACTGCAAGAAGGGTCCAACTCTAGCACACCAACTGCTCGACAGGGCACGATGACTCCGGATTGGTCTGTCGCGGAAGTTCAGGAATTCGTCCCTCAGGGCTTTGATGGTTCCCATATGGTATGATTGACTTTGGCTCTGGGACGTGGTCGGCCGTCTGCTTCGGCTCTGACTGGTGAATATAGGCTTCTCTTCAAGGAAACGGCGCATCCGCCATTCCCACAACAAGTGCCTTCGATCCATTTGTGGCGTCGCCGAATCCCCTCTCTGCTGCCAATGCTGTTGGCCCGGTTCAGGCGAACCCATTCACTCATGACACAGCCGCGCTAGGAGGGGCAGCATTCTTTGCGAACCAGTCCGGCTTTCAGCAACCTGTAGGTTCATCAATGGATATATAGAGAGGGCTTGCTTACACCTGTGTTTCAGGTTCAATACCACATGTATGCTCCTATTGGACCTCACAGTCAAAACACTTTGGGCTACCAACGAAATGTCCACGATTTCTTCCTCCCTAATGATTTCCGAGAAGAACTGCAAAAGAAGGCAGCGGCCACACTGCAAACCTTACCGAGTGAGTTGATCTGCGGGAGTTATAGAACGGCGGCTAACTGTCTCAGACACCCAGCTACCTGCGCAGGTGGATTATTTTCATTCTCTCGTTCCTCTGGATCTGAATCACCAGAAGAATGCAGCCATATTTGGCTATCCCAGCTGGGTATACAAGGCGCAATCCAGCAAAGACGGAAACTTTTATGCACTTCGAAGACTAGAAGGTAGGTAACTTGAGGTAGTGGACGGTTGAGGACTGGTGCTGATTAGGTATGTACAGGGTTCCGTCTGACCAACGAGAAGGCGATTCGATCTGTGCAAGCGTGGAAGCGGGTATGCAGTGGCAGCGTGGTGACCGTGCATGATGCTTTTACGAGTCGAAGCTTCCAGGATAGCTCCTTGATATTTGTGACTGATTACCACCCGTTGTCCAAAACGCTGGCCGAGCAGCACCTGGGCGCAGGGAACCGGTTCACGGGACGCCAAAACACGCACATCCCCGAACAGGTTCTCTGGAGCTATATGACGCAGATCGGCAATGCGCTCAAGGCGATTCACAGCAACGGACTCGCCGCGCGCATCATTGACGCCAGCAAGATTCTTTTGACGGGCAAGAACCGCATCCGCCTCAGCGCGTGCGCCATTCTCGACGTTGTGCAGTTCGACACGCAACGATCGGTGGCGGACCTCCAGCGGCAGGATCTGGTGAGTTTCGGACAGCTGATTATGACGCTGGGCGCCAACTCGCCCAACGTCCTGCACAACCACACCAAGGCGATGGAGCACTTCACGCGGGCGTACAGCCCGCAGCTGAAGAACTCGGTGTTCTGGCTGCTCAACGGGCTGCAGAAGGACCAGGACCGCAACATCGACGTCTTTATCACGGGGATCTCGTCGCAGCTGATGTCGACCTTTGACTCGGCGCTGCACCTGGATGACCAGCTGACGTCGGATCTGAGCCGCGAGCTGGAGAACGGGCGGCTGGTGCGTCTGATGACTAAGCTGAATTTCGTGAATGAGCGGCCCGAGTACGAGCACGACCGGCAGTGGGCGGAGAACGGGGAACGCTACTTCCTGAAAATCTTCCGGGATTATGTGTTTCACCAGGTGGACGCGCAGGGTGAGCCGATCGTGGATCTGGGGCACGTGCTGACGTGCCTGAACAAGCTGGACGCGGGGTCCGACGAGAAGGTGACGCTGGTAAGTCGCGACGAGCAGAGCTGCTTCGTCGTAAGTTATAAGGAGCTCAAGAAAGCGCTGGAGTCGTCGTTCCAGGCGCTGCTCAAGCCCGCGGGCCGGAGGTTGCACTAGCTGCACATGGTGCATTTTGATATATAGTCTGGTGGTCACGGAGTGATGTGATGACTCTGTTGGAGTATTGGCCTATTATGGTGGAGGTCGTTGACCTCGTTGATCAGAGGGGGCGTGCATAGTATTTTGCTTTTGTCTGTGGTGTGGTATCAGTAGCTTTGTGCGCCCCCCCCCCCCCCCCCCGGTGATTGTGATTTGGACTATCGGCTGTGGCAGTTGTTGAAAATATGGAGGTAGAATATATGATGACTTACGCGTCATACATCCATAGGACTCGGGATAGTACTGTAAAACTACTACCAGGAAGCACCCTTGTACACAAACCATCCGAAGCAGATAGTGACAATGTAGAGGTATCTATCTCATGGCAACATCTCTACCGAGATCTACCTAACCCTCTTCACTATGATTCGGATGGTGATAAGAGGGGGCTAGACCGTCCCGGATGAGACAGAATACGAGATCATGCTGAACCCTACAGTACCTCTGATATAATATGAAAGAGTATGGGAGGTGAAAACCCCCTTCTTCCCCCTTCCGGACAACACATAACAAGATCTTTGTAAACCTCTGAGATAATATTTCAAAGTATGTATGGGTGGGAAACCCTCCAACCCCCCTTCCCATCTCCAACCTCTCTCTCCTTCGTATCAAACCCCCCCAGTATGTGATTGATTCCCTAGTCCAAATCCGGCACAGGCAAGCCATTCACAATCCTCACCTTGCGCCCCAACCGATCCAGCGCCTCCTTGGAATTGCGGGCGCGCAACTCACTCGTCTCGACATCGGACACCAAGACAAAGTCGTACGTGAGCAGGGGGTGATCTTCCGGGACGTTGTACTTGGCCGCCAGCTCGGGACCGGCAGTGGTGATGTCGACGACGAGGGAGTTTTTGACGCCGAAGACGGCGTCGGAGGTTTCGTAGGGGTCGTTGCGGAGGTAGAGGGCGCTACATCCATTTCATATCAACATTAGTCTTTCATCCAGAGAAGAACTCAAACGGGGGTTTCCTCAAACGTACGTAATCAAATGATCAAACCCCTCCTTCTCAAACATAAAATGCATATGACTCGGTCGATACGGATGTCTTCCCAACACCTTCAACAACTTGCCGACGGGTCCATCATGCGGAATGGGGTATGGCACTGGGACGATGCCCTTAAACCAGAAGACGCCATCTTGATCACTGCGCATGATGCACCGGCCATCCGGGCCCTCGTGGTCCGGGTACTGCACGTCGTAGTGGCCCGTGGAGTCCGTCTCCCAGATATCGATCTTCACGTCGTGGACCGGGTTGCCCGCCGTGTCGCGCACGGTGCACACCACCAGCAGCGGCCGGCCGTTGGGGTCGTGCGACATGTTGCCGCCCGCCACCATTTCCTCGGCTTCGTGCGTGTGAAAGGGGCCGAGGACGGTGCCTTCGGTGCTGCCCTTGGGTTTGGGGTGGTCGATGCTGTCGACTAACAGCGAAAGGCCGAGGATGTCGCTTAGGAGGATGAATTCCTAGTCGTACCGTCGTGTTAGCCGCCGGGGGACAATATGGAGTGGCTGACTGGCTGGCTGGCCGGGGAGTTCTTTACCTGCCGCACATCAGTACAGATCTTGCCCACCTCGGTCAAGAACCGCAGGCCCGTCATCCACTCCTCCGTGCTGAGGCGCGTCTCGCGCGCAAAGTCGTGCAGGTGCGTGACCAGTCGCTCCAGCACATATTTCAGGCGCTCATCCGGGCACAGCGAGTTGATGCGGATGACGTTCTCGGTGATGTTGTCGATGGTGAGGTCTTTCATGGGGGGGATTTTGACGAGGGAGGGGTCCATCTTGGTGGTTGTCGGTGATGCGAACCGATTGAATTGTGCTGTAGGGGTTGTTTGCAAAAAGTGAGGACGGGGGAAGGGAGAGTCTCAGGAAATGAGAAGTGACAATAACATCTACGAAGTCCAAAACAGAAAAAGTGGGAATGGGCACCGTCTATACAAATAGTGCTCCCCTGCGGGGTGTTTGTTGGACCTCGATTTCCCCACATTTTCTGGCGGGGGGAAAACCGGCGGATCAGTAATGCCGTATTGTAACTGGCCGGGAACACGACTACGTAAGCATCACTCAGCGGTCCGGTGCTGGCCCCGGCTATTGCTATTTCCGTATTGTCATTCGCCAACTTGACAATGTCACAATGGAGTGAGTATATACCACAGTACGTCTGTCCACAGTACGTCCGTCCACCAGTACTTTACTCACTGTACGGAGTACATTCATTCTGGTTTTGGCTGGCACCGGCCTGGATTCTCCCTGGCACTTGTCCGAGGCTTCTTTCCACTTGTGGGGAGAACCATTGTACATCCCCCTTCCCCACACACGTTTTGGCTGGAGCTTCACTTCGCAGTTGAGGAGGCATGAGGAGTCGCATTCCGCTAGTTCGCATGGCTCAAAGACTCTTATCTTTAACTTATGCCTCATGCTTCATCGTGATAAGCCTGGATAGACAGGGCCTCATACACCAAAGCCAACTGTGGAACCAGCGGATCACCCATCGGCAATTCTCCATCCGCCGCGGAAATGACCTCAAGCGATCATCGCCCCGCTTCCGAAGGCCTCACTACTAATCATTCGTAGAAGTTCAATGCATCATGTTCCAAACAACCGGGATATCTGCCAGACTCGCTCAACAGTACACACAAAAACAGATCAATACATACACAAAAAATCCAAAACCGCCGGTCATCCACCGGTCATGTACACTATGCTCGCACCAGCTTCCTTTCCCGGTCCCGCTCCTGTTCCCGCTCGCGCTCACGCTCTCGTTCCCGCTCGTGACTGACCTCATGGCCCTCTTTTTGCGCCGCGGCCACCCGTGCGTGATGGTCCACCGTGTCCAAAATCGCCTGCATCAGACGCGAATTCGCATCCGGCGCGTCATCGTCCTGCGCCGGATCACTGTGTCGGTGCAGGCTGATTCGTCGGTCGTGTGTCATCATGTTGCTCCCCTGAATCTCGCTCATTGCGCGACGAGGCGAGAGATCCCTCTTGAAGGGCGTTCCCACGGCCGGTCCAGCCGTCGCGGTTGGGGCCGACTCGCGGCGCGTACTGTAATCCACATGGGCGTCGTGGGCGTGCGGGCGATCCACGTCCATCATCGTCGGCTCCGACACCGGAGTCGGCGCCGCAGATGGGGGCGCGGCCGATGCGGGTAGTACCGGGGTCGCCGAGACCTCTTTGGCTGGTGCCTCCTCCATCCGCTCCCGCGAGCTCCGGTCCACCCGCGTCTCCCGCAACTCGTCTTCCTTGACGTCCTTCCAAGAACACTTGGCGTGCTTCTTCGTACACCCCATACATGCCGTCAGATTCTTCAGGCAGTCCATGTGGAGACGACGGCACCGGTCACAAGGCGGCATGATGCGTTCTCCGCGCTGCAGTTCCTCCATGCGCGCCACCATCTCCATCTTGTGCGGGCCCCCGTCGTCCTTGTCGTGGTGGTGAGACTTGGGGGGTGGCAACAAGGAGGACGGAGTATGCGGGATGGCAACGGTGGTGGGGGCCGGGGTATACACGTTGTAGTCGCTCGCATCCGACGCGCGCGGTCGCGGCCGTGATGACTGTCGGGCAGCCGAGTCGGGTCCCTCCTCGTAGCTCCGTGATTGACGATCTTGCGTAGTGAAGAACTTCTTCATGAGCTCGGCGCGCGTCGTTGGGGAGGCTCCCTTGATGGAGGTACCGTTGATGATTGTGACATTATCCGTGTTGGAGTGCGAGAACATGAATTGCGACGAGGGAGAGCTTTCCTCCACAGCGGCCTCGCCAACGCCGGGCCGGCCGGCATTGACCGCCACAAAACCAGTGGAGGGAGAAGGGGCGCTCGCTGGCGCGCTGCCGTTGAGGAGTGGCAGTCCGTGTCCGTTCGCATCGCGCCAGGCAGGACTGATCGAGCGTTGTTGCTGCTGTCGTTGCGAGTGAAGCGACATGTCGTTCTCCCGCCGGGTGACGATCGCCGTCCGCCGGTTCTTCAAGCGGTGGTTGAGTTGTCGGGCTCGCGCGGAGACTGACAGACAGCCGATTAGTGGCCTGGTCTTGGTTGAAGAAGGAGGTCAGAGATAAGCTCACCTTGGTCGGCGACCTGGATAATCTGCTGGAGATTCTTCTCCAATATCTCCAGCGCGCCCAGTTCCTTCTCTTCATCTTCGATGATCGGCTGAGGGGGGATCATCTTCTGCGGCATGCCTGATGCAATCAGAACAAAATCCTCCTCGCTAATCTCCACGCGACACTGTTTGGTGTAGAATTGGCAGACGCGCACGCCATTGCGGGACTTCTCCAGGTTAAACTGTTCCGGCTTGTTTTTGGCGAATTCTACCACGTCCAACCAAGTAACGTTGGGAGAATCCTTGCCGTGGGACTTGAGCACGCGAGGCGGTCCATCGAAGAGGCGCTCGAAGCGCTTGATCAGGATGGGACCCAGCGGACAAGCTCCAAGATTGCCGGCGATACTCTCGTGTCGATGCAAAACGCCGTCGTATTCTCCGATCAAATGAATGATCGAAGGCATGGTATCCTCGACGGAGACTAGAGGCAGATTGTCTGGATACTGACGGGCTAGATAATTAATCTGCAGGTGATTGGAAGGTCTGGCGATTTTGGATGCGATCGGAGGGAAATCGCCGGACGGCGATCGCGGCCGCTTGTTGGACGGCTCAGCCGTCGCCGGTCGAGAGTCCATGGTGATGATCAGGAGAGGCGGAAGGAGAAGGAAAGATAGGGAGGGAAGAGGAAAAGAGAGAGGGGGAGGGGGAGGGGAAGAGGAGAGACTCTAGAATCGCGACTATAGTACAAGTCGCGGAAGAAAAAAGACAAGGCGGGGAAGGGACGGGAAACGCAACAGAAAAAGGGATTATTGAGGGAATGAGTAATGGGAATGGGGACGCTGGCGAAAGACAGGCTGCCGATGGCGGAGCATAAGGCTCCAGAGTGCGGGCTCCCAATCAGCCACTGAGCAGCGCGTAACTAAATACTGCGTTGGAGTTAGGTAATCTCGCAATAGCCCCAGCCGATGCAAACCGGGTGGGAGGAACTGAGAGAATGGGAAAGTGTGTGTGGGGGGTGGGAAACAATCGAGAGATGCTGAATAGGAAGAAGAAGAAGAGAAGGAGGAAGAAAGGGTGGTAAATGATGGGAGAGGAGGAGAGGAAAGAGGAGGGAAAGAGGAGCCGACAGAGAAGAACGCGACAATTGCGACGAAGAAAGAAGAAGGTCGGAAAGCAACGAATGAACAGGTGAATAAATGACAGAGAAGGGGAGATTTCGGGGTTGAACCCGTGAGGGAAACTAAACTTGGCCGGCAACAACGGGCAGGAGGAGGAGATGTGGTTCGCAGATACGGTACTCAGTAGTAATCACCGCAGGGGGGGGGGGGGGGGATGGAGGGGGAATGATTGGGGGGAAAGAATAACTACTAGCAATAATGAGTGGATAAGAATAGAAGACGAGGACGGGGCCAGACGGAGGAAAGAGGAGTACAGCAGCAGGAGAGGAGGAGGTGGTGGTGGAAGGAGGAGGGGATGGCGGAACGGGTGAGTCCGTCAGTAATGGATGGTAAAAAGTCAAGTAAGCAATCACTGGTCCAGTGACTTGATCCATTAAGGCTGCACTTCCGATCTTCAGGGTGTATACAATAAAAAGTATACAATTGATCTCTTCTATTGCTTGTATTCTATTGCAGTGATTGCAGGAGTAACTATGTGAGATGTACTTCGTACAAATGTAGTTACAGGGACGCACTGTCGACCCTCTTCTCAATCATCTCCATCCCATCCTAATCTTCTTATCGTGCAGCGTAACCAGCAGGGGCGGAGTCCCGCCGGGCTCTTCCGCTGCCCATTCAGATGAGCCGTGACCTGTCATGACCACCATATACAGTATTTTTCTTCCCTTTTGCCCCCTTGCGGACGGACCTCCAGGCACCAAAGTACAGGTTCAGTACTTTGGAACAAGGCTACAGGTATCGACACGTTGTCTCAGGATTTGATGTCATAGGGGAAGCGCGAGCACAGCTCCTCTTTCGCTAAACAAGCGGCGCCACCAGGTCGCCCGGCCGCATCGTCCCATGTGCTGCGAGTCGCGCTCCGCCGAGAGAAGGGGAGTGACGATTTCCCGTGTGCCACTCAACTCTGTATCACCACCGTTCGTGCTCCCTCCGTGCTGGTTGGAGAGGACGGAAGACGGCGCGGGTGTTCACGAAGCTGCAATGTGCAAGGTGTGAGAGGTGCGCGCAAGAGGTCTGACGCGGAGTTGGTGCCTAAACAATTTGGAGTCAAGTTGGCAGGCCGATAACCGTCCGACACTGACCGGTGTTCCAGCCACAGTAGATTAGACCGGCCCGGTGACCCCCGTGACCATCTGTACAGAAGTACCTTTTTGATCAAGCCTCATTTGCTGCTGTTGATCTCGAGGTCGAGGTGATGATGTTGACACCGTGAGTATGCTTCGATGCTGTTTCAATTGCTTAAAACCAGTAGATGGAAGTTAGAATCAACGATGTGTGGTGGAAGAGGACACAGATCCCTGCTCTAAATATTTATCTGTACTCGGGTACTACCGGCACTATGAGCGTCATGACAGCGAAGCAATTGAAGTTGCAAACAAAAACGCTCAACTCCAGCAAAAAATCTCCAGCTAGTCTCGGCTATTGTAACATCAAACAAGATGACAGAACTCATCTCGGACCACGCCCACCACCAACTCCGTCTCCTGCACCTCCCACCGGCACAGATACTCCGACTCTGACTACTGACGGAGTGAGTAAAGGCGGTGTCGAGCGGGAAAAGCCCACCACCAACTGGTGGAGTTGCTCTTACTCCGACCACTTTTTTTGCAGGTGTGGAAAATCCCTCATACTGATATCACCTTTTTGTCTCTCGAGTCTCATCACTCATTCACTCTCCCCCCCCCCCCCCCCCCATTCCGCCCCTTTCCATCCCACCCCCTCGCCTTATCGGGTCGAATTATCCTCCTGCTTCCGGGTTACTCCAAACGAGTGCGGTGACCGGCCGAAACTTTCCAAGGTGGAATTCCCGTACTGGCACTGCACACCAATTCCCTGCTGCTGCTGCTACGGCTACTGCTCCTCCTCCTACTCTGCCCCTAGTAAAGTACTTCTTGCTGGGGTCGTCAGTCACCGGCACGTGTGCCTTATCTAATCCACCGCCGCTTTAACCGGGATCACACTATCACTCCCATTTACATTGCCCCTCAGCTTAGTTACCTACTAACTGAGTAAACATCCCCCCCATCCACAGCCAAGCCATGTCCGAACGAGGTTCATTCCGGGGAGGTCGCGGCCGCGGCGGAGGCTACGGCGACCGATCTGGCGGCCGTGGCGCACACGCCCGAAGTGGCGGTGCAGGTGGCGGTGCCCACCGCGAGCAGCAGCAGCAGCAACAGCAACAGGAGAAGCCCAAAAAGGAGAACATCCTGGACTTGAACAAGTATATGGACAAGGAGGTGCGGGTGAAATTTAATGGAGGACGTGAAGGTGATTTTCTTTCTATGATGTTGTCAGAATCCCTGCTGGATTACGGGCTAACAGATCGGCTGTAGTTACTGGTGTTTTGAAGGGATATGACCAATTGATGAATCTGGTGTTGGATGATGTGAAGGAGGGGATGCGCGGTAGGTTGCTGCAAGATTCATCCTTTCTCCAGTAGTAGAGTTGGGGGCTGATGCTGAGTGACACAGATGATGAGGGCAACGAGACCACGCGCTCGCTGGGCTTGATCGTGGCTCGTGGGACGTTGATTGTGTTGATTTCGCCGGCGGACGGCAGCGAGGAGATCGCCAATCCTTTTGTGCAGTCGGAGGAGTAGGGGAAGGGGAGTTTGGATGTTGGGCATGTATTGTGTCTGATGACTCGCTGCACTTGTGCTGTCTACGGGATCATCTACTATACGGGATCATCTACTAGCGGAATGTTTTTCATTTATGAAAGCAGATAGGCCGTGTGTGCATTGAGTAGGTATTGACCTGTCTAGTATACAAAATGGCCTGAATGCACCGGCCTGCTTGCAGCTGCGCGATTTAGAGTAGAACCAATCCATGAAAGTAACGAACCACCTTCAATTAGCTGCTGCTGCTTCCAATGACATGTCATGACATCAACGGCAAGGAATTGGCGATTGATGACGACGAATACGATAGGAGGCCGACGCCGGCCGGTCTAGAAGCGAGCAGTCCAGTGCATCATCCCAGCGGTTCGGAAGTCTATCCATGAATAGATATGGGGTTGACTAGGTATATCATCTCCCCCCGCCGCAGCTTGCACCTGTTCGTCAGACATCTACTTGACATGACATTTCATCGTCACTTTATCCCTTTATCCCACTAAGTTGGAAGATCATGATGAAGGACCTGGTATACATAGCGGGGGCCCTCGCAGTCCTCCCGCTCTCATCCGCCTTTCTCATTCCACCGCCGCAGCAGGCCCTGAGTAGTAGTGATGAACACCATTCAACCCGCCCATCCCTCAACTCCCTGGAAACCCCTCTGGAAAAAGCCCCGCTGGACCTCGACCTCCAGTCCGTGGATATCTACCAACTCCTCCAATCTGCAATAGATAATCCCCACCCTCTCACCTCCTGCGCCTGGTTCGACGAGGACACCCCGGATCCCCCGGAAGATTTAGATCTGGCTGCTGCCGCCGCCGCCGCCGCCCAATTGCCGCCGCCCTTCCGCCGGCCCTCTCCGCCGCCATACCCGCACCACCCGCCCTCCAACAAATCGCTGTATGATTTGGTGCTTGAGAATCCCCACACCACTATCCTGGCGAAGATCGTGAGGGAGGATGAGGAGTTGGTCGCATTGTTGAATCGAACGGAAGCGAATTCCACCTTGTTCGCGCCCACCGATGAGGCATTCAGAAGAATCCCGCATCATCGGCACGGAGATCATGGAGATCATGGAGATCATGGAGATCATGGAGATCATGGAGATCATGGAGATCATGGAGATCATGGAGATCATGGCGACCACGATGGAAAAGACCACGAACACTGCAAACGCGCTCTCATCCGTGCTGTCCTAAAATACCACCTCGTGCCCGACACGTATACTCCCGCCGAGCTCTTCCACGCACATACTCTACCCACGCAGCTGAGGGATCCGTTGCTTACTCCCCATCCCCATCCCCATGACCCTGAACATGGAGATGATAGCCCTGACAATGACAATGATGATGACCCCGAAGAGGAAAAGAAGAACCTCCCCCAGCGCATCTCCATCCGCCCCAGCTGGAAAGGCCTCACCCTAAACCACTACAGCCACATCCTCGCAAGCGACAAACACGCCGCCAACGGGGTGTTGTATACTATTGATGCGATCCTCCTTCCGCCGCCCACGCTGTTGACCGTCACGACCCTCGTGCCGAGTCAGTTCAGTACCTTTGTGTTGGGATTGTATCGGACGGGGTTGGCGGGGGAGTTGAATCGGAGTTGGTGTCATCATCACCATCACCAGGAGCACAGCCAGAACAACCCTCTAACCACCACCACCACCACCACCACTAAAGGCGGCGGAGGAACATACTTCCTTCCCACCAACACAGCCTTCAAGAAACTCGGTTACGAAATCAACGCCTTCCTGTTCTCCCCCCCTGGAAAACCGTATCTGCGCGCGCTGCTGCAGTACCATCTGGTAGAGGGGCGGACCCTTTATTCGGATGTCGAGTATACATTGTCCGGCAAAGTGGAGAAGGTGCACGGGACGCAGCATTTCGAACTGCACACCAAACTCGCGCACAGGAAGTTGGAGGTGGAGGTGACGAATCTCGGCCCGTGGGGTGGGATGACGGTTGGGGGCCAGCGGGTCCGCGTCAGGGATTTAGTGGTGGGCGATGGGGTGGGTCATGTGGTTTCGAGGGTTTTGGTGCCGGAGTGTCATCATGGAGACCATGGGGATCATGGGGATGATGAGGATGAGGGAGAGGAAGAGGAGGGGGAGATGAGGATGGGGGTGGAGGAGTTTAAAGAGCGACTAAGGGGGTTGGTGGATTGGGATTGGGAGGAGGAGGAGAAGAAAGAAAAGGAAAAGGGACATGAGGTGAAGGCGAAGGTGGATAAGGTTTGGGGCAGGTTGCAGGATCTTGTGGTCGAATTGTAGTTGGTTTTCTGTTTACGGCGTCTGAGGATGTACTGGTAGTACGCGATAAGCCACCAAAATGCTATGCTATTTGTTCCTGCTCTGATACTACAACACTGTTACACTTGGAGTCATATAGGGCAGCACTAGAAAGGAGTATTTACAAGTCATAATCGTCATTCATTACGAGCATCCGCCTCCACAATATCCCCAAACTCCTCGCTGTCCTCGCTCTCCCTCCCCCCCGCCCTCATCACCGGCCGATCTTTCATCCTACGCAATCCATCCCCATCCTCAACCCACGGCCCCACCTTCTCGACGCCCTCGATATATTCCGTCCCTACCCGTAGGTTCAACCCCGCGCTCAACGCCCGCGCAATCCGAACCTCCCGGCCCTCCCCCACCAGGACCCGGAAGACGTGCGCCAGGAACCCGCTCAGGATATCCACGCTCCACTCATCCGGAATCACCCGCAGCACCTCCCCGACGTCGAACCACGCCGCAAATCGCCCCAGCAGGTCGCTGGTCCGCTCGATGCGTTCCGACAGATCCTCCACCGCCAGGAACTCGTCCAGCAGGAACCGGAACAGCTCGCTCTGCAGCGGTCGCTCGGCGAAGGACGCGCTGCTGCTCGTCGCGCGCGGGCCGCCGAAGAGACAGTACTGGACCGCCGAGTCGTAGTCGCCCAGCCCGTGCGTGAGGAGATGCAGAGCCTCGCGGTGTCGGCCCTGGAGCCCGTCGAGAATAATAGATTCCGAGACGAGCTCGTTCTGGAAGGGCTCGATCCGCGCCAGAACGGCAGGGATCGAAAAGGCGAAGCTCCGCGGCGGCATCGTGGTAAACTGGCTGCCCCCGGTGCTGCCGCCGCCTAGCAGCTGAAGCAGCCGCAGCCGGGATTGCCACCATGGCTCGGAGGGGGTGTTCACCGTAATAAAATTCATGTAGGTGGGTTTCGGGGCGCTCAGAGCGCGGTAGGTAGAGTAAGACTCGGACAGAGAGGCCCGCGCCGACGGCGAGCTTTCCAAGACAGAGAGAACGGAGTCGAGATAGTATGCTAGGAGGTCGTCCGCGTATTGGGTGAGCTAAACTGATGCGTTAGCATGGCGAGCGGGACAGACTGAAAACTACTCACATTTCGGGCAAAGACAAGATGCTCCAAGTACGCTTGGACGGCATTTGGAGCTTGTTGCTTGAGGAGGTCGACGACATCGGCCGTCTCCAGCTTCACTCTGCTCGTGCCATCGGAGAATACTTGTATACCCAAACTAGGATTGCGCTGTGCGAGCCATGCGCCATATTCCTCCACCAGTTGCACGTCCTTGATCTTGACCAGATACCGACGCATCTGCGCCTCCGTGCCAGCAATAGTGATTTCGCCGCCTAGATCTTCTTCACCCTCAATGATGCGGCGCCATGTTTTGAGGACATTGCGAGACATCTTCTGGCTTTGATATAGTCGGCTCAAGACAAAGAGTCGCCGATACTGTTCCAGGAGGGCTACAGCACGGTCCAGGTTGCCTTTCCAATTATCCACAAGCCTGTTCAGTTCGATGCGTAACGAAGAGCCTGCACGTTGTTCGGGCGCGAGGTGTGCGTCTTGTTCCAAGAGCAAGTGCAGGAATGCTGCATCAACGCTGTCGAAGACGTAGCTTTCATCCGTAATACTTCCATACCCCCTCTTCTGCTGCCATGAGAACAAGAACCTCTTGATCATATCTAGCACTGCACTGTCGGACGCTCCACCTCCCACAGTCGTACTCAGCTGCTGAACGTATCCTTCGGTGAGCTGCGCCAAGCCTGCATGGATCCAAATTCCTTGCGGGCTCTGCAGAACTTCTCGTCGCAAAAGGGGGATCAACAGGAGCGGGATCCGGGGATCCAGGTTTCCAACGATAAGCGCCCGTTCCGTCGCATCTATAGTTGCCTCATCTCGGTGCTTCGAGTCCATGAGGATGAGGTCGCCGAAAAGAAGCAGACTCGCTTTTTGCTTCAAGTAGTTCAAGCCCAAGAACTCGGATTCAGACTTTGGCTCCGCAGCTTGGACTAACTCGATGACGTTCGAGATGGCCTCTCGCTTGAGTATGGTACGACCTTCCGCCTCTGGGACTTGGGCGCTCTGTAGGGCGTCATCCAGCTGTGTTGTGAGTGGGTTCTTCACCACCCGCCAAATCTGATTACCGTTCCACATGATCAGACTGCTTTGGGTCTGGCCCAAGGCACGCGCAAATTTGGCTTCTTCGGCATTGCGCTCCGTCTCCCAGCCGCGCTCAGCTTCCCCGGCCCCTTCCTGGCCTTCAAATAGCTCTTTTTCTTTCTGCAGATGCTCGATAGACGCCTGCGTTCTCGGATCTGTAGCAGGGACATGTGGTGCAAGCGACGGGGTCTTCAGGCGCACCATCTGCAGGAGCTTACCCATCTCGGCGATCTCCAGCTGGCTCGGGCTGATCGTATGATTGAGGCCGACATGCGTGTGCTGCATATCCGGCGAAGACGGTATCTCAACCCACATTTTGTGATCGTCCGCTTCCCCAGGATCGACATCCCAGAGTTGCACCTCCAAGAACTTGCGGCGCTGACCATCTTCTTCTGCCTCTATTACTGCCAGCAGAAGTTGCTCGTGGGTATTATCAGGCGAATGGATCATGTTGTTCTCGTCGCCTTTATCGATGATGATGGATTCTGGATACTTATGGAAGGTGATTGTGCCACGAACCACGTCGCCGTCGACATTGACAAACATACCCACCCCGGGCTCCGCGCCGTCCGTTCCTCGGACAAGCAGGAACTCAGACGGGGTTGGAGATAGGATGTGGGGTTTCAGTGGCGTCGGCTTTGGGAGCGGGGGAAGCGGCTTTCTTTCGTCTGCGCCTGACTCTGAATCAGGTGGTGAGTTCTCCATGCTCCGCCTGGGAGATGCGCTCCCTGCGCGCTCTGTAGACAGCGAGCGTCTTGGCGTCCCCGACTCGGGAGACAGTTCCGAAGTGGCGGAGCCTGATCGCTTGTGTCCGTGGGGTTGTAACAGTCCAGAAATGGTGTTCGAGCTGGAGCTTCTCTCATACAGATGACTCTCTGAGGTGGGAGAGTGGGCGAAGAACGGCGAGGAAGGCGACTTCAATGGCGAAGCTGTCGAGACATCGTGGATTTGATTAGGCACGAAATCCTCATTCGAGAAGGAAATCGGGAACAATTGTATTTTTTGTTGGTTCTCCACGTCGACAAGGGAGTACGAGTGTGCGTCTGCGGCACAGGCGATTATCCCTCTTCGCGCCGCAACCAGACACCCGGGGAACTCGATGTTCCTTATACGTCGAGCCTCTTCCCCAATTCTCACCAGCATAGTACGATTCGGCGCCGCGATCATGACCACTTGCTCATTCTGCTCGTCTGCTGCCGTGTTGAGATCCACCCCTCCAATCCATGAACAATTGTTGACTTTGGTGTTTCCGAAGGCCGGGCTAAGCTCCGGTAGCATGTAGAAGGTGACAGTCCCGTTGCACAGGACACAAGCTTTATTGACGGCGGGTAGCAAGAGTATCTGCTGGATCCCGAGCGACTTAGTAGCAGCGGCTGCATTGTGGGCGAAGGGGATAGGTAATCGTGAAGCTAGGATAAACGACGGCTCGTTCGACTTGTCCGAGGGGTCCGGCGGCAGACAGACGAAATGGAGGATCTCGGCGGCAGATGTCCCGATGTACAGATTGTCGTCTGTAAGAACCTGATTAGACTGGAACAACTGATAGATAATGGCACCGCTGCAAGCCACTCACTCCAATACTCAACCGTGGTGATGTGGACATCGTCATCGTTATCATCGGAGTTCAAGGGTACCTGGTCGAACAGCGATCGCAAAACATATGGAGCTGCCTTGGGAGGGCCAATCTTCCGCCGTTTGCGCGGGCTGATGCCCTCCTCTTCGGACACCATGATGAGACCCGCTCTGGTGTCGTAGAGAAAGTCTGTAGCTGAGAATGGCTTGGTGACGGACGCCGTTGGTTTAGTTGGTGAGCATCACATCCGGAGTGCTGGGCGGTGGGACCAGCTGGGCTGGGCTTAGCTCGGCTGACTCAGGTGGGTCGGATGAAGTAACTATAAGCATGAAGCATGGAGAATTTGAGATAGAGATCACTTGAATAAGTGCTATTTGCTATTCAAGTTACGTGTTACTTCGGAATATGTTATGATGCGCGATGGCATGTGCTGTTGACAGTCACTCAAAGGTGTTGCTATATTGTTTGCCATGGCCAAGGATTTGACTAGATGGCAGCAACAATACAACAAGCAATATTGAATCATACGAAAAGGACGGCCGAGATTGGCCATATGATATGATCTATCAGATAATGTGACACGTCTTCATGTCATTCAACTTATTGGCATGGTTGAAACGAACGTGTACGAGGGGTGCTATAAATAAGTAGACAACATCAGATCTGGCATTTGATCTGATAGCATTGTGCAGCACACTAATCCGTAGACCTGGGACACACCCTGAATTAGTAGTCATTATTGGCTTCACATCCTTTCCCATTCACATCTCAGTCAACTCCTATCAGTCACTACTCCATCAGAGCAACCTGCTAGTCTTCTGGCATCCAACTCCTCAATCATAGCCATTTATCTCTGTTGTTGTTATCCGGAAGAAAATCGGGCCGAGTCGGGGTGGGCGCAGGCCTCCGCATCGCATTACGTGAACTGGCTTCATTTGAAGGTCACTCATCCAGAAGAATTCCGGGTGCAGTGTCGGATGGGGGTGCTGTACTATTTACTGGAACACTGAGGCGGGTCAATCATATTATTCGCAACTATGGATGCGTTCGCTATCACGGAAGGCATTGTCCCTGAGACTAGTAGTCCTCAGCAGGGCCACGATTCCGAAAAGGCCACCTCCGGCAAGCTCCCCGAGGGCGCAAACAAGTTCCAGCGGGCCATCGCCGCCTGGAGAGGTATGTCGCCTGGTCTCCTACTAATTCCAATTTTCTAAAGGCTAAGCGCTCATGTCCGTTGTCTCTATCAGGTATCGATCTCTCCAAAACCATCGCGAAGCTAGACAGTACCGCCTCGGACATCGTTGCGCAGCAACGCGATGCACTCGTGCAGAGGAAGGATCTCGCTCAGAAGACAAAGGACTTTCGGAAATTGGACGATGCCTCGAAGTTGGCAGAATACAAGGGTCTTCTCAAAGGTTGGCTGCGCTGGCCTCACGGACCTCAAATGTGTTATGGCTAACATGTTCCACAGCCTACCAAAGCTTTATCGATCTCTTGACAAACCAGGGAAAAGCCTCCTCGTCTGCTTTTCTACAACTGTATTCGTCACTTTCCGAAGCGCCCGATCCGTATCCCCTCCTCGAAGCATCAGTCGATTCTTTAGTCCACTCCGAAGAAACGGTTCCCAGGTTAACCTCCGAGCGGGACCAGCTCCAGGGGTCCGTCGATCGTCTTACGTCACAGCTCGACGAAACGGAAAAGCGGTTGGAGGAAGAGCGAACGGCTAGGAAGAAACTAGAGGAAGGCCAAGAATCGAAGATCAAGGAGGTCGAGGAGTCCTGGTCAGCAGTGTTGTCAGAGAAGACGAACAACTGGACGGCCAAGGAAAAGAGCTTGGAGGAGAAGGTGGAGCAACAAGAGCGCTTGGTCAAGGAATTGAAAGCGAGCTACGAGGTCTCACAGCGCCTGGGACAAGACGGCGAGAATGGCGAAGGTGCCCAAGGTGCCAGTGCCGCGGAATTGGAGCTGGTTTCGGCCGAGTTGGAGAAGACAAGCTTGCGCCTGGCGGAGGTCGAGGCACGAAACGAACAAATTACGCTTGAGCTGGCTCAGGCCGTCTCTCACTCTCAGACTGGACAGGCTGCATCGGTGGAGGATGACCCTGCATATTTGCGCCTCCAATCTGAGAATTCTTCTCTCCTACGCAAACTGGATGCTGCTCGCTTTGATAGGGAGTCTGAACGACACTCCTGGGAGTCTAAATACTCGCAGGTTGAGAGACAGATCAAGAACGTCACTGCGGAGAAGGAAGAGTTGCGCTCGCGGTTGGAGAAGGTGGCCGACTACGAAGACATTCGTCGGGAACTGGAGATGATCAAGGTACGCACCATGTATCAGAGCCCACTAGGTGATGAGACTAACATTCGACAAGTCTATCGAATTCTCGCCGGGAGATGATGAGGAGGCCGGGGATTTCGCAGGTGCTACGAGTCCTACCAACGGCGCCACAGGCAAGCCAAAAGATGGTTCCAAGAATAGCCTGGAGCAACTCCTGCTCGCTCGGAATAAGAAGCTGAATGACGAGCTCACCATCTTGCGCGTCTCACACCGTGATCTTCAGGGTCAGCTCGAGGCGCTACGGGCCGAGCTTTCGACTACCAAAGAGGAACTGGAAAAGTCACAGAAGCTGTCCACAACACTGGAAAGCGACCTTCTTCGTGTACAGGAAGAAGCAGCAAATGCGTTCCCATCGTCCGCCATGTCCGTTGCTGGGACATACACTTCCAAGTACCCCCACTCTTCCAGAAGAGGAGGAGCAGTATCACCTACCAGCTCCATCATCTCAGGCTTCGACCAGTCCGCTGCATCAGCCCATACCATGGACTCTATCCGGGCAGGCGAGGCGGTTGGTGGAGGCTCCGGGCTCTTGCCTATGATTCAAGCCCAGCGTGACCGTTTCAAGAAGAAGAATGCCGAGCTAGAGGAAGAGCTATCCAAATTATACGGCACGGTCAAGTCTCTCAGGCAGGAAGTTGCGACTCTACAAAAGGACAACCTCAGTCTCTACGAGAAGACGCGCTATGTGTCAACGTACAACCGCGGTCCCGGTGGTTCGTCGTCCGCATCTGCGTATGCGAACCGGCCGAACTCTTCCTCAGTTCATGCCAACGCAGACACCCCGTCCGGGCTCTCCCTCGACCGATACCAATCCGCCTACGAAGCGCAGATCTCACCATTCGCAGCCTTCCGTGGCCGCGAGTCTGCGCGGGCCTACAAACGCATGTCCTTGCCTGAGCGCATCGTGTTCTCGCTGACGCGCATCATCCTTGCCAATCGGACAAGCCGCAATCTCTTCGCCGGATACTGCGTCGCCCTTCATGTCCTGATATTCGTCATGCTGTATATGATGAGCTCCATGGAAATTGAAAAACACAGCGCGGCCAGCCTAGGTGCGGCCGCTGCGGCAGCAATGGCCGGCGGAGGAGGGGGTGGTGGTGGTGGTGGCGGCACCGGCACCGGCACCGGTGCAGGAGGGGGCAGCTACGCAGGACAGCAGTTACATGGAGATGATTGGCGACAGGAGTCCTTTAACCACGCCGGTGTCAACTAACCCTGCACCTGGGGAGCTGTCCGGTTTCTGTATTCTATTGAGGCGTTGTCGGGTCCAGGTGACGGGTTACGATTGGATTTCTTTTGTTTGATGTGAATACGCACGGTCTACATACAATGCCGATATTACTATCCTTACCAGGCTCGGTCTAAGTTTTCGAGGAATGTCCGTTGGTCCAGAAGTCCGTCGGCAGCTGTGGGCCTGTTGAGCTCGCTGCTGAGAGGGGCGTGTTTCTTTTTATATCACGAAAGCTCCCCTTGGGAAGAGGGGATATCCTTACAACGAAGATAGACGGTATACAGTGGGTGGTAAGTCTGGAACGAGCCTGTGATTGAGCCGATATGCATCGCTGGACCGTTGAGATCAGAGTGAATTTCGGTTGTGTTGCTCCAGAGAACCACAACTCCCGGTCACCAGCATATGACGACACACAGCACCCCAAGGCATACAGGTCCTGCTCAAACAACAGCCATGGTACCTAACCATGCATCCAGCCAGAGGCTCGTAGTAGCTACTAGTATCTCCTTTGTCCATACCATAATCAAAACAAGAAGATCTCCATGACTACGTGCAAAGCGCACCGGAAGGCTAAGTGTCACAGAAATAAAAACTCCAAGGGTAGATGCATGAACAATGTATATGCAGGTCAACCAATCCTAGACGTCGGTGTCACCGACCAGACAGAAATTTGAGGGTGGGATGTCCGACCAAGCTGCCAGGGGTAGAGAAAAAGCCAGGGAGGGTGAAGTAGTCAGGTCTGTCTTGAGGGTTTCTGCCCCCTCTCCTGCACTCTCCCCTCCCCCCTCTCAAGTAAACCTTTATCTCTGATGCAGGAGGTTTTGCTAGTACGCAGACACGAAAGAGAGGACTGAGACAAGACTATGCGACGGTGATGTGACATTGCCCGTTAGATCCTGGGATCTTCGCGGATGAGGAGTCTCAGCGAACTGGACAGGTGAGGGGAGGTGAGGTGAGGCGAGGTGCTATAGGACTGCACTGTACTGCGAGTCACAGGATCATACAAGTCATTCTGATTACGGTTTATCTATCGGCTCGGATGACCGCCAGTGGGTGCATTATCAGACTTGAGAGAGTTGCGGGGGTGCGACGGCTCGATTCCCCCGAGTCAAGCAAGATGAGGATAAGCAGAATGGGACTGGTGATCAGACCTGTGCTCTAGTCTCAAGCTTCCTTTCATGCTGCTTCGCGGAGGTTGTGACTCTTGCTTGGCTTGGGTGGGAGATTTTGAGGAACCCCTCGACCCCTCTTGAAGACTAGGCGCCCAGAGATTTTCGATGGAGGGTACTGAATGTGCGGAGTAGTCAGGTGGGAGTTCTGATCGTCTGCACGACGCGAGAACTTTCTGAATGGTTTCAATGCATGCCGGGCTCTACCATTGCCGATAAAGATTGCTGGATAAGCAGAGGTCAAGACACGGATTGTGTGTTTTTGAGTCCCCTGTCTAGTGCTGAGAGCTCAATGCTGTCGCTCGATCATGGCTCGTCCCATGGAATAGAGTCAATAGGTGGTTCTATAAGGATGGGTGATTGTGGATAGGGCTATGCATGTCCCCCGGCTCTGTCCTGCAGATGGCGTCGGTGATGGTTCTATTTTTAATGAAAACTTCTTCTCCTTCTCCCTTCCACCGGAACGAGCAATACGAAGGATGAAGCATTGGCAAGAGAGAACTGTGATATTGAAAAGTTATTTCCCGGCATATCCACCGGTCCACCAGACCAGCCTCTGTCACGCTTGAGAGGAGCAGATGTCTTCACGATGAGTCAATTCTGCCTAAACACGATTCGTGTCAGTGTTCATGGACGTGGGGTTATGACCTCAGCTCGAAGCGAAGTCGTGACAGAAGCGCAAGTTAGGGCACGAATTGTTATCAACCACGGTAGTTGAGTGATATAGCATCGGCGTGCTATAGAGTACTGGCAGTAGATAAGTTAGGGCAACGCTCAGGACTCCTCAGGTGCAGCTTGGGTAGCATTGACGATCCAAAAATAACCCACGAGACCAGATCAAGAATAGAACCGGTAGAGACCTCCGTACTCGATAGATTACAGTGCCATTGCTGTCTTCACCGATGATTTCAAGATTGACCGGGGGTGGTGCATTTGCGGGAGTCTGCAGGCTAACCCGCATCGGTAAGCTTCTAGTAAGATTGAACTTCTTGAAGCGCTCTGCTGCTAAGCGCCGGACCCCTCCTTCAGTGAGATATTAGTCTCTCAACTTGCAGATGCACCATATCCCATCCTCCTATTCTTAGCTGTGGTTAGATTAAAAGCGGAATATTTCAAGAGGTTGGCCCCAATCAGCATCTCCCAGCTAAACCCAGCCTGCAGTTTCCTCCCCTCGATCTGCAGAGATCCCAATCATGGCTGACGAAAACCATCTGGCATTCTGCAGTGCAAACGCTGGGTGAAACGGCTGCGTTTCGTGTGGTGGGCTTTCTTTGCTCCTCCTGAAGGATCTCTCCCCGGCGCATCCAACCGGCCAATAATCGGAGCTGATGTCGGCCCCCCCCCCCCCCCCCAGCGGCTTAAGGATCCCTGTGAGTCGAAGCTGTTTATAGAATTCCCACCGTGTGGAGGACCTCGTCAATTGAAGCAGGTTGTATTGCTTTGACTTCAAACTGCACATGCTAGTATCTAGCGCCGTGTCCGAGCAGACTACATGCAGTGCTGGTTTGGCACTGCCTGCAGTGGCAGTAAGTATATATCCCGTCATGACCTTGCGGCCTCGTTGCCTGTCTCTTGCTCTTCAGATCGTTAACAAGTTGTTTTTCGTTTCTTATACCCACTCCGCTCTGTCTTTTCGACTTGCGAGGCCGTCTGGGACGTGACCCGTGAGCATAGTTCAATTTCATTAATCTGTCAATCAACTACACGGGTGTGCTGGGCAATCAGTACCGTGGACGATTCCTGCTGTTCTCCTACGACGTACTCGTACTCCTTGATACCCTTCAACAACAGCGCAGAGAGAGAGTGCCCCGATATTTTCTTCCATTCAAGATGCGGCCGAGTCTCTGCTTCTTCGCATGCTTTGCAGCAGGCGCTCTTGCAGCTCCCACCTGGCTGGATGATATATACGACTACTCTCAAGAAATGGCCTCATTTCTCGGAGAGGTGAGCAAGGAGATCGAGAAAGTCGCTATTAGCGCAACCACCTGTGACACGTCAAAGATCTCGCTTCCTTCATACGCTTCAAGTCTTCCATCACCGTCGGGTTTGACGCCGGTATATGTTGCCGTCGGACGTGGCACCCAGGTCAGTGACTGTCCGCTTCGCCAGAGACAACAGCCCCAGCTAACACGCAGTCCTCTTAGAACTATACCTGCGCAACCTCCTCGTCCAACTCCACGCCAGTAGCCATCGGCGCCGTGGCCCGCCTTTACAATGCAACTTGCATTGCGGCCAATTACCCGACCCTGCTACAGCAACTGCCAGACCTGGCGTACCAAATCTCCTTGCCCAGCGATGAAGAGGACGCCCTCCCTCCGGCTAACCTGGACCTGCTGGGCCACCACTATTTCCAAGGAACCTCGACGCCAGTCTTCAACCTCGATACCACCGTCGAACAGCAGAATGGTATCGCCATCACCCAGAAACAGGAGTCGATTGATGCTCCCTCCGATGCTGTCAAAGGAAGCACCGGGGCCGTCGCCTGGCTCTACCTCACCGCAATTGATGGTACCGTCGGAGACTACAAGAGCGTCTATCGGGTGACCACTGTCTCCGGAGCGGCCCCAGACACGTGCAAAGGTATGCAATCGACTTTCACGGTTCAATATGCGGCGCTATACTATTTCTACGGCGAGTCGTGAGGCCGGAGAATGGGTGGAAGGGGGTTTGTGGCGATTGCGATAGAAATCGTCCAGTATTCACCACAGATAAGAATTGACAGTCACGAATACATGATCATGAATCCTATCGTATCTTCAGATAAGTAGTACCTAGCGGTGACCTGGAACACTCATGTTTCTGTAAGCGCCGGGAACGACGGCGGCGGATAGCGAAAGCCACTCTCCGATTGGCAGGGCTGCCACGATCAGGTGATCTCGCTATTTCCCAGAAGTCAGGTCACGTGCTGACAGTGCCCACAGCAGCAGTAAGACGCTAGACCCGAAACGCCATAGCGCTTCCTGATTTTCGAAAGATTCCCAAGGCGCCGTCTGAAAAATCTCGACCGCAACAACGACGAGCAGCACGGCCGCGACCGAACACTGAACGCCAGTGCGGAGACGATTTTTGCACAATAAGTCTTGTCATTTCCAAGATCTTCAAGACTTTCGCCAACTCCGATTTTCTCATTCCTCCCGAACGGACCTCAATTTCTCCGGAAGTTTTTTCTTCATCCGCAAACCCGACAACTTTTTTCTTCGAGCATCAGCCCAGAGTTTTCCGGCTGATAGCATCTGATATTCTCACTTCGTCAACCCTTTTCGACACATTTTACTTTCTACACAATGGGTTTCGGTGCCCCTAGAGGAGGACGCGGTGGTGGTCGTGGTGCCCCCCGTGGTGGTGGCGGTGCTCGTGGTGGCAGAGGTTTGTTCTCGACAAGATCCAATCCAGGACCGAACAGGGTGTTTCTTGTGCCGGCACGGTTGCGACAGACAGGGAACTCAGGATCTGTGACTGCAGAGCCTGGGACCTGCTATTGACAATCGATCATGGACAACATACAACCTGTGGTCCTGCTTCTGCTTCAAAGATGGTGATGCTAATTCGTTCTCGCTGTCCAGGCGGTCTTGGTAGCGGTGGCCGTGGCCGTGGTGGCCCCCGTGGTGGTGGCCGGGGTGGCCGTGGTGCTCCCCGTGGCCGTGGTGGCCCTCGTGGTGGTGGCCGCGGTGGTGCTCGGGGGGGTGCCAAGGGTGGTGCTAAGGTCATCATCGTAAGTGTTGTCCTTCGCGCGCGCGATGAGGGGAATTTTCTGACTGACCTCTTTTGCCAAGGAACCCCACCGTCACGCCGGTGTCTTCGTTGCCCGCGGTGGCAAGGAAGATTTGCTTGTCACCAAGAACCTGACTCCTGGAGAGGCTGTCTACGGTGAGAAGCGCATTGCTGTCGAGTCTCCTGCCGAGGAGGATGGTGCTGTGACCAAGACCGAGTACCGTGTCTGGAACCCCTTCCGTTCCAAGTTGGCTGCCGGTATCCTGGGTGGTCTCGATGACATCTACATGCGCCCTGGCTCCAAGGTCCTGTATCTCGGTTCCGCCAGCGGTACCTCCGTCTCCCACGTTGCCGACATCGTCGGTCCCACCGGTAACGTCTACGCTGTTGAGTTCTCCCACCGTTCCGGCCGTGATTTGATCGGCATGGCCACCCACCGCACCAACGTTATCCCCATCGTCGAGGACGCCAGACACCCTCTCCGCTACCGTATGCTCGTCCCCATGGTCGACGTCATCTTCGCCGACGTTGCCCAGCCCGACCAGGCCCGTATCGTCGGCCTGAACGCCCACATGTTCCTCAAGAACGAGGGTGGTGTGATCGTCTCCGTCAAGGCCAACTGTATCGACAGTACCGCCAAGCCCGAGGTGGTGTTCGCCCGTGAAGTCCAGAAGATGAGAGAGGAGAGAATCAAGCCCAAGGAGCAGCTGACCTTGGAGCCCTTCGAACGTGACCACTGTATAGTGTCTGGTATCTACAAGCGCTCTGCATGAATTTGAAGAACAAAAGAATCTGGTGGTCTGCTTTCTCATGTTTTAATTATTTATGCTCTTTCCTACCGGCGTCGAGTGTTCCGTGATATGCTGAAATGCTTCAACTTTTTTTTTTTTACTCTCCATTGGCTCTTATCATTTCGTGTCCTTGTCTAGGTTTCTAAATGTATTTCTTGAGAAGACAATTCAAGGGTTACGGCTTCAGTTGCTGAGATTGTAGCTCAGATTGTAGCTCTATCTAAAATAGCAATTTGCCATGAAGGTTGCTCCATTGGTGATCAATACTCATCTGGGTAAAGTGTCTAGTAGGTGCTGTGTGGACTACCCTGGGAACTCACACCGTGGTGAGTATGGTGAGAGGTAAGTTTTCAATCCAGATAGTCTACTCGGACTTTCGCCGGTCGTCCGGTCGTAGCTTGAACTCGGCACTCGGATTATGTGCCGATGGGGGGGGGGAGAGGGGCATTGCCAGCCACCGGGGTCGGACTTGCTGCGTTCATTCAACTGTATACTCAAGGTAGTTAGCTCTGATCGATCATGTCATCTTGAATGACGGAAACCAGAATGGTTCGCTCCGAGAGCTGGGAGCCGTGGGATTGTGCTACCGATTAGCATGTCCCTCCGCTCCAACCCCGCAGCCATGACAGTATATAGACTTTTACGCCCCAGCAGTCATACAACCACCTGCTAGCACACAATAGGTACAGCCTTGCCTCTACAGCACATTCTACGGCACATCCAGGCCACACTACGACATGTCCATCATCATCACCGGCGCCAGTGGCTACGTCGGCCAGGAGCTGGCTGCTGCGCTGCTATCCACCTACCCCGACATCACCGTCACGCTGACCGACGTGGTGAAGCCCACGGTGCCTGCATCCGCGACCCAGCATGCCTCACGGGCCCGCTGCCTCGAGGCCGACCTGACCTCACCCGCTGCCGTGGACGAGACCTTCACTGCCGCGCAGCCCTTCGACACCGTGTATTTGCTGCATGGCATCATGTCCAGCGGCTCCGAGGCCAACTTCGAGCTCGGCATGCGCGTCAACCTCGACGCGACGCGCCACATCCTCGACCGGCTCCGCACCGTCACCCCCGGCGTGAAGGTTGTCTTCACCTCCAGCCTGGCGGTGTACGGCCCCGCGCCCGCGGGGTTCGTTATCGACGAGACCAACTTCCCGCCCATCCCCTCCTCCTCATACGGCTCGCAGAAACTGATCATCGAGACCCTGCTGAACGACTACTCCCGCCGCGGGTTCCTGGACGGCCGCGCCGTCCGCTTGCCCACGGTGACCGTCCGCGCCGGCAAACCCACCCAGGCCGCCAGCAGCTTCGCCAGCGACATCATCCGCGAGCCCTTTCACGGGCGCAAGGCGGTGTTGCCCGTCGGTAAAGAGACGCAAATGTGGATCTGCTCGCCGCTCACGGTGGTCAGGAATCTGCTGCACGCGCGTGAGGTGCCGACGGAGGCGTTTGGGGATTCCTCCCGGGCGGTGAATCTGCCCGGCCTGTTGGTTAGTGTTCAGGAGATGTTGGATGCATTGGAGGAGGTCGGCGGGAAGGAGCGCAGGGCGTTGGTCGAGGAGAGGTATGATGCAGATATCGATCGCATCGTGCAGACGTGGACGCCGAATTTCAATACGGCACGGGCGCTGCGGTTGGGGTTCGTGGAGGATGTGTCGATGATGGAGAATATTCGGCAGTACGCTAGTCGGTTTGCATGAGATGTATAGTATAGAGGTTTAGCATAGGAATTAATTGAGGTTGTAGTTGTGGTTGTGGTTGTGGTTGTTGCTGTAGTTGTTGTGTTGTTCCAAGGGGACTTGTCTTGTAGTATACCTCATGAGGTGTACTCCGGAGGGAGTACTTTTGCAGTGGTGAGGCTAACTTACAGTACAGCTAAAGGAAACAGTCGGGATCGAAAGCGGTGGTTTGGAAAAGCGGGTCATGTGATTGGCTGGCGGATGGGCGAACAATTTGACTTCCGAACTTCAACCTCGCCATCTCCAGGCGCTGACCCGTCTTGTTACACCCTCCCTTCCATTCTTTCTTTTCCCCTCCCCCCTCCTCCCCATTCACCTGCTTCATCTATTACACAATGGCCTCTAGGCGCCTAGCGTTCAACTTCAACCAGGCTCTCCGCAGCCGGGCTGCCTTGAAGGCTGTCCAGCCCGTCAAGCGTGGCTTCGCTTCTCCCGTTACCCTGCCTTCCTCTACCCAGACCACCACCCTCTCCAACGGTTTCACGGTATGCGCTGGCGTCATTGTCTATTTCAATCGCCTTGGACACGCACTGACGGACGATAGATCGCTACCGAGCACTCCCCATGGGCTCAGACCTCCACCGTTGGTGTCTGGATCGATGCCGGTTCCCGGGCAGAGACTGACAAGACCAACGGTACTGCGCACTTCCTCGAGCACCTTGCTTTCAAGGTATGTTGGCTGTCTGATCAATTTATTTGGTGTGTGGTGACTAACATTTGATATCATAATAGGGTACCAACAAGCGTTCCCAGCACCAATTGGAGCTCGAGATCGAGAACATGGGCGCTCACCTGAACGCCTACACCTCGGTACGGACCGGAAGGATCTTGGAGTGGAACACGGCGACTAACGAATGAGTGCAGCGCGAGAACACCGTCTACTACGCCAAGTCCTTCAACAACGATGTCCCCAAGGCCGTCGACATCCTCGCCGACATCCTCCAGAACTCCAAGTTGGAGCCCGGTGCCATTGAGCGCGAGCGCGACGTCATCCTCCGTGAGCAGGAGGAGGTCGACAAGCAGCTCGAGGAGGTTGTCTTCGACCACCTCCACGCCACTGCCTTCCAGCAGCAGCCCCTCGGCCGCACCATCCTCGGCCCCAAGGAGAACATCCAGACCATCTCTCGGGACAACCTGGTCGACTACATCAAGACCAACTACACTGCCGACCGCATGGTCCTGGTTGGTGCCGGTGGCATCCCCCACGAGCAGCTCGTGAGACTTGCCGAGGAGCACTTCGGCAGCCTCCCCAGCAAGCCCCCGACTTCCGCTGCCCTGGCCCTCACCGCTGAGCAGAAGCGTACCCCCGAATTCATTGGCTCTGAGGTCAGAATCCGTGACGACACCCTCCCCACTGCTCACATCGCCCTTGCCGTCGAGGGTGTCAGCTGGAAGGATGACGACTACTTCACTGCCTTGGTTGCCCAGGCCATTGTCGGCAACTGGGACCGTGCCATGGGCAACTCGCCCTACCTTGGCAGCAAGCTTAGCTCCCTGGTTGAGTACCACGGCCTTGCCAACAGCTTCATGAGTTTCTCCACCAGCTACAGCGACACTGGGTGAGTTTATTTTGGTAATGGCAAGAGGATTATAGCTAATGGTGTCTAGTCTGTGGGGTATCTACCTCGTCTCCGAGAACCTGACCAACCTCGATGACCTGTGCCACTTCGCCCTCCGCGAGTGGTCCCGCCTGTCCTTCAGCGTCACCCCCGCCGAGGTTGAGCGTGCTAAGGCCCAGCTCAAGGCCTCGATTCTGCTGTCGCTTGACGGCACCACCGCCGTTGCCGAAGACATCGGTCGCCAGATCATCACGACCGGCCGTCGCCTCAGCCCCGAGGACGTCGAGCGCACGATCGGCCAGATCACCGAGAAGCACGTCATGGACTTTGCCCAGCGCAAGCTGTGGGATCAGGACATTGCCATGAGCGCCGTGGGTAGCATTGAGGGTATCCTCGATTACCAGCGTCTCCGCTCGGACATGAGCCGCAACGCTTCTTAGGTTGTGGGCAGTGCAGGTGTGTTTGGTTGACAGGAATTATGGCAGTGTTTCTAGTTTTGGTGATTTAATAGATAGAAGCGGTGGTCGTGCCGGGAAGCGTGTCTTGTACAGTATCAACTGTCGCTATATCAAAATGTATTCGTTCGTACTTGAGTAGTATCTCGTTCCGACGATCCGAGATGTGCAAGGAACAGACCCCGTCAATACATAGTAGTAGTTAGTCGAGTAATACCCCAAACCAACCTCAACAACCGTCGATTAGACATATATGACCCAACTCGCTCGAAGAATAACATCCAGAAACCCAACCATCTACAATAAACTAGATACTAGTACAAGAAGCAAACAAACCCTCTTCCCGCTTTCTGACTACAAGTAAACATCCTCCCTCCCTCCTTATTTCTCCTAGAGAATGATACCCTAAATGATCAATGCTGATACTCCATCCCCGCCGGAGCCTTATACCCCATCCCCTGCTCCAACAACGCCGCCCGACTCTCCGCTTCCTTCTCGTTCTGCATCAGCGTGCAGCACGGACAACACGCCGCCTTGACGCAGTCCCCGCACCCGGACCCCTCGAGATGGAATCTCTCACGGATCGTACCGCGCTTCATCGTGAGGGGAATGAAGGAGAGGCCGCAGTGACCGAGGAGACAGAAGAGGAAGCACTAGATTGCTGCCGTTAGGGGGGTTTGGGTTTGGATTGGGCTTTCGCTTGGGGAAGACTAGGGGCCCGGGATGATTTACATACATCACCATTCATCGAGCCATGTTCTTTCAGCTGAGGATCTTTGAGGCGGGAGGCGGTGCGGCCGAAGAGGCAGCAGGGGCACCAGGTGGCCAGGCAGCCTGTTTTGGGGTTAGTTAGTGTTTTTGGTTGTATTATATATGTGGTAGTGGGGTGGGTGAGTGTGTATACTATAGGTAGGGTAGGTAGTATGTATAGGTTACTTAGTAGTAAGTGCTAGTAGGGAGGTCGTAGGATGGGTAAGGGTGAGGGAGGGGAAGGGAAGAGTAGGTAGGACGCAAAGTACGAACAGGTCTTGCACGGAGAGCAACACTCCCAGAATCCGTTTTGCCATTCTTGTTCGGCCATTGTGTGGGATTCGTGGTTTAGTTTGATGGTGGTAGGTCGATGGGTTGGTTGGGTTGATGTAGCGCTTGAGTAGGTTTGAGAGGATTGAGATCGAAGGTATAACGAGCGGATGAAGTTGGTGAAACGAAGGATGTCTACAAGCAGTTGTACGAGTATCTGTCACTTGGTTTATAACTTCAGAGCAGCAAGGCTTTAAATAGGACATGCAGTGGCTCGGATGAGTGAATGGGGCCGGGTACAAGGGTCGCCTACACATCTATATTGATGGTCATTCGGAGGCTTATTTTTTTTTATTTTTTTGGGGGGGAGGGGCTCGCTCGTGTCGATAAGTGAATCTAGACACAAACCGGAGAAAGTAATCAGCCCCAGATCCACTTCGTGGTACACCACCAGCAACTATCGAACTTATGTCTGCCCTCAGCCTTGCGTGGCACAGACTGGGTTCATTCGAGGGCATAATGCTTTTGGCCCTGGGTTGGGGGCCAACCATGCTTCACAGGGTGATCAGATAGATTGCTTCAATGTCTGGGGCGGTTGAGCTTTTCACATTGTGATAAATAAGAAACATAAAGGGATAGATAGTTTATTCTTTGCAGTTATTCACTAGCAAACTGTACATATAGTGACGCATGAGGTTGTAACTACCTAATGATCTATCCTGGTGCGTCGCGGAGATTGGCGCACCTCCGCCTCGTTTGAGCCCTTGTTTGAGACTTCAACCCACGGGTCCAGCTACGGCTGGGCTTGGCTTCAACCGTTCAAGATACGATGCAGGTACATTGGCTCAGCTTTCATTTCCTTCTATGTACCACACAAGCCCCCTTTTCCATCCCCAAGAACTTGCTGACTGCGTCTACATCCCGGTTCAGTATACGTCCTAGGGCGTCACCAAGCTTTGCGCGAGGACAACCCCGCTTCCGACTGCTTCGGCCATAGCCACGCTGCCTGCAGGGCTCCTGGCTAGTTGACCTTCCTAGGGCTGGGTTTTCGGCTCTGAGTTGGTGTTTATCGGGATTTGTTCGGTGCCAGTGAAAGGTGGGTTGTCTTGGTGAGTTTGCCCAGGATGTATAAACTCAGACACTCTGGATCATTTCAACGCTGCTACTACAGGTACAGGCCCGATTGAGTGGCATAGGATAAGAGGGTCTCGGACGCTGTGTTAGGACACCTCAGTCTCCAGGTCCAGCCTCAAGACACAAATGGTTGGTCGCACGCCTGGTGCTCACTCTCACAACCGGGCTGTGCACAGCCAGCCACAACTCACTCCCCGCGCAACAACGAATGCCCCCGCAGCAGCAAGGAACAACACTCCCGTGAACACAATGAGGCCTTTCTGGCTTTGCTGCTCGATCACCCCCGTCAGCCCAATCCCCAGAAGCATCCCAATGCTGGCGATACTGTACGCGATGCCACTCCGACACCCGTACTCAGTTACGCTGCATGTTTGCGAAATGCAGACCGGCGACAGACTCAGCGCTGCCCCGGACCAGAACCCAAAAAACACTGCATAGCACACGAGCGCTCCCAGGCTGTCGCCGGCTTTGTACCACAAAGCCAGAGTCAGGATTGCACAGAGGAGGGTGGTGACGATCATCGTGTTGAAGCGGCCGAGTCGGTCTGCGGCGAGAGCGGGCAGGATGCGGCCGGGGATCGTGGCTAGATTGAGGAAGACGAGCAGCAGATATGCGATGAGGTTACTCAGCCCCACGTGCACGGTATAAGAGGGGATGTAGGTGCTGGGGATGAGGATTGCGGCCTCTGTGAGAAATATTGCAGCGGTTGTGGCGGTGAATTTGGGGTCTTTGAGTGGCTTTAGAGTCAGCCCTTCAATCGCCTCTGGTCTGACGGGCTGTGGAGTCGTGATCAGAAGCCACGCAACAAGAAGCAGAGCAGCACTGATGAGGGCGATGATCCTGATCGGCCAGCCGAATCCAATTTTCGGTGCCATGAAGTAGATGATGATGGGGAAGATGACGCCTCCGAGCCCGCCTCCTGTGCAGGCGACGCCGGTAGCGAAGGCCCGACGACGCTCGAACCAGTAACTGATTGTTGCGATGGCCGGGGTGGATAGAGCGCTAGCTGATACTCCGCCCAGCACACTCAGTGAAAGGAAGATTTGGTAGTACTCTGGTCCTGGGTTAGCCCTGCTGCTGTCGTAAGGAGAGTCTGTGAAGCAACTTTACCATGGCTGAAACTCAAGCAGATCAGTGATACCACTATCCCTATGGATCCCGCAAGGATCAGATAGGCTGGGCCCCAGGCATCGAAGATCATTCCTGGTTCAACGGTCAACTCCTGCTCATTATCTCTTTGCTAGTCCTTGTACCCACCCATTGGCGCCCCTGCCGAGTAGACGAAAAACCCATAGGCGCTATAGATCCAGCCGTAGCTTGACGTCTCGTAGCTCCTCAGTTGATGCGTACTGGTCCACAGATGGAGAGCTCCAGCTGTGTGCATCAACCCCCATGCTGGAACCAACGCGCACCACGCACCGAGCACGACCAGCCATGCTTTGAAGCCTCCTTCGGGATACTCTGCTATCTCTAGTGGTGAATCGACAGACGAGTACTCGATGTGTTCAACGTTCATTATCTGCAGGTGAAAGGCCTATCGCTGCTGAAAACAAGTTCTCGATTGGATTGGAAGTGAAGCATGATATAGTTGTTGAAGCTGTCCAAAGAGTACGGTGCGCGCTACGGCGTTGGGCGTCTTTATGAACATGTCTTCTGCCACGAGGCGGTGATTCTATGCGTTGGCGATATAGAATTGACGCAGCCCAATGCAAGGGTTATATTGAAGCGATGCATTGAACATGCACAATGACGGAAATTGCATACTGCTACTGAGCAACTGGAAGCAGCCTGTTTAATAGGTCTGGCTACACTGTAAGATGATCTGTTGTAGGCGATTGGTACGTCCTTGTGCACTAGTATACAAGGACACGATCTGGCTGGGAACCAGCAACTGACATAGCCTGCCCCTGGGTGACTCGTGCTTAGCGGGCGAATCGTAAGTTATTTTTGAGCTTCAATGTGTTATCACATATCGCGAAGTGTGCTCTTGTGTACGGAGTAGTATGAGCCTACCGGTAGCTCATCGGGTTATGCCAGCTTTGTGATTTGTATAGCCTTTTCTGCCAGGCTTAATATCGTGCGAGATCCCCCTCACATCAAGCCTATGACCTCAACCATGCTCAGGGCCGATGAGCCTCAACGTTGGCCTTCAACATGCTTGAATTGTCCAACTCATGCAGAACAACTTCGAAGTTATTCTGCATTCGGACTAGCGTGGCTGCATATGCAGACCTCTTACATAAGCGATTCAGGCAAATGGAGGAGGAGCTTCGCCGATAAGATTTTCTGCAGCGGAGAAATTGCGGCCAGCCCCAGTGCACTCCATCTCTCAATTCAAAACTCGATCATCATGGGTAAACGTGGAAAGAAGGTATGTGTGGCCTTCTGAATCCTTGGCGATGCCTGCAGCATCGCAGCTCGCGATCAATCTGCCTGTTCTCGTCCAAAAATCGTGCTGATCCCCTGTCGCAGGGTGGCAGAGGCGGAGAGCGCCAGAACTGGCAGCAAATCGCCAGGGAGAACGAGAAGTTCGAGAACTACTACAACTCCCAGGGTTTTGTCCCAGAAGAAGAGAAGGAGGCTTTCTGGGCCGCTCTTAAGCGGGATCTCCCCAACAGTTTCCGTTTCACTGGCTCAAGAGGGTACGTCATGCGCCTAAGAATTTATTATCGCACATCTCCGCAGACCTAGTCTGCGCGGTACACCATACTGTGCAGATTGCTAATATTTTATGATCGCACAGTCATGCCCTTGCTGTTCAGAAGAAGCTCAAGGATCAATATGTGCCCGAAATCACCTCCATCAAATACGAGGGCAACTTCGTCGAGCCCCCTCGCCCCGTCCCTTGGTACCCCGATGAGCTCGCATGGTCCATGACCACTCCCAAGCAAGTTGTTCGTCGCTTTGCGCCTTTCGCATCCTTCCAGAAGTTTCTCGTCGCCGAGACCGAGGTTGGCAACATCAGCAGACAGGAGGTTGTCAGCATGATTCCCCCGCTCTTGATGGACCTCAAGCCTGGAATGACCGTGCTCGACATGTGCGCCGCTCCCGGCAGCAAGTCCGCGCAGTTGATGGAGATGGTCCACACTGGTGAAGAAGAGGCTATGCGTCAAGTCACGCAGCAGATTGCCGAGGGCAAGGCTGGCGATGAGCCGATCGGTCCTGAGGGACTCAACGACGATGGCAGAACTACCGGTCTGCTGATCGCCAACGATGCCGACTACAAGCGTGCCCACATGCTTATTCACCAGATGAAGCGCCTGAGCTCCCCGAACCTGATCGTCACCAACCACGATGCTACCCTGTTCCCCTCCATCAAGTTGCCCGCTGAGCCCAGCGTCAACGGCAAGCCTGGAAAGGCCCGCTACCTGAAGTTCGACCGTATCCTGGCGGACGTGCCTTGCACTGGAGATGGAACTGCTCGCAAGAACTGGGGTGTGTGGAAGGATTGGAACGCGAACAACGCTCTGGGACTCCACGCCACTCAGGTCCGCATTCTCGTCCGTGCTCTGCAAATGCTGAAGGTCGGCGGCCGTGTCGTCTACTCCACTTGCAGTATGAACCCTATCGAGAACGAGGCTGTCATCGCCAGCGCGCTGGCTCGCTGTGGCTCTGCCAACGTCCGCATCGTCGATTGCAGCAACGAGCTCCCGGAGCTGAAGCGCGCTCCCGGACTCCGCAACTGGAAGGTGATGGACCGCGAAGGCCGTTTCTACGATAGCTGGAAGGAGGTCGAAGAGCGCAAGGAAAAGGAGGGCATTAGCGGCCTGGGCAGAATCGCTGAGGGCATGTTCCCGCCTACCGAGGATCTTCCTCTCGAGAGATGTCTTCGCATCTACCCTCACATGCAGGATACTGGTGGCTTTTTCATCGTTGTGCTAGAGAAGCTGTCTGAAATCCGCGCCAAGCCCGAGGATTCTTCCAAGGTCATCCCTAAGGCCTCTGTCGCTGCTCTTGCTGAGGAGCTCGACTTCAAGCAGAAGCACGGCAATGGAGAGCCCCTTGAGAAGATTGATGCGTTGGATGACCTTGTCGCTCACGACCAGGAGGCCGAGCTGGAGGCAGAAAAGAACGCGACCGTGGCTCAGGCTACACATCAATTGCCATACTCGGCCACCAGCCAGCCCGCTATCGCCAAGCGGGATGCGGAGACCATTGAAGATGAGCTCCCCGCTAAGAGGACCAAGCTTGAGAATGGCGCCGAGGTTGTGGTCGGCGATCGTCCTATTCACCCTCCTGCGCCTGCCGTTACCGATGTTGAGACCTCTGATGCCACCCCGGCTGCACCAGAAACTACACAAGCTTCGACGGAGGCGAAGCCCCAACTCCCGCAGAAACGGAAGAACGGCCAACCGGTGGAGGAGCCATTCAAGTATCTGGATCCCAACCACGCCGAGCTCGACCCTATCTATGAGTTCTACCAGATCTCCAAGCGATTCCCCAGAGACCGCTTCATGGTCCGCAACGCTGAGGCTCTTCCCACGAGAACTATCTACTACACTAGCGCCCTTGCTCGCGATATCCTGAGCTCCAACGAGGGAGCCGGTATGAAGTTTGTGCACTGCGGTGTGAAGATGTTCGTGAAACAGGATGTGCAGCGTGAGGGCGTCTGTCGCTGGCGAGTCCAGACCGATGGTTTGAGAATGCTCGAGCCTTGGCTCGGCCCTGCTCGGGCTGTTACTCTCACACAGAAGGAGACTCTGCGCAGTCTCCTTGTGGAGATGTTCCCTAAGGTTGACCAAGAGGGTTGGAAGAACCTCGGAGAAATTGGTGAGCGTGTCAGAGACATTCCCATGGGATGCAGCATCCTTTACATCAGACCTACTCCTGGTCAGGAAGGCTTCACGTGAGTACTTGCACTTCCTCCTGAGCGAAACAGACCGGCTAACACAACTTTAGTGAGAATATGGCTCTTCCCCTTTGGCGCTCCATGTACTCTGTTAACCTGATGCTTCCCAAGGAGGATCGCCGCGCGATGCTCCAGCGTTTGTTCAACGACCATACCCCGCTGGTCAACACCACGCACAAGCGCTCCGGCGAGACCGGATCCTCGACTCCTGCGGCGGAGGAGACCCCCGCCGAAGAGACCCCTATTGACGTTCCTGTGGAGACAGAAGAAGATGTGATCCAGCGGGAAAACCTTGCGCTGGGTGAGGATGAGCAGGAGCAGATGGACACCCGGGAGACTTATACTAAAGCAGGTGATGAGGAGGACCGCTTCAACACGACTGTATAATCTCTCAAAACCATTGAAGTTGAGCGAACAAGCTCTTGAAAATAATTGATTACTCTTTGTTCTTCTGAAGGTTTACATATCATTATTGTATCCGTGTTTAGATATCATGGGAGAGATTAAGCACAGTAGTGTTGAAGTATGAGGACCCCAAGGTAGCCCGAATTCCCCCAAGGTTGGTTCATATTTTAGCGACTTGGAGCACTGCGCGCCCGGCCAATTGACCTTTCTCCAGCTTCTCAACCCACGAGTTGAGGTCCTCAAGTTTCCCTTTCACCAGAACAGGCTGATTGCAATTAGCATGACCAATTTCGAGACTCAAGGAACAGGGCGAATGGGTGTCTTACGTGGACGATTTTACGTGCAGTGAAATCCAGGGCCTCTTCAACATCTTTCAAGGTCCCTGTCACAGTACCGACAACATTCAATCTTTTGAGAGACAAGAGCATGGGAGGAGCTCCTGCAAGAATGCTGGGGTCCGCAGGCAGACCAACAGCCACCAGTGTGCCATTTGGCCGCAGATATGTCGGCGCTGTCGCATAGACCGTCTTGGTGGCAGCCGTCACAATCACCCCATGCGCTCCGTGCGTCGTGATCTTGCGAACCTCAGCAGCAATGTCTGGCGTTGATAGGTAATCGATGAACACCTCGGCCCCGAGTTTCTGGCATAGCTCTCGTTTGTCATCACCGCCGTCAATGGCGATGACCCTCATACCCATCGCCCGTGCATACTGAATCGCGAGATGACCCAGGCCACCCCCGGCTCCAGGCAGCACAATCCACTGACCAGCCTTGACATTGGCCCTGACCAACAAACAGCTCATCAGCAAAACTCCACATGCTCGTCTTGATCCCATGGCACCTACCGTTTGCAGGCAACATAAGCCGTCACCCCTCCGCACATAATCGGTCCGGCGTCTTCATCGGACACCCCATCGGGGATCTTGGAGGTATACCGTCCATCGGCAACACAGTACTCTTGGAAGGTCCCTGGAGCTGTGAAACCACTGTTGACCTGCCTGATACAGTTGACCTCGTCCACGCCGCTCAGACAGAACTCGCATTCACCGCAGGTCTTTGCAATCCACTTGATCCCCGCGCGGTCCCCGATGTTCCAGCGATTCTCCATGCCTTCGCCCACCGCGACAACCACACCCACGCCTTCGTGTCCTGCGACCCCCTTAGCCTGGGGCGTCATTGCAACCCCGAAGCCGGCCCATTCGTCGTGAAGCAGAGCCTTGTCGGAGCCGCAGAGCCCGGTCCATGTGATGCGGACTAGGATCTGGCCGGGGCCCGGGAGGTCTACGTCGATGGTCTGGATCGTGGTGGTAGCCGTTGAGCCGGATCCGCTGCGAACGACAGCGCGCTGTTGTTTGGGAATGGGGCTCGTGCGGGTAATCATGGTGTATAGGGGGTGGCCTCTGTAAGGACTTGATCAGGTTAATGTCTGGGGGAAGAGAACCTTCGACTCTGCTGTGAGCAGTTACGGGAGGGGTTGCTTTCTTTATAGCTGTGCTTCTCCTCGTTCACACGTGATGGATTGGCGGGGATACATTCACAGCAGCTACTAATGAACTCAATCCAAGTTCGCGATGTTGACGATCATGCATATTCACTCAAGCTAGATGAGGTCTAGTATCACCCAGCTCAACATCGGTGAGCCAAGTGACCTATCACACCGACCACACGTTCGTTCGCTGCAAACCTACTGCTGAGATACACCCATAATAAGCAAACATCTCGCTGTGAACATCGACTACCCTTCTTGAGGATATTCTTCGGCGAAACATCCTGAACATGTTCCAAAGACAACACCAACCGAGGATGCCTGGGCGACCCCCGCTCTTTTGCCACTGGAAGGAGTGGTGCTGTCGGTCCTGATCGGGCAGGAGATCAATGTTGCTTGACAGAGTCGTGCATGATCGCCAATCGGAGAGGCCTTTGACTTGGGACTTCGTCTTTGAGACAGGGGTCTTGCAGCGCAGGATTGCCAATCCCCGCAACAACCTCGGGCAAAGGAAGGCTTTCCCCGCATCTTCGTACAGAACGTCATGGGGTGGCCAGTGAGCAGGTTCTTACTGTGGGGTGGATATTGGTCAAAGGCGTGTGTGTCAGGTGAATAGTTGATTGAAAAATTGTGATGTTTTGGAAATGAGCAGCTGTATAGGATCGACTCAGAGAGGGTCTATCATGGTTATGCTGCCTGAATCCTCAGGCATTCAAGGCCAGCTGCCCAATCTGGCGGGGCTGACTAATTCTCCGCAGCCCCTCTCAAAAATTATTATCTGCCCCGCGGAAGGCAAAGGAACGTTCGCGCCGCCGCTGGCTGAAATTCAATCTCTCTATAAACTTCACTTCGGAGTCAGACCTTCTTTGGCTAAATTGTCATTGACAAAGATCACACCTTCTCTTCGCTTTTATTTTTTTTACGTTTCTGTGGTTAAATCCTGCTTGCAGGACACTCATCCGCTGCTAAATCGCTGCTTCTTCGGAATACCCGTTTTTCTTCACAATGTCTGCAGACGGCGAGCAGGTGGCTTTTCAGAAGCCCGGTGATCTGGTGGAGCGCAATGAAGAATCTGGCGCAATGACCATGGAGTCTCTTTGCATGAACTGTCATGAGAATGTATGTTTTGCGCCTCCATCCAGTGTCATTCCGTAGCTACCCAATGTTCCCTCGGTATATGTACTGACATGCGACTCATCTGGTAGGGCCGGACAACCTTTCTTCTGATCAGGATCCCGTATTTCCGGGACGTCATTCTCGAGGCCTTTGAATGCGAGCACTGTCATTTCAAGAACAACTCGATCAAGTCCGCCTCGCAAATCCAAGAGAAGGGATCCATCTACCACTTGGAGGTGGAGAACGAGGCCGATCTGCAGCGCCAGGTCGTCCGCAGTGACGTCTCCGTCTTCAAGCTCGAGTCCCTCGGTATCGAGATGCCCAAGGGTGAGGGCCAACTGACCACCGTCGAAGGTGTCATCCGGAAGATCCACGAGAGCCTCTCCAGTGAGCAAGACCTGCGCAAGGAGCAAGCGCCGGAACTCTACGAAGCCCTGGTGCCCATCATTGCCAAGCTCGAGAAGATCCTCGAGTCCGACGCCTCGGCTTTCCCCTTCACCATCAGCCTCGACGACCCCACCGGCAACTCCTGGATTGCCCCGACCACCTCGGACGCCGGCCACAAGTACCGCCGTCGCGACTACCTGCGCACCCATGAACAGAACGAGGAGCTCGGTATTGCCGGTGACCCCAATGCTGTTCAAAACGAGCAGCAGGGAAACCCCGAGGATGAGGAGATCGTGCCGGGCCAGGTCTATTCTCTCCCGGCGGAGTGTCCCGCTTGTGCTAAGCCTTGCACGGTAAATATGAAGCAGGTGAGCTTTTCCCCCTTCCTTGCTTCCTTCCGTTAGGAGCAACGCTAGAGATTCGATTGTCTAACACCGCATTCAGGTTGAGATCCCTCATTTCAAGGAGGTTCTCGTCTTCGGAACCAACTGCGACCACTGCGGCTACAAATCCAGCGACGTCAAGACCGGCGGCAGCGTCCCCGAAAAGGGCAAACGCATCACCCTTCGGGTCGAGAACGAGGTCGATCTCGCCCGTGACATCCTCAAGAGCGACACCTGCGCGTTGAGTTCGGAGGAGCTCGAAGTCCGTGTCGAACCCGGCACGCTTGGCGGCCGCTTCACCACCGTCGAGGGTCTCCTGACGGAGATCCGCGACCAGCTGCACGGCCAGATCTTCGATTTCGCCGACACCAGCGCTGGGGACAGTCTGGCTGACTCCGACAAGGAGAAGTGGGACCGCTTCTTCAAGCGTCTCGATTTGGCTATCAGCGGCGAGCTGAAATTCAACATCACGCTGGAGGATCCCATGGCGAGCAGCTACGTCCAGGATCTGTGTGCGCCGGCCAAGGACGAGCAGATCACGACGGAAGAATACACTCGCACGGAGGAGGAAGAGGAGGAGCTTGGCCTCAAGGATATGAAGACCGAGGGCTACGAGGCTGATGCAGACCAAAAGGAGGAGGAGAAGCCCGCCGAGCAGTAGTGAGGATGGACTCGACTCGATACCCATAGACTTTTTCCTTCTTCTTGTTTATAATGTTGATATATTTTGGGGTTGTTTCACGATGCTCATGATTCATACACGGTGTTTCCGTCGCCATTCTTCTGTTTACAATTGCCGTTCTTTGAGAGTGAGCATTGTACAGTTGGTGTGGCTGGCTATGGAGCGGGTTTTTTGTCTAGTGCATATACAACAAAAGTTTTCCATGGGGATGAGCCATGACGTCTTTCTGATTGTATTAGACTTCCTAATCATACGCAGTATTTGTGAGAGTCTACGGTCCAGGCCACTGCCCTTGAAGTGATGTAATAAAAAGAACCATACATTGTAGAAGCATGTCTACGTTCTGCCTGGCTCCTGCCAGTCTTCGCCATTGGGTGGCTCTTGTGCAGCCTTGCATTTTGATCGAATTTCGTTACATGTTTCAGCGCCAAGCTGAAGGCTATACATACACGAACCGAGGAGTTGCTGTACGAAACTGACGACTGAAGGAATGCCGGGTATCGAATTGCGCTTTGCATTCCTATCTAGACTCGAGTCTCCGTGGACTCCTTACCACTTGACCTAGTGTTAGGTTTGTGATCTAGGGGTATGCAGTCCGTCTCTCCTCTCTTCTTGGGTTCTGGCAAACTGCGAGGCGCTGTGCAGGTCTGTCTCTGCAGTGACTAGTGGCGTGGTCCACAGGGAATGACCAAAAGTGTAGCAGCAGCAGCAGCAGCAGCTCCTCTGAGGGGGACAGCAGTGACAAGACCACGGCGGAGATGTGTAGTCATCTGCTAGTGTCACCGGACACTGCTAATCGACGGCATCACCTGCTCGGGAGCGGCGATCTCAAAGCTCGAAATCACCACGCTCTCACCGGCAGGTAGAGGGGAGGGGGGGACTTGCTGAGCTCGACCCGAGCTTTGAAAGCTCTCTGCCACGAAGCGCAGCCCCCCTGCCTAGGCCCCCGAGAAAACCCCAAGGCCTCCTAACCACAAGCACATCTCACCTTCAACATCAACACTAACTCTACTCCGTATCTCAACCAAAAGCACACGAATCCCCAGACAGATTACCCCGCAAAAGGATTGGCATGCACCGTCACCCTCTCAATCCCCACCCTCTCCCACTCCCCCTTCTTCTCCTCTTGCGGGCTCGGCTGCACCACCCTCCCCTTCTTATCCACCTTCACCTTCGCCCCCTCCAATCTCCCCAAAACATCCCCGCCCTCATCCTGCGCCGTCAGATTCAACACCTTCCCAAACACCGTACTCGCCCCGTCCAGATGCGGCGCCGCCGCAAACGTAATGAAAAACTGACTCCCGTTGATCGTCGGCCCCGTCGCGCCCTGCGCCCCCGGCGCCGTGCGGTCTTTGACCGGCCGCGCCGCCATCGACAGAATCCCCCGCGTGTGGTGCTTCAGAGCGGGCAGGTGGATCTCCTGGTTCAGGGCGTAGGGGTGGTGGATCGAGGTGCCGCCTTTCGGGATGGGCCCGTCGATGGGCAGAGGGGGTTTTTGAGTCTCTGGGTTGATGGGCGTGGAGGTGAGGGAGATGTCGCCGCCTTGGATCATGAACCCGGGGATGTACCGGTGGAAAGGGGTGTTGTTGTAGGCGCCGCTGGCGCTGAGAGCGAGGAAGTTCTATTTTCCCGGGGGAGTTAGTCTCGGGGGTGGGGAGGTGGTGCATGCTGTGCATGCTGGATGTGGTGGACGTACCTCTGCGGTTTTGGGGACGGCTTCGCAGAAGAGTTCGACTTTGAGGTCGCCGTGCGTGGTGTGGAGCTGGAGTTGTTAGTGGATGCGTAGTTAATGGGTCTAGATGCGCGGGAAGCTTACTGTTACAGACATGGTGGGTGGGAGTCTGTTCAATGCAGGAAAGCTGGGATGTTGCGGAGGAAGAAGAAGACAAGGAGAAAGCGCAGCGCTGTCTATCGGAAGTGGTTATCGGCGCCGCAGCTGATCGTCAATCTTGCGGTCACATGACATCTGCAATTGTTATCCAGGGCTGCTGTTCAAGCTTTGTCTCCAGTGTTTGCACGTTAAGTCCAGGTTGGTGTTGTGAGCATTGGTTGGGCTGTCTCTGGTGAATACTTCATTGGAAATAACTACTAGACTCAGTGGTCACTTCTGTTGCACTCCCGGTCACCCTCGACATCCACGCAACTGCATAATCATAATCAGTCATGAATAACAGACCAGTCGAGCAGGCGCTGGCAACCCTCCTGCCAACCCATGCGCAAGACTTACCCCCCGACCTCCTCAGCCTGGCCATATCTCTTGTTGCGCAGTCCCGCAGCCTCTCCTCTAGTCTGAAGCCCGATGAAGAGATCGCACGGCCCTATGCATGCGCGGAAATCGCCTGTAGGAGGTAAGTCAAGACAACCTGCCACAATCCCGCAATCCACATCAGTACTAAACCACAGCAACCAGATTATCACGCACGCTCAAACTCCCGAGCCTACTAGGCCACCCCCCTTGCCCCCCGCGCACATACAAGAAACTCTACGCCTTCCTCGACCGCTCCCTCTCCGGCGGCGCACCCTCCTCTGCCCCAGGAACACCCTCACGAACCCGCACCCCGACAAAGACCTCCCACCTCACCCAGACACCGTCCAAACTGCCCCCAACAACAGGGGCAGGGGGCCTGCAAAATACACCCACCAAGTCCACACCCCTGAAGCGGACCTTCGCCGCAGACACAACACCGACCACCAAAACAACACCGCGACACAAACCACACCCACCACAACCCGCGAAAAATGACCACCACCTCACCACGACCAAAATCCCCGACGCCCCCAACTGGACAATGTCCTCCATCCGCACCGTCTGCAAAACCCTCTCCACCCCCGCCCCCCGCATGAGCACCTGGTCCCGGCCGCCGATCTCCCGCACCCTGCCCCCGCATATCTTCGCGGGGGTTTCCTCGATTCTCTTTTTCGTGGCCGAGACGACGCGGTCCGCGGGCAAGCACGGCGAGGAGCTGGACGATGAGATGCTGGAGTTCCTGGAACCGGTTCTCACATCAGCTTCAGCCGGGGGCGAGGAGGCGGAGGAAGACTTGAAGGAGCTGATTAGCGCGTTGATCGTGGCGGTGTACTTTCTCGTCCTGGCGCGGAGACGGCAGGTGGCTGATAGCGATAGCCATGGCGATGGCGACGGCCACAGGAACAAGGACGGAGGTGCGGGTGCGGCGGACGCGCAAATCATGGATAAGAAGACCTTCACGGAGATGCGACAGACCGCACTCGTCAGTCTGGGGCTCCCGGCGACGGAGCGTCGGCACCGCGAAGATGTGGACCAGTGGATCGCGTTGATCATGGAGCAGGGATGGGCGCAAGGGCGGGAGTGGTTTGAGAATATTCCGCAGGCCGGGGAGGTGGATGGGGATGAGGAGTTTTTGTCGGATTATGGTGGTGGTGCGGAGGAGGAGGATGGCCTGACGGCTGGTGGCCAGCCGAGTCGGAAGAAACAGCGGCTGCACATTGGCAAGGAGACGAGGCGCGGGTTGTTGCCCGGGTTGGGGACGATGATGCAGGATCGCGTGGACTGGCTGAGTGAGGATCGCAGGGAGGAGTTTGCCGTCTGGAGGGCGGCGATTATGAAGCGGGTGGAGCAGTTGGAAGGGAAGGCTGGGCTGGCGTAACTGCTTGGGTGAGATGATGGAGATTGGAGATGGATCACTTCTTGAAATTATGATACCCATGGTGGAATTGAAATCACTGGTAGCTAGCAATAGACATAGACCAGACCATAAGCAAAGTCTAACTTGCCTCTTGCAACAGCTATTCTATGAAACACCTATAAAATAACACCTATGGATAAGCCCCATCGCAATGCCACGATATCTATCAATGCAGGATGTATTGTTCCCCAATCCAGCAACAGCAATAGACGATGGGAAATGACGTCTAAGCAACAAACTCCAGCAGCAAACCGGACTGAACAAAGGGTATAGGGTATTGTATCAACAGAACGCAAAACAGGCCAACGTCACTCGCTCTATTCTTCTTGTTCAGTACCAGATGCTGCGGGTGCGATGGTGCGGGATGGATTCCTGCCCCTCCTTCTCCAGCTCCTTCATCGTGTCGTAGAGGAAAAAATCGATCAGGATGGCGTTGATGCCCCGTGCCGACCTCTCTTTCACATCGTCATGGTTCGGAACCGTGTCGCTGAAATAGCTTTGGTTTTGGGGTTCCTTAGGTAAGGGCTGCGTGCTAGTCTTTGACGCCGGTGCCTGGTCTGGCTCGGTTTGTCGAATGGGTTTTGTCTTGACTTCGGGGTGGCGGCGCTCAATCTCGCGTTTGATCAACTCAACGCACCAGATACTAGCGCCGCGCAGCTCAGTCTCCCAGTTCGAGCCGCTGGGAATGAGCTTCAAATCGCGAATGTGACTTTCCAGTGGGGGAGAGTACATCAGACAACCGAGCTGGTGCAGCATTTGAGGAATCCGGTAGTCTGTTAATCCAGAAGGGTTAGGCCCAAGTATGTCAGACCAAGAGCTGGGGTTTAGACGAGACGGCTTTACCTGCGAACATGGTGATGGTGTCGATGTCGTGGAATTCACCAAAACCCTCGCCGTTGAAACAGGCCCACAGGTCCGCGACCAGGATTTGGGCCCTTTTGTAGATGCGCACTCTCCGCCCGTTGAAGGTGGTCTCATCCCGGAAGCAGGCGAAACTCTCCGTCACAAGGTTGACAAGGGCTGCAGCCGAGTAGTTGGCACTGTAGATGCAGTTCAAGAAGCTGCCTTCGTATTCCTGAAAAGAAAGCAGGTTAGTCTCGCTACTCGACGAAGCCCAGCATGTGGTCACCCTACCCTGCACAGCACTCGGCCGGCCTCTCGCAAGCACTGCAGCCGTTCCTCGAGCAACGGGATCTCTTCCTCGGTGGCAGACCGGAACACATGCTTGATGACCTCCTCGGTGCATTCCTCCTCGTTGGCCCAGAACTCCGGGGTTGTGATTGGAATATCTTCGTCCAAAGCCCGTTGTAGCGCCGCCACCAAGCTCCAATATCCTGTCCACTTCTTGTCCCGATACTCAATCGCGAAGCGCTTGTCGCTCGGAAGTTCCGACCAGAAACTGAAATTGAGAAGGTCCATGGTGAAGATGAAGTCGACAGTGCGCTCGTCCTTCGCTTTGGGATGTAGCTCGTGTTCGGCCCAGGTCTGCGTGGAGTACTCTTTCTTCTGCATCATCTGCCAGATGGTCTCGGCGGCCTCTTTCGTCTTGGCGGAGTTCAAAGCCACGTCGATGGCATTGTCGAAGATGTACTGTGCGTTCTGCAGGACCTTTGTCTCAGCCGTGCGCGGGTCGGGGGACCCTCCCAGTCCTAAGGTCTTGCGCAGGAGAGCAACCAACTCGGGATCGGCTTCGTCGTCAGACATGGCGGCTGAGCTGCTGGGTCGGATATTCTGTTGAAAGTGACGAGATGGACAATTGACGCACGGGTTGAGGGTTCTTGACGTGAGTCTCAAGTCTCGCGAGTAATTGAAGGATTGAGCAGAAACAAACGAAGAGAAAGAAGATCGCTGAGCACAGAATTGGTAGGCACTTGGAGGAAGAGGTTTACTCCACGGGAGACAGGCACCAACAATCAACGGTCTGTGGTTGACCCAAAAAGTGCGGCAATCGGGAAATGACCCGGTCCAAAGAGAGTCACGAAGTAAAGAGGCCAGACCCAGTGAGTGCAAAGAACCAAAGGAACTTCTCATGCAAACTCAATGCTCGCTAGAAAAGTCTTCTTGGACACTGTGAACAGACTGCCCCTGGGAAAGAGATATTTTCTCTTGTGAGATCCCCTCCCTATCGCTTATCGGCCACTTTTGGGGGGGCGATAAGACCAGATTACATAATCACATGGTGAATTCCTTCTGTTCTGCCTCGGTCCATGCTTGGTTCTTGTCTGAAGGACAACAGAGGCTGCAAAGGACGTTCGGGATTACAGTCAGCGGAGGTAGAGACCCTAGATCCAAGCGAAACCAGTTGCCCTGGTTGATTGGCCGGTGCCTACCCTCGTATGAGACATAGTGTCACAGTGGCAGAGACAAGCATTTGTCGCATGCCACGCGCAACGACTCTCGATCTACAGAGTAGTCCGCTGCAGAGTTGTCTGCTTGGTAATGAGAGTTTTGTGATGCACGAGGATTGGCTAGAACTGCTTGCGTGGCCGAAGCTCGCAACACAGATCGCACTCGAGACATCGCTATCCACTCGGAATAATGTGAAGCGGAGACCTCAGCTGGATCATGGCTGGGCCATGGCTTCACGATGTGCATAAACTTATTGCCGCTGGTACTGTTGCCATCAGCGGCCAATAGGGCTGGCCGAGGATGTGACGTTCCAGTTTGCTTTGCTGCACCCAACGTGGTAGACGTGAGGGATCGAGGATGTTGAACGGAGGGCCTTCCATCCATGCACTGGGCAGTACTTCCGTAGATACGCCGGGCCTAGATTCGGAGATCGAATGTGAGGGCCTTACAATGCGGTCGGGGATGCATCGACTTGTTAGTATCAATCAATTCAATCAATATAAATCCTGGGAACGTCAATCAGTTAGAAAAGCAAAAGTACCAGGCAAGCAGCCTCGTGTCGGTGCGACAAACAGGGAAATGCGATCGGGCCACGGACCGCCGGCTGCTGTTGCGCGGCCTGCACGGTTCATTCGTTGTTTTCCATAGAAGGCAACGCAGGAGACGGATTGCTGGATTTGACGATATGCTCTCTCTCCCCCGTCGCCTCCTATTTGAATCTTGTCCCTTGAAGCGATGGGTGGTGAAAGCGTGAAGCTGAAAGTCAAGTGAGAGAAGAGTGCAGCAGTGGTGGGATGGAAAGTGAGGGACGGAAGAGCTGCCGTCATTACCTCACACTCTCTCTTTCACTCTCTTTCTCTCCCTCGTCAACTTTCAACCTTCAACCTTCGCTCTCTAACTTCCTACACTTCTTTCATAACCCTTCTTTGATCTTCTAGCCTCCCATTTCTCCCCTCGCTCTCTTCCCCCCTTGTCAATCGTGTTCTCACTGCGCCGAATAAACCTCCTATCGGGCGATGCTTCCCTAGCTTTCATACTAAGAGCAACACCAATCGTTTCGGTCTTCCTCCGTCCACCGCATCCGCATCCGCATCCATGGCGCGCGATACTTATCACAGACGCTCACTGGGCACTCTCGCCAGACGGATCAAAGAGGTAACGTTTTTTCCCCTCTCATAGATGTTTCTGCGGCACACTAGTGTCTGTCTTACGAATACAATTGCTAATGTTACCGGAACAATCTAGTCGCGTGTACTCCTCGTCGGCGCTGGCGGCATTGGCTGCGAGTTGCTAAAGAACCTCCTCCTCTCCAACTTTGGCGAAATCCACATCATCGACCTCGACACCATTGACCTGAGCAATCTGAATCGCCAGTTTCTTTTCCGTTTCGAACACATCAAGAAATCTAAAGCATTGGTGCGTCACTCGACACCTTCTCTGCGAGCTCCCCGCGCGGCCCGGACGTCGCCGAATCCGCCTCCCTTGTATTACATGCCTAACCACAATCTGCCGCATATAGGTCGCCAAGGAGGTCGCACAAAAGTTCCAACCGAACGCCCGGCTCGAAGCCTACCATGCAAACATCAAGGACAGTCAGTTCAGCGTGGACTGGTTTGCCACTTTCGATATCGTCTTCAATGCGCTGGATAACCTCGAAGCTCGTCGTCATGTAAATCGCATGTGTCTGGCGGCGGACGTGCCTTTGATCGAGAGTGGAACAACCGGGTTCAACGGTCAAGTGCAGGTCATCAAGAAGGTGGGTGCTGTAATTGCCTGTTAATCACCATGGTGCTAATAGCGGGTAGGGTTTGACTGAATGCTACGACTGCACATCCAAAGAGATTCCGAAGTCGTTCCCTGTGTGTACTATCCGCAGCACCCCGAGCCAACCGATCCACTGCATTGTCTGGGCGAAGAGCTACCTTTTCCCGTGAGTCGCTGACTACACTACCAAGGACCTAGTGTTAAGCAGGGACTGACATCTTCAAGTGAGCTTTTTGGTATTAGTGATGAGGACTCCGGCGAATTCGATCATTCAGAAGATGCTGAGAATTGTGAGTTCTGACCGATTGGCCTCCGAGCTGCTCTAACATGTAGCAGCTGCGGAAATCGAAAACCTTCGCAAGGAAGCACAAGCTCTCAAGGAAATTCGCCAGTCGATGGGATCGGACGTATTCGCCAAAAAGGTCTTCGATAAGGTTTTCACTGAGGATATTGAGCGTCTGCGTGGAATGGAGGATATGTGGAAAACTCGTACCCCTCCAGAGCCTCTGAACTTTGAGAAGTTGAATGAGGAGTCGACCGAGGTTCCGACTACGATATCATGCAACGACCAGAAGGTCTGGTCTACCGGTGAGGATTTTGTGGTATTCAAGGACAGCCTGGATCGACTAAGCAAGCGCCTCAAACCGTTGCAAGAGGCCGCGAATGATGACACCAAGCCGATTCTTGTGTTTGACAAGGACGACGTTGATACGCTGGACTTTGTCACAGCTACGGCGAATCTTCGTGCAACAATCTTCAAAATCGATCCCAAGTCAAAATTCGATACCAAGCAGATGGCTGGTAACATTATCCCTGCCATCGCCACAACAAATGCCATGACTGCTAGTTTGTGTGTGCTTCAAGCCTTTAAGGTGATGAAAGGAGAGTACGACCAGGCCAAGATGGTCTTCCTCGAGCGGTCGGGCGCGCGCGCGATCAACTCTGATGCTCTGCAACCTCCCAATCCGAATTGCCCGGTTTGCTCCTCCGCGATTGCCCGGCTCAAAATCGACCCCAAGCGTGCGACAGTCAACGACCTCGTGGAGCAGATTCTTAAAATGAAGCTTGGATACGGCGAGGAGTTTTCACTCACCACAGAATCGGGTATTATCTACGACCCAGACTTGGAAGACAACCTGCCGAAGAAACTGTTGGACCTGGGCGTGAAAAATGCGAGCTTCATCACCGTTATCGACGATGAAGATGAGCCCCGCGTCAACCTCGAGCTTTGTGTGGTTGCTTCTGAAGATCACGGCGCCGCTGGACAAGACCCTATCACTATCGAGTCCGTTCCCGATCTTCCGCGTAAACCCAAAACACCAACTCCAGCGGCCTCCGAGCAGGTCAACGGCACATCAGAGCCGGCAGCCGCAAAGCTGAAGCGCAGCGCAGACGAGGCCGGATTGAGCAACGGAGACGACCGCGTCAAGCGGGTTGCGGGAGTGTCTGAGGCAAATGGCGTCGGGTCTAATCCTATTGTTCTGGATGAGAGTACAGGCGGTGCAATTCTGATTGATGATTGATGATACCTAGGCTGACTGTTTATCCCGTTGCACCGTGTGTTTCCCCAAATCTAGACTCCTGGCGCTCACTCGCATCTCGTGTTTCTTGAGGCATGTACCATTATTCCCACCCCAATCTATGGATTATACCTTCCGTAATCATAGACAGGGGAACTATGACCTGGAGTAGATACTAGGCCAAATATCCGACGCTACGGAGACAAGATAATCTAATACCATGACCTGCCTGATAATCTTACAGATAACCACCGTCCAGACCACGAAACAGCCGTCTACCCATTCATCCACCCAAACAGGGATTTAAACCGCACTCAACCCCCCGTCCAAATTCAACACGCAATTATTAGCATACTCATTTTCCGCCAGGAACACCGCCGCATCCGCCACTTCCTGCGGCAACCCGAACCGCCCAAGCGGAATACTCTGCTTGAGCCGGGTTGTCTCTCCTTCGGTGAAGTCTATAGCAGTGACCATTAGCCTCGTTGCATCGAGTCAAGCCCGAATCCTTAGCATGCAGCTCAGCGCACCCCACCATCTCTCATTTTCCCCCAGAAAAGAAAGAAAAAAGAACTTATACTCACCAGAAATCATCGGCGTCTCCACATACCCCGGCACAATCACATTCGCCCGCACTGGCACCGCCCCCGGCATCGACGCCACTGTTCCCGCCGCCTCGACGGCAACAGACCTCGTCAACCCCAGGATCCCGGCCTTGGAGGCCGCGTATGTCACAGCTCCCGTGCCGCCCTTGTGGGCGAGGAGGGAAGCGATGTTGATGATGCATTTGGAGGGTTGGGGTGCGTTGTTTCCTGCTGCGCTTGCCGCTGAGCCACCTGATACCCCCGAACCACCTGCTCCTGCATCTGCAGCTGCATCTGCTTCTGATTGCGTAGGAGTGTCAGTAGAACCCCGCCTCACCCGCACGCGGTTCCGCATCGCAGCCCGCAGAAAGGCCCTTGTCGTGAGGATCGCGCCTTGCAGGTTCGTGTCGAGGATTTGGGCGATGGTGCTCGGGGAGGACTTGGCGAGGAGAGAGGAGATGGAGAGGCCGGCCGCGTTTATGAGGATTGTGGGGTTGGTGGTTTGCTTGTATTTTGGTAATGGGTTAGTTTTGGGGGGAGGGTTGGGGTGGTGCTTGGGAGGATTTGAGAAGCATAGGCATATGGGAAGGAGGGAAAAAAAGGATGAACTAGAACTCACCATCACTTTCTCCAACTCGCGCGTCCAAGTACCTGCTGAGGCGATGTCACCAATTAACAGGCTGATGGTTGGGGAGTAGGGGAGGAGTTCGTGGTGCGGGGGTGAGGGGTCTGCGTCGGTTGCCTTGTAAGTGCTGGAGCTGCTGCTGGAACTGGCGCCCTCAAGTCTAGACGCTGCGTCAATCAAGCGCGAGTGGGATCGTCCGACCAGGATTAACTGGGAGACGCCTTCTTGGAGGAAGCGGTCGGCGATGGCGTAGCCGATGCCGGAAGAGGCGCCTGTGATGATGCATGAGCGGCCTTTGAGGCGGTTGGAGGGGGTGAATTGGGGGGTTTCAGTGCTGGAGGTGGAGGTGGAATATGCTCTTGGAGCATGGGTCAAGCTGGAGAGGAGGGTTGATGAAGGGGTGCTTCGGCGAGGTGCTGCGCACATGCGCACTGAGTAGTTTGGTCGCATTATTGCCAAAGTCCAGGACAGTAATCTGGTTTCGGTGATGGTCTAGTCTAATGCGAAGATATGGTATGGTATGGATCTAGATCCTAGTTAGCATGAGATTGTTCTATGGACCAGGTGCAGCAATCGGAACTCACGACGTCCCAAATAACGAGGGATAAGATACGCAGCAGATCTTCTGCGTATCAGTAAGCTATCCAAACAAAGCAAAGACCGAACTATGACCTATTCCTGGCGCGATGAAAGCGCAAAGAGTCACTAACTACGGAAGTATTCATCTCGGAATCCCGCCGATAGCCAGGAAAGCCAAGCAAGCACGGACCCCCACCGCCGCCAATTCCGCGGAGACTTTCACGGCGCGCCCCGGTCGAGGCACGGCACCAAAGCACCAAAAGCACCAAAAGCACCAAAGCACCCTCAATGCATCAGCCATCTATATAACCATCTCGACATCACCCAAACAACTCGAGTCCTTAGCCCCAGTCCCATACGAAAATCCGCACCCCCCTCAGTGTTACGCACCACAGAAAGAACAGCATGACCACCCCTCACGAATACGTCACCCTCGTCTCTGGCGACGGCTTCGAATTCGTCCTCCCGCGCTCAACCGCTTGCATCTCCAAGACGCTCTCCATGATGCTCGATCCCAACAGTGAGTACTCTACTCGTCGTCGCGCGCCTCCCTTACCTGCCGCGTGCGCTGCGTCTAGCGGTTCTGGTTCTGTGACTAACATCAAGAGGGGGCAGCAGGGTGGTGATGGAGGTGACGCCGGCGTCAGCGCTGGCCTGCCACTTCCGCCTCCTGCTTCTTCTTCTTCGGCAACTGTAGGCAAGTTCTCCGAAGCGTTGACCGGCCGCTGCGTGCTCGAGAATATCCCTGGCGTTGTGCTCGAGAAGGTCTGCGAGTATCTGTGCTACAACGAGAAGAATAAGAACCAGACCAATGTTCCCGACATGGAGATTCCGCCGGAGTTGTGTTTGGAGTTGTTGATGGCGGCGGATTATCTGGATGTTTGAGTCGCCTGGCTCCTGTTTCCCTTGTGGTGAGAAGCAGGTGAAATATGGTAGGTGGTGATGGTGGTGGTGGGGGGGTGGGAAGCCAAGTTGTCCGATTTGTGCTGGAATTTGCTTGCTGACGTGCTTGTGGCTACAGGTTTTTTTACCCTCCTCTATTGACGAATTTATGTGATAACGATACTGTGAACTACTTTTCCTTTCTCTGTTTGATTTGTGTACATGACATGGAGTTGCGGATTATGTCCATGCTTTTTGGCTGGGTCTGAGATATAGGCTATACAATAGAGTGGCGGCGTTGCTTGCAGGGCCTGTGTTGATATTACTGATATACCAAGCAATTTCTACAGTGGCGCATTCCCTCTCAGCCTGCCTCCGCCACCCTCCGGTCAGCACCGGAAGCCATCTGAGCATCTGCATCCGCTCTGTCAATAATAGACGGATGCCCTAAAGATGATGGCAGATTCACCTATATCCCCTGTTGCAGCCCCCATCCATCCATCTCTGGATCTTGGGGTCCGACGTGGAGAATTCCTCCCAACGGGGAGACATACATGCTCGCACCCAAGCATTGCAGGTAGCAGTAAACTTCTGTAAAGGCGATGGCTGACACAGATTCAACGCCCCTTCGGCTTCGGACGGTGTTGAATTTTATTCCCCAACGCCTTCTGTTTGTAAAGTTTCTCCTTGCCAAAGGCTGCCTCCGAGATCCGCAGGTAGCTCACAACGCCTTCGTCCACAACTGCCAGGATCACGTTCCGGTATCCGTGGCGCAGGCGCATGTACATCTGCCGGCTCATCTTCTCGCTCGAGGGCGGGTCCAAGGGGGTGCTTTCGAGCAGCGCCCCCAGCTGCGACATGGTGGGAACGGAGGTGTGCGCGCGGGCGTTCACCACGGCGATGCGGAAATCCGGGGCTGGAGGCGCAGACTTCTTGAACGGGGTCGAGGGTTTGTAGACGTGGAATACAACGCGGTAGGGCGCTTGCGCACGAGACCTCTCTGCTTTGGGAGTCGCAGTCGGGTCGTACCAGGGGATAATCGACAGTTTGCTATAGATGTCATCTAGCCACCACCATGTCAGCAAGATTGTGCGGGCCTAGCAGATCTCCACCGGAGAAAAACCACCTACCATAACTGCGGTGAAACCCAACTCCCGCAACAGGCCCCAACGCCGTATTCGTACTCGGGGGACAAAGCCAGTTAATGAACCTCGAGTAAATACCAACCAACCCAGCACCACCGCCCTGCTGTCTGGCATTCTCATTGCATGTCGACTCGTCATCGCCAGTCGTATCCTCCGCATCATCATCCCACCCCGGAGCCCTTGTGATCGTATACCCCAACCGGCGCAGACCCGTGTACACCGAGAACCGCTCACTATTCAGCCCGCCTCGAGATGCAAACGCCGCATACGCAGCCTGCAAACTCATCGGGATTCCCGAGTCTTCAACCCCATTCCCATCCATCTCCTCCTCGTCAAAACCGACCTCCGACCGCGGCCACCGGATATTCAAACTCCCTCGCTCCAGCATAAACAACGCCTCTTCCGGAAGCAGCCAGATGCGATTCCATCGGTCCGCCTGCCCGATCGTTTTGAAGAGATTGGACTTGGGGTTCGCGACGTAAACGCAGGCGTCGGGGTGGACGTTGCCTATCGTCGTGATTGTCGTGGGTGATGGTTCCGCAGGCGCAGGCCCTGACCCCTCCGCAATCGACTCTAGCCCCCCCACTGATGTAGTAGTTCGTTGCGGGGGAGGAGCCGGCCCGTCAGGCGCATACACCCCCACGATCTGGTTCTTGGGGTGGTGGATGCGCGGGTGCGAGAGGGCGTGGTGCATCGCCTGTCGCGAGGCGGAGAGGATATCGGCCTGGTATAAGGTCGGGTTCGGTTCGAAGTCCTTCTCGCCGCGTTTGGGGATGCTTGCTTGGGAGCCATCTGTTAGGCTGGCGTTGGGTTAGTGGGGTACCTCCCAGAGAAGTAGAGTGGCAGAACAAGAGATAGCGGTGCGGTGAAGCTCACAAGGATATGTTGCTTAGCATGCGGAAGTCCTGTGTCTCGTCGGAGAGGTCGATTTCGATGTGCGCCGACGCATCCTGCGAGGGCAGGTGGATGGCTGCTTCGTCGGCGTCAGCCATTATGAGTGGACTATCCGTTTGCGCGGGTGCATGCGCTGGGGATCTGTTGGGAGGGTGGTATGAGTAGCTTAGAGCTGGACCTCGAGATGGAGCTACTGGGGGGGTTTTTTTTGAGTCGGGGAAGGATATGCAGGTGGGCGGAAGCCGGCGATTGATACAGACGGATAAGGCGCCTGGTCGATAAGAAATTCTGCCGCGCGGGGCTTGCGCTGGCTTCAAGCATGCATCCACAAATCAAGTCCAGCAGTGTTGAAATCACTGAACAAAGAGCACTGGGCTGACAGCTCATGGCTTGAAGGATATAAGCACCGTCCAGCTGCTATCAAGACTACAGCAGCTCGCCAACTCGCTATTTCGCGACCCAACGCTGATCAAACCCGAACATCGCGACAAAGCAAAGCCAGAACCATGGAAGAGCCGACTGATTACAATGAACTCATAGCACAGGTAGGACCAGATTCAAATCTTTAACCCTCTGTATGGCTGCGCATTGACACCCCCATGTTAGATATCTGTAAATCTCAGAAACGCGCTCAACACATTCGGTGCCTCGTCTCCCCAGTTTCAGAATGTCCTGATTATCCTCAAAGACTGTCTGCGCGAGATGGATGAGAAAGCGCGGAACTCGAACTCCGTGGATCCTGATATGCTGGACGTCGCAATGAGCTTTTTGTCGCTCGAATAATCAACCACTCATTTTCAGAAAAATGCTAGCATCTACATCCGTTGGAGCGGTATATCCCTGATCCAACAATCGCCTGCTTCATGTTGCACTGATAGCATGCATCCTGTTTCTAGACCTTAGCGAGCCTCTTCAGATACATCTTACATATTATATTGAGCTTACACCACTAGATGAGACTGTATGAGCGGAACGCGAAAAAGAAACAGGGCCAGGCGAATTCCTCTCTACCATCGACCCCTGGCAAGCGAAGCAAAGTCACCCTGAACACCTGGTTTTGTCCTGGCCAACCGCCAATGAATCCACACATAGCGACCATGAAATTTATGCAACAAAAACTCCGTCGCCCATGCATTCGTAATACGTGTCCATGCTTCGTGCAGAAACTGCAGGCATGCTGAATCGACAATCGAAGAGAAAGAAGAATTGGAAGGAAAGTTCTTGAGGATCCTGGCCACCTCTGTGGCACGAGTGATCTTCTGACCGGTACTGAATCGGGAGAGACATCGACAGCGGTCGATCCTTTGAGATAAGCCCGAGGGGCCCTTAGTCAATTAAAGGCTTGTGCTTGCCTCCAACTATAGCCACCCCAAGATGGCGGAGAGCGTTCGGATCGTTCGGCCGTACGATGGAGGGCAGAGGCAGCATGGGGTTATCCGGGTTCACATGAACTGCGTCCCGGGCGGCCTGCTCTATAGCCTCCATCTCCTCCTTGCATCCTGCATGGTCTAGCGGGCAAACAACTATCGGCTGTCGAATGGTGATGTCTCTTGCAGATGCCAAGTGGGCCTGTAAAGTCTCGTCAGCGTCCCCAGTCCCACATCAGACAATTCCCAGGTTGACTATACCTTGACTGTCAGATAGTACTCGATCTTGTACAGACTTCCCGTGGTGGTGAACCCGCTGACTGCATATGTGGGAAAGCCCGGCTTGCTCCTAGGGAGTATTCCTTCAGAATCCCGCATATCTTTGGCCGGGAAGACCAAGCCAAGATTCGTCAAAAAGCCCGACGGTGGTAGTTTGACACCAATCGGTTCTGTTCTTTTGGTCAAAGTCTTGACCTTGCGCTGCGGCTCATCGCCCTCGTGGTTGTATATAATCTCCTCATCGATACCAATGGTAATCTTATTTATAGTGACTTTCCGTGCCTTACTAATCCAGTCCGGGTTCGGTGACAGTTTGACGTAGACGCTCACTGGATCCAGAGGCCCGTAAGACCACCGAGGCAAGGATATACCTAATGTAACCAGATGATCCGACACTCTCTCGGCCGACTCGGGGCGATTGTACATGCCAAACGTGGATAGAGTATCGTACCGTTGTATTGGGACGGGAAACGTGTATTTGCGCTGTTCCGAGGGCCCTTGTTGAACGGCCACCACAATCTCATAGTATGTCTCTGCCGTGCGACTAGGAAGTTGCAGGCTGGCGGGAGGGACGCGCCTCGAAGCATCTGCTCCGCCCCGCCCGAACGGAATGAAGAGAACAAAAGGCAGGTCCATCGAGATGACCTCCTCGGACTCTCGACCGGCAGGGCAGCGGAAAAGCAGCATCTCCTTGCCCACGATATCCGTGATCTCCTTCCTAGGTGGCGCAAGGTGCTTCTTGGTCACGGAATCCGCCGAGGGATGTATTGTCTCGCGACGATGAAGGGATATTGTAACGAGGGATACACTGACAGGGAGGGAAATGCCAGTGCTGGGCCTGATCTCGACTTTACCTTCAATACGTGGCTTGTACCGGTCAGCGATCAATTTGAGACCCAAAAACAGCGAGGGTCTGGCTCACCATTGTGGCAGAAATGCCAGGATATCCGATCAAGAAATTGCCATTTGGCGGGCCCGACACTCGCACGAAGGCGGGCTTGCTCATAGCGATGCACCCGCACCACCATGGGCACGCGGCGGTCGGGAGGAATGCGCTCGGGGGTTGCTGCGTTGGGTGGGCGACCTCGAAGTCTCAAAATAAATTGATCCCCGCATAGAGATCAAATCCAGCGACCGTCCCTGGTAGATCGCGCTGCGCCGGAAGAGTCCTTGAAGGGCGCAGATGGGGGGTGTTCCGTCCTTCGTTGCTATGCAGGACTAGCTCGGGTTGGAGTGCGGATCAAGGCAGGCTGGACAAGGGCGGGTACACTGCTGCTTGCGAGCTTGAACTGGGATTGTTGCTAATCTCCGGCGTAAAGGCGCACAGATCTAAGACTGTTAAGAAACTGAACCCGGGAAATAAGGTGAGGCGGCTATGGGAGGAAAGGGGTGAAACGATAATGCCAAAGAAGCGAGAGTTGTTGTACAAGCGCCGATGTGGGGAGGGGAGAAGGTGATGATGATGATGATGAATTGGGGGGGGAAAAGTGGTTGGTTTCAGTTGCAGCGGCGGCTAACAAGAACTAACTAGCCAAATTCCATCCAGTGTCCACCTTTAAGTTGCTCGAGGCACTTTCTGCCGTCATCGATCCGCAGCGGGAATACGAGCAAGCAATTTATTTACATGCAGTCGCATTCCACGCAGTACACTGTATACTTAAGTTGCTTATGAGGTTCCGCTCTCCAGAACTTAATCGATGGTGATATCGCACCTGACACCCAAGTTTGTTTTAGCAGTTTGGCCACTGGCATTGTTCTTCAAACAAGGCGCCGACTCCAACAAGAGCTGTACCTGAACCAAGTATACTGGGTTCTTCGTATCAGCCTCCTCGTGGCTGACATAGGTTCGCTACAATAGGTTTTGAGTTACTTCTTCTCAGCCGAACAAAAAGATTCCATGTTACTCGCAATTGCATGGCCTAAGGCGGCAGCATTCGAGATACTCCAGCCTACTCACAATACATGGCTCACGTTCATACCTCAGCTGAAGCTGACTCCCAGCCGGTAACTCGTAGTTCCTTATTGTTAGACATGATGAAGCATTGCAGAGAAGATAATCCTGGAATTCGGCTCCACAAGCCTGTCTCAGACTGACAGCTCTGTCAGGATGTTTAGAGTCAGCAACCCTGTCAACCTCAAATCCTTCATGCGTCTCCTCAAGTACATTCACGTTACGATACGGGTACTCCGTACTCCGCAGGCGACGGGCAAAGGGTGGTCGTTCCAGGATCACATGTGCCAGAAATGTACGGCCAGTCCGAATCAATATCCCTCTCGAAGGTGTGTACCGGGCCATCGGTTCCCGCTAGTGATGCATTTTGGCTCTTATCGCACAACCTGCGCAGTGACGGGAGGCTCGTTGACAGAGAGATACTCGTATTCAACTTCACCAAAACTGACGCAACGTATAAACTTGTTGTTTCGCTGGAGGGCTTCTGGAGTCAAGCTTAGAACCAAGCTTTGCGCTGTGTCTGTTCGTGGCTCCCATCAGTGGCGGTCGATCCTGCTCAGTAGGGCTGCCCTTTTTAGAACTCCTTTTAGCATAGGACGAAGTCATTTCGCAGCTTGTTCGATCACTCTTGAAATTGAGATGCTCATCGGTCTCGTATCGCGAGGCGGCTGGTGGGACCAAATGTTTCAATATGATTTCTCGTCAAAGATATGGAGTCTGAAGGGCACTTCGATGGACCCAGTCCCCTGATAAATGCACAGTATCATTCGAAGACCTTGAAGAGGTGTTCATCTGAAGAACCTTGTCATGATGTCAATAGTTACCTTACTCACCACCAGGTTGCAGGTCGAACAATGAAAGCTTGATCCCCCAGCGTGTCTCTGATAAGCTGCCTGTCGAAGAAACTGTTATCATTTTGATCAAATAGGCGAACAGCACTCGGTAGTTGACAGTTAAGAGTCTAGTAGAGACCTCGCTCATGCAGGAAGTGAATGTCGCTGCTTGCGGGCGGCGCTGTACCAATATAACCCTTTTGGGCGGATCCCGCGGTTGCCATGTGCGACAAGCACAATGACATCGTCTCCCCCACAGACCCTTCCTGCAGGCCTTTCGCTGGTCGAACGCTTATCACCAGCCTCGATCTTAGTGCCTTAGCTTACAGTTCCTCGCAACTCAGTTAACTAGTTATTGACCCTCACCTTCCACCAGCAGATTCTTATCGTCAAGCTCAAATCTCAACATGCCTCCTGCTCGTCGTCGAGGAGGCAACACTGCCGCCAGCCGCTCCGGCCAGTCCACCTTGTCTTTTGGCTCCAAATCAAGAGTTACCAAGCCATCTGCGGCTCCCGCGACCCGGTCTCAGAAAGCAAAGGATCTCGAACCGGTCGTCACTTCTCTTCCCGAGAAACAGTCCATTCACAGTGCCTCAGAACCAGAGGAGTCGCGAGAAAGCTCCACGCAACCCGAGCAGCCTCATGTGGCAGAGCTTGCCGTGAGACAACAAGCTCAGGCGGAGATCGAGCAGCCGGTATCAGAGGAAGATAAAAGGGCCAGCAAGATCACCGAACGGGAGTTAACGAATTACTGGAAGCAAGAAGAAGCGAAAATGCGGGGGCCTCGAGGTAGGAATTCAGGATCAAGGGTGGTTGATTTAAGAGCTGATCAAACCGTCTATTGGAACAGTACACCAGGACGACCTTACAACGCATGAGAAGATCCTGCGGCACTTCGACCTTTCTAGTCAATACGGGGTACGTTGGCTCCCCCGCGCGCCTGCTGGGCTGTTCGCGTACCTATCTCGTCACGATTGGCGACTAACCACTTCGTGTAGCCTTGCATTGGGATCGCCCGGCTCAGACGCTGGAGGCGGGCTAACATGCTCAATCTCAACCCACCGATTGAGGTTCTTGCTGTGCTTTTGAAAGATAGCGGTGACGCCAAGCAAAGAGCCTATATCGACGTGTTACTGTCGTGATTGACAAGTACTTGTACATGATATGTTGGTTACAACGAGAATTTGGAGTATGGTTTGGTATTTAGGACGGCGTTTCGGCATGCCACGCATACCCTTCTGTTCATTATGGTGGAATGATTATATATGCGTGAATCAAATTTCCGTTTTACAGTGACACCTCGGCCTTGAAGAGTGGTTGGAACCGTTTGTGAATGGCCCTAGCCCCTAACGCCATGCTATGGTGCCATGGTAATTCACACTTTCCGAGCATTTCCTGTCAAACAGCTTGTGCCTTAGGATCCTTCTAGTTTCTCTTGCCATCTCCTGTCCAATGAACCTGCTCGGTGTCGACAGCCGCGTAAGATGGTCACACAGTAGGCAGGACCTGTCATACCCACCCATCCTTTTTGAATGATCCGTTCGTTGCACGTCATGAGAGTTAAGCCTGTATCAGTGACCCGATGGCTGACACTATTCAGGCGGTTGGGTATGTCTCACATACTGGCTACTAGGTGCTACTCCACGACGAACGCTTCTTCGTCTGTCATGTTGCAGAGCCGTTGACATTGTCATGGAGACGTTGACTACTCGCGTCTGTAGTCCACACCACAAGTAGATACAAGTAGCACGACTGATCAATACGCAACGAACCTCTCAGGGCTACTGTGAGGCTTAAGCTCAACAGCAATCCTACCACGTTAAGACTATCCATAGCAACCTTAAGATCGACACAGTTACCACGTCTCCCTGGCTGAATGCGACGGTTACACGTCACTCCTGACAAGCATATATGGTATGGACGCATCCTGCTCATGCTTTACAGGAACGTAGGGCCGCCTGAACCAATGAGCCCAGCTTGGGGGAGACTGGTTACGCACAGCTAGAGATTGCGTTTGCCAGGAGGCATTTCTCCTCGCCAATTACCCTCTCGTGCATCACATCGGAACGTATGTCCGCAAGTTTCAGGGGAATGCGATGCACTCTAATAGGCTCAAAATCGTGTCCACACCACCTGGTGTACTTTGGGTGAGCACCATTGTGTGTATTTATAGAAATTTCAGACCACCATGTGATGTGCTTTCCAAGGCTCTGTGTGAGGTGAGCTCATTAGCTTATAAGAGGGAGCAGTTGTCCCGAGGAGATTTCGCCTCCGTCTCGTTGTATATCTTCAGCAACCATCACTCGTTTGGCTTCTCTTTTGCACACTCCTTTGAACTTCAGTCTCTGCAGCTGCTGCCTCCCGGGTCTATCGTTTTCCACACAGACAACAAATTGCTCGCCATGATGTATTACCACCGTGCACTGATTCTCTTGCTTACCAGCAGTCTTGCCAGTGCACAGCTTCCTCCTAACATTCCACAGTGCTCTGTACGTGGTCGAGTACACTACACAAATACTCAGACAAAAAGGAGCCAGGACTAACGAAATCAGTTGAACTGCTTCATCACCGCGTTCCAGAGCGACGGATGCTCGAACCTTCTAGACTTCGCCTGTCATTGCGCGAAGCCAGAGGTAGTGCAGAAAGTGACTCCGTGTGTGCAAAAGGCGTGCAGTGCTGCTGATCAGAGCGGTATGCCCTCTTTACTTTGTCTCTTTCTCTTGCTCTTCCAATTCTTTTGCCTGGCTAGCCACACCCACAACGGTCGACCCTTGACTGATCAGCAACCAACCTTTCCAGTCGTGCGCAGCGTGGTCATTCAACAATGTTCCGCAGCCGGCCACCCCATAACGCTACCCCCGGCCGCTGGCGTCGACACCTCCACCACCCAGCCGCAGCCCACTGTCCCCAGCACAAGCAGCACCACCCAGCCTGAACCTCAACCCACCAGCACCGCCGCCATGAGCCTCCCCACCATCTCGTCAGCCGGCACGCCCTCTACACCCCAGTCGACGCCTGGACCTGCAGCCTCTTCGACCGCATCCCGGGCCGCCTCCTCGTCCCTCATCCAAGGTTCGAGTACTCCGGGGGCATCGTCCTCATCCCACGCCGCCTCCCCTAGCACCCCGCTCGCCACCGGCGTTGGCTCTCACGCTGAAGCAAACGTGCTAGGCGCTGCTCTTGCGGCTGCTGCGGCTGTTCTCCTGTGAAGTGGTGTGGTTAGGTGCCGGTGTGGTGCCCGGGATGGCATACAAACCAATGAACCACACGGGTAGAATGGGTACGGCACGACGACCATAACCAAGAAACAGGGGATCATGTCGGTAAAATGACTATCCAGCTGAGTGCGTAGTTTTACGCGTGCTGCTTTTGTTGCTTCGTTTCTCCCTGCTTCGGCAGTTTGATCTTCTTTATTTACCTGTTCTTTTTAAAAAATCCAGCCTGATGGGAATTTGAGTTTGCGGGTTCTTTTGCACATTCGTAAATTGTATCTGGCTCTTGGCCAGTGTAATTCATTCCCTGTGAGCTTGTAGCTACATGAGAGTATTCTTTTTTTTTTTTTTTTTTTTTTTTTGCTTTCGAGATGATCGAGATAACGAGGAAATGACCCGACAGATGAAATGATCTGAAATCAGAGTAAGACAGCAGACATGCTTTTCACCAAGTGAGGCTGATATGAACAAAGCATTTCGCCAAATGAGGCCAGACTGAGAGACGCAAGAAGCACCAGAGACAGGTAAGGTAGATAGTCCAAGGGCATGCATGCACCACCCAAACGACGTCTAGTGTAGTGTAGTGTAGTGTAGTGTATGGAACCAGCGAAGCATAGACCAACGCCCAAGGAACAAATCCACCGGAGAAGGACTGAACCAAACAGCACCTCACTCAGTCACTTACACCTCACCTCACCACCACCAACACAGGTGAACTGCAACGCAACTGCATCTACACCCCACGAGAAGCAACAGCAGCAGAAGCAGCAGCAGAAGGACGAGACAGCCCCTGCCAAGGCAGCTTGACCTTCTCCCCCCTGTCCGCCGCATACGCCTCTTCATCCTCTTCCTCATCCGACCAGTCACTGAACTCCGCCCGATCGGTCGAGTTATCCGACTGATCAGCCTCGTAGGCCCGGTCAGCGGCGTCTTCTGTGATCGCCGGCTGAAGTGGGGCTGACAGGCTCGGGTGCGCCGCCACCATATCGATGTAGGGGGCGCGCCGGGCCAGCGGACGCGGGTTGTCGGGCCGGGCGTACGCGCTGTAGAAGCTGCGGATCTGAGGCGGGTTGTCGAAGGTGAAGTCGGAGCTTGGGGCTTCGCTCTTGCTCTCGCTCTCGCTCTCGCTGCTGGAGGAGTCGTAGGGTTTGATGGCTGCGCGGCGCACTTTGGATTTGCTGGGGTTGTGCTTGCGCTTGCGAGGGGAGGAGGCGGAGGCAGCGGCAGGGGTGGAGGTGGAAGGGGCGGGAGCGGCAGCGGGAATGGGAGTTGGGCCCGGGTGCACGCCAGTGAAGCCGGGGCGGACTTCGGGGCGGCCGAGGTGGGTGTAGGTTGGGCGGTTGCGGAAGGGGGTGCGGGAAATGATGCGGGTGTTGTCTTTGTTGCTGTTAGTTTGTGTTGATCTGAGAACGAGGGGTCGAGGTTCTCTGGAAAGGAAAGGGGAGGGTTGTGATGGATGTGGGATGTGCTTCATTCAACACAACTCCCAAGAGAATGACTTACGACCATGAATCCGAGCCTCAGAGTCGCTGGAGCTATTGCTGTGGACATTCTCCGAGATATCGCCAGACACAGACTCGTCCACAGACATAAAGGAGGGCTGGCCGTCAAAGGGGCTGCCGCTCTCGCTCGGGGACTCCGTCTCCTCCAGGGTCATCTCCTCGTCCGTTCTGTCAATGATAGTGTCCCACAGACGCATTCTCTGGGGGCGGCGGACAACTTGCGGGTTGAGAGTCTGCGGCTCCTCCTCGTCAAACAGCTCAGACGAAGACGAATAGGCCGACATCATCGTGTCCACGTCGGAGGCGTAGCCGTCGGTCTCGTAGGCAGAGTAGAGGGAGTTGGTGGGAGACGGAGTGTATGGACGCCCAAAGAGAAATGAATATAAGCACATCGTGACGTCTTGTCGCACGACCGTATCGTGTAGTGGTGATATGGCGTATAAATCGAAACAGATTTCACATACCAAATCACTCGCAGACGCCTGTCTGTTCAGACCGTGTTACTGATGAGCGCTGCACTCTCTTATATTGGCTTGTGCAATGGCGATACCTCAGTATTTAGGGAGAGAGTCCCTTTCGGTAGTTGAATCAGAGACAGTATTGTTTTAGTTAGCACGTCAGACGCACGAGTGCAATCCTAGAAGCTAGGCAGGTGGTAGTGAATGAGAGGATCAGGTAGAACGGGAGAGGGAGGGAAACGACCGAGTATACTGCCGTGAGTATATGAACACCATCTTGTGTTGTTGAAGGCGGTGAATTCCAGATTCGAAGTCTTTCATCAATCCAATGAGATTCACATAAGTAGCGCATTCGTTGTTCGTCGATGTGATGTGCACCCTGTTGCCTGTAGACCCTACCCTGGATAGAGCCCCTGGAAAAGCATCCTTCAACCACCTTACTATGCCGATTCAACATATTGCAAACAATACACACAAAATAGCTAGATGTATCAATGTTATATTCGTATTCTAGCACGTATAGTTGAGCACAAGACAGATACTGCTCGACGCGATTGCACCATTGATTCTGGTACATAGAACACGAAATGACTGGAACCATGCGCCGTGATAAAGGTAACCTAGAGCGGAAATAGTTACAGAGAAGGCTCAGAATTAGAGAGCTCATTGGCACGTGTTCAAAGGAAATTACTGAAGACATAGATGGAGAGACAAACCTGACCGACCACCCTATGGAACCCATAATCGAACAAAACCCCCGACTTCCCGACGACAAGTCACGCAGCTTCCAAAGTTGTTCATCGCCAGACTCACACGACAATCCTCGCAAATGCACAAGCACCGGCAAGGCCATGTTATAATTGACCGTGGGCTGGTCTGGCAGATAACACAGGGCGGCCCGCTGGGACCAAGGCCGGATGCTCCCGACTCCCACGTCTGCTCGCTGGATCTGGTCTTGTTCAGTGTTTCGGATCTCTGAGAAAGAATGAGCTTCTCTAGAATCTCGGTCTCCTCTTCTGGTGTTGGCTTTCGCTTCTCGTCGCCGAGGCCCTGCTGCCCTAGCTGCGAGAAACGTGAGGTAAGCAGAACTCGAGCCCTGTCGCGCTCAACCTGTTTCTGGTATTGACGACGAGTCATAATCCGACCTTCACGACCTGCAGCAAGGTGAGCGGCAAGTATACGAGCCTCCTGTCTGCTTTCCTGATCGCGAGGGTCTAGTAGACGGGCAAAGGCGCCAAGGTCGACCAGTGATTCCTGCACCGGAGTGTCTTCGCGAGACGAACGGCCTGGATAAGGATCTTCTTGAGTAGGAGTCCGGCGGCCATCGGATTCGCAATCGTCCCATTCGGATTCGCTGGTCGTTGCCATCGACACGACGCTTGTCGTATCATCCCAATCCTCAACAGAAGGCGCATAATCGGGGCTCTGATCTTGATTGCCCCAGGCACCTCCAGATCTCCACCAGTCATAAAGCTTATCGTCAAGCCGTCGTTCGTCCGACTCCCCCCAAGGGGCAGCATCAATGCGCTCTCGCCTACGCATCTCGTTTTCAACATCGAAATCGGCATTGGCAGGTACCTTGAGCACGCCATCCTCCGAGAGGACCCAGAAGTCTAATTTCTCGAGATTGTTCTTCCCTCCTCGTTGTTTCTTTTTCTGCTGAGCCCTGACCAGAGATTTCAGCCACTGCGGCCGCCTGCTGATGCCGAGTTTGCTCAGAATTTTGTCAAATCCATAAGCAGTCCATCTGAGTAGGAAATAGAAAATGGCTCGAAAGAAAGCGAACGATTGATAGCACCGCACAACACCCCGGAACGCGCCAACGCCCTCGGATTCATCGTGGGCTCTCGCGGACTGCGCGACGGTGGTCTCAATCTTCTTCTCCCGTGCATAACCGGATTCCCATTCCCACTCGGCAGTGGCTGCCATTTCAAGCTCTAGCAACTCTTCATTCTTCTGGAGGTCCCCGTACCCAAAGTTGCGGCTCTCGCCACCCGAGTATTTGCGCTGCAGAAGTTCGATCTCAGCAAGCCTATCTCTCTCCAGCCAGGTCATCCTTTGCGCAACTACTCCTCGTCCTTCATTCAAAAAGACAGCCTGTCTAGCAGCAGTCAAGGCGCCATAGCCAACCCGTAATGAGGTTGTGTAAAAGTCGTCGTGCCTGTTGAACCGTATGCTCTGGATTTGATTGGCACCCTGCATATTCTCGTGCGCCAGGGAGAACCTTTCCCTCAAAGATAGGTTCTGAGGTGTACCCGCAGGGAGTGAAAAAGCAGTGATCACGAGAGCCAAGGCGTAGATAAAGACACAAACGAATATTCCCAGCAGAATGAATAGATGGGGCACGAAGCCAACAAGACAGACTGTTGGTATTCTGAAAACCAGGCTTTCAGTGCCAGACGCCGTGCCACCAAATGTGCCCCATGCAATGGCAGACATGAAGCAAATCCCCCAGAATGTCGTGTTCACAAGGCGATATTGACTTTGTTTTCCAAAGACATCGAGCAGATTAGAAGTCAAACTGTTACAGCAGGAGATCAGGGTGATCAGCAGCAACTCGGGAGAGACGTTCATGCGCTCCAAAGCTTGTTGTTTGCTCAGTGACTGAAGGACGGAGGAGCCGCTTTCCCCTTTGATTTCTTTCCCTGTGCTCGTCTTCCGCAGCCCAAAGATCCCCAGGCCAAGTGATTGACTTATTGTAGATTCTGCTTCCGCGAAGGCGAGCGAGTGTTCAAAGATGGACATGCCTGCCTCTGTAACGACAGAGCGGCCTTGCAACGCGCAGCAAAGAGTTTCCACAAAGTGACTTATACACAGCCGAAGGAAGGCCGGCCAAAGTAAACGGAAGGAGCCGTATGATATGTCCGAAGCGTTGACCGGGCGAGCCATATGTACTGCACTGCAAGACTGCTCATCTGTTTCCCATGGCAGAAGGGCTGAACTAAAAGTATAGAGAAAGCCGCCATTTCCGGCATAATCGAATAGCATTCGCTTATTCGGCTTTCCGTATCGAATAGCTGAATAGTCGGGAGATGTCTGACATCGAAGCGCACGAAGCAGGGCATGTATTTGAGCGACGAAGAGGACAATGGGTATTATGCGTAAGGCGAATCTCCTGCTCCAGTCCAGTTGAAGCCGCCGTCGGGTGGATGCATATATTGTGATCCTATTTAGGATAAGTGACTTGGGGAAATTAGCTGGATTGATCCGAACGCGACCATAACGGACGAAGTGCCGGTGTACTCACTACTGCGAAACAAACCAGTGACCACCGACCAGTCAAGTACGAAAAGAACCCACTGAACTTCACAATGGCTTGTACAAAGTCGGAAAAGTGGCTAGAGTCGGCTTGTCCCGCAGTGTCTGCTAGGCTCTCTCCGACCACTTCCGCCGCGGCCTGCGTCGCGAAAAGCACTGTATCACCTTCTGAACCCGTAGCCCGGGCTGAGCCCCATATTTGTGTCGCCATCTCTTGAAGACCAGCCATCCTAGCAATTTGTTTGGGCAATATAGAGAAGGCAAAGGTTTCTGCTTTGGAAAGACTCCGAAGCGGTAAAGAAAGGAGCTCGCGCGGCGAAGTAGACAATAAGGATGTGGCGGTGATGGGAGGAGACGTGTTCAGGTGTTGTGCAGAAGTTATTGATGCTGTGACCGCTGATGTGGTTTCAGAGAGTGTCGACATCTTTCGAAATGTTGAATAGTAATACGCAGGCAGATTGCGAAGTGGGTTCGCAGCTATGTTGTCAACGGTGAGCATGCGTGAGCGGGGGAGAATGCCCACGCTTACGGCGTTCAAGGGGAAGAGATAAGACAAAACACAGAACAAGAAGAGATATCAGGAATCATTAGATTGGCCTCAAGAAGTGACAAGAGCGGAGGATTGGCCTGGAGTCATCATTTGCTGTGACTCTAAAGCATAGCAGGACCCCAGGCAATGATGAGATAGTAGTAGTAGTAGTTATAGCGTTTCGACAGTTACTACGTGGACAGGCCAAACCATCTGGTTCCGCCGCCGCCGCGGTCCAACATCCGCCACTAACCCGATTCAGTTCAGCCCACATGTCACTCAATGACACCAGGGATTGTCCGGAGTGAATGTTGTACTGGTAGATCTACGTTCAGGTTTTATTTTCCATAATGTAAGTCTGGCGCAGTTCTTATACTGTCAAAACATGATCATCTCGACGAATACACGTAGGGTGGTGTCCTTACTGAAGAGTGACTCCGAATTACTTAGTTCAATAATTCCTCTAAAGTAGACTCGGTAGAGGATGAGATATTCTTCAAGCTAGCACGGCTCATCAGCAGTACTACGGTGCAGTCGCAGAAACAGGGATCGCAATACTGGCTTGGACATACTCCGTATGCTCAAACAAGGCTTCTGATGATCAACACTATCATCATAAAGTACTCCACAGTTCGTTGACTGGATTGCCGTGAATCAACTATTTTCTGTTCCCCACAAGAGACTAATCCAGCCGGGTATACTATACGAATACGAAGACAGCTTCGACCATAGACCCTTTTTGGAGTATCCAAACCTTGTTGACCTCAGCTCCATTTATAAGTTCATCCATTTCCACAAAGCTCGGAAAGATGGCCTTTTATCAATTTGATTTCCCCCTGGGTGTTTTTCACCGTACAGAAGTCTGTTGGAGAATATTTGCATGGCTTGAGCATACCTGACGGACATGGTTTGCCGCCGTACTCCCTCTACCCCGACGGCACCGACAAAGGGTTGGCTGGGGAAACAGCGGACGTTCAGCGTGCGTTCTTGCAGAACATTTCCTAATTTCAATGGCTTGCTGGCATATGACTTACTTAGTCAAAGCCGTTGGACGCATCAACGTCGATCTCGACTCCGTGTTTGCAAGAACCCTCGCCCAGATCATCGAGGCTCAACAATAGGACATTCACACCCGCCACCAGACTACTTCGACGGATATGCAGAGTAGGTGACCTGCGATATTTCGCTGAGTATTGTGATCCAGATAGTGGGTAGCTGCGGAGACGCTCAACCGTTCATTGCGCTGGGGAAACGAGTTGCAGACATTTGGGCACCGCGTTGGCATTGCAACCCACAACATATTCAGGATGGAATTCTTCCCAATTGGGGGTAATGAGCCGATTTGATGGTGTTGGTCATAAACCCCGGGTTAATTTCGCAAATGAAGAGCTTACGTGTCGGCGAGGTGCAGAAGTAGCGAACTATGGTAGCGGAGATACTCGATGGCTGCTGGAGATCATGTATCGACGATGATTCAGTGACTCGCAATTTAGCCAATCTTTCTGGTATGGTAGCCCGTGCTGGTGCTGGTGTCCGACCAATCCCATACTCTCGCCTCAACTCGCAGAACTTAGCAAATGCCATGCGTTTTTGCCTTACAACACAAGCCGCAACAGCAGCTCAACAGATTGCCGCCAAGATGAGAAATGAGTCCGGCGTCGCTGCGGCTGTAAAATCTTTCCATCGCCACCTGCCCCTAAATCGAATGCGATTCCATGTGATGCCTAATCGAGCAGCAGTATGGACGTGTGTCAAGTCTAACAGAAAAATCAACCTTTCAAAGCCAGCGGCCAAAATCCTGATTGAAAAGCCCATGATTGATGTGAAAGAGATAAGAAGGTCTGTACTTGCTCCGCACACAGCTCATGGACCTCAAGACAGCTTTTTAAGAAGACGCATGCGTACTGACGTCCTCTTGAATCAGCCTCGAGGTCAATTCAATCTTCATTGAAAATCGTCGCTGGGATCCCCTTACTGGCTTGATATCTGCCTCAACAAGTACTGGATACGACATGCTCAAATCAGGTGGTGGAATGCTCTACAAGCCATACAGGGAATACAACCGCAGCCGCTCTCCAAGGCCCCCGGCAGGCTCTTCGGACCGCGATATGTCACTCGCTACGAGCTCAATAGTGTCGGCAAGCCGCACAGGTACCAATGAAAACACTTTCAAGTTTCCTGCAGACAATCAGAAAAGCGGGGACGGGCAAATGAGGTCGTTGGTCACTGCAGGCAACATGGCCGGAGCCACATTAAAGAGTTTGGCAAATTTACCGGTTCTTACTTCAAAGGCGTAGTGGTGGAGATCCCGCACGCCGCTGCAGATGGTTCCCAACAGATTCCTCGGTTATACTGGGCATAACCTAAGAACTATAGCACTATGAAGGATTGGGAGTCAGGGGCTTCGATGGGTGGTTGCAACTTTGTGGATGGCATGACGGACGGGTTCACCGGATCCTTTACACAGCCCATCAAGGGGGCTAAGGAAGAGAAAGTATTGAGCGCCGTGAGAGGTTTCGCTAAGGGAACTATTGGACTAGCCACGAAATTACCCTTCTGGTGAGTAAACTAGGACTGGTTATGCAAGCTTTGGTCCTCCATCTGCGTGGTTGAGATGCTAACTGATTCGCCTCCTAGCTGGAATCAGGTTGGTGGCATACCCGTTCCAAGGCATTGCTAGAACAGTCGAAGGACTCGCCAGATCAAAGACTAGAAAGGCGATAATCAATGCTCGTCTTCGCGATGGGCTATACATTGCAGGGCAGATTCATTTGACTCCAGAGGAAGAGGCAGAAGTGTTGCGCAAGTTCCAGGCTCTTGCGCGGCCGAGGGATGGACTGAGACACATGCTGAGAGCTTCAACGTCCCTCATGTCGCCATGTCTCTATGTACTAGAACTCGCTATTCTGGAAAATATTGCAGACGACCTTCATCACACGCTAAGAAGCGCCCTACCCCAAAACTACCGAAAGCCATTGCAAGTGATGGACTCGAATGCGCCAGTCATCCATCATGCAGCAGCCATTGTGACAGAGTTCGGTCTGTGATTGAAGACAATTCTGAGGATCTAACCCAAGGAGGAAGTCATCGTCCGATCATGTCTTGTGTAGAAACGACTGTCTTCGGTCGGATAATCAAATTCAGCCCCCGACAAATAAATTAGCCTCAATATCTTCGTCTTCCTTCCGAACCGCTCTTACCCAATCATCCACACGAATGTCTCGGCATGCTCGCTACTTTCGAAGCTTCATTTTACCACCAACTCCACTCTTTCTCTGTCCACCAATCGATACTCAATCATTGCCCGATGCATAGGAACGTGTCAGAGCTAGCGGCCACCTTATGACAATATGCAGCCTGTTTCAAGGGTACAGACAGGATTTGGGGGCTGCAAGTCTGCAGCAACATTCAACGCATCAACTGACAATCTATAAAAGCTCGGCCAGGTCCCTTCCTCTGTGGGCAAACACAAGCTTCGCCCTTCTGTGCAAAATGAAGATCGCCTGGCTGCTTTGCTTCGCGGGGTTGCTCGGTGCCTCTGTCGCATCCACTGGCCTTAGCAAGAGAACGACAGTGAGCGACATCTTGACTGATATCGAAGACGCCACGACATGTGCTGCCTGTGAGGTCCGTATGCATATATGTAGTCTTTCGGTGATTTGAACCCAAAGACTGACCTTACTCAAGGCCTTGCTCGTTGTCCTCCAAGCGCTTGCGCACTTGGGCAATGATGACTTTGTAGATGTTATTACTGAAGTGTGCATCCTAGCCGAGGTAGGTGATTCTCCCATCTTGAAACACCACACGATACTGAATCAGCTAGGTCGATGACGACGATGTGTGCGAGGGCGCTATTTCGCGCGAAGGACCTATTCTGGCTCACGATCTACGCAACATGGATGTCCCCTCCAAGACTGCAGTTCTCTTCTGTACTACCATCTTCGGTTTGTGTGATTATCCCGCCGTGGCTGAGTACACCGTCGATTTCCCCTCAGCCAAGCCCGCAAACGCGTCTCGGCCTGCTTCAAGTGGAGAGACCCCGCTGCAAATCGTCCACATTAGTGATATCCACGTCGATCTGTCTTACGAGACTGGCGCCAGGTATGTCTGCTATGTCTGCGCTCTAGTGCGACGGTTATGCTGACCCCAACCTTTAAGCTACAACTGCACCAAGAACATTTGCTGTCGTCCCTATACCGCCTCCGATGAGCCTGGAGTGACGGACTATCCTGCCGGAGAATATGGGAACCACAATTGTGATGCCCCTCTCACCCTGGAGGAGAGCATGTACGCAGCCATTAAGGAGCTCGTCCCAGACTCCTCGTTCACCATCTTCACAGGTGACGTAGTAGAAGGCGCCGTGTGGCTGGTCAACGAGACAGAGGTGACCAATGACCTCAACGACGCCTACAAGACCCGGATGCCCAACTACCTCAACCTCGTCTACGGCGTCACGGGCAACCACGACACCGCTCCCGTGAACTCCTTCCCCACATCGGACATCGACACGACCATCTCCAGCCAGTGGGCCTACGACACCCTGTCAGCGGACTGGAGCCAGTGGATCGGCTCCTCCGCCGCCAGCACCGCGGACGACTACGGCTCGTACTCGGTCAAGTACCCGGACGGCAACCTGCGCATCATCTCCTTCAACACCAACTTCTACTACAAGGAGAACTTCTGGCTGTACGAGCAGACCATGCTGACGGACCCCAACGGCCAACTCGCCTGGCTGGTCAGCGAGCTGGCCGCCGCGGAGACCGCTGGTGAGCGCGTCTGGCTGATGGGCCACATGCCCATGGGCTCCAGCGACGCCTTCCACGACGGCTCCAACTATTTCGACCAGATCATCCAGCGCTACGACGCCACCATCGCCGCCGTCTTCTACGGCCACACCCACAAGGACGAGTTCGAGATCGCTTACTCGGATTACGCCAACCCCTCCGCCGCCTCCGCCACCATGATGTCCTACATCGCGCCCGCCCTCACCCCGACTTCCGGCAACCCCACTTTCCGCGTCTACTCCGTCGACCCCGTCACCTTCGGCATCCTCGACTTCACCGTCTACATCGCCAACATGTCCTCCCCAACCTACCAGTCCAACCCCGTCTGGGAGAAATACTACTCCGTCAAGGACGCCTACGGCGCCCTCCTCGACCCTCCCGTCACCGACGCCGCTGCCGAACTCACCCCGGCCTTCTGGCACAACGTCACCGCCCTGTTTGAATCCGACGATACCGTCTTCCAGGACTACTACGCCCGCAAGTCCCGCGGCTGGGACGTTTCGACCTGTACCGGCGACTGCAAGACCGACGAGATCTGCCAGCTGCGCGCCGCGGAGGCCCAGTATAATTGTGTGGAGATCACCCCCGGCATTAGCTTCAAGCGCAAGCGCGACTCCTCTTCGACCTCGACCTCGTCTGCCTCGCAGGAACACCCTTGTGGTGAGTCGGTCGTCGGAAATATCTTTGCAAACTTTGACGGCGCAGTCGAGGCGTTGATTCAGGCTGCTCAGGCGAAGCTGGGGTCGAGCTTCATGAACTCCACAGTCAATGCCACGGTCGTGTAGGGTAGGGTGTGATTTACTTAGGGGTGGGGGAGTTTTTGAGTGTTGTGGGGGTGATGAAGGTGTATATAATGTGGCGAGTGTCTTGGAAGGAAGTTAATGCAGAAGGCTGGTTCTGTACATAGTATTGTGTAATACAAGACTTTGTGCTTGCGTGCTTTTGAGCATACTATGATCCTGTTTCTTTCGTATGGAAATGCATTCTTGCAACAATGACTACTAAAACTCATACTATCAAAAATCGGTATCTCAGCTACTGCTACTTGTTATTCCAAATTATAATCAGTGAACGACTTGCAACACCTCCCACCCTCTGGTTCAGCCCAATTCAGTCGTGTTCAATTGATGGCCACAGAATTGCTGGCCATCCTCCTCGGCGGCTGATTTCGCTAGGATTTTATGTGAGGTCCTGCCCATATCAGTCATGAAACGAAGAAACGACCACCTACCGCCGCTGAGCTTCTCCAGCTGATCTGCAAGCCAGTCCTCCTCGTTACTCGAGGCGATAAGATTTCTCCAATCGCCATTACTCTGGTTGGGCTTGCGCACAACACAGGAGTCAACGTCGCAAAGAGCCACACTGAGGCTACCTCTCGCATCGCCGCCACTTGTATTCCCGCACGGGTCATAACGCACGCAGAAATCATCCAACCCGAGCAGCTCTGTCCGAACCCCTCTTGCGTGCAGCTCGTGCAAGATGCCCATCACACGATGGCAGACCGTCACCCAGATGTGCTCCGCGACCTCATGCAACAAGTCGGGAAGCGGCCGGTGACACCACGAATACTTAGAGAGATACCCGTAGCACGTAGAATGCACTCCATACCCGATGACCGGTCCCTGGGCGCTGCTGAGTATCGGGTGCAACCACGCCGCTGAAACCGTCCCGTAGATTATCGGCAGCGAGTCGCCCTGCAGCGGCTTGAGGCGATTCAGAACGTTGATCTCGCTCGGTCGTCAGCCGTCGATTCATCAAGCCCACAATGTCAATCTCCCTGAACGCGTCCTCTGACCAGCCCAGACGCTCCATCTGGCTGATGAGGTTATTAATTGCTGTATCCTCATTATTGTCGTCGTCTCTGCGTGCAGCCTGCTGGCCAGGTCGATCAGATCATAGGGGCATTGCAATTCATCCCTAGTTTATGCACCAGGTCCAGGGTCCGGACAAATGTTATACCAGAATTGCACCTCCGCCGCCAAGATCCCGCCGAGACCTGCCGAGCCCCACGGAGGCAAGTGAGCGGACTTGGCGGAAGCGGAAACAGCGGGACTGCACTCTTATAGGCACAACATATCTTGGATGTGAGTCGTAAAGTTAGTTGCTCTTATGGTATTGAGGCTCATGATGTGGGATCTTGGAAGTCGACACCTCGGTTGATTAGATAGGTCACAGAAGCAAACGTGCAGGTTATGTCCAGGTGTCATCACGCATGTTGCATCGCTTGTCCCTACTGCTTGATGTGCTGTTGCTAGTCATATTCCCGATGCCACGCATGTCCCTTTGAGGACAGGGCGCTAAGAGGAATAGACTTTGGACCGGCTGGTACTTTCCGTTTGTTCCATACTGGACACTGGACAGAGAGGTAGGAACCCGATTCGACCTCCAGCATCCATAAAGCAGGCGTCAACCACCCCGGGGCTCTGGAAATCAACCTCATACTCAGCATTGGCACGCAATCTTATGAGTATCACTCGAGCACTCCATAACCTGCTCTGTTGCTAAGTGGATTCAACTTGCAACAACAGACCCTACCATGAACAAGAAAAAGTAGAAGGCCGCCCTACTGACTCAGCCTGCTCATTGGCTTCGGTACGAGGCTGTGTTGAACCAGCTGGATGTTGAGATTGACGAAGGCTTGTTTCAAGAAGAGGCCGCTCAGCGCCTCTCTCTATAGGGGCCTAACAAGCTCGATGAGGGCTAAGGCGTGCTCGGTCATCAAGAACAAATGATGAACATGCGGCGTTCTTCTTTCGCATGCAGCCGAAGTTCAAGAAGCACTGCACTCAATGGATGCACGACATCTGGCAAGATCAGTTTCTGTTTTGGTCGATCATGGCAGGTTGGATCACCACGTTTCCGATACTGTATATTTCAATGCTAAACCACGTCGTTTTGAAGCATACAGGAATCAGTTGGGAATGGGGCGCTGTCTCCATCGAAGCGATTTTGTTTTTCCTTGGGGTTGAGGCTTGGAAGTAGGCAAAGAGGGTGTTTCTGCGACACACGAAGAAGTCGCATGCCGTTCAGTCCAATGTGACTGCAAATGCTTCATGACCCCTATTGCGCCTTGAGGAACTGAGGGAACTTTGTGGTTGTCTGGCCGGTATCTTGTAGCCTTCTAATCAATTTCGAAACTCATGAGCTCATACAGCAGCAACCGTAGTTGTAACGGATCAAGGCTATTTCTCTGGACCCTTATCAATAGAAACCTCGCTCTGTCACGGTGGTCAATGACTTCTCTCATGCTGAAGCTATACAGGCGAGCTACTCTCAAGGTCTTGCAGGTTCATGCAGCCTTCATGGACCGTACAAGTCTTGGAGGATTGGGGCAGGCGTGGAGAGTGTAGTTGGAAGTTTTGCGGATGACACCGCGAAAGCGATTGCGGGGCAGGGGGATTCCCGTGCGGGGAGAGCTTCAGAGCTTCTGTACTTTGAGACTCCAAAGCTGCACATTTCCTTTGCCTCTCAATACACAACACCTCGTCCTCCCAACATGACAATCCTCCTAACGCAAAACCTGGGCAAGATCCGAGGCAGAGATGGCAGCAACGTGACTCAATTCCTGGGCATCAAATACGCCACTCTGAAGGACAGACTCGCGGACGCCCAGCTGATCGAAATCCGCGAAGGGGATGTGCTCGATGCGACCACCGACGGGTAAGTCACACCAAGTGCACTCTCATAGAATCATTCTGGGCTGATTCTCCCGCGACGCATTCTCAAGCCCGACTGCACTCTCGCCGCCATTCGGCTGCGATTTAGAGCAAAGCATCATCCAGCATACATTGCCCAAGAAACCCCCTCCCTCATCAGATACCGACTGTTTGAATTTGAACATCGCCGTTCCAAATGACACCACAACAGACTCTCGTCTGCCGGTGTTTGTGTTCATCCACGGTGGTGGGCTTTTCATTGGTGCCAATTCCTGGCCGCAGTTCGATCTCGAGCGGTTGGTGGAGTTGTCTGCAGCGAAAGGGTTGCCTATTGTTGCTGTGGCTATTAAGTACGTGTGTCGTTTTTATGTGGGTGGGGGGCCTCGAGCTGACTAGCAAAGTTATCGACTCGGTGTGTTTGGGTTTACGACCTCGAAAGAACTGCGGGATGCAGGGTACAAGGCGAACAACGGGTTGAGGGACCAGAGGGTGGCGCTGGAGTGGGTAAGAAGACATATTGGTGACTTTGGAGGTGATCCCGATAATATCACTCTTGCGGGGATGAGCGCGGGCGCTGGTACGTTCTCTACCCTTGATGTGTTGTAGCACGGGCATATCTTGACTGCGTCTATAGCGTCGGTTGCGTGTCATCTCGAGGCGGAAACGCCGCTTTTCAGAAGAGCTATCATGATGAGTGGGAATCGTTTCTTCTCGCCTAGTCTGGCTTACGAGGCCCATGAGGAAAGATACGAGCAGATAATGGCAGCGTTGGGATTGACGGATGCTTCCCTGGAACAGAGACTTAGTGTCTTGTTGAATACGCCTGGTGAAGAGTTGGTCGCGAAGGTTCCTCCTTCCATTGCTCCGGCTTTCGCTCTGGATGGAGACCTGGTTCCAACGGCGATAACCTACGCACAGCTGGGGGATAGAACTAATCGAGTGCCTAGAGGCAAGGATTGGTGCCGCGATATAATGGTTGGAGATGCACAGATTGATGTGAGTGCTGACAGCGCATGTCCATGGAGTCTGAGCTAAGACCAACAGGCCAACATCATCCACGTCCTTAAGTCTCATCTTAAACAAGCGTGTGCTGAGCGCTTCCTTCACGCGCTCGCAACCGTGCTTGCGGCGCAGCCAGAAGTCGCTGGCCAGATCGCGGCCGACTACGGCATACGCACGGACTCGGATGACGATGAAGCCTTCCTTGCCATTCTGGAGTTCTTGAATGACGTTTGGATGTTCGCGCCAACGTTGGTGGCAGCGCAGGGCTGGAAAGGACGAGCATTCGTCTACTACTTCAATGAAGGCAACCCATGGAACGGCGCATGGAAGGGTCGAGCAGGGCACATCCTAGATCTTGCCTATCTTTTTCAGAACTTTCGCGAGTTCATGTCACCCGCACAGCAGAAAGTAGGTCGTGCGATCGCAGAAGACTTCTCCAAGTTCTGCCATGGTATCAAGCCGTGGCCTGCAGTTGCCGACGGAGATCTCGAGGCCGGATTCACTGCTCGAGTATACGGCCCCAGCTCTGCGGAGCCTCCGTGTCAAAAAATCAGCCGACCTTTCGGTGGAAAGAGTCAACGCAGGTCCACGATCTTCGATCTCCCTGCCACGGTGTCTCTTGACGATCTGTCGAGAGTTGCTACCATGTTCATGACTGTGTCATGACTGTGCAATAGATGACACCCGGCCTTCTGTACATAGCCTGCAACGATCAGATACTATATAATGTGAATCACTAGTTCTATCGCTACCGCTACAATGCAAACGATGCCCCAACTCCAATTCCACGAGGTATAATACTGGTAGCCAACCTCAGCCCGACTGAAAGTTCATGCTATACCCGCCCGTCTTCGGATCCTGGACGAATTTGAAATTATCAGTCGATAGACCGAACGGCTTCAAAATCCCATTACCCAGCTGCACCCATACCAATTAGCATCGACACCAAACCAAACACGGAGGAACGCCAACTTACATCTTTCAGCTTGCCCATCATCTCTGCCATATCCTTCTCGCGGGCCTTGTTGATCTTGTCCGGCAGCTCCCGCAGACCCCTTTGAACAACCCGTCTATCGTCCGGGGGCAGATTATCCATGGCCGCCAACTCCTTGTAGTCCTCCTCCGCGCCCTGCAGATTCGCCCACCCGCCCAGCTGCATCCGCGCCCGCGCCCGTCGCATCAGCGCTTTCGCGCGGATCCGCAGGACATCCCGCGTAAGTTGATCGCGCTGCTGCAGGCGCTGCAGCTGTTCCTCCTCCTCCGAGTCGTCGTCGCCTGTGATCTCCACGACCGCTTCCTCTGTGGTTTTGGTGTTCGTGCCGGATTCCTTCAGTCCCTCATCCTTTTTCGGCACCGGCGTCCGCGGAAGCACTTTATCCAGCCGATCAAGACACGCCGTTGCCGCGTCGACTGATGCCTTCCAGTCTTCAAGCTTCAGGTAGCAGGCGGCCATGTTGCTCCGCAGCACGGCGACTTCGTAGTCGAGGTAGTTGGGACATGAGGCGAGAGCGCGGTCGTAGCTGGTGATGGCTTCGTCGTAGCTGGCGGCGGAGAAGAGTTTGTTGGCTGTGGCTTTCAAGGTCTGGGATTCTGCGAGAAGGCGCTTTGAGGTGTTAGATGGTGTGGTGGTCATGAATGAGATTTGGGTCTTGGGGATGGTGTTGGCTATACTTACTGTTTCTTCGTCGGCGGGGAAGCGGGCGTCGTGGAAGACGTCTCCTTCATCGTCGTCGCTGTCATTGGGATTATGTTTGTTCGCGTCGTTGGTCATCTTGGCGGTTGCAAAGATGCCCAAGGCGTTGTTGTTCTGTCCGCTACGTACGTGTGGGCAAGCTGTACGGCGTGATTTGAGCTGGACTCCAGGATGTCGCGGCGGCATCGGCACCACCTCGGCGGGGATGGCTGACACTCGACCTGTTTGCACACTCGTTGCCTGAGGCAGCCACAGAGGGGCTCCCCCGCCCCTCTTGGTATCGATAAGTTAAGTTAGCCGATATCGAATCCCTGCGGAGAAAGGTGATTCACCCTTTCTGTCTTCTTACCACAGTACAACTTTGCATTCAGCTTCAGCGAGAGTTACTGCATCCATCCAGCCATGTCTCCGTCTACTCCCGAGTCAGTCCATGATCAATATCAGACAAATTGCAGCCCATTGACTGACTTTGCATGTTAGGTTACCCCGCGTGCGGGCATGTCTTTTCGACATGGACGGCCTCCTCATCGACTCGGAGGACATCTACACCTCGATTACAAACACCATTCTACAAGAGTACGGCAAACCGATGCTCCCGTGGTCGATTAAAGCGCAGTTGCAAGGGCGGCCTGCGCCGGAGGTAATGCCACACATTACCCCCCTCAAAAGCCTTCCCCCACCCAAAACTAAATCTTCTATGAATTTTAAACAGGCCTCTCGCATCTTCCACACATGGGCCAACCTCCCCATCCCTCTCGAAGAATACGCGACCAAACTAACCACCCTTCAACAAACCCGCTTCCCGGAAACCCAACCCCTCCCCGGCGTTTTGCGTCTGCTCGAGGACCTCCGCTCCACGCACTCCACCCCGCACCCCGTGCACCTCGCGCTGGCTACCTCCTCCCATTCCAAAAACTTTCAGCTGAAGTCCTCCCACCTCCCACACTTATTCGCTGCATTCCCGAAGAACCAGCAGGTGTTGGGCGATGACCCCCGTATCGGGTCGGGGCGTGGAAAACCCCTCCCTGATATCTATTTGCTGGCGTTGGAGACGATCAATCAGGGGTTGAGGGAGAAGGGGGAGGAGGAGATTAAGCCGGAGGAGTGTTTGGTGTTCGAGGATGCGGTGCCTGGTGTGGAGGCCGGACGGCGCGCGGGGATGCGCGTGGTGTGGGTGCCGCATCCCGGTCTAAGGGAGGAATATCGGGGCAGGGAGGAAGAGGTGCTTGCCGGGTTAACGGGGGAACATAAGGAGGAGGAGAAGGGGAAGATGGAGAGGGTGGCGGAAGGGTTGGTTGCTGGGAGGGAGGGTAGGGAGGGGGATAATGGGGATGGGAGACCGGGCAGCTTGGGAGATGGGTGGGGGGTTTTGTTGGATTCGTTGGAGGGGTTTCCTTATGAGAGATTTGGGATTGTGCCTGCATCTTCTGTGAAGGAGGAGTAGATGGGTTGATGTTGAGGGTGAGGGTGATTTGGTGTAGGTATAGGCTGGTTGCGTGGATGGATGGTAGTATTATGGATCGCATTGCATCTAAGTTGGATTCAAGGACTGAGACGCTCTACATGAGGCAAGAATTTGTCAGGGGAAACAGTGCGCAACGCAAGAATCGTCAGAAAGAGGCTACGCATAAAGCAAGAATCATTAAGAATAGAAGATGCATGAAGCAGGAATTCATAAGAAAGGAGCTACATTGAGAGATGAGCCCATTAAGAATCGAGTAGAAACGAAAACCTCTTCGAAGCCTATGAATAGGAAACCAGATTCAGTCCAGTTTGAAATAGGAAGATGGAAACCACCCGTCCATTTCATACAGTAAACCAACCATGTCTCTCCATAACAGAGGACGACCCGGAGACTACCTTTTTTGCAGGCGATATGCCCGGTCTCCCCAGAGAAAAGGATATGTAGCCCTTTCTTCGAAGGCCTTGACACCCTCTCCCGGATATCATTCTTTATGTTAGCCTGCTCATCAGCACTCACGGCATCCCGAACACCTCCTCATACTTACCGCTGTCTCGCCGAACTGCACGATCACAATCTTCGAAACCAGACGCTCGTCTGCATGCTTCTTATAAACTGAAACGGGAATTAAGAAATTAACTCCATTGCTGCTGCCGTCTCTCGCATGTACAACTCATTCTGGGGATAAGAGTGGGAGATATGTGAACATTCGCTGGAGGTGATTCTTTCTTTCAAAATAGAAAACCTGAACGCCATAGATCGCTGTAGATGATGAGTGTTTCGACCACTTGAAAGCCTCAACGCCTGTCTCACTGTATTCGATGATCTTTGCAACACCTAAAAGCCTCAACGCCTGTCTCACTGCCTTCGATGATCTTTGCACACGCCTGAAAGCCTGAACACCTGTGCATCGCGGGTTGTGTCATAGACACAGAGAGATTCGATACTTGGACGCTCAATCATAAATCGTTTCAGTCCTCATCTTCATCAGTATCGTAGATCCCATATCCCGAGTGTCCGACGGGCGAAAAGGACAGTGAGCGTGGCAGTGTGACCATTGGCTCATCTGTCCCCTTCTCCATCATGGCAAACGGTTCCGTGGGAGAGCAAGCAAAAACGGAGATGTCGACGCATATCCAAGCAAAACTCAAGAAAACGAAAGCAAAAAGAACAAAATGAATTTCGAGAATAGACCGCAGAACAAAAAATAGCCCGCAGAACAAAACTCAAAGATGAAGCTCAGGAGAACGGCAAAGTAGGGATATGGGGCAATTTAGATCCCAAAGCAGTAGAACGCAAGTGTAAAAGGACCAAACTGAACTCCTGAAGACTTGCAAACGGTGATAGCAGGAATGACGTGACAATTTAGATCCCAAAGCAGTCGAGCGCAGGGCAAAAGGACAGAACAGTACTCCAGAAGGATTGCAAGACGGCGAAAGCAAAAACTGGAATACCAAGCTCAGAAGAAGGATGACAGCCGGACTTGACACTTTAGGACCCCAAAGGACAGCCAAGAGTGCAGCGGATAAGCAGACAAGGCACGAAGGCACTCAGTGCTGACGCTTAGTGCGGTGATAACTTCCCCCGTCAGGCGCATCAGTCGCTTTGCGCTTTCTCTGGCTTTTGATCACAGCTTGAGATACACCCGCGGAGGAAGGGAGTATGGACGCTGGCATGGGGAGTGACTGGGCATAAGTAGAGACAAACGCATAACTCAGCGGGTCGCGAAGTGTCGGGTCAATATTGCAGGGAGATGGATAATCCACTGCACTGGTCGGTGGCGCGGAGTGACTGAGGAGAGTTGCCTGGGCTGTAGTGGCAGTGGGCCATCGTCTGGGCTGGTGCGCCGAAGGCCGGTCAGCAGGGGCATTCGTCGTTAGGCCAGCTTTGTGGCAGGCATAACTCTCCAATTCAATAGATGCAGGGAGACCCACCGACGAGGTATCAAAGGTGTCAGAAGGAAGCCAATTGACATTAGGATCGCCGCTGTTGTCTTGCGGCGTGAAATGCGTAGGATTAATCGTTCCATTTTGGTAGGAGACTCCGCCATTCTGCAAGAAAATTTGATGAGGGCTAACGGAGGATCTGTTCGTGAACGGCTGGGACATTACGGTCGCCGGGCTCATGGGCACTGAGAGATTCAGATTCTGTTGTGCCGGAAAGTCCTGCGTCATAGAGCCCGGTGCCCTCATAGCAGTGCTTGTACCTGTCTCACCAGGAAACTGTGTGGGCTTCACTTGAAACAAGTCCCCAGTATCTGCAGGATAGTCTGCCAGCGTAAAGCTATGGCTTTCGAGGGTGTGGGACGAGTTCGAATCTCCTACCATAGAGGAAGCGGGCAGGGGGTTCGCATTGATTCCATCAACGTAACTGGGAGCACCAATCAAGGGTTCGCCAGTTTCAAAATTCATTCCTCCATAGGTAGAGGCATGCATATTAAACATGTCTGAGCCAAAAGTCTCCAAAGGTGGCTGGAAGTTACCAGCGCCGCCAGGATTAGTGGCCCCCACGACTGCATCAGTCTCGTCCGCAGTCATCTCGTCGTCTGCGTAATAGCCATCGGGATGATTTCCGTGTCCAATCTCCTCACCAGCTGATTCCTGATCAGCCGCGTGAGCTTTCTGTACAGCCTCGAGAATGTCTCTCTCTTCGAAGACCGTTTGGAGAGCCGCTTCCCGTGCAGCTCGTTCCTCTGCCTCTTTCATTTTGTTGTACGCAGCAAGCTTTTCCTTTTTGTTTGCGTTCACATTCTTGTTGTTGCGGATGCGACTCACGGCTCCATAAGGGTCTTCGATAATCACATCCAGATAACTGGGATCAAGGAGATGTTTAACCATCGTCTTGTGGTACATCAACCCTTCGAACAACTTGCTGATTCTATCCCTGCATGACATCAACCTGGGGACCTGATTAAACCTCCGATATTCGTGATATCGCAGGGCCGGCCCCGTGGTGCATCGATCGATGATTCCTTCCTATTAGTCAATCCGTCAGCCAGATCATCAGAATCTTTAACCTATTGGAAGCCTTACCAAAACTCGCCAAGCTACGGCCTCGATCTGAGGTCGTTCCCAGTCGGCCTTGATCCATTGCTCGAAGTGGGACTTATTGTCCTGAGCAAACTTGACGGACATCATAAGGTTGGTCATTGCTACAACGATGGCTTTCTTGACCTCTTGAGTCTGGGGAATCGTGTGATCTGTTTCTACAATGTCACTCACAGTCTTCTGGTCTGCCTCCGCTTCCGCCGCTGACTGATAGATGGTCTCCATCGGAGTCTCGCTGGTTGGACTGAAAAGCTCATCAAGATCTGGGAATATCGACGGGCGAACACCAGGACTGCGAGGGTTCAGAGAATCCCAGAAGACGTCGACCATGATGCGCTCTGTCTCATCGGAAAGCTCTGGCTCTGTGGAATCTGCGTCGCTGTCTGCATCGTCCCAAAGTTCAGGCTCCTGTGACTTGCCTTTGCCCTGAGCCTTGGCTTTGGCCTTAGCCTTGCCCTTCTGTCCCTTGCCCTTCCCCTTGCCCTTGGGCTTCGGCTTGGAGGGCTTGAAGGACTTGGGCCTTCCGGTGGGCTGAGGATCACCGTTGGTGCTTTTACCGGATTCGGCGGAGCGTTGAACGCTGGAAGCGGCACTGGAACTAGGAATTGGCATGTTAGCTGACATATCCCTTCTGTTTGACCGTACGATGACAGAGATAATATACCTTTCTGCCACGACTTCGGTGGTCTTCAGGTCCGATGTCTTTTCCTTGAGTGTTGGAGAAGTGCTTCGCACATTGCTGCCACTTGACAGAATTGTTGAATTCGAACCATCAGTGTTGATGTTACGCTGCCCACGCGAAGTTGGCTCAGATTCGTGGTGGTTCGCGGTGCTAGGAGGGAAGCGAGCCGGCACTGGAGCGATAGCCGCCACTTCAACGACAGTTGAAATGACACTGCACGGCTTCTGTCTTGTCTGTGTTACCAACTCAGAGTTTGGGTTAGGAGAAGTAAAGTGAACACCTTTAGCAACTTCTGCTGCTGCAGACGGAGGGGTGTGCAAGTTGATGGAACCATGGCGTGGCCCTTGAACGGGAATCGGCCTTGTGGACTTGCAGGGCTCGGTGGGCTCGGGCATCCCATCAATATCCATGTTGTATACCACTTTAACCGCGCTAGATTCGGCGCCATTATGCTCAGAGCTGCTCGAATGGTTGTTCTGTGATCCTTTGTTGTTTTGCTGGACATAATTCGGCTGAATGCTGTTGTAAAGGGGGCCAAGTGAAGGACTGGACTGACCAAAGTCGATAATCGAAGCATAGTGGGCAAATTCGGAAGGAGGAGCATCATCTAGGGAATTATCCGGTGCAGTCGGTTCAAATGGCTCTTCTGTGGTCTCATCATACAGTCCAGTCGGTTCAAATGGCTCTGTCGTGGCCCTTTCGATAGGCTGGTCATCGTTTGTGTAGCCGGAATAGTTTCCCTCGTCGCCACGGAGGAGTGAACCGATGTCGAATTCAGCTTGACCATTGAATCTGTGTGTTGTTAGTATTGCTACGTCTTTCTGAGGGCTCCCGGGGACTTACAGAGGCAGCAAAAAGTCAGGGATAGAAGAAGTGGTGGTCTGGTCATTGTTGGTCTGGTGGTCGTGACTCGACCCTCCCTGTGCCCTTCTGGATCGACCAAAACGCGCATGATCGCGCATGAAAGACTTGATTTCTTCCATTTGAGAAACTTGTGCTTCTTGCACCGTTCTCTCTCTGAGCGTTGTCAAGGAACCTGGATGTTTGAGAAGGTTATATGAAGTAGAAGATGAGAAGTGTTAAATAGTGAAGAAAGATATGTTCGAACACAGAGGTGCTCACTCGTATGATGAATGCAGAAGTTCTTAAAGATCAGAAAGGGGATTTGAAGATCTGAGCTCATAAACTATTTACTAAGATAGAGAATAGGCTTGTGGATGTTGGGGGTGATCGAGGTGAAGGAAATGGGATGGAGGTGGGTGAGGTGAAGGAGGGAGGAAACGGAAGAGGAGAGGAAACAGAAAGGGAAAGGGATTCATATAGTGAGGGATTCACAAGAAAAGCGGAGTGTTGAATAAGAAAAAAGGCCCTTTTCTGTTGAAATTCACCCCCAATATTCACTCGACAGAGCCGTCGCGGTGTTCCAGACGCAGGGCCGATTTCAAGTCCCATTTAACCAAACCCGCGTGTAATGCACCGAGGAAGATAATAGGAAGGACGCCACCACCAATCAACTTGAACAATTCCTGTTTGAGATGAAATATTCCATCATTTTTCTTTCAATTGTTCCAAGTATAGCCATACGATGATCTGCATCGCTCCCAAACCGGTATTCCCTTGGTTCAGTATGATATTACCTTGTGTGTCGAGTCTGATGGACGAATTGTGGCTTCAGGACAATGTTTTGTGTCACCGAAGTGTGCATATGCAGGCTTCGATACAAGCCAGGCAACTGTAGCTTGAAGACCGGTGTCATCATCAGGCAATAAGACGCGATGATAACCTATTCGCTGTTGTTTCAAAGACCCCATCAGTTCGCATATCATGACGTCGTCCCTGAATGAGGTCTCTAGAATTCTGGTCTGCACTTCACACAACCATTATTTTTGTAACACCCTCCTGTTAGTTCAATCGACGTTGCCGGTACTATTCAGAAATGGCATGTACCAGACTTTTAGGCTTCTGTCGCTATGCGAGTCACGGGGTGCAGTGCTACCGTCAGGTTCGTCTGCAAAATACCTTTGCCCTGAAGTTGTAGCGGCCACGCTACCCAAAGGATGCAGCACAGTACTGCTTACTGACTCTGGACATTGTTAGCATAGGACACGCAACGAACGGTGTCACATAGCATCGAGAACTCACCGTCGTGAACCTTCCACTCCCACTTCGGCTCCTGTCCCCCAACAGTATGGGTAGGATTCTGCCACACTCGCATGCATCCATCGGTTCCTCCCGCCCAGATCTCATGCGAGCCTCCTTGATCAGTGGCCACCACATCGATCTTCATGCGCTGATTTGTGAGAGCCTTGCGCCCTTGCAGCCATCCGAGCAGTTGACCGGTCACTCGAATATCATATACCAAGACTCCATCACTTTTGCGCTCTGCGATATAAAGATACCTACCACAGGGACTCCAGAGCAGCTGCGTGATCCCGCGCCCTCCGATATGGGAATCTGCTTCTGTCTTTGCGATGCTGAATGTTCCCAGAGATTGTCCGCTCCCGTGCGAGTCATAGAGCCCGACGTGACGGGTGAAGGTCCCTGCAGCCAGTATACCTTGCGCGCTGGGATCCACGGCCATCGCAGAAACGATCCCCTTCATGCCCACCCCACCCCCCACGACCTGCCTGCGCTTACTCGGAATAGTAGGCATTGACGTGACAGGTCCGTCGTTCCCTGGTCGAGAGACATCAAATAGGCAGATGAGGCTGTCAGATCCGGTGAGAAACTGCGTGCCTCCGAGACTTGGGGGGTATAGCATCGAGTGAGGAGTGATGAACGCCTCGGTCATGGGATTGACCAATGAATAAGAGGCCACTTGCATAGGCGCCAGAGCAGATGCTAGTCTGATCGGATGATCTCGAACAGAAGAGAGAAACAAAGTGGTAGAAGGGTCCTGGAGAGAGAAGAAGGGGTACATGGCCATAGAATATGTCGGCTCCGCTGAGGCCAACGTCGAATATGGCGATAAATGAAGAGGCGATGATCTCTCTTCAAGGAGGTCTGGTGGTCTACAGATGAGGTCACAGTTATTACGGCAATTGAGACTCTTGGAAAGGGCGATACTGACAAGATATAGCTCCTAATGTGATGGTCTGCCGAGTCTGTCAAAAGCGTGGTTCCATCAGCCGACCTGTTATGTGATGTTCATTAGCTATTAGTCTCAGTAGAGAAGGCCAGTGGGGAAGTGGTTAGAGCATACCACTCGGCACTTTTGATGATGTTGGAGTCAAATATGCCTGAGGCGGCTCGCGGCGTCCTCTCCGTGCTGACATCTTGCTCCTGGCTAGTGGACCGCATGTTCATCTGAGAACTCTGATCCTCAATCCCAGCCTCGTGTGTAGCAGCCACACAGACTGGCTGTAAGGCATTGGCCGTATATTCAACCATCTTGTTGATGAGAAGCTCCGAAGCTGTTTAAGATCAAACGAGGAGGTTTCTCATCCAGATGATCAACGTGACGCATGCTGTGAGGCCAGCCAATGACTCTGACTTAGTGCTCCAGATCTCACTGACTGTAATCGTGTGAGATTAATGAGAAATCGCAGAAGTTGGTCGGGAGCATACTCGTCGTCAGCAAGGTATGACAGACCGATGAAAACCACGGGGAGGATACAGGTTCTCTGGTTACAGCCAGGATGACGAGTCTGGCAAGCAATTGACTCAAATGCAAGACAAGAAGACCAAGCAGAGACGCTTTATGGTTTTAAGTTATAGATCAGTCTACTGAGAAGTACACAAGAATTTGAAGCTGTGAACAGATGTGATGTGGTTATCAGAATCCGATAGTTAAGGATAAGGTGGGTTGTAGCTGGGGCATGTCAGGGTCACGGGATCGACCACGGCGAAACTTGCCGGAAGTGAGGTTAGCGGCCGAGCAACCAGAGCTGACTTGATTGTTTTCCCGGTCACCAACCCATCACTCTCCATTGCGGCGCAGATTGGCAGGTACAAAGCGCCTTTTCTTTGTTCCTCGATAGCTTCGTGTTTTATCTTTTCTTCAGCTAGCATTGCTGCCCCTCTTATTAGTGCGCAATGTTTTCCGCAAAGCCTGCTGGCACTGGCACCGGCCTTTCTCTCAATACCGGTTCATCCAATCTTTTGTAAGAGCCCTTCATTCATTTGCGCGTTGATCTCGCCAGTACATGTGCGACTCGAATGCACACTCATCGCGATCGCCGTACTTGAATTCAAGCTAACATGGCTAATGGCGATGCTTCAACTAGTGGCGGCGCCGCCAACGCACAAACCAGCTCTGCGACCACACCGGGAGCGACGGGCACTTCTGGAGGGCTCTTTGGCAACCTCGGAAACAATTCAGCGCAAGCGACACCAGCTGGAGGACTTTTCGGCCAGCAGCAGACGACGTCTGCTAACACCGGCGGCGGCTTGTTCGGCAACACCCCGGCGACCACATCACAACCTCAAACTGGAGGGCTGTTCGGCAACACCTCGGCGACCGCAACACAACCTCAAACTGGAGGGCTGTTTGGCAGCACCCCGGCGACCACATCACAACCTCAAACTGGAGGGCTGTTTGGCAGCACCCCGGCGACTACATCTCAGCCTCAAACTGGAGGGCTATTTGGAGGTGCCACGGCTAATACCAACCCCACACAAAGCGGGACGACTGGCGGCGGGTTGTTTGGCAATCTAGGCGGTGCCTCGACCACCCAGGCTCAATCCAAGCCGCTTTTCGGGGCTACCACTACTAACTCTACTACGACTGGCGGAGGCCTATTGTGAGTGCTCATCTGCGTCAGTTTGACAGGAGTGTACTAATGAAAGCCGGTTGTAGCGGCGGAAACAATGCACAGCAAACCCAGGCTCAGAAGCCCACGCTTGGTCTCTTCGGCGGCTTGGGCAGCACTACACAACAACCAGCCCAACTCGGTGGCACTACCGTGATTCCCGGAGTCAAGATTGACGTCAGCAACATCCTTCCTACGACCAAATATGAGAGTTGTGCGGATGAGATCAAGTCGGAGCTCGAGAAGTTTGATAATTACGTGCTCACTCAAATCAAATTGTGCAACGAAGTTGCCAACATGATCCCCACAATCGAGACACAGGGACAGACCATCCCACACGATGTGGATTTTGTTCAAGGCAAGCTTGAGACCATCCAGCATGCCCTGGAGAACGATGCCAGCGAGATCGATCAGCTGCGCAGTCTCGTATCGCGCGACGCGGCGGAGGCTCAAGTTGCATTCCGCGCCATTGACACTCTGAAGCTGCCCCTACAATATCAGTCTACCGGCGGTGCTGGATGGTGGACTCAGAGCCACAAGACTGATAGTCAGACTCTTCGCTCAACGCGCAAAAACACTTTGGCCCTTCCGGATGATGTCGAGAGTGATCCTGCCACTGCTACAAGCGTGAATGGAGTACCTGTCAACCTGGTGGACTACTTCTCCCAGCGTTCAGATGAGATGGGGACTGTTCTTGAGCGCTACACTCGGAGTTTGAAAGAGATTGAGGACCATCTCCACGGGGTTGAGGCTACCTTGGAACGGCAGATTCATGACTTTGTGGCGTCGCGCAGCCGCGATGGTGCGTCATCCGGAACCCCGAAGTCTATAGTCAACGATCTCGCAACTGTGCTCGGCGATGTGGAGGCTGGTATCCTGGGCGTCGCTGGACGCCTCGGTGGGGTGACGGAGCAGGTGCAGGAAGTTGTCCTTGGTCCTCCTTCGCACGCTGATGGCCGGCTCAACCTGTGAAGAACGGGTTCGCTTGCTGCATACTTTGCCCGTCGGCGTTTGAATCTTTGCTCTTTTCATTGTACAGTATAATGTTCTTGGCGACGGTGAAAAGCAAGGGAGGATGGCATAATTGTTTGATTGTGTTAGCATGGTTCTTATGAGGAGTTCTTTCTGTGATGCAATTCAGGCATATCATTAATATATTCAGAGATATATTCTGGCTAAAAAGGATGATTTACAGAGAAGGTAGGATAAGAAAGAGATGATTGTTAGGTCAACTACTATGGAGTATTTACTCCGTACGTGTCCTACAGTTGATAAGCCAAATGGAGGTACTGGTCATGATCTGTAATTTCCGAGACTTTTTTTATTGTCGTATATTTTGAAATGAATACCTCATAAGTTTTCGTTCTCTCAAGATGAAGAGCCTGAGGTACTTGAGTGGATCTAGCTATGTGACTACAGCCAATCATGAATGAGATATCTCACCGCCTTAAGTCGCATTCAACGCCTCTACTGCAGTACTACTTTAACTAACAAATCCCCCGGAATCAGCCACAGTACTAGTAATCATCCTGAGTAGATATTTTCTTTTCTTTATATTGTGTTCTCGGCATGTCAAGAACATAGCCCGGGTTTACGTATTTTGGTAATATGTAACTATTAAAGCTTTCATGGAATCACTCAGATTAGAAAATAAGAAAATACTGATAACTACAAGTAGATGGAGGTCCGACGGAGGTCGAGTTAAAGGGCGGGCGGTGGGGGCACAAACGCAAGAGGGCGGCAAACTGGCGTGATCGCACCTCATCCCCGGATCCACCCTCTTAGCCTCATCAAGATCCTCCTTCCCCAGTCTTATCTATCAATCACCATGACATATGCTGCAATGATCGCATCTTCTGTAGTAGGCTGTTAGCCTGTGAGACCAATCTATGGGCCTTGGTAGTTAGCTGCTTTGTCCTACGTACCCCAAGAACCCCATCCAGAAGATCCTCTTCTGACTCGTCGCCGCTCTGGGATCCCGATCTATAGCGAACGTGATCGACAAGGCGGAACCGCCCCTGAATCTAGAACAGCTCCTGAACTTCTCCAGTGCAACTTGAAACCAGGTCCACGCCGTAGAATGTCGGTGTGACGCTGCCACTTGACGAGGCAGCGCAAGTGTTTACTCAGTTATCCTTCCCCACAAATTTTCGTTGCAATGACGCGATCAATGCCGAATCTGTGGCGCCCGGGAGTCTCGGGACCTTTTCTGGACCCCATTGTTCGATAGTAGTCGCTCCATGGGGCTCTATCTTATTGTGACCGGTCTCTTGGGTGATTTTGCTCATCGATGGTGCAATTGATTGCCAAAATCCTCCGGTTTCGAGATGAGTCTTACTGTACTGAGCGTGCCTGCTGACATTCCTGGCCACGGGTCTATTCCACTCCATGTCTATAAAGAAGAATGAGTCCCACACTCGAATTGTACCCCAGAATGAGCTAGATTCAACAACATCAACAGCAATCCAGCACATAATCTTTTAATCTTATACTCCTCGCTATCTGTTCTACATCTCCATCACCGTCTGCCAGCTCTACAATCAAGATGGCTCCCTCGTTGGCGGATCCTGTCCTCGCCCAGGATCTGGCATCTATCTCCCTCACCAAGAAACAGACCGTTGCTGGCAACAAGTTTGGTTATCAACCCGGAAGGACGACTGTGGAAAATCACGATAACTACGCATACAAGGACTTGCTGCCGTCGTTCCCAGACATTCATTGGGAGCCCCTGGAAGAGATCCCCCACGAAGATAGGGGTATCCATGGAGACCCCAATTTCCGGCGTCTTCTCCAAGATGCGACAGATGTATTCGACTACACCCCAAAGATCGGCACAGAAGTTCATGGAGTCAACCTCGCCAAGTTGACGGACGCGCAGAAGGATGACCTTGCTCGCTTGGTCGCTGTTCGTGGCGTGGTCTTCTTCCGTGGTCAGGACGATTTGGACATTGACGCTCAGCGGGACCTAGGCAGACATTTCGGAAAGTTGCACAAGGTACGATGAAGCCGCCATAGATTTATTGCTTGTCTAGTGTTTTAACCCATCACTAGCATGCCACCACTGCTGTTCCTCGAAAGGAAGGGTTGGAGGATATCCACGTGGTCTATGCCGGCGACAATGCTACCGACCAGCGCGCGATGTTTACCCCCAGCTTCCTGTGGCACTCTGATGTATGTGACACAACCTCCCTACATATTCCTGGCAGCCTTTAACAAGTAGCAGGTAACCTACGAAGTTCAACCTCCATCTTACACATCCCTCAAGGTTCTGACCGGTCCCCCTCGGGGAGGCGGTGGCGATACTCTCTGGACCTCTCAGTATGCAGCATACGATGCACTTTCTCCTCACATGCAAACGTATCTCAAGGGCTTGACAGCGTTGCACTCCGCTGAAATGCAAGCATCTGACTCCAGAGCTCTTGGACGAACTGTTCGACGGGAGCCTGTCACCACGGAGCACCCGTTGATCAGAACCAACCCAGTCACTGGCTGGAATAGTCTCTTCTTCAATCCTGGTTTTGTCACCAAGATTGTCGGCATTCCCAAGACTGAGAGTGATGCTATCATCCGCTATCTCACGGAAATCATTGCAACAACGCAGGAGATGCACGCTCGCTTCCAGTGGAACAAAAATGATGTGGCCATTTGGGACAACCGAACAACGGTAAGCATCTTCATTAGCCTGGCAACTGAAACAAAATATTAATACAACACGCAGAATCATTCGGCTTCTTACGGGTTCGCACCTCACCGACGTCATGCTGTTCGAGTCGCTTCCCATGCTGAGCGCCCGGTCTTGGACTCAGCAGGAAAGTCGCAGGAGGAAGAATACATTGCTCGCTACAACCTGCCTCCTGTGAACAAGGATGGCTCTCGTCAGTCTAACTATAACGACTGAGCGGGATCATGGGGTGAAAAATTTTTAGGGATAATACTGAGGAGTTTTGACGTTGCGTCTGGGACTATCCCAACTGTCGAATAGAATCTGCAAGAGCTGGCTCTTGATGCAGACCGGCGAAGACTAGAGCATTTGCGATGTTTGCATATCTAACATCAGATTCAGCGTGTTTTATTTTCGGTTGAAGCCAGAGCGTTACATGGGCTTTCTGTCTTGTTATTTACCATGGGCGTTGCGGGGCACGTGGCTAGAACCACCTTCCTCCTCCTCCACCGTCCTTCTATACACCAACTAATCCAATCATTACCATCTGTATTCCAATGTTCTCTCTTCTTCATGGCCCATCCCACTGGCCCCTCATTATTAGCATACGCCCGCTATCACGGCATAGCAACCAGTTATGCAGATGTTGATCTTCTCCAGCTTGTGCAGGAAAGCTGCGTGGCAGTCCCCGATGCCCCGTTAAACCATTTAACTTACACCCGCGACCGGATTGACCAAGTCAAGGCATCCCTCGAACAGGAGCTTCTCCACGAGAAGCTTAATCTCAAGAAAGAAAGTGCAATTCTCCTCGCCTCCGCTCTTCGCAAACTCGAACCGGCCGACATTGAAGCCCACTGGGAGGGTATCCTGCCGTCATGGGATCGTTTCGACAAGTTCAAGGTGGAGCCGCCAATATTTACCCACGAGCAGGAGAAAGAGCTCCCCCCTTCAGCCGATTCTGCTTGTTACACTCACGATGAGTGTCATTTAAGTCCATTGGAGGACAACATAAGCGAGCGCGACGTGGTTCTAGCGAGGGGCTTGATTAATGGCATTGAGATATGCGACGAGAGCATCCGAGACGAGAGGTTGGATTGTACAAAGGAGGCGTTGCTATTGATACAAGAGTCCAGAAAACTTGGTGGTGGTAGTCACCTTGAAGTTCTCGAGGGCTTGCTGCATGCTGAACTGGGCTTAAAGGAGGTCAGGCTCTCCTGTTCTTTGTGGTCGTGCGTTGACTTTGATAGGTACCAGTTTCGCGGCCGGATTCTCCTTGTCTTCGTCCTGCAGATGATGAGGCTTTCAGTGATGACGAGTGCCCGTCCCCGGTGCTGGACGAGGTGCAGCTTGACTCTAGCATACCTGCAGAACATGGTGACGGGCTTTTGGGAGATCCATGTTTTGTGGCGGAGAAGATCGCTTGTGATCTGATATCTGATCGGCTGGATGCTATCTCATGCAAAGAGTCTATTAGATCGGGTTCTTCAGAGATACACAACTCGCAGTTGAATGGCAATGAGTTTGAGCAACTCGACAGTGCAACACTACCTCGATCTCAAGTGCTGGAGGAACCGTGCGAGATCTCTACTCATCCCGCACAACATGGCTCTTCAATACCCTCTGCCAGTCAGATGTCAGTGAATGAGACAAAATCCAGCCACAGCCTTTCGCGAGTGACGTACACTGAGATCACTGATAACATTGCAACTTCTGATTGTATGCCCTACGATGAAGATGCCTATGCCACTAACACGCCTCCCCCAAGTGACGTGGTTCTTGAGGAGCCCAAAGGTCAACTGCCAAAGACGCAAACAGACCTTGCACATATGCGACAAGGGCAGTCGAGCCCATTGATGCTAGGTTCTGTGAGCGAGAAATCATATGTGATGTCCGCCAAGGAACGTCTCGATTTGCCGACGAACGATCCTCAACCGGTCATCCCGAAAAACAGCGATGACGTTTGTCTTGGGAGTGACCATGTGGGGAACACTCTCATAACAGCAGAAGAAGAACCAGTCAGAAAGTCTAGGATACGGAGTGACTGCATGACTGTTGACGAAGCTCAAGCCTCATTCGCCAATGATCTGCTCAGCAAGGATTCGTGTCTACAACGAAAGCGCCCATCCAGCGATAGCTGGAATGACTCGACAGGCAGATACTCTTCCATAAAATCATGCAGGCTGCCTTCAGCCACTAAGAGACGTGAGAGTCTGCCTTTACACACCCCGTCGAGCCTAGGCTCCTTGGCGTCATTCATGCAGGTCAGAGGAAGGAAGCCCAAGACGACTGTTACACAAAGTCCCTATTTCAGTTCTCCTTCCATCGACACGAAAGTTTCAGAAGATGATGCATATCATTCGCTCACTCTACCAGAAACTTCCGTTTCGATAGAGCTACCTCAGCAGATTCCTGCTGCGCCACAAAGCCTCACACGCGGCCTAAAATTGGAGTTGTCTACAAGACTCCTCAAGACGCATCCAGACCTCGTGCGTCTTCTCGAACAAAGAAGACCACTCGTGTCAATAGAATATTTCGACCATCAGTACGACCAAACAGCCAAGGCTTGGAGCACTAGCGCCTCTTCCACAGACGCAGACATAGTCCTAGGTTGCACAACCGTTCTGATATTAACAAACCTCCAAGCCACTACTCAGCTATTCTTACCCGGACATAAATCAAATATCCCAGACGGTAACCCCAACGTCAACTCCCCCCTTCGCGAAAGGGTCTTCCTCCTTGCGAGGCAATACAGCATCGTATATGTCCTTATATGCCACAGCAGTGGCTCCTCATCCCAGTCCGCTCCAGGGAGTATAACTGTGCACAAGAACTTACTGACCTCTCTGAACTCCTTCACTGCTTTCTGTGACTCCCTTGCGGACTTTGCTAGTGTTCACTGCTTGTCGATTCCTTCGGTCGCGGGTACTGTTGCTGGGTGGATTTGTGCTATTGCTGGCCAATGTCAGATTTGATTCGCGGTATATGTAAGAGCTTTGTGGTATCTATTCGAAGTGTCTTGTCTTTATATGATTGCTGTATTAGCACTAGCGTTATAGGAATAAGATTTGGGGGCTGAGGAAAAATATTTTTTCACCCTGCGGTATAGACGCAGATCTTGAGATACCCTAACCCGCAGACAGGCAGTAGCTGAGATCCTAGTCGCTTGGTAGGAGCTTTCAAGTCATGGGGTATGATTGATAGATCAAATTTCCTTCGTAAGAGCTGATGCCAGGAGTGACTCAAAAGGTCCAATCTAGCTTGGCCATATACCAAACCTGATGCTGTGTGCTGATGAGCTAGATATGGCTCTATCATTAAAGGCATGTATCCCACCCTCTGAACCACAACACAGCAAAACCACACGCTACAACAATCAACTAATTTCACACCTACACAGCATCTGCAACAAACCCTCTTCATCCGGTAAGCCACACCGTTCAGCATAGCTAGCATACTATGTACTGTACAGTGTGGGAAAAGCATTCCTGTAGCAACAGTACGTGCTGCGTAATAAGACTATTACAACTGTTGGTGTACAGTTAGTAATGGTTACTATAGTTGTCAACAGTTGTCAACAGTGGCCGATAGTTGTCAAACTTATCAAGAATTCTGGATTGGGTTTTTCCACTAGCTAAGAACTGGTTCAAACCTATACAACAGTTTATAACTGTTTGCGATCTTTCAAAATCAGTTTATAACTACTTACTACCGGTTGGTGAACTACTGCTACTCTTCCCCTTTTCCCCGTACTATGTATATATTTGAAGCAAGAAGCTTCATACCCTTCTCCCCGTTCCCTGCTCTCATCTGGCAAAGATCTAAACTACGAAGTGCGTGTGACACTGAAACGAAGCCACATCCTCAACACTCACGACAAACCCGTCACACACAGGCAAGAGCACCAACCTCAATTCAACGTCCGCTCCTCTGGCCACCTCGATCATCGCTCTCATGGGATCTATCTATAGTCATCATGCGTTGATGTTCTGGGGCGGCTACGACCCCGCGTTATCAAAATAAGACCTCACCCCCGGCGTTTGCCCAAGACATGGCGTACCATGACCCACATGATGCGTCCGCAGATGGCCCCCTCCACCTCCTCCGTCTCCCCTAGACATTGAGTTTCTCGCTCCAAGCGAGAAGGGATCATTCGCTCCTCCCGCAGCACCGAAGCGAGCAAGCAGAACACTATCATGCGGAAGCTGCGAGGCTCCTGTCGTAGGTCTTGTACACGTCCCTCCACCACCGCTGATGCCATCACCACCTACTAGTCTGGTTCGATGCTGCGTGGTGGTCGTTGGTGCTGGTATAGAGAGGTCACGGTCAGCTGTAACGGTCAGAATGCCACCCCCACCGTGTTGATGTTTCTGGAGGGTTCAGGTTAAGGGTAAAGAAAGCACGCACGATGCCTATCCCGATCACCGAGTGTCCCCCTCCTCAACGCCGCCGGCGGGGGCATAGTCGCTGCATCCTCCTCCGCCGCCTTCCGTTTGGCTCTCGCCCCACCCCTCGAGGAACTCCCCGTCCCGCTCCGCTGGTGTCGGTGCAGCTGCTCCACGCCTGCATGGTCAACCGGGTAGCGATGTATTGGCGTCTGCGGGAACATCGAGTGTCCCGATGGTGCCGCGTGCGCAGGGGTAGCCGTCGTCCTCGCTGTCGTCGAGGTTGTCGCAAACGGTTGCGGTACTGCCGTCCCTGGTGCCAGCCCCGGTGGTAATGGTGACTCGCCCTGACGCGCGGGCGGCACAAGCGAGCTCAGCGTGCGATGCACCGAATCCGACGCGGCGGTCTGCATCTGCGACTTCATAGCGCGGGATTTCAGGAGGTTGTAAAGGTTGGTGATCTGCGTGAAGCGGTTGCATTTCTCGCGGTACATGTCGACGAGGTCTTGGTTCTTCTTGCGGAGTTGGTCTTGCGTGGTTTGCATGTCTGTTGTATGTTTTTGATTGGGTGATGTCGCGTGGGGTTAGTCTGGGACAGGGAAGGGGGAAGCTGGTTTGATACGAGGCAGAAGGGGTACGAACCTGAGAGCCGGGCTTGGAGGGCTGAGATCTCTGAGTTGGCATTGTGGATCACTTTGTCCATCTGCGTGTTGAGGTTGGCGTACTTCTCTGTCAGGGTCTTGCCGAGGAATTCCTGGTAGAAGCTGGTCCCCGGGGTGGATCGTTAGTAGTGTTTGGAGGTGGTGGTCTGTCTGGGCTTGGGATACTGTACATCTCCTGGGTCGTCTGGTAGGTCCAGAACAGGAGAGCGCGTCCGGCGCATTCCATGATCGTGTTCGGATCCAGCCCGCTGAGCACGCTCGTCTTGTAGTCTTCCGATGGATTGAGGATGGTGGCGACGGCGTCGTCGGGGTTGACCAGGATTGTTTGGCACGCGGGGCACCGGCGTTCGGCTGAGGTAGGATGCGAAAGACCGAGATCGCTCGCGCATTGGAGACAGAAGATGTGTCTAAGTAAGAGGCGGTGGTTAGTTGCACGCAATGAAGAAGATGCTGGGTAGGGCGGGGATGGACTCACGAGCAGGTCGTGACTACTGCTCTCTCTTTCAACTGGGCTCGACACTTGAGAGAATTGCATCGAAGGTAGAAATCCATTATAAACAGCGCTCGAGTCTCTCTGGGGCAGCAGGTGAGAAAGATGAGGGAGTTTCACTTGTAGGATGGATGATGCTACGCCAGTCTAGATCAGGGAAGTACGCGGAGGGAACAGTGTCCAGTATCTCAACTTGATCTATATACTCTCAAAATGGGTTTATACGGGTATCTTAGCATACATAAAGTTTCTCATTCTCCAACAAGCCTCGGTGCACCTGATCAAAAAAAGAACGTGTTTCCGGACGCATCGCGCCTGGTCGTCAGCATTTTCTGCTCGAACTCCGGTCCAGGCTCATATTCCCGCCACAGGCTCGCGGGAAAGATATGCTTGTTGCGCTCGTACCAGCGTCTATCGACCACTTTGGTCAAAGATGGGTCTTTGTCGGCTCCTTCTAGCTGATTGCTATTTGGCCTCGAGAGAGGGTCGTCGGATTGAGAAGCCGCCGGTGGCTTGTTAGAATAGTCGAACAACAGACCACCGGCACTTGAAAAGCTGGGCACACTGTTGGCGATGAAGTAATAAAGCTCATAGTGCTGCATCAGTCAGCCAATGCTCTACCTTTGCCCTGACAAATGACAGCACTCACATGTGGTACAATGACTTCGCCCTTCACCAGCATCAAGTCATCGACACTAATTCTAGCCCACTCACGGCGGCTGTCCTTGCGCGCTTTCGACGCCCCGCTATTGCCACCGACACCAAGCTCGGCCCCAACTTTTCGGCATCTGTCGAGAAAGAGCCAGACAGGGTCTCCCTTCTTGACTCTGACGGTCCCGGCCGGGATGTTCGTCCCGTCGTAGAAGATAAATGGGATCAATATCTCGGTGTTCTTCACAGCTTCCTGCATTGCCAGGAACTCCCGGCGGAGAGCATCCCGCGCCTCCGCCTCGGCCTTCAGCGCCGCCTTTGTCATTGCTTTCGGTGGAGGGGGTGCATTCGGGTTGGGCGTGATGCGCCGTGATGGCGGCGCGGAGCCATCGTCAACCGGAGTCTGTGAGACGGACCGTGGGACACTGGAGTCGCGTGGAGTACCGGCACCGCTGTCAATCTCCTCCTCTTCCTCCTCATCATTGTGAAATGAGAGCTTGCTCTTCACGAAGGGCTTCTTCTTCTTCTTCTTTTTCGGAGGGCCGTCGCTTCGTGGAGTCGAGGTACTAGTGCGTTGCGATCAGCTTGTCGGTCATCTTTGTAGATTTGCTGCGCCTTGACTTACCCGTCAGTTACATCGCCCGCAGAAGGAGTGGCACTTCGAGAAATACCAGATGAGCTTCTTCCTAGCGACTTGTCATGCGCTTCTCGCTCCTTCTGCTCGAGGACTTCCGCGCGGCGCTTGCGAAAATCGGAAAGATGGACGAGACCAACCGTCTGCGACTTGAGCAAGTCTTCCGCAGAGACTGTTTGGCTCGTGAAGGATCTCGGAGTCGAGCTATGACTGGGTTGTTCGGAATTCGACATTTTTGCCGGCGGATATGAAGTCGGATGGAGGATCGAGTGTACTCCGTAGTGGATGGTTGTTCTTCCTCACATGCAAGCAACTGACGTACTGGCACGTGATTCCGCAGAGCTTCCGAATTGGGACAGTGGGATAATTGCAAGCCAACAATGCCAATGGACTCGACGCGATGTTGACCAAGTAGACGCAATCACTCTGCAGCTGATCTCTTTGATTCTCAAAGCACTTGACTACTAGGAACCATTTCTTTGAAATCGAGATTTGGCGATTCCGATTCGACTGCGAGCAGACAAAGCAGGAGCAAACAGGCCAAACCCGCCGCCCGCTGCGATCTCCGCAGGATCGCCGTAAACAGGATCGCATTTCCGCTACGCCTCTTTATTCTCGCTCACTCCATACCTCCTACAGCTTTCAAGATGATGGACGACTCGGACGATGATTTCTACGATCCCGCCGATACGGTGCCTGTCTCTCACCATCAGAATGGTGCTCAGAATGCCCCCGCGGGTAACATGCAAGAGGATTATGAGGAAGAAGAGATAGAAGTGGACGAAGATGATGTATGTATAGTCGCAGCACCAGATGAACTATTGTCTCGACGTCTAACGCGATATGCAGGATGACTTCAACATTATTACCGAAGCACCTGCCGATGCACCAGCCCCAGAAGCGTGAGTTCGAGCTCTGCATCCTCTCCGCCAGCTTGCCTAACCGTTGAACAGCCCACATCCTCGCCATGCCAATCTGCGCGCGGAGTCGCAACGACCCTCGTCCGCAGAGTCTCCTCCTGCCCCGAAACCCGCCACTCCCTCTCTCACTCCCAAAGTAGAATCCGCCACTCCCGTGCCTCTCAGCGCAAGACCTCCCGCCCCCCAGAAGCCGGGCTCCGCATATCCTCCGGTCCATGCATCCACAATCGATGTCCACGCCAACCCGGTCCACCCGACGACAGGCAAGCCGATATTGCTGACTGACATGGATGCGGACTTTCCGGAAGACGACAAGCCATGGCGCCGGCCGGGATCCGACATCACAGACTACTTCAACTACGGGTTCGACGAGTTCACATGGGCCAGTTACGTATTGAAACAACAGGAGTTGCGCAAGGAGATTGGGGACCAGAAGAGACAATTGGATGATATGCAAGCTTTCCTAGGCATGGGAATGCCCCCGATGGCCGGTGGACCACCCGGTCCGGGTGTTCCTCCCAGCACCGCAGCGCCTCCCATGCCCGGTATGCCCGGTATGCCGGACATGTCGCCGGAGATGATGCAGGGAATCCTCACGAGCATGATGTCGCAGGGCTTGGACCCTGCATCGATGGACCCTATGACCTTCATGCAACATGCCCAGGCACTCATGGGCGGACAACCCGGCGCAGGCGGCGGACAGCAGGGTCAACCTGGATTTGGTGGTCAGGGTGGTGGTCAACCCCAGATGGGTTACGGAGGAGGATTTGGCGGAGGGGGGCGTGGACGAGGAAGACGATGGTAGTTAGAACTGATTATGGGTCTTTTCTAGTACTCCGTATTGATCACCTTATTACGATCATGGTTTGGGGGTGTAGCAATGGGTTGGGATTTGGAGTTCAGAAAATAGTCAAGGCATGCATCCATGAAATGGTAAGCAGAAGGTTTGACAGGTCGGCGTCGGTCTGGCCGGCTCGGGAAAGGAAGGGAGCGAACGAGCGGGTGATGTGCCAGTCTGGGGATGCTGGGGTAATTGCAGGTGTACAGTGTATACACCGGCAAAGTTGACACGACACAGTATGCTTTGTATCTCAATGCTTAATTAAAATATTCAAATGACTGGGAAGTAAGAATACTAGTAGTCAGTAGTGGTGGTGAGTTAATCCCTCGGCACAAAGAGAGAGAGAGAGCAATTGGAAGCTTGTTGGTCTTGGCATTCTGGAAATTTCTCGCGACTCCAGATCAGATCTTCGTTTCCCCGGCCGCTTCCTCTTCTTCTTCTTTTGCTCTTCACGCCTTGACTCACTCTCTTCTTTTATCACCCCTCTGCACTTCCTCGCTGCCTCTCGTGCTTAGCACCTCCAGTCACATCACCTTCACAATGGTATGTTTTCTTCTCCTTTTCCGGTGCTTAGAGCTCCAATTGGACTTTTCCGCCTTCTTCCATTGAATGGTCAATCGCTTTGATCATCCCCAACATCCACCCCTTGATACCTGGGTCAGTTACTAACCGTCTATTCCTGTCCACAGTCTTTCCTCCGCAACGTCAAGAACCTTGCCCCCCTCCTGGACCGCGTCCTGGTCCAGCGTGTCAAGCCCGAGGCTAAGACCGCCTCCGGTATCTTCCTCCCCGAGAGCAGCGTCAAGGAGCAGAACGAGGCCAAGGTCCTCGCCGTCGGCCCCGGTGCCGTCGACCGTAACGGTCAGCGCATCCCCATGGGCGTTGCTGTCGGTGACCGTGTCCTCATCCCCCAGGTACGTGATTGCCTTGGTGTTAGACGCAGTACCAATCTGAATAGATTCGGTCTGGGCATGGCTAACGCGGCCATCTGGTATAGTTCGGTGGTAGCCCCATCAAGGTCGGTGAGGAGGAGTACACCCTCTACCGTGACTCTGAGTACGCCTTCTCTTCCATCCTTTCCGGACTTCACGTCAATGACAGCTAACACTCCACCAGGATCCTCGCCAAGATCAACGAGTAAATTGGACTAGCAAAATGATGTTCAACGCTTGTTGCCTGTTGTTTAAGCCGCCTATAACGTGTATTATACCTTTTTCTTCCGCAAAATCATGAGCTTCAGCTATTCAGCTCTCTTGCACAAACAAATCTCTCACCTTAAAAAGCTCCACCCCCCGTGAGCTATGGAGAGCGTGAGGGCGCTGGCCCCTTCTCCTAGTCTTAGCGGTGGTTTCCCCCGAAATGTTCTGCTGTGCATTGTTGCTGAAAGCATAAATGACTGTTTGCATACCACATGATGTACTTTCCTGTTGTCACTACTTCACTCGCCATCGTGTTTTGGGTATCTGGCTCGATGACAGTATGTAATATGATATGATAATCTCCTCTCTCTAGTGTCGGTTCGTTCATTTCGTACTTTCCTTCAGGTGTCTTAGCTCAGGTATGAAGTTCTTAGTCCAGGCGGTGGTGACAAGTAGCCTCCGAAGCACATATCACGTTACTCTTCGCGGACTGTCGCGCCGTGCCTCCCGCGGCTGACCACGGAAACCGAACTCTGGATACAGTTATTTGCGAATGGCAGTGTTTCTCCTTTCCCGAACCACAAAGGGGATGGCAAGCCACTCGGTTCCAGGAGTAAGCACGATCAGCCATGCGTCATGTTCTGAACGAAAAGAACATCTCCTATAGAGCTTTGAGTATTCTAGGTCTGTACGGAGTACAAAGCAGAGTAGACCGCACATCACCCGGTAGCGTATGGTCTGGCGCCAGGATCAAGCTCGCCTCAAAAGAACTCACGCATAGGTATACGTCCGAGCGAACCATCCAGCCTACTAGTAGCATCACTAGCATGGCTGCTTGAAACAGGCGGAGTAAATCTTCAGGGATTATGCTGTTGGATGATGTGATAATTGGACTATCTGCTGGAATAGATCATATTGTTGCTGATACTAATACTCGGCGGTTGATGTTTGCAGGAAGCTAGATAGCTGGGTTGGTGGTGTATTACTTCGGGAGATGCTATCTTGGTATCGATGTGAATTAATCAAGTTTCATAACCATTACAGTCTTGTCAATCGATTCTAGGTTTATGATTAGGCCCTACAGTCACAGGAGCAGAGATGGTGGTTGCGCATGCCTGGGGGGAGCGAGATATATATGTATAAATTGATGCCGGGCCACGGCAGAATTGATCGCATAGAACGAGCGTGGAGCGATTGACACGGGAAATGGGACTCTGAACAAGATCCACAAGTCTTCCAGATATCATACTCAATAGCAAGATTGAGATACAAGAAAATCGCTGCATCTTTAATTCCTACTCCTACATCTCAGATGAAGCGCACGACCGCAGCGTAGAGACAAGTTATTTCTGGAGTTACCGAGTATGATTTCACCACAAACAGCCCAGACCTAAACTCTACCAATATCCACGGTTCAAACAAACAAAAACCCATCAATCATTCTCCTGAACTAATATTCACCTTATGCGCAACAACAGTGACATGATCTTCATATACTCCATACTCCCCTCACCCAAGCATGCAAACCAACCAAACCTGATCAACCCCCATCCACCATCCACCATCCACCCTTCGTACGCCGTACCCGTACCTACCGTCTTCTTCCATCCATCCGCCATCCCGCCTCGGACGTACGGAACTTCGCCCGCAAATCCCTTCCCCCCGTCTCTCCCCTCGCACCAGCAACCCGGTCCCTTAACTAGTAACTTATCTTGATCTTAATCTCTCGTCCTGCCTCGTGCAGCCCAGCCATGTGGATCTGATCTGATGTTGATCTGATCTTATCTCAACGGGAGGGTTCGCCCTTGGTGTCGATTGTCGAGTAGTTAATTTTGACCTCTGTTTGGGGCGTTACATACGATGGTTGTATTTATTACCATACACATACCGTAGTATCGGACACTCATACACTTCTAGTGGATGGATGTGCCCGACTTACAGGTACAAAGGTTAATTTAACATGGCTTAACTGGATTTCGTAAAGGTGCCGTAAGGTGAATAGGTAGATATCTTAGATAGGAAGGTTGGGTGGTAGGTACCGTAGGTAGTACTTGGGGGGCAGTGAGGGGTGCGTGTGTGTTTGTCGGGCTGGACATACAGCACAGCACATACTTGCGTACATGTATACTGCGCTGCTCGTGCACAAGCTGGCGCTGCACGTGTGTCCAACATGTGTCTAATGTGTCTAATGTGTCAATGGGGGAGGCGCGGGGGAGAGGGGATTTGTGCACACCGCTTTTGCTTGTATCACATTATCAAGGCACTATCAAGGCACTTCCAAGATGGACAACGGACAACGCATATTTGCAGTGGAATGGTGGGGAAGAGGGAGCAAGAAGGGGGGGGTGTCTGATAGACAAGTCATCCCTGCATGCATTGGTATGATGCAGTAGTTATTTTCCGCTTTTCCTCGGAACTTTGTGTCAAAGCACGGAGTAGTCTGTACTAAGTGTGCCATCCACGTCTATGCTGTAAGGGCGACGGGTAGATCGCGGTGGAAAGAGAACTTCTCATTTCTAGGTACGTAGTAGAAAAGATGCATCTAAGCTGAGTACCTCGGCAACATTCATATCGTTGTATTAACGACTATCAAGTCTAAGCAGTGTTCAACTCCAGAACGGACAGTTCCCGTCTTTTCCTTGCACTTGAAATCAAAGCAAAGCCGGGGAATCCATGTGTCACCAAATAAAAAAATGAGTAAAATAACAGAATGACGTAAACAACCGTATCATGCCATGCATTCAGAAAATAAAATCTCATGGGAAAGATTAAATTAAAAAATAAAAAAAGGGGAATCAGCAGAAAAGACTCTCCTTTTCCTTTACGCGGAACCAAACTCCTTGATGTCGGTCTGCTTGCCGAGCAGGGCAAGGGGAACGATACCACTGACGTGCATCTCGGGGCCGTACACGTGCATGTTGAGGCCAAGCTCCTCACCGACCGCCTTGATGTTCTTAAGACCCTCCTGATAGTTGGGACCGGCACGACGAACCCAGATCTGGACCTTGTGCTCGTTGAGGACGGGGGCGACCTCGCGGAGAGCGCGGATGACACCCTTGAAGGTGGAGGCAACGTTGGTGAAGTTGGCAATACCACCGCCGATGAAGAGGACCTTGCCCTCGGGGTGGGTGGGGGCACGCAGCATCAGGTCGAGGATGGTGCGGGCGTAGTTGAAGGTCTGAGTCTCGGTGGGAGCACCCGAGTACTCACCGTAGTTGGCGAGCTCGCTGACGAAGCCAGCAGAGGCAATGGCATCGGCGTAGACGACGGAGGCACCACCACCAGCGACCAGGGTCCAGACACGGCCGTTGGCGTTGAGGACGGTCAGCTTGAGGGAAGCACCGGTCTTGGCGTCCATCTCGGAGATGAACTTCTCCTCCTTGCTCAGCTCACGGCCGAAAGGAGCGGGGAACTCCATGGGGGGGCCAGCATCGACGTTGACCTTCTCGCTCTTGATAACGGGCATGCCCAGGTTGGCGGGGCTGCGGGCAATGGCCCACTTGGTACCGCACTCGAACTCAGCGGTCTGGTCGAGCTTGGCAGCCAGATCGAGGAAGTGAACCTCAGCGGAGGTGGCATCGGCGTTGGGAATAACAACCAGGGGGTTGATCTCAAGGTAGGTGAACTGGCAGTCCACGTAGACGGCGTAGAGGCGGGAGATGAAGTCAACGAGGACATTGTGGACACCCTTGGGGACCTTGCTCAAGAGAGTAGCAGCGATCTCCTCGTTGGAGGGGTAGTTCTTGAGGTTGACGGGAATGAGGAGCTTCTCGGCCTTAGCATCGACATCACCAACATCGACACCACCCTCGTGGGTGAAGAGGATCCAGTCACCCTGTTACGGATTAGCATTCAGTTTAACTGTGAGAGGAATCTGCGATGTTCCTTACCTCACGCACGGAGTGGATGTTGATGTAGTACTCAGTCTCCTGGGGGTGAGGCACAAAGGGCTCAACCAGGAACTGACGGAGGAAGCCGGTCACGGTCTCAACCTGGATCTCCTTGCCAGCACGAGCCTCAATCCACTCCCGAGCCTCAGCCCAGGTCTTGTTCAGGGCCAACAGGCCGCTCTTTCCACGTCTCTTGATCAATTGATCGGGCTTAGCCACGAACTTGGATCCGGGAGTCAACAACCAAGGGTAGAGGACCTCGGCCTGGTCGAGAACATCCTTGACGGAGGCATCTTCGGGGAAGTAGAGGGAGGCGAGCTTGGGAGGAGGGTTGTGCGTGGAGGAAGGAGGAAGAGGAGTTGGCTTGATAACGGGGGCACGAGTGAGGTGGTAGTTGAGGATGGCCTTGCCATCAGCCTCGAGAATCGACTTGGCGGACATGATGATCGTAAGAGGAGAGGTAGGATAGAATTAAACTGAAGAAGATGTAAGAGGCGGAAGACAACAACAACAATGGAGAGATGGGGAGGGTTTGTTTGTATATGGGAAGCAAACCCCGGATTAAGAATATACCTGATAATTTGAGAGAAGTAGGAGGAAGAGTCAAGCTGGAGAGAGAGAAAGGGAGAGAGAGGACGGGATAATTTTTTTTGGGTAGGTTGGTAGGAATTATTACCAGATGGGAGATGTCACTGGAAATAGATCGGAGAGAGGGGTGGGTTGAGGGGAGGAGTAGGTAAGAGGAGGAGGGGGGGGTGGATGAAGTGGGCAAAAGAAGACGAGTAAAAAGAAGTCGGCAGGGGGAGAAATGAGAGAAAAAAGAACCAAATACTGACACTATGCAGCATCCGATGAAAGGAGCAGGTGGTGGTGGTGGTGGTGGAGAGGGAAATTTTTCTGAATATTCCGTATGATCGTCTCAAACAAGAGTGAATTGGGAGCCACCAGAGGCAAAACAATGACGATACCAGGCATTACCAGGGGAGTTTCCAGAGTTTCCAGAGTTTCCAGAGAGTTTCCAGTAAAGAAGTTGTTGAGAACTGGAGATGTAGTGGAGCCTCCGTAACAAAAAGCGGGGCGGGCGAAGACCCAGCCTGTCATCCTGGATTGGCGGGCGTTGGGGATAGTGCCGCAGTATCTGCCCTACGCTGTAGCCTCAATACCACTTCTGCCATGCGTTGCAGCCAGGAATTTGTTGGGTACGTGGTCAATTTGTTGGCATGGGCCGAGACGAAATCGGAAGATAGTCTTAGATTAGCATATTGGTGATGCTCCATGCTGAGAATCACTACTACGGAGTACACTATAGCTATTTACTATATACTCAAGAAGCTACAACTACTGTTGAGTTTACTTATGCTGTACGATGATGTAATCCAGTCTCTCCCCAGTCTCTTCAATTTTGGTACCTGAGGCTGCCACTGATTCTGATAAGATAAGGAAAAGAGATGAAAATGAGGGGCATTGGAATCATCAAGTGGACAGCTCCCTCTTGCGATCAGATCCAGCCAGAATGATGAATCACTCCTTCAATTCCCCTTCATACCGCGGGTTCATCTTTCGGTGAGGGAGCAATCATCCTGGCAGCCTGGCCATGCACTGTGCAGACGTGAGCAGAAGTACTCGGTAGATGTGAGTCTATCATCCATCTCGTCCCTGGCCGCCAGCCAGTGCGGATCCGGGCTCCACTCCGCTCTAACCCCAACCAGCTCAATGCTCAGTGCTCATTGTGAACCAAGGGAGTTTCGGAATACGGTATGGGGTGGTGTTCTCAAATCATTCCTGATCTGGGCGAATTTCGCTTCCAACCCGCGGGATAGAAGATTCACGAGTACTTCAGATACTGGCCGGACACCTCCGTTCCTTTGTCGCATGGTTGCTGATGAGATTCCTGCGGAAGTAGAAGGATTCATCAGTTGATGCTACAAAACTCCGTACTCCATTTAGCGTCGGAGGTAGTCAAGTAAAGAATAAGAGATTTGCCTGTTTCAAGGACTCACCTAACGAAGAGTAGTCAATGACCCCAGGTATACAATACCTATGAGGCTATAATCCATTCCTGAGCAATTCGGAACAAGGAGCTGAGCCAGAATTGATTGACTGCTCCGTACGGGACGTTACCATGTTTCTACCCCATTCATACCACCATCGGTATGGTAAGTAATAGAGATACTGCGCCTCTAGCCCCATAATTCTCTACTCCTTCCCCCCCATCAAGCTCCCGATATCGTTTCCCCCCCTCCTCCTTTGCTTTTATTTTTTCTATTTTACTTTTTTTGGGATCTTGCATTTTTTTTTTTTTATTTTGTTTTTCACCCATTATCCGCCTCTTCCCATCAGTCCATTCATCTGTCTCGCCGATTCTCGTTTCTCCATCCCTTTCGTTGCATTACTCTCTTCCTGTTTTCTTCCCTTTTGTTCACCTCCTCATCCTCTCTCCGTAAGGTCGCGACATTCGGTGTGACTTCTCTTTCTCTCTCTCTCTCTCTCTCTCTCTCCTCCCCCTCCCCCTCTATACCAACTCATACCTACATATTAATACCTCCTCCTCTTCCTTAATCCTATTTCCCCATCAGTCAAAGCTCTGTTGACAGGTAAGCATCTACCCAAGCCTTTCCCCTCCATTGTCTCCAACGCCGGTCATTCTTCTCCCCCAAACCTGGTTCCATCTCACCCACCAGACTATACCTCGGTGCTAACAGTCAATACGGTTCATAGAGTAACAGCCATCATGCCTAACGGTGCTCCTTTGCTCAACACTGCCAATGGCACCTCCGCCAACGACAACATCACCCGCTTCGAGCCCCCCAGCCGTGTGCTTTCTCCCCTCAACCACACCCTCTTCCACAACAAGACGAGATGTTTCGTATAGTAAGTGCCATTGGAATGCCTCCTCCGTGGGCCATTGTTGACAATGCAACAGTGGCATGCAGCCCCGGGCTGTCCAGGGTATGCTGGACTTCGACTTCATCTGCAAGCGTAGCACTCCCTCCGTCGCCGGTATCATCTACACTTTCGGTGGTCAGTTCGTGAGCAAGATGTACTGGGGTACCAGCGAGACTCTCCTCCCCGTCTACCAGGACGTCTCCAAGGCTATGGCCAAGCACCCCGATGTTGACACTGTCGTCAACTTCGCTTCTTCCCGTTCCGTCTACAGCTCTACTATGGAGCTCATGGAGTGCCCCCAGATCAAATCCATTGCCATCATCGCTGAGGGTGTCCCCGAGAGAGTACGTTCACCTCTGGCTCGCATTGATTCAGCCATTGAAACTAACGCTGTGACAGCGTGCTCGTGAGATCCTCGTCACCGCCAAGGAGAAGGGTATCACCATCATCGGCCCTGCTACCGTCGGTGGTATCAAGCCCGGTGCTTTCAAGATCGGTAACACTGGTGGTATGATGGACAACATCGTTGCCTCCAAGCTCTACCGCAAGGGTTCCGTCGGTTACGTCTCCAAGTCCGGTGGTATGTCCAACGAATTGAACAACATCATCTCCCAGAACACCGACGGTGTCTACGAGGGTGTTGCTATCGGTGGTGACCGTTACCCCGGTACCACTTTCATTGACCACCTTCTCCGTTATCAGGCCGAGCCTGAGTGCAAGATCCTTGTCCTCCTCGGTGAGGTCGGTGGTGTGGAGGAATACCGTGTCATTGAGGCCGTCAAGAACGGCACCATCACCAAGCCCATTGTTGCCTGGGCCATCGGTACCTGCGCCAGCATGTTCAAGACCGAGGTTCAATTCGGTCACGCTGGTGCTTCCGCCAACTCCGACCTGGAAACCGCTGTTGCCAAGAACAAGGCCATGCGTGAGGCTGGTATCTACGTTCCCGAGACCTTCGAGGAGCTTCCCCAGACTCTTGCTCAGGTCTACAACGAGCAGGTTGAGAAGGGTGTCATTGTTCCCCAGAAGGAGCCCGTCCCCCCCAAGATCCCCATCGACTACTCCTGGGCTCAGGAGCTCGGTCTCATCCGTAAGCCCGCTGCTTTCATCTCCACCATCTCCGACGACCGTGGCCAGGAGCTGCTGTACGCTGGCATGCCCATCTCTGATGTCTTCAAGGAGGACATTGGTATCGGTGGTGTCATGTCTCTTCTTTGGTTCCGTCGCCGCCTGCCTGCCTACGCCAGCAAGTTCTTGGAGATGGTTCTCATGCTTACTGCTGATCACGGTCCTGCCGTCTCTGGTGCCATGAACACCATCATCACCACCCGTGCTGGTAAGGATTTGATCAGTGCCCTGGTCTCTGGTCTCCTGACCATCGGTTCCCGCTTCGGTGGTGCCCTGGACGGCGCTGCTGAGGAGTTCACCAAGGCCTTCGACAAGGGCATGAGCCCCCGTGACTTCGTCGACACCATGCGCAAGGAGAACAAGCTGAGTATGTTACTTCAATCCTTCGTGAATTCTGAATTTGCTGCTAACCGCCTCTAGTCCCTGGTATTGGTCACCGTATCAAGTCCCGCAACAACCCCGATCTCCGTGTCGAGCTTGTTAAGGAGTACGTCAAGAAGAACTTCCCCAGCACCAAGCTCCTCGACTACGCCCTTGCCGTCGAGACCGTCACCACCTCCAAGAAGGACAACCTGATCCTCAACGTTGACGGCTGCATTGCTGTCTGCTTCGTTGATCTCATGCGCCACTGCGGTGCCTTCTCCCCCGAGGAGACCGAGGACTACATGAAGATGGGTGTTCTCAACGGTCTCTTCGTTCTGGGCCGTTCCATTGGTCTGATTGCCCACTACCTCGACCAGAAGAGACTGCGCACTGGTCTCTACCGTCACCCCTGGGACGACATCACCTACCTCCTCCCCGCCCTTCAGAAGGGTGGATCCGAAGGTCGTGTTGAGGTCACCGTCTAATTTCCTACATCCCCCTTTTAATATACTTGCATTTCATGATTTAGTCATAAAATCCGTCAGAGCTGACGTCGGAGTTATGATGGCTTGCTTTTTTTTTCATTTTTTATTCTCTGCATTGGCTTGGTTCACTTCATACCTCCTTCTATTCCAACTTACAAACTGTAGTGGCACGTGTGGCATGACTAGCTGATAGGGTTGATGAATTTTACGCGATGACTCAGACACTGCAATTAGACAATCGTAAATAATGATATTTGCTTTTTGAAGAGTTGAATCGGCCATAAGCAGTAGTAGTAAAGTGAGTCCGGAGTGTATTTATATCCTTTGACAATCTGGTATTTATCTTGGCCCCGCCGAGGCTGCCCCACATCGTTGGCAGAAAATCAATTCCATCACCGCCAGCAGATACTCCAATTTACGACCTGGACCTGTGCAAATCAGAAGATCGCATCACTTCAAACTATCAATCGCGCGCGACACCTCTCATTCCATCCTAGCTCATCACGAGCTCAAGCCTAGAATACCAACTCCCACTAAGCACACAATTCTCCCTCTTCGACAATTACTGGTGATAATGGTCCGCATCAAACACCGCTACCTCCTCCTCGACATCCTTTACCCGGACCCCGCGACCTGGCCTCGAAAACCTTCAACGTCCACCTCCTCCACACAAGCCCAACTCCAGATCCACGCGCCCACCTCCGACGCCCTGACCCCGAGTCTTCTGGCCAAGCTGGTCCGCGAACAAGTCGCCGAGTTATTTGGTGATTGGGGCGTAGGCCGGCTGGGTGGTGCTGGGGCGGGGGGTGTTAGTGGTAAGCCTTTCTTTCTTTCTTTCTTTCCCTTGTCTTGCCGTACTTTCCTGTCATTTTTTGGCCGTTATCTTAAATCGCCTTTCCTTGTCTATCGTGGTGTGTGGGTTTTCCCAGGTTCGGGATGGCTACGCAAGGCTACGCAACGCTAAATCCGAGATAACCCCCAAAGCTAATCCTTGTTGTTAATTTCGGTGCGATAGTCAAATACCTCTCCCCTGCAACATCTACCGCCATCATCCGATGTCCCCGTGCCTCATTCCGGTTGGTCTGGATGGCCTTGACGTGTTTGGAGGTTGTGCCGGAGTACGCGGCCTCGCGGAATGCCGCGATGACGAGGCGGTGCGTTTTCCGCGTCATCAGGGTGTCCGGGACTATGCGGAAAGCGGAGGAGGAGGCGATTCGGAGGGCGAGGAGGGAGGTCCTGCGATTAAAAGGGGGTGGGGAGGGGGATGTGTTGGAGGGAGTTTTGGGGGGGTTGGTTGGGGGAGGTGGGTCTGTTAAGGGCGGGAAGAAGGGGGGTGGTAGTGAGGTTGATGATGTGGATGTTGATGTTATGGATGAGGATTTGAGTGATGATGATGATGATGATGTTGGAGGGTTGTGATTTGGTTTGTGTGGGCGGTTTTCGTGCATTTGCGGCTTTGTGATATTAACTAGAGATACCCTATTATACAATGTATAGAAACTTTTCAAACATAAGGAAAGAAGAAAATGTGTCATGACTTTCGTATCACCTTCACGCCGCTATTTGATATCGAGCCTCGCCCCATATCCCCGTATTCTTCGTCGTCTTCGTCGTTCTCGGCGCCGTCACCACCACCAGCCGCCTGCTCTCGCGCTTTTGCCTCGGCTTCCAGCTGCTTGAGCTCGTGCTCGTCGTACTGCTCTTTCGCGTCCAGCCACCGCTCCTGCACGTCCCGGATGTCCATCTGGCCCAGCCCTTCCCGGACCGCCACCTGCCAGACGGTATCGTTGGCGCCCTCGGCCGGCCCAAACACATACCCGCTGGCGCGGTCGATGGCGTGCAGCAGGTTCATCATGCTCTTCTTATCCTCGACGGCCAGCGTCTCAAAGGCCACCAGACCGAACTCCTCCACCAGGTCGATAATGGCCTGGTTCAGCGGGCCGAACTTCTCGTGCGACAGGCGTGAGGATTCGGATTCGAGATGCGGCAGCAGATAGCTCAGGTCTTGAACCTCGGTGTAGTAGTCCAGGTTGAATGGCAACGGGGCGTAGTTGGACAGGTTGTCGATCTTGGTGAGCACGTTCAGGTGCGGCAGGTCCATCTGCAGCATGGCGCGGAGGGAGAGAAGGAGGGCGGAGATGTACATCGAGGGGAGGGTGAGGTTGTAGGAGTCGATGAGGTGGATCACGATCATCTGGTTGTAGTGTGTTTGTTAATTTAGGATAGGGTTCTTGGGGTTTTGGGGACGGCGGCGCATACTCGGTACCCCAGCTTCTGAATCTTGAAGAATATATTGCGCAGGGAGGAGTGGTGGGTGAAGATCTCGACTTGCCCGGGGCAGTCGAATAGTACGTAGTCATCTGTGAGGTTTCAAGACATTAACTAAGTGTCTGTATAGTTTGTGCTGTAGGTGTAGCGCCATACCTCCCAGGTCCTTCAGCCCCTCCTCGAGGAAATCGAAATTCTCCTCCAGCTCCTCCAGCGCATACAGCACCCCGCCGTTCGGCCCCAGCTGGTCCTCACTCATGATCTCCTCCAACGTCACCAGGTCGCGGACGTCCAGCGCACACGGATACGAGGTCTGATCATTGGCGGGGTCCAGGTTCACAATCGAGCACTTGCGGCCGATCGCCCCGAGGAACTGGTGCATGCCATTGCAGTAGGTCGACTTGCCTGCCCCGGGGGGCCCAATCACGAGTTGTGCAAACGGCATGATGCTGTAACTTCAGAAAGCTCAAGTCGCAATCAATCTCCCTCTCCGAAACCAGTCCGAAGAGATGTCCGCCGTGATACATGGCGGGGAGAATATTCCATGAAAGTAGCGGTGAAGAGCGGCAGAAAACGAACCGTCGGAGCTTTCGATGACGCCGGGACGATCAACAACGGTTTTGACACTGGACGTTTTGAAGCTTTGCTGGATTATAATTGAAGCACGCCTACCATGGCTTCTAGTTAGTCCTACTCGCTTGGATATATGTGCGACTCTGTGGATGCGTGCTAACTAAAGCTAACACCCCCTAGATCAATTCGCTGTCGCATCCCCGCCGACGGATGCTATATCCGCGCTCAAGTTCTCGCCCAACGCCGACTCCACGCGCATTGTTGTGTCTTCGTGGGACAAGCATGTCTACCTGTACGATCTGCGGGACGAGAATGGGGCAGTAGGAGAAGGCAAGTTGTTGCAAAAGTTCGAGCACCGCGCGCCGGTGCTGGATGTGTGCTTTGGCGCGACGGAGGACGAGATCTACACGGCTGGGTTGGATTGGGGTGTGAGGAAGTGAGTATCCTCTGAGTCTAGTGGTGATGCTTTCATGGGACCTCAGGCTACAAGCTTTGGTCTGGTCGACACGCAGACACTGACCACGGACAGAATCGATGTCCCCTCGTCGACGCAGACGGTGCTCAGCACCCACGAGGCCGGAGTGCGCAGCGTCGTCTACAGCAAGGACCACAGCCTGGTAATATCGGCCTCGTGGGACTGCACGCTGCATGTGCACCTCACCAATGACCCCGCCACCCTCCCCGCCATCATCCCCCTCCCCTCCAAGCCGTTCTCCATGTCGCTGACCGCCACGAAACTGGTCGTCGCCATGGCCTCGCGCGCGCTGCACATTTATGACCTCAAGGCCCTGGCCCTCCTCACCGCCCAGTCCGAGGGCACCGGCCCCCTCAACAAGGTCGAGGTCGAGCCCTGGCAGCGCCGCGAGAGCAGCCTGAAATTCATGACCCGCTGCGTCGCCTGCATGCCCGACGACGCCGGCTACGCCTCCTCCAGCATCGAGGGCCGCGTCGCCGTTGAGTGGTTCGACCCCTCCGCCGAATCCCAGGCCCGCAAGTACGCCTTCAAGTGCCACCGCCAGACGGCGGATGATGTTGATGTTGTTTACCCTGTCAATACGCTCGCCTTCCACCCCGTCCACGGCACGTTCGCGTCCGGCGGCGGCGATGGCGTCGTCGCCCTGTGGGACGGCATGGCTAAGCGGAGAATCAGGCAGTACCAGAAACTGCCCTCCAGCGTCGCGGCGGTGGATTTCAGTGCCAATGGCAAGTACCTTGCCATTGCTATCAGTCCGGGCTTCGAGGACGGCAAGGAGGATGTCGCCGAGGGGACGGTTAAGATCTTTGTGCGCGAGCTCGGCGAGACGGAGGCCAAGGGGAAGGGGGCTAAATAATCTATGCCTTAAATAAATACCAAATCCGACTCCATGAAATTTTACTCTCGTGATGACTGCCACCGTTGATGCTGTTAGACAGAAGTGTTGTCCAGCCTCCCATATTTACTGTCTCTCGTAAAAACATGACAAAGCAGGTTTGTGGTTCTCAAACGATGCTAATGTGAAATAGTATCATGGTATCATTTCTTTTAAAGGAAAATCTTCTCTCATATCAAACAACCAAAAAGAAAAATGTCATACACCCGCCCTCGAACGCATGCATGCATGCTTTGCATGCACCCCTTAAGCAGCAGCCTTCCTCACAGACACCGACCCATCCGGCATCCCAAAGTAAGCCGCAATAGGCTTCTGACCGCCCACGCCCACGGCCAGGGCCTGCGCCTGCGGTCCCGTCACGCCCGAGAAGATTCCCACGTCGAGCACGCCGGGGATCTGCTTGATCGCGCGCGACAGAGCCTCGACCTCCCACACGCCGTCCTTGCCGCTGCCGTCCTGGCCGGCCGCGACGTCCGCCTGCGTCAACAGCGTCGCAAACGGCGCGTCGATGATGTAGAACGCCTGGTCGGTCTTCAGGGGCCCCTGCTTGGGGTCGGCGTTCAGGCGGAGCGCGGGCTGAGTACTGCCGAGAGCGCGCAGCGCGGTTAGGACGCGCGCGGCGGCGATGGGAGCAACTTCGATGGGGATGTATTTCCAGTTGGAGAGGAGGCGAGATTGGAGTTTGCGGGAGTCTAGACATAGTGATCTATATTAGTTCCCAGGAAGTTGAAAGAAAAGGGACCTTGTCTTCTTCTTCTTCTTTTTATTTTTTTTTTGGGGGGGATTTTTTGGGCGGAGAGGTAGCACGCACCAGCAACGCAGATAAACTCCTTCGCCTGCAGAGCCACAATCTTCTCCTGGAAGAGACAGGCACCGCCGCCCTTGATCAAATTCAGGTCGTCGTCCACCTCGTCCGCGCCGTCAAAGGCCACGTCCAGCACGGTGCCTTCGGGCAGGGAGTCGAAGTCGACGGCCGTCAGACCGGCTGACAGGATCAGCTGCTTGGATTGGAAGCCCGTGGGCACGTATTTTGTGGCTGTGGTGTCAATGCCAGACTCCTTGATCGCCTCGACCACGTACACGATGGTCGAGCCGCTGCCGATGCCGACGAAGCGTGCGTCCTTGGGGTAGTGGTTCTGCACGGCGGCTTTGCCGGCGGCGCGCTTTGCGGTTTCGATGACGCTGGTCATGGTGGAGTTGCGGCGGGAAGGGACGGTTGCAGAGGGAGGGCGCGGGGTGAGAGAGGTGAGTGGAAGACTGAGCAGCGATGAGGAGGGGAATGTTGATCGGGCTCTGTGACGGTAGTATTAATAGCGCGGGATTGACGGAGTGAGGGGCTTGAAGCTAAGCTGCCAGAAGAAGAGGCACGGAATACGGGCTGGACGGACGGAGCAGTGGTGCCCGCCGGTGGGGGAGGGGGGGTCTGCCACTTACAGCTTATGGAAACAGTTGAAATACCCACGAGGGATTCTCCCTGCCATGGATCAGATCCAATTGACCCTCTAGATCAATTACTCCGGAGGATAATTGGTAGTGATGTTTGTGCACTGTATACAGTCTGGCCCGGCGGGGTGAGTGTCGTCATTCCTGCCTCAGGTGTTAAGGCATCAGTCTGTGCAGTGCATCACGTGGCATTGTTGAACCAGTGACCAGCAGCACCCATCAACAACAGCTACACTTCTCCCAGCAACAACTAAACATCATCATCATCTTCTCCATCTTCTTTACGCTTCTGTCAACGATAGCCCCTCATGACCGAAGCTTTCCCCGCTGCCTTGGTAGGGCCTTCGTCCAAGGAGAGGAAATATGACCGCCAACTGCGTCTGTGGGCTGCTAGCGGTCAACAAGCCCTGGAGGAAGCTCGAGTTCTTCTGGTCAATTCCGATGGACCCTGGGGTGAGCAGAGCACCGGCGTCTCGGGTGTAGTGGGTGTCGAAACTCTGAAGAATCTTGTGCTTCCCGGCATTGGGGGTTTCACCATCGTGGACCCGGCCCTGGTGACCGAGCCCGACCTGGGAGTCAACTTCTTTCTCGAAGAGGAGAGCCTGGGGAAGTCTCGAGCCCAAGAGACTTGCCGCTTGCTGAGAGAACTAAACCCTGACGTAGAAGGAAATTCTGAATCCAAGGTATCTCCAATCCGTCAGAAGCGCTGTAAACTCCCGCGGGTCTCAGCTAATGGCGATTTCATAACAGCCCATCACGGAGCTTCTGCAAGACCCCAACTTTCTACCACAGTTCAAGCTGGTCTTAGTATCGGGACCGGTCAAAAGGTCGACCCTCAGCAGCCTCAGCAGTGCTGCCAAGGCACTGGGCATCCCTGTCCTGTATACGCGCTCAGTTGGATTCTACTCCACATTTTCTCTCCAGCTCCCTGCTGCCTTTCCCATAGTAGAGACTCATCCGGACCCTGAAAGCACCCAGGATCTCCGCCTCCTGAACCCCTGGCCTGAGCTGGCGGCGTCTCTAGCTGGCATTAGTAATCTGGAGACTATGGACGACCATCAGCATGGCCATGTACCTTACATCTTGCTCCTACTCCACTACCTAGAAAAGTGGAAGGAGACTCATGACGGGAATCTCCCATCTAATTACAAAGAGAAGATTGCATTCAGGGAGTTGGTGCGGTCTGGTGCACGCACAGCTAACCCAGAGGGTGGGGAGGAGAATTACGATGAGGCCGTCGCCGCGGTATTGAAGTCACTGAATCCCTTCACGTTGCGGAGCTCACTGCGCGAAATTTTCGAGATGGACGAGTGCAACACCCTGACCTCCAACTCGGCGGACTTCTGGCTCATTGCATCAGCAATCCGTGACTTCTACACAAAACACAGAGTCCTGCCGCTGCCTGGCTCCTTGCCTGATATGAAAGCACAGTCAGCCGACTACGTGTCGCTGCAAAACATCTACAAGTCCAAGGCACGAGAAGATCTGGCAGAGGTGATTGAGACTGTGCGGGGTCTTGAAGCCAAACTCAGCCCTCGACCGGGACAAATCGCAGACAAGGACATCGAAGTATTCTGTAAGAACGCAGCACATATTAAAGTGATTCATGGCCGCGACCTGCCTCTATTAGACGGCGACACGCACACACTGAAAGCTATCCATAACGCCCTAGGCGATCCTGAATCACTGATCTCAACTTTCCTGGGGTTTAATATCCTGGATAGTATTATCACCGAGATCCAGACCGGCGCGCTGAACCAGGAAGCGTTGGAGTCTTCACTCGCGTGGGAGGCAGGAGTGGATCGGGTGATCCAATCCCTTACGTCGGAGGTCTCGGCGACCATTGACGAGGAAACAAAGCAGCGAATTCTCCGCACGACCCAGGAGCTTCAGCGCATGCAGGGCGGAGACTTGCACAACGTGTCTGCTCTCACGGGAGGGCTAGTCGCTCAGGAGGCTCTCAAGGTGATTACGAGGCAGTATGTCCCCTTGGATAACACTTGCGTGTTCGATGGGATCCGAAGCCGTAGCGAAATGTACAGACTTTGAATGCCCCTTGCAAGAACCCATGACAAGACCAATGCTATGGAATGAGATCACGAATAGCCTTTGCCCATGTCATTTTTGAGCGCGGCCGCGCGTATAGGACGTCAAGAGCATAAACGGGCCGGGCGGCCAAGCAGAGCTAACCGAACAATGTTGACTCGTAGCGGTGGCAGCAGCCGGATGAATCCTGATCAATTTTACTGCGCACATTCCTCCAAGAACCCAGGCTCAAAGGCTGGCCAGTGCGGATTCCCGCCATCATATTATGGACACTGCCCCTTGCAGCCACTCCTTGACTGATCACCATGAGGCTTTTATCTCCCCATATCTGCTTTTGAAGCTCTATTTTTCTCCGCTTGGTTTCACTCTCGCCTCTTCTCTTGCTCAAACTGTACCGTACAACGCCGGCGACAATTAAGAATCGTTGAAATTACGTCATTCAACAGGAGAAGATCCGGGATAGATGTTTGTCTCAAATCGAGAACAGACATTAACAACATGGTGCGGGATCTGTGTGGTTTGTTCTCAAATCAGGGGCAGCAGCAACCGCCCAAGTTTCTCAAATGGAGGACATCAGATGCCTTCATTAGCTTCGTGGTTTGTTTCGCAGTCTTCACGGTAATGCCACCTCCTCGAGTCAGTAAATTTCCAATATGTTGGCTGACAATCTATCTCTTGACAGGATGTCTTCATGTATGGGTTGGTACGCTTGGACCCTAGGGCATTGAAGGCGGGCTTCCCCAGGTAGCTTGTATTGACCTCCCTCGCAGATTGTCCCTGTGGCCCCTACCGCCTTGCGCGATAGAATTGGGATGTCGGACGCCGATGGTAAAGCAACCTTGTGTACCCGAATATTCCAAGCTCACGATATCTAGTCCAATCATGGCAATCGATCCTGCTATCTCTGTACGGAGTAGCTTTGTTAGCAGCTTCGCGTGGGTTACCTTCGAATCCTTGACTATCCATATGAACCCGTCGGCTGATTTTGTCTAGCCGTCTGCGGATGGTTGGCCGATAGATTCCAGTCACGATGGTGGCCCTTTGTCGGAGGCCTGGTGCTTCTCGCTGCCGCTACAGCTCTTCTCTGTGTTGGGACGAATCTTGCGTTGTGGGTTGCCGGGCGTATTCTCCAGGGAGCGTCTGCGGCGGTGGTATGGACGGTTGGGATTGCGCTGCTTGTCGACACGGTTGGCAAGGACAAAGTGGGCCAGGTTTTGGGATATCTTGGAATGGCAATGACCATAGGAACAATGACCGGCCCGCTTCTCGGAGGGATCGTCTATGGTGCTGGGGGCTACTATGCCGTCTTCGGGATGTCGTTCGGCGTCATTGCGCTGGACGTTGTTTTCCGACTCGTTATGATCGAAAGAAAACATGCAGTCAAATGGCTTCAAGCGGAGGGCGTGCCAAGTGTTGTGTCAGAGAGGCAAGCGAGCGGCAGCGACCTAGAAACTGCCGGTTCGCCCGCGTCCTCCTCTGCTGGCCCGAAGAGCGCCCAGCTTACTTGCGATGAGCGAGAGAGCTCGTCGTCTACCTCGACCGACGATGGAGCCAGCAAGAAGCGGCCCAGCACACTGTACACGCTAATCACCTCGAGTCGCATGATGACGTCCTCCTGGGCGTACTTCATCCTTTCGCTCATCCTCACCTCGTTTGACAGCGTGTTGCCGCTCTTCGTCGAACAGACTTTCGGCTGGGGTCAAACAGGCCAGGGCCTCATTTTCATCCCCCTCTCCATCCCTCAGATTCTTGACCCCTTGGTGGGCTATATCATCGACCATCATGACCAATCCCGACGTTGGATGGCGGCCGGGGGGTTCTTTGCGGCGGTGCCAATACTGGCCTGTCTTCGCTTTGTGACGGAAGACACGATAGCGCACAAAGTGCTGCTGTGCGCCCTGCTAGTCCTGCTGGGCGTCTGCGTGTGCCTGATCATGTCCCCCGTTCTGGTGGAGGCGACATACTACGTGCAGGACCGTGAGGCCGAGACGCCGGACATCTTCGGGCCGGGCGGAGCCATCGCGTTCGCGTACGGGGTCACCAACATGGCGTATGCGCTGGGCACGATTATCGGGCCGTTCTTTGCGGGCTTCATCAAGGACGGTGCTGGTTGGGGCACGATGGGTTGGGCGCTGGCGTTGATGGCGGGTGTCACTGGGATTCCTTCGTTATTGTTTCTGCGGGGATCTGCGAAGGATGAGTCTGATGCAAAAGTCGAGTCGAGTTGAACAAGAGTGTTGATGTATTGCGGAGGGTGTGAATGAAGACATGTATCTGGATGGCGTTAGGAGTTGTCTTTGAATATGATCATAAACGAATCAGCTAAAAGGAAATGAATGAGGTTTTTATAACATGGTGACGATAAGACGGAAGGAGGTGTAACGCAGTCACAGTAACAGGACTTGCAGGAGATGCAGCCGAGGGAATTTGGTTTGCGGGCCAAGAGCCAAGTGGATCTCCCCGCAATTTAGTGACCCCCACCCCCCACCCACTCCCTCTACTGTAGGCTCTCTCTCTCTCTCTCTCTCTTACTGTAACTACCGTATCCTCCAGTGTCTCCACAGACTCAAACACCGGGATTCAATGGACGCGCCATCAGCCGGAAATTCAGGCACGTCGCAATGGGCGAGACTTTAGTCCGCTATTTCTTGCTGGCCCAGCCAGTCTCTCCTCCTGCCCTTCTCCCCAATATACTTGCGAATGATTGAACCTCTAGTAATCACTCACCATGGCATCTCCCCAACTCCACCACTCCGGTCTGCAAGCGACCTTCACCGGCATCGAACGCGAGACAAACAGTATCACCGTCCACGAGTTCCGCGGCATCAAGTATGCCAGCATTCCAGCGCGGTTCGAGCGCGCACAGCCGCTGAAGACTTTTGCCGGCGCGACGGTGGATGCCACGCGATACGGGTACTGTCCTCTCTCTCTTACTGTACTGTACTCAAGCGTCCAAGCAGGCGGTTAACAGGCATCCAGACCCAGGTGTCCACAACCAGATGTCGATGTTCGTCATCTACTCCGCATCCCTGAGGATTTTGCGATTGAGAACGAACCCGAGGATGAGTTTGAGTGTTTGAACTTGACTATCACTGGGCCACCTTTGGATGATGCGCGGGGACCAATTCCGGTTCTGTTGTGGATTTACGGTATAGTTTTATCAAGTAGCTGGGTGTGCGTCTTGGGGCTGGAACTGACTGCGTGCAGGTGGATCGCAGGCTGTGACGTTCTGTTCTGCCGCGTCCAAGATTTGCGGTAACTCTCCCCCTCAAGGCTCGCTGGGCTGTGACTGACCGCTTGGGTGCTTAGATCCAATCAAAATTGTCAGCGACTCGATCAGGAACAATCAGCCTGTGATCTTCGTCTCGTGCAATTACCGGCTCAATATCTTTGGCTTCGGTGATGGGCGGGAGAAGAACTTGGCTCTTAAAGACCAGAAGTTGGCTATTGAATGGGTGCGGGAGAATATTGCTGCTTTTGGGGGTGATCCGGTGAGTTCTAAGGATGACCAAGTTACAGACTACGAAAATTGCCTACTGACAAGTCACGAATAGGGAAATATCACCCTCGCTGGTGAGAGTGCGGGAGCGGTTTATGTGCATGCTCATCTACTCACTGGCACCCCGGTGAAAAGAGCTGTTCTGGCCTCGGGATCAATGTATCTTTCGAGTCCGTTGCCTATAGAGAAAGGGGAAGGGCTTCTTGCGACACTGGAGGCCACGGTCAAGAAGCTAGGCCAGTCTTCTCTTCATCAGGCTTCGGTGGGGGCTCTCGTCCAAGCATTGCAAGAATGCAATGTGAATTCGCTGTGGCTGCAGGATGACGAGGAATTTAGGGGGTGGGAAGCAAAGCCTGAGCTCGTCGAGGAAGTCATGATTGGGGATACAGAATACGAGGTAAGACTTGTAGATTGGGTGTGAATGTTGTACTGACTCTTGCATAGTCGGTCATCTGGAGAAACGGCATTGAGACGCTCGATGCCCGTACTATCGCTGCTGCTTTTGAGCAAGATCCCCAATGGGGAGCCAAGTTGCGCAGACTCTACCAGGTTGTTCCCGGTCGACCGACGGCGAGTAAACTGGGAGCGCTCGATCTGCTCCAAGATGTCCGTTACTCTCTGCCCGTGGAAGTCGTCTCCGACAAACTCCAGGCGGCCGGCAAGCGGGTCTACAAGTATGTCATCGATCAGACCAATCCGTGGCAGGCGTCTAGTCGAGCGCACCATGCCGTCGACCTCCTCTTCTTGTTTGGAGGCGTTGACCTGTCCTTCAACCCCGCTGCTGAGACAGTTAGTCAAGAAATGAGGGAGAGGTGGATACGCTTTGCAAATGGGAGCCAGCCATGGTCCGACGAGCGACGCTTCGCCTTCGGACCATTCGGCGAATGCAAGGAAATCGACGAAGTGCAATTCGCTGCTCGACGCCGGGTGGAGCACCTGCGAGCGCTGCGAGAGGCGGGCATGGGGGTGTACATGCCCATTGTGTTTGGCGTCTCGGCGGGGAGAATTAGTCTGTTGAATTGATGACGATGTACGGAGTACTTCGAAAGGACTTTAGAGCCATAAGAAGTAGACAGAAATCGAAGAACTCAAGAGACCGGCAATTCTCGCTGCGAACTACAACCGATGGAGGGAGTGTGTCAGATCTGACTCATGTGGGGTTTCTCCACAAATGATCCCCAGCTTCGGCAACCATCCTCCCTCGCGACATGCCGAACACTATACAACTTGCCCGCCTTGCCAGCATCGCCAGCATCCCCCGGACTCCGGGATCACTGGCCGTCTCATTTATGCGTTTGTGGCCTCATCGCATCTCTCGACCCCACATCCGGGAGTATAACAGGATGTTGTGCGCCCAGTCCCCCTTGTCTTTCGACAATAGCCCAGCGAGCTTCTCTACATTCTAATCCTCCTTCTTCATTGTTTGTACATCACCCAACATGCCTTCGACAAGCGAGCTATCAGACCCCAAAGAGTACCAGAAGATCTTTCACTGGGCAGAGACGCAAAAGGATGGCACAATCCCGTCGTTCAACACGAGGCGAAATGACCCTTATGAGGTATGTCACCCAGCTCAAGCTCCTCGATACAACTAACACCCCATAGTATCAAGCCGGCTTTGGCAACTCGTATGTGTAGCACCCGGCATCAGCGATTCAACAGGCTGATGTAGGCCACAGGTTCGTGTCGGAGGCTGTCCCTGGCACCATTCCACAGGGCCAGAACAGCCCCCGTAATGTGCGCTTCGGTCTGTATGCGGAGCAGATCACAGCCAGCGCCTTTATCGCCCCGCGACACTGCAACAAGAAGGCTTGGCTGTATCGGGCGCGTCCGGCCGTGGCGCACCAGGGGTTTGTACGTACTGCCCGACTAGTATGACGGAGCACCAAACACTGACGCACCCAGACCGACCTCCCCGACAACAAAGACACCGAGGCGAACTTCCTCCCGATGAACCCTCGCGTGCACGTCTCACCCACACAGCTCGCCTGGTTCCCCTTCGACATCCCCAGTTGCGAGCAGGTGGATTTTGTCGCGGGCCTCAAGACGGTGGCCGGGTCCGGCGAACCCACGCTCCGCGAAGGACTGGCCACCCACGTCTACGCCGCCAACGCCAGCATGACCAAGAAGGCCTTTGTGAACTCGGACGGCGAGATGCTGATCATCCCGCAGCAGGGCGCCCTGGACATCCAGACCGAGTTCGGTCCGTTGTTCGTGCAGCCCGGCGAGATCGTCGTCATCCAGCGCGGCATCCGCTTCCGCGTGGAGCTGCCCGATGGGCCGTCGCGCGGCTACATCCTGGAGATCTGGGGCAGCCAGTTCGAGCTGCCCGAGCTGGGGCCGCTGGGTGCGAACGGGCTGGCCAACGCGCGCGACTTCCTGGTGCCCACGGCCCGGTACGAGATCAAACAGGAACCGTGGGAGATTGTGTACAAGCTTGGTGGGAAGTTTTTCCAAAGCACGCAGAACCACAGTCCGTTCGACGTGATCGCCTGGCATGGTAACTATGTATGTCAGCCGCCCCAAGCAGTAGGAACCTACCTGACTGATGATGACCCCAAGATCCCGTATAAATACGACCTGACTAAATTCGTCAACGTTGGATCCATCTCGGTTGACCACATCGATCCGTCCATCTTCTGTGTCCTCACGGCCAGGTCCCGCGACTTGACAGCTCCGCTGGCGGATCTGCTTATTTTCTCCCCCCGGTGGGATGTCGCATCTCGTATGTCTTCGCGCCTCCTCCTCATACTTGACCGATAGACTGACAAAGGGAAGATACCTACCGCCCTCCATACTATCACCGCAATGCCGCCTCGGAATTGATGGGTCTGATCTACGGCGACTACGGCGGCCGCTCCGACGCTTTCCAGCCGGGAAGTATCTCGTTTGAATGTGGAAGTATGCTACCTTTCCTTCATCTTCTCTTTCAACCATCCCCCTAACCATCCCCAACAACGAAACTATACTAACCAGGAAATAAAGTGGTCCCCCATGGCGTCGCCTACGAAGAATTCCGCGAGGCCACCGAATCCGCCCCGCCGGCCATGCAAATCTCCCAGGCCTCGATGGCGTTCATGTTCGAGTCGAGCCGCCCCTTCACCATCACCGAGTACGCGTGGGCGAGCGAGAAGAGGCACGAGCATGAGCCCAAGATGTGGGATAATCTGGTGGATCATTTCTCGGAGCATGCGAGGGAGGTCGAGGAGGCGTTGGCTGCTGCTGCTGCTGCTAGGAAGAGGTGAGGGTAGGCTATCTGTAGACTGGGTGTGGTGTGGTGGTGATTGAGTTATGATGTTGCTGATTAGCTTGGGTTCGAGGGGAATGTTGTACATAGTCTTGAGGTGGGAGTATATCATACATAGTAAGCAATACATTTGACCATATTCTTTGATATTATGATTCTGGAGTTGAGTCTGATAAGAGTGTTGATTGGTACAGTGAAGAAGGCGCAGGGGGGGTGGTGTTTGCCCCCGGTGGTGTGTCATTGGATAACTTCATGTACGTACAGTAGAAATGCATTCAGAAAATGGAGGGGGAGAGGAACTGTTCCGACTCGGCTGATCTTACTCCCTCCCACCTTCCCAACCGACCTCACGATCAAACTAATATATCCCTATAACATGAATAATCAGGACAGTGCATAGTCTGGGTCACTTTGGTGCGTCTTTAGTGGTGCTAAGAATCAAGACCAGGCTCGCTTTCTGTCCCTTGCATGCTTTTTTCCGGGCTCAGTTCCAAGGTTCGAGGGTTTGTGGTTTTTGTTCACTGTAGTGCCTCTAGCGATGCTGAAGGTGTAAACATGCTCGTACTGCTGTATTTCACCTTCCAGGAATACTGTCAGTACCAGTCTCTGTCATCTCTACTCCCAATCATCAACTTCCTTACCAGAGCGATTTTTAGGAACGACAATCTCTCTTTCTAGCCAGTAAGCCGACCATTCCTCCCAATCAGGCTTTGCGTTGCGCAGGGTGAATGGTCTGGTATGGCTTGTTTATTTCTCATGCTTGGGGATTGTCTGGCTAACTCTTTGGTCTGGCTGGAAGTGGCAGCGGTTCGTGCGCGATGGGATACAGCTGAGTCGCAAGCAAGACTCTGGGGATGGCTGGGATCGGAGACCGTTGTCAAGGCTGGTTCGTTCTGAGTGCGTTTATGTTGTGATCTGTATAGCTCTGGTAGGAAGGGTACGATGAGTGACAGAGAGCGATAGGAGATCAGCCTTGTATCTGGGACTCAGACTTGTGGGATGACGGTGTTGTGAGAAAGATTGGGAGGGAAAGCATCGTAGCGAAAACACTCATCCATACACTGGAAACTCGCCAATTCTCCCTGCACTCTGCAACATCAAACGCATTCAGATCTACCCTCCTACCTGGTGAAGTCTCTGCAATGACTGCACCGATCTATCTAGCCTACACGATGTAACATACCGCCCCAATCCAACTCAGCAGAAGCAAAGGTGCAGACACGGTCTTTATTTTATTTTCATGATTGGTATCAACAGGGTCAGACAATACGGACATACAATTATTTGGAAAGCTCAATTAGACCGCGGGCCCCTGCTGTATCCCTGGAACCTTAGGATAACTCCCCGGTCGACATGAGCATCACCTCAGCGTTGCCAGCGGGGAGACGGAAAGGAAATGTCTATCAGAAGAAAACCCATCACAGGAAGTAATCCGGGGTGCGCCTCGAGACCATGGGTTCTCCTGCGCGCGGGCAGGGATCGAATTGTAAGCTAGCGAGGGTTAGTAGGCTAGTTGCAAGAAGTGAAAAAGCTGCCGCCACATACAAAGTATACTTGAGGTGCTCGTCAATCTCCATGATTGCGGCTTGGTTACCGCAACGGTAGCAGTAATTAGGAGCTAGGAAGCGTCGGTTAGTGCCATCATCCCAGCGACACCAAAGCAGCAATAATACCTGAGAAGATCGTGACCACGTTTCGATCCTGCGACCAGTTATAACCCTCCATCACCAGCTGGTGCGCCCGTGCAACCAGAGTCAAGCCGTTATTGTGATTAAATGCTTCCGAGATATCCTGTCCGAATGTGTAACCCGCACCACGGGGGGAGATTCCCCAGCCGCATCGATCGTCAGGGTCACTCCACAGCAGATCACACATGGGACCTTCGTGCGGCACCTCCTGAATGCGGTCCAGGGAGCGGATGTTGTCGAGGGTGTCGATCGACGGGCTCAGACCGCCGTGGAGGCAGAAAATCTGGTTCTCGATAAGCGCGGTGAGGGGGAGGTAGTCGAACAGATCGGTGAAGTATTTCCACACGTTGGCGTTGCCGTACTTGCGCAGGCACTCGTCGTAGAACCCGTAGACTTGCGTGATCTGACGGGACTCGTGGTTTCCTCGGAGGATAGTGATACGCTGGGGGTAGCGGATTTTCAGGCAAACAAGGAGTGTGACGGTCTCAACGGAGTAGTAACCACGGTCGACGTAGTCACCTACACAGGGCGAGGTTCGAACGCGTTAGCCAGCGAGATTACACCGACACGACCCTTCGAAGATATCGCGGCATGCCAACTTACCCATGAACAGGTAGTTCGTGTCGGGGTTGGGACCACCAATGCGGAAAAGTTCCATCAGATCGTGGAACTGGCCGTGGATATCACCGCACACAGTCACTGGGCATTTCTGCGGAGAGGCAGTTTCCGGTCAGCCCGATCGGTCGCGAAGATTGACCTGCCGTAGGGAACAGGCATAATCGGTCGGGATCATTGCTCTGAGTGAATCATCAAAGGACACATACCACGGGCTGAACGTTGGACTCGTCTTGCAGTACCTCTCGCGCCTATGTGGGGAAAACAACACGATGATTAGGATCAGGTCGACCAGAAGAGCGAGAACTCATCGGGGGGAGAAAGACACACCCGATCACACAGTCTTCGAACATCTTCCTCTGCCAGTTGCTTGCAGGTCATCAAGCTCTCGATCCATCCGTCGAGGGTGGGTATGGAACCCGGATCGGTTGTGGGGGAAAGGTGATGAGGTTCGGGCGACCGCGCGGTATCAATTTCCATGTTGTTATCCATTGAGGGAGACCACCGAAGGGATCAAGGTGGTTTGTGGAGCGATATTGGAGCGATAGCAGGCGGACGAGGGGGTGGGGGGAGGAGAGCGGAAAAGGTCTCGTGAGGTAAGGCGGGATTCTTTTCTTTGGGGGGAGGGGAGGAGGGGAGGGGGAATCAGACCGGCCGGGCGAAACAGGACCTAATCTGGGGCAACTACCAGACGGGGAGAAAAAAGCGTCGCTAGAAAGAAGACTAGACGATAGCAATAAGAATGAAAAGGAAAAGATGAGGGTAAATGGGCAAGATTGAAGGGCGGGTGGAGGAGCTGTTGGTTAGAAAGGAAGTGGAGGAGAGGGAGGAAGAGAGACGAGGTGAGATGAGATGGTGCTTTGCTTGGTGTATTGCCAGGGTGGACGGGCAGCAGAGCAGCAGCAGCGGCGGTAAGTCAGTTCTCTTAGCAGTAGTTGAGCTTTGCTCGCCCTGAGGTGGTGCGCCACACCGCCCGCCTTTCTTGCTTTCTGCCCATGCGCCACATTTGCGCCACACTTAGCATTCACCACAAGTAGCCCCATTGTGACTTAATACAGTACAGACAATTCAGCACCAACAGCATAATTAGCATCAGCAACTTAGACTGAGTGATGAACCAATTACCTATCAAAAAGCCGACCCATTAAGTAGATACAATTAGATATTCATGCATACAAAATCATTCATTCATAACATTCCCCCTCGTGGAGCAATTTTCGTCATCAAGCCATTGGGCCGAAGTGTGGTTTAGATGATGTCACCGCCAAACCCGCCAAATCCTCCGCCGCCGCCAAAGGGCCCCCGCCCCTGTCCATACCGTGCGCCATCCCCAGGCCCAACAGGATCATACCGTGAGCCTGGGGGAGCCTGTGGATCGTATCCTCCTCTCCCTCTTCCGCCGCCCCCGCGGGGTCCTGCAAACAAAGGATCATCGAAGGTTGGATGCATCCCACCCCCACCGCCGCCGCCTAACCCAGGTCCGATACCACCATAGATGGGATCATGAGGACCCAGCCCGGCTGGGTAGAGATCACGCTCGCCGATGCTCAGCGGGTTGCGGCCGCCCATCCCGGGATATCCGCGCGGGGGTCTCTGCATCTCAAACTCGTCTTCGAAGCCCGGGGGAGGGAAGTCTCCGGCGGGGACGGGTCGGCGGGGAGGCGCCGCCAGGGGGTCGTCAAAGGGATACGGGCGAGCCGGTTGGGGAAGCGAGTCGTCTCGGAGAGGATCATGGCGCGGGGGACGCTCCGGCTGCTGCTGTTGTACCTCTCTCGTGGTCCGGGTATCCTCGTATCCCTCTTTGTACAGCCCCGGGGCTAGTTTCTGAATGACGTTGATCTTGAACAGGTTGATCAGGTCTTGCACGCGCGCAGGTGAGATGAACGTCTCTTGGAGGGCGGTCGGCAGGTCGGCAGCGGAGGAGGACAGGGAAAGAGCGGATTCGGAGATGTAGTCTTGGACAGGGAGGTCGAACGAGGTCGTCTTGTCGTCGCCCAGAGCCAGTGCGAGCACCACGGCTTTGCTGCCCAGTCGGCTGATTTTCAGGAGGTATTGCATCGAGGATTGTGAGTGTGCGTAGCGGAAGGCAAAGCTGGTGCTTGCGTTCCATTCCGAAGGAAGACGGGGGCTGTCGGAGTGCTCTGCAGGATTTTTGCCATGAATCAGCAACTGTCACTTGAAGGTAAGGCACAGGTCACTTACCGAGATTGTGGTCCTCTCCCAGTCCGACGAGTCGAAAGCCCACGGCTGTCATACAGGCGTGGCCGATCACCGCGACTGCCTCGTAGGGGGTTTTCAGGCTCGAGGACGAGCCTTCATCCTGACGGAGGGCGGTCGCAGCAAGCTCTAGGACGTGATTTGGGCTCAAAGCATCTGCCATGTTGTTGTGGTTGAAGGTTAGTCGATGGATGGACAGTAAGTCAGAGTGGCGCAAATGTCGGGGTTCTTATCGGCGGGTGAGGGTGAGATTACGAGGCTATCGCTGCCTGGATTAGTCATGCAAGACACCTTCAGTAAGAAGTCTTTTTCTGTTTGTTGTTTATTAGGTTCTTATTTTATTTTTATTTTTACTTTCTGTGAGCGTACAGTTGAGTGTCTTGCTCTCTTGTTCAAGATGTTCTTTCACGCTCTTTGCATGATAATACAATAGTTATACCAATCTATATGATCGTGCAGCCACTCCCGCAATCTAAATTATATGTATAGTAGTTTCCCATATATGATTCATGCCAACACCCACTAGTATCTCGCACTTGTTGCACGAACAGAATGAACCCCACTGAACAAACAGGGCACAAATCTGATAAAAGCACCTTCCCCTCCATAGGTAGAACAACCAACCCGAACCCCCCTCACCACCTCAGTCCTAGTAGTATTCCTCCTACTTACTTAACCCTCTTCTCCACCGGCGTATCCCTCCTGCCTCCTCCAGTCCCCCCTCCGAAACGCCTCCAACCCCTTCAACCTCTCCACCACCCCCAACACCCTCCCCAAGTGACTCAAATCCGTCCGATACGCCACCGCCATTTCCACAGCCGGCACCAGATACACATCCGCCATCGTCACCTCATCCCCCACGGAATACACCCCTCTTCATACTGCTCCAGCAACCGCTCATACGCCCCCAACCCAAGCAGATTCGCCTCCTGGACGAAGGCGAGCTGATCGTCCACTGAGTCGCGGATCTGGCGCACACGGCGCGCCACCCGTCCGTTGCTGAGCGGCTGGATGTCGTTTGTGATGAGGTTGGTGAGTTCGCGGACCCGGGCCCGGGCGAGCGGTGCAGTTGTGGGAGGCAGGAGTTGTGGGGTGTCCGGGTGCGCTTCGTCGAGGTATTCGAGGATGACACGGATTGGGTTAGGATTGTCTCGGTGTTGGGGGACTGGTCGGTGATGACGAGGACGGGGAGGCTGCGGTTTGGGTTGAGGGTGGTGAAGATGGGCGTTTCGTGTTCGAGGCCCCGGAGGTCGATGTAGTGGTGCGTGAAGGGGAGGTTTTTGTGGTGTAGGGCGATCACCACGCGGTTAGCGCAGGTGGATTGGTAGTAAGTGTAGAGGGTGTAGGTTTGGTTGTTTGATTACATTGTGGATGGTGGTAGTGGTTTGATGAACGGTAGATGGGTTGGGTTATTGGAAGGCTGTGTGAGAGATGAGGTATTTAGATTCGTCAGAAGGGGGAAGCGCATTATGTAGTAGAGGCCTCGTCAGCGTCAATATAGCTGAGATAAAAGAAGTAAGCACTAAGATACGCCGATGCTTGCTAGTCTCAAGCTTTTGGTGTCAAGTGAGATTAAGGTCAGTCGATATAGGCTTGATCTCCGAGGTGCAGGTAAAACAAGTTCATGCCTATTCATATATTCAAAAATAGTACATATATGCATCTTCTAAGGGCTGGTGCGCGCCTGGCGCTGAAGTTCGAGAATGCCTGCATTCAAGCCGAATCCTGACGGCCATCATAGCATGGCTTTGGGGAACTTCTTCATCGCTTGCCGCACTCCCAGATCAGCCAGAATCTCCTCCGTACCGCCAAGAATAGCATCGAACTTATACGTCCGGTGGAACATTTCAATCACCTTGCCCATGCCGGTCTGCGTCAGGCCGCGCCCGCCGAAGATGTTTGTGGCCTGGTCGGCAATCTCCTGAGCTGACCGCGTGGCATGGGATTTAAGCAGGCCGATGGGACCGCCCAGGTGAGCGGACTGCTCCGCATAGCTCATGTTGCACATCTGGTACGCGATGGACTCGAGCCAGGCCTGGTTGGATTCGCAGAGAGAGATCATGCGAGCGAGTCTGCGTGTGCATTAGTAACGAAATCAAACCTACTGTCAAAGGGGACTCACTTTTGCCGCATCACTGGCTGCTCAATCAGCTTCTTACCGAAGACGATGCGCTGGTTGCACCATTTCAGACACTCCTCGACGACGCTCGTGCACATGCGGATCACACTGCTGGCCATCATGAAGCGCTCGTGGTTAAAGTTGCTCATGATCACGATGAAGCCCTTGTGCTCTTCACCCAAAAGGTTGCTCACTGGCACCTTGACGTTCTCAAATTGCACAAATGCTGTTGCAGCCGCCGTGGAGTAGGAGGTTTTGATCTGCTTCGTCTCGACGCCCTCTCCGCGAGGAATCAGCAGCACCGAGAAGCCTTTCTCTGTCCGACAGCCGGTGACGAAATAATCTGAGAACATGCCGTTTGTAATCCATTTCCTGAGTAGATGAGTATGTGAGAGACCAGCAGGTAAAGAAATGTATCATACTTGGTTCCGTTCACAATGTAGTACTTCCCATCAGGGGTCTTCTGGGCGGTGGTACGTAGACCAGCTACATCACTGCCCGCAAAGGCCTCCGTGATGGCAAGACACATTTTCTTTTTGCCTGACAGGACCTCGTCTGTAATCTGCTGACGAAGAGGTTCGTTGCGCAGCCATTGCTGGACAGCGGTCAAACTGATAGCCATGCCTGCCATGTTTCCGTCCTGGAAGCCTGCTCCAAGTTAGGGGCTGTCACTTGCAATCGAGCCAGACACAAGATCAAGGTAAACGCACCTCGGGCATTGGCTCTCACCAACTCCTGCGAAACGATCAAATCATGCAGATAGTCGAATTCCTTGCCATCGACAACGCCACCGAGCAGCTTCCGTCCGTGCAGATGCTTGCCCGGCCCCAACCGCATCGCTAGAATATTGGTCTCCGCCATCCGATCAATCAACTCCTGGCTGATGTATGTACCGTCCCGCTCCTTTTCGTGGGCTTCTGGCGTGACGTATCGATCTGTGAACTCGCGCAGCGCCCTTTGTAGTCGCCGATGGCTGTCGTTGTAGTAGGGGCTCTTGAAGGCAGGGCGGAGCCACAGAGGCTCGGCGTAGGGGACTTGGCTCAGGCTGCCTGGCTCGGGAGTCACGATTTCTGGTGTCTCACCAGCTACCGTGCCGATGCAGAGACGGCTGTACCGGTCTAGCACCTCTTGGCGATGGAGGTTGTAAAAGTCCGTGGTGGCATCCTGGCCGGCAATCTGAGTCAGAACAACGCTACCACCAGGGTGAGCGTCGAGGAAGTCGGTAAGGTCATAGACACGGTGGTCAATGATGCACCAAACCGAGTCTTCGGTGTTGTGCTGCGCAACCTCGGCACGGGTAAAGGTCTGGGACATGGCTCGGCACGAAAGGATGATACAGGCTGCGATGATGACTGAGTGATTGAGTCCGGATTGTGCAAGAGGTAGTTGAGAATGCCTTCAAGAATATATAGGAAACAGGATTGCTGGGAAGAGATGTGCAGATGGCAGGTTATATGCCAATCAAGGGGACGAGATTACTGATCCTCCAGTCTACACTCAATTTCCCCGGAATGGGGGGTTGAACCGAGGCTATTGCCGCATTGGGAAGAGGTGAGTTGGTACCCCCATCCACCTCCTCTCTCCAGTCTTCTATTCACTCGCAGGCTACAATCCAGACAGCATCATCTTCAGGTTCAAAGTGAAGACGCTGAGCTACCCGCGGACTATAGTCCGTTCGTGTAAATGGAACGTGTGGTGCACCATGGGGTTACCGCGCGAAGATAGACATTCGAGGATGATGCCTCAGGCTGCAGTCCAAGACCAAAATTGAGCAGCTGTCTTGATTCTAGGTTCTAATGTGGAGTAGGACGAAACTTGCAAGCTACTGTGTAATTGAAGTCACCGATCGGCTGATCTCCTTACGCAACCTCCAATCTCAACGCATCATACTGCACATATACCGTCCCGGGCAGAACCGCTGTCTCGGTGTCCGTGGCGTTGTACGGCAAGTGCAGAGTCAACACGTTGTTTCCAACCACCAACCAGTCAGCCAAAAATTCCATCCGGGAACGAACCTGATAGCAACTGACAGCCGACCGTACAATACAGCTACTAGACTGATTGAATCCGATCACCATGCTCAAAGGCTCCTCCTGATCGTTGATATAGCTCTCCAACGAGAGGTTGTTGTACTCCTCGGCCGGGTTCCATACGTCAGTGTTTCCGGCCGCAGTCTTTGCGCCCGCGAGCTGGATCGTCAACGTCGCGTTCTTCCGCTTCTGCAGCTGCTTCTGGCTCAGATTGAAGTTGATCGTCCAGTCGTGAGTCGTGTTGTACTCGACATCAGGGTTGCTGGGGGTCGGCCCGAAAACTGACCAATGCACCGTGTTGAAGTCCGTGGCAGGGTCGCTGCTCCCAATGGTATAGTTGACGCCGCTGGGAAAGTCCTGCTGCCAGTCATATGCGGCCCAATAAATCAGGTACTGCGGAGGGTGCAACGGGTGTGTTTCGTCTCGAACAACACCGTGGCGGAACTCTCCGGAAGACTTGTCGGGGGTGCCCAGTCGCCAGACCTCGTCCCCCGCGGATTCCTCGACCCATGTTTCCTGGACCTTGGTAATTGTACCCGCCTGCACATGCACACCGTCACGCTCATAGTTGCCAAAGACACCGTCCGCGTACACCGTCAGCCGGTACTTGCCTTCCTTGACGTGGTCGATGTTGAAATTGCCGCTCTTGTCGATTTCAGCCCAGTATTGATATGAAGAAGAGTCGACAGAGTTGTCTTGAAAGTACTGTCCATCGACCGTCAGGACAGCAATCGGTCGGCTTGCCACTTTTGGTAGCTCAATACGTCCCTGCACCTGGCCTCGGACACTTGAAGGTGCATAGCCGACAACGTGCTTGGCAATTGAGTCGTAAAACTCGACATTCCAGCTAGGATCCGCGTAGAATTCCGCGTCCGTCCTGAGTTCCTCCAAGGTGAATTTGGATTCCTTTCCACCGTTGAAATGGTAGTATTGCGGACCGAATGTGCGATCAAAGCCGTAGGTGATGTTTGGGGTACCTTCTCCATGGTGGTTGGACACTAGATAATTGTACACAATCCCATCAACGGTAAGATCGGAGTGCAATGGTCCCTACTATGGTTAGCTTCGGGATCCGTGATGACTGAAAGTACGCACACCGTAGTAAGTGTCCTAAGAGAATCGAATTAGCCTTTTGTGATTCGTATGTTCGGGAAGGAAACTGACCTTGGTGTTCATCACCAGCCACGCCCCGTAGGTCGTGCCATTTGAAGTAGTTCCATCGGCATAGATACCGTGCACCGAGTTGTCACGCCAGTCTTCTGAAATTTAGCCACTCGCATTGGACAAGATCGGACCCTTGCTCACCATTTGAGAAAGTGTACTTGGTGAAGTATTTCGAGAACTGCGTATAGTACGCATCATCAGGAGTATTGTTAAAAGTCCACGTTGCATCCTGAACGACAATCTCCTGGCTAATAGCCTCTTTGCTCGGCAGTGGGGCGGTCTGAATCTCGCTCGAAGTCAAGTGCGTCCACAGATCGGTATTCGGCCGGAAAAGGGTCCGGAATTCCTGCAAGTTGCGCAAGAACGGAGTGGTTTCATTGTAGTAGGCGAGCCGGCTGAAGGTGTGCAAACCTGTTTCACCGTCGCGTAGAAACCAGTACTGCTGGAACTGTTGCCCCGTCGGAGGATACGTCTCGTTCATGACCACGCCGGCGTAGTGCGTCCCCGTGGCATCTGTGCCCTTGACTACCTCCATGGTGGGGCTGGTGGAGCCGGTGGTGTAAGATCCGGACGGAATGCAGTAGCAATCGAGATAGGGACCGGTGCCTATATCGCCGGATTGCGGACCTAGCAAGTCCTGGTTGTCGAGGAAGAGATCCACGATTCTGCCTATGTTGGTGGCGAAGACCGCGGTCAGGCGGTCATTTGCCAGGGTGATTGTGCTGCCATTTTGGTCTGTTCGCAGGGTGGCAGCGGCCAAAGTGAGGCATGTCGTCCAGACGCCAAACGCAAGAATCTGACGCATCATGGCGGGGTGGAAAGTGGTCTTTGCGGCGGGGAATCGTGACTATCGTGACATTACTCGCGGTCTGTCGTCTAGCTTTAATAGTCGGCGGCATGGGGAGGATGTCGGGGACAAATCACTCCGGATGGACGATCACCTCGAATCATGACGAACAGCTGCAGCAACACAGCAGACATTGAGATGCAAGTGGGGGGTGTAGTGGGGAGCATAGTGTTGTGAGAAGATGCCCAGGGTGGATGGGAGCGACAAGTTCCCCGCCTTTTGGGGGAATCTGGGGAAGAAAATGAAACCAGATGCGGGGGAAGCCCACAGCCAAGATGCCCGGAATCTCTTACGGAAAATTGTTTCGGCCTGCTTTCATCCGATACATCCTGCCAAACAGTATCAACAATACTACTTCCTCACTTCCTAGTCATGCCTTGCTCAAGCATCTACACGCTGCATTCTCCTTGCTGAAAGGTCCCCCGTGGTGGTGGTAACCTTGAACACACCGAATCTGCTGTTCAATCATCTCAACATTTGTTTATTCATTAAGAAAGAGCACGAGAAGTGCAGAACCTAGTTAGAGGTTCTGAATTGGTTTTTGCAGGTAAGCACAAGCATATCAATTTCTATCAGGGATCGCATCCGAATTTAATCCCTTTCCTGCAATTCCTAGAAAGTCCAAAATGCAAGCCTTGGCGCCTTTATCCGGGTTACGAGCGGCAGAACCGCCCAAGAGCCGACGACATCTGTCAAATCCTAGACTCCCCCGGACCAGGAGAAGAGTGGATTGGTTCCGTCGGACTGCAAGGATGTCGGATGCGGATCCGATAGTTTACTGCTACTATATGTCGGGTATACCCTCGGGTAATTGCCGTTCTGGCCACGATCTGGGCCTCACCGGAATCAATTCCTCTCAGGCTGGGGTGCCAAGAGTGTATATGACCCAGCTGTTCCAATGAGACTGCTCTCGAGGTGGCCGTAGCGTTCTTGAAAGTGCGGATCAAGGTCCGCTTAGGCTGGACTCTGCATATCCTTCCCCATGGGGTAGACGGGGTACCAGAGATTGGCGGAATGGTGAACATTATAAAAGCCAGAGATGACACGAGGCAAGGCATTTTTCGAATTGCAAACACGGTGAGCTTGGAGCTTTCCATTCAATATTCCGTGACGATACTGTCTCCATCCGTGTGGCACGAGACTCCAGATTCCACCATGTTCAACAACCATCAGGAAGCGCTGCCCCCAGACACCTCTGGCTCAGATGTCAAAGGCGAGTATAATACCAGCGCTCACCTTGAATATGTCCCTGCCAGCCAGCTTGGTCAAGCCAACTTCTTGGACGCCGAATCGCCCGCTAATCCACAGACCTGGCCGGTGTGGAAGAAGAATGCGCAAATCTTGATGGTAGCCTTCCATTCGATGGTAGCAACCTTCATGGCTGCGGGGATTATCCCAGCATACGACGCCATGGCCGAAGCGTATGGGGTCACAGTGCCGCAAGCAAGCTATCTCACATCAATGCAGGTTAGTCGATTGGTGGCTGATCAAGGACGGACCACTAGCTTACACTTGACACCCTCCCATAGATCCTGCTCCTTGGAATCTGTCCCCTGTTCTGGAAACCACTCACCGCAGTCTACGGCCGCTACCATATCTTCATGCTCTCAGCCCTAGGCAGCATGGTCTGCAACATTGGTGGCGCCCGCTGCACCACCTACGGCGCGCAAATGGCCACGCGCGTCCTGACGGCCATCTTCATCTCGCCCCCGATGGGCGTCGGCAGCGGCATCATCACCGAACTGTGCGAGCCCGAACAGCGAGCCCAGAAGCTCGGCTGGTGGACGTTGATGCTCACTCTCGGTACGCCCGGAGGACCATTCATCATGGGCTTCGTGACACACCATCTCGGCTACCAATGGATGTACTGGATCTTCGCCATCATGAACCTCGTCCAGCTCCTCGCCTATCTCATACTAGGCGAAGAGACCCTCTACCTCCCAGCACCAGAGCCCCCATCCCCCTCACTGAACACCACCAACCCCCCAAGATTTTACCACAAACTCCGCCCCCGCCGCATCAACCCCCACCCCCTCACCCTCCAAGCCTTCTTCACGCCCCTCCTCTTCCTCCGCCGCCCGCGCGTCCTCATCCCCGCCCTCACCCACGCCATCGTCTTCTGCTACGCCAACATCGCCCTCATCGTCGAGATGCCCATCGTCTTCGGCGAGAGATTCGCCTTCAACTCGCAGCAAATCGGCCTGCAATTCATCGCCATCATCATCGGCTGCCTCCTCGGCGAGCAGCTCAGCGGCCCTCTCTCCGACAAACTCCTCCGAGCCCACGGCACCCACCGCCCCGCCGACCGTCTCTGGCTTGCTTACATTGCCTTTGGCACTGTGGTCACCGGGTTACTCGTCTGGGGCTTCCAGCTCAGCAAGGCGACTACCTGGAACGTCACCCCCTGCGTGGGCGCGGCGATTGCGAGCTTCGGGAATCAGGCGCTCACGACGATTATGGTTTCTTATGCGGTTGATAGTCATCGTGAAGTGGCGACGGATGTGGGGGTTTGTATCAATGTGGTGAGGCATGTTTATGGGTTTGTAAGTTCTTCTTCCCTGAAGGGTATGGGGGAAAGGGGTATTCGTGGGGATGGACGTTTGCTGACGATGTTCCTGTGCTTGCTAGATCGGACCGTTTTATTTTCCGCCGATGTTTGAGACGCTTGGGCTGGCGGGGGCGGCGGGCGTGATGTGTGCTATTGTGGGCGGGTGTGCTTTGCCTGCTGTTGTTGGGTTGCATATTGTTGATGTGCGGGGTGGGAGGTGATGAGTATACTATACGCTGGTTTGGTGGTGGTTACCTATGATGCTGTTGGAGTTCAAGGGGAATACGTAGAAGGTATCACTGTTCATGATAATGTAACTTGTTGCACGAGGGTATAAGTAGCGTGTAAAACACAGTGACCTCCGCCGCTCTCTAACCCAAGCCAAGCACAAACACCAAACACCGAGCACAAGCACAAGCACAAGCATCAAGCGCTGCACCAGCCAAACCAACCCAATCCCAAACCCTACTCCTCCCAAACCTAGAACAAATGACTAGGCACACTATTCAACCACGACATATCCAGCAACTGCCCATCCCAAAAATCCACCTCCTCAAACAACCCCGACTCCTCCCCGAGGGGTCCTCCAAGGGTCTCTCCAAGCGCCACCCCCAACCCGGTCGACGCCGCCGGCGCCGCGACTGGAAACGATGGACCCGGCTGCTCTGCGTCATCTGCACCCGAACTAGAATGCGCCACGACACGCTCGTACAGGATCTCCAACGCGGCAACGCACCGACGCGCGGAGGTGCTGTAGCGGTGGTAATTTCGGAGGATCTCTAGTGCGTGGTTCCAGGAGTTTGTGATGGCTTCGGAGGTAATTTCGGAGATGATGGCCGGGCAGAGGTGGCTGGCTATTAGGGTTGTGGCGGCTGTGTAGATGTCTGGTTTTGGGGCAGGGACTGGTTAGTGGGAGAGTTTGGGGGTGGGTTGAGCGGTGGTAAGGGGGTTATGGTAGGAGGTGTTATATGGAGTGTTATCAGAGGGGTAGTATCATATGAGGTATTGTTGGGGTACGATAAGAGAGCATTATATGGGGGTAGCATATGAAGGTGTCATCATCTGGAGGCATCCTAGGGAGCTCTATCACTTGGGCATAGGATGTGGTGGGCGAACTCACAGAGAATATTGTACCACCAAGCAGGCAAAGGCCCAGCCGTCCCATCAGCGGGAATATGCCGGTAGATCAACCCGATAATCTCCTGCGCAACCTTGACGCAGATAACCGAGCACTGCAGTGCGATGCGCTGGGTCAAGGAGTCTTGCTGAGCGATGAGAGGGCCCGGGTCCGAGGCGCCCACGTCGCGGGCGGTGCAGTACTTCGACAAAATGGGTCGGAAGAGAAGCATGCGTACATGCAAGAATCTAACATGTTGACTCAGTAGCTGTGGTTGATTCTTTTTAGCCCCGGGCTCTTGCTTACCGTGCTTGCAACACAATGCTTTGATGATAGAACATCTTATCGCCGTATGCGAGGGAAGCGTCGCCTCGTAAATGCGGGGGTAAGTTCCGGGACCAGTTCGTCAGTGCACGGTCGAGCTCAAATACGGTCTGCTTTCCTTCGGTTGTGTCTTTGAAGTACACGTCGTCCGGACTTTCGTCGGGATTGGGGTTGTACATGCTGAGGAGGATATCGTTCAAGATCTCGTACAGCTCGAGGGACTGGGCGTAGAATGCCATCACTGAGGGTCGGTCGGCGGGCTGGGCGGCGTCGGTGCCTAGGGCAGAGGGTATGTATTCTTCGTCCACTGTCGCTGGGAGTGGGACGGAGCCGCAGGATGCTTTCGAGATCATGGAGGGCCGGCCGAAGGTCATTGAGATCACTCTGGACGAAGGTCAGTTCACGTGAATCGATGACGCGCAAGGAGTCTCACCTGTCCATCAAAACGCAGCCGTGCCAGATCTTGCGAGCCAATTGCTTCTCCTGCGGATTGTGTAGACGAGCACTTGTCTGCGGGAGATGTAGTCCCAAGCTCTGCGCGTTGCGAATCGCCAGACCCGTGACAATCCAGCACTGGTGGGCGGAGTCCGTACTCTGCAGGTACTGGGCCATGAGTAACAAGCACTGAATCAGCTCCGCAGACCCCGTGTTCCAGAGATTGAATTGGAGAAGTTCCTTCGCGCGAGAGAAAAATGCATCCGCCGACGCCTCGCGCTCCTCGGGTGGAATAAAGTCGGCCAGCTGGCAGGCTAGCGCGAAGATCACATTGAAGGTACACATCAGCAGGTTCTCATCCGAGTGGGAAGACTCCCCCGTCCAGAGCCGTGCGTATTCGGCTCGCAGATTGAGACTGTCCACTAGAGGGTACAGCGGGAAGACAAACGTCCAGTAAACCTCCATTAGGCTGTCTGCCATTTTGCGAGGTGGAAGGACATAGTTAGCCGATGACGACGGTGGTTTGTTTCTCGAGAACGTGACGCTCGATGACAATGCAGCTCCGAGGTTTGATTGGGTTGTTCGATGGTACGGTGACTGTACTCTCTGGTCAATGGCAGTTTTGATTTGCCGGATGAAGCCGGCCGCGCTGGAGCTGCCGAAGAAGCCATGAGTCGGGCGTTCCTCCTCCACCTCGCCCATCATGGCGTTCACGCCATTAGGCTCTCTTGCGGGATGCTGAAACTCCAAAGTCATTCGCTGGCGGAGCGGATCCTTATGAGTGCAGATCGATGCGGCTTCCGGGGACTGTTCACGTATGAGGCATGGCGACGAAGAGTCATTTCTGGCCTCCGGGATTGAGCCAGTAAGACGGCTTCCCAGTTGACTTGTGGATGGGTGATCAACTGCGATCGACTTTGGTGTTTGCGATGTATTTGGGGATTGCGTCTGAGGACCAGCAGAGACCTTGACCATGTGAGTCCCTTGAGAAGAGACAAGATCATACCAAAGATCTCTTACCTGTGAACCTGTTCCATTCAACTGACTAGTATCCTCACTTACGCGCTTATAATTTGTAAACGTTTCAACATTGTTGATGATACTCTTGATGAAACTGCGCATACCAATGTGAGCTTTAATCGGATTGGAGCCTGAAACACAAGGCAGAACTGACTTGTCCATCGCCAGCTTCCTGTCGCCGGTAAAAACACACTGGGTTTCAGGCTTTCTTCGCCTCGTCCTACGACACTGCCCGCATTCTCCGCAAACACAACTGTCAGCGATGACGGGAGAGGCTGCTGCATGCGACAAACCGACCTGGGTGGATGCCGTCACATCGAATGTGGCGGGCGCGGCATGCGTCGCACGCCACTGCGGCTTTGGGACCTTTCTGCCGCCGACGTTTCCGGGAGATGGCGGAATCCGGAGGTGACGACGGGCGTCGTGAAGGAGATGGGCTAGTCATTGATGCTAAGTTGACGATAATAGCATGACAACTAAGAGATAGATGGAGTTGGTTGGGGAGGGGTTGATGAAAGACGGAAGAGATTCCGGGGAAACGAAATGTGCGGTTCTTCGGATCCGGTTCCGTGTATCTTCTGTTACATACAACTTCTAATAACCTGGACTGGGTATACAACTTCAGAGATTCTCGTTATCCCTTTAAAATCACCTAATTTGACATAATTCAAATGCATCAATTGGATTCAATGTCTAAGCAGACTTTCTACATTGACTGGAAACAACTTGTATCATAAATAGCATAAATAGTCATGAATCATCACACATCACCAACTAAACGACTCCTCCACATAGCGGATACTACGATATCCTCGTTCAAGAGCCAACTGCACCGCTGCCCGCGTCTGATCCGCCAGAGCGACCGGTCCACATACCAGAACCGCCACAGAAGACTCGCTAAGCTGAGCAGCATGCGCATGGGCCAACACAACGCTCTCCACGTTCGGCCGTCCCGCCACTATCTCCAGCTCATCCATGCACGGAACGGAATTGGACGCAGTGGAGGTCTGCGTGCCAGTGGCATAGAACGAAGCCCGGAAGTCATCACGGATCAAGGCTGGAGCCAATTCGCGGGCCGCAATCTGTCGAATAAACGCAGCCTGTCGCGCCACCCACACGAGCTGCAAATCCCGGATTTGGCTGGCCGCTTGCTCGGGGTCCTCGGCGGTGCGCAGGAGGTGTTCGTGGATATACGGGATTATGGCGGCGATGCCGGTTCCGCCAGCCACGAGAAGCACGGATTCATAGTTCCAGAGTGGGAAGCGCTCGCCGTACGGTCCCTCCAGAAGAATGGTGCTGTCGGTGCTCTGCGTTGGGGAACACCTGCATTGGTCGCGGAGTTGACGCGTCCATCCGTCATACGGTCGTATCCAGAAGACGAGTTTCAGGCCACGAGGGGCGTGGCGCTTAAGTTGAATCTCCTCGGTGGACTCGGAGGATGCGGAGTCGGAGAGCAGAGGTACTTGGGTCACGTCGAGGGCGTGGTCCTCCTTGGTTAGTGGAGGAGTGGGAGATGCGTCTTTGTAGTCGGACTCGTAGAACCAGTGACCGAGGGTGAACGGGTGGCTTTCCCAGCCCGTTAGACGAAACGGTTGGTATAGGTAATAATACTGCCCGGGGTTGGGGCAGAGAAGCTTGGAGCCCGGGAATACCTCGAGCCGGATCACGTCTGCAGATTCGTCGTAGCTGGCAAAGCTTTTGGTGTACTGTATGCTATTTCCGGCATTGCATCGTACATGCACGTTGCAGTAGATCAGGCGGATGACACGCAGTGCCCGGTCCGCGGACCAGATGGCCACTGCGGGCCAAAGATAGGTCCAGTATTCGTGATCAGAGAAGATGATGGTGTGACTAGAGATATCATTAGGAGAGTTAACGCATACTTGTGGAATAGCACTTACTAGAAGCATCCCACGAGGAGACCAACGGAGAAGATGATGTGTATAAGGAGGAATATTTCATAAGATCGGTGGCGGAACCATTGAATGGCGAGTGGTAGGACGAGCACCATAAGGATGGTTGCCTGCCTAGAGTCAGTTGTATCACCGTTTAGGTTCGGCATCCATATCACTTACTCCTGTTCCCCATAAGAGATATGGTTTTTGCAGCTTCTTGAGCAATCTGCCTTCTGCGAGGTCGTTAGCGAGATTCGTCAGACATCCGAAAAGCACCAGACTTACTCCCGTACATGATAAAGAGGTAAAGAGATGTATGTGCGACAGCCTGGATGGTGGCTATCCAGGCTACGTGGCGATGGAAAAGATTGAAAGTTGCGAAGCTCCACCCGGTAGCCCAGATGAAGATGTTGTTGCGACCGGCAAAGAGCCAAAGAAGTGGAATGTTGGCAAAAGATAAGATGCCCGTTCTGTCCGCAGCATATCGAAGCAGCTGCGATTGTCCATCGGGCCAGCTGAGAAATGTTAGGGGCTTGAAGCCGCATGGTTTATGTTTTATGTTTCCAGGACTTACTATATGTTATTCGGAATGAGTCGATAACTCGCTGTACAAACGATAATGCTAAGGATCCAGAAGGCAAGCACAACAATAGCCTCAAGGCGTGTGGGAAAGGTCCACCAGAGTACCTTGCGGCCATTCGACCGCAAAGGGTGTGGCACCACGAGATACACCTGCACCCAGTGGCAGAGCTTTTGTACGGGTAAACACAGCGTGCGTAGTCCGGGGCTTGTTCTATAGCTGGTTTGTACCATTTGAGACTGAGTGATATGATGTCCCAGCCGTTGCAGAATCCCTAGAGCAAGTATGCAGAGCCAAAAGGCATAACCAAGCAAACTACTAGTATTAGCACTATCTCCGGCGCGAGGGCTTTGATTAACCATACCCATAGGCGTAATGTGACCAAACTTCAAATTCCCAGGTATCCTGCCAAAGCATTAGACCTAAGCTGCTTGACAACGAAAGCTGACCAACGTACAATCGTCTGAAAAACGGTATCATAATATGATGGTGCGAGCAAAACAGGTGTGTTGATGGGATGTTCTCTGGGGACCTCCAGGTACTTGACGATTGTCATGCGACGGAGAGCATCCCTTGTGAGGTTTTCGGCAAGTTGTTCTCGTGGTATCAATTCTAGATGACCAAAGTCCCGGCAAGACTGCTGGAGTTGTAAGATGCCGGCTTTCCTTTCGAAGGGGAGGCAATAGACGTCGGAAGCGGCGTAGATTGAGGTGACCTTTAGCGGGTTCTGACACCGGGTCTCCCAAAAACCCACGTCTGGGGCTGCGGCGAAGGAAAGGTATCCATAAGCAGTGTATATCGCAGTCACACAGCGTTCGTTCTTGGGAAGGGCACTCGAGGCAACCGGCGAGGTATAAAAGACAATGAAGAAGATCAGGCCACAGAGTGCCAACATGACTGAAGGAGGGGTAAAGAAGAAGAGACTGAGAGAGGGGACTAAAGAGTGGAAACTCCTGCCTGAAGTCGATGTGGGGCGTGGCTGGTGCGGTGACTTTCGCACGAGATCGCTTTATGCCCGGCCATTCGAGCATCCGAGACCCGCTTGACAGAACCGGGATGAGCGGTGGGAGGTTGATGAATGAGTACCTAACTGGTTGATTCGATCTATCGAGATGGGCTTTATGAAGTCACTTTATGATAGACTGTCACCCTGCGACCGGTCAACCCACTGACTCCCGAGTTGGTTGCAGTGCAGGCTGTGGATGGGGCGGGAAGCTGAAGCCGACTTCAATCGGATTTATCTAATCTGATCGGCCCATCTGATAGTCCCGCCATTTCTCATTGGCCATAAAACCCCTCACCGCAGCGGACTTCGGCCGACCTGAATGTTATTGCCTGAGGCTACAAAAGCAAACTGCCAGGCGGTGAACAGTCCGCGAGCAGCAGTTCCGGCATTACCCGAAGAGGCAATCCTTACCTCAAGGAGTCACTCCCTCTACGGAGCCTGGAGGTGGAGGCATCACTCCATCACTGCATCCATCACCTCCAACCACCAATGATGATTCTTCACTCGTTGTATCGGGAATCTCAGAATCCATCGCCAAGCTCTCAGGCTGCGGGGAAGTCTGACCAGAAAGATGGCTCGTGTCCCTCACCATGATGCTTCTACTCCGTGCCTCTCTCGGGTATCAAGGACTTCTGTTGATCCCCCTTGCTCGGCGTCGCGTCTGGGAATGCAAAACACTGCGACAATTCGGCGACTGAGAACAGCACGATGGCCAGAACCGCAACATGTCTCTTCTCCACACGTTAAGCCTGATTCTCGATATACTCGTTGCAGGCTTCGTTATCACGATATGCCTCCCCGCTATAAGGCATACATTCCTGTATACCTTCAAATTCTGCTCGCCAAGCGTGTTCCGGGGTGGATATCAGACGGTTGAGATTCTTTCCAGCGCGCCAGTGGATTATTTGGCGGCCTTTTGCAACGACACCCGATCATACCTCCTAGTGATCGCAAATGCTTGTGTCTGTGCTGCATCCCTACTCCAAGCCATATTTGCAGACAATGGGTTGGATAGGGTGCAATTATGGCTACATCTGATGCCTTGGGTACGTAGTCATCTTGGCCTTTCTGAATTGATCAATTCTAATCTGCGTGTTCCAGCTTGTACTCCTGATACAGGGAACATTTCTTATAAGTATGACATCTCGAATCATACGGTATTCCTTGGCCCTGAAAGGGGGCCTCGCTGCCTGCTCAGTGATTGCTGTCTTAATCTTAAATGACACGATACTGCAAGGCAAAGCAAAAGATGGAGAGCCTACACCACTTGCGTGGTCGGTCTATGTCCTGGGAATCATTGTGATTGGCATATTCCTGTCTTATCCACGCAGTGATCGAGCGTTTCGCAATGGGAAATCCATTGACGAGGAAGAGACATCTTCCGTTCTTGGGCGCTTGTCATTTCAGTGGGCCACTCCACTGGTTTCGCTCTTCGCCTCTGACACATCCCTTGGCCTGGACCACCTGCCGGAACTGAGTGACAAAATGCGAGCAAAAAGTTTGCAGGACGAGTTCAATGCGGCGCAAGGTACGCGATGTACTTCGACAACGAATGCCTGGAAGCTGGTAAAGGCACTACTTATGCTCTATCGAAGGGAATTTGTCCATCAACTTCTACTATCTGTGCCATTAGCAGTCCTTGCTTTTACTCCGCAGCTAGCCCTCCGTGAAATGCTAAAAGTTTTAGAAAAGCACACTGCGGAACATGACGCACTCAATGTGTGGGCCTTACTATTGGGTCTTAGCATTGGGGTCTCGTCCTGGCTCGAAAATTGGCTTCTTTGGACTGCCATGAATTGGATCTCCGTGCCATTAACAACACAGCTTTCGGTGGTAGCTTTCAGCAAAGCAATGCGCTTGAGCTTGCAGAACTCTACGGGTGAGAGCGATGACAAGACCTCAGTTGACATTACACGAAATGTGATAAACCTCGTCGCTATCGATGCGTCACGCATTGCACTTGTGGCTGGCTTTTTACACTCGCATACTCTACAGGCGTTGAAGCTGACGGTGGCCTGTACTTTCCTGGCTCGCCTCCTGGGCTGGCAGAGCTTGCTCGCAGGGCTGGCCTGTCTGGCTCTTTTCTACCCACTGCATTATCTATGTCTGTCCAAGTATTCGGCTACCGAGAAAGAGCTCATGCTTAGTCGCGACAAGAAAGTCTCGACATTGACCGAGGTCTTGCAGGGCATCCGCCAAGTAAAGTTCGCAGGGCTTGAATTCAAGTGGGAACAAAGGATCAACTTCCTGCGCGATCGTGAAACAGAAGCTCAAAACTGGGCGTTCTTCTGGCACGTAGTCAATCTGTCGATCCATCTGCTCGGTCCAGTCATGGTGTCCGCTGTCTCTTTAAGCGTGTATAGCTGGCAGCGAGGTCCGCTCACGCCATCCATCGCGTTTCCAGCTTTGTCAACGCTTGGTTATATCCAGTTCATCTTGGGACTTATCCCTGAATTGCTGTCAGGCCTCGTGGGTGGCAAAGTGAGTTTGGAACGAATGGCGAGGTTTTTCAATTCAACTGATGCGATGGGAACGACAACGCCGTCCCGCTTTATCCAACTGGACAACGCGAGTCTTTCCTACCATACCAAGTCAGCCACAGCAGAGTCTGGCATGCTTAGGAGCGTGACCCTCACAATTCCTCTGAAGGCCTTGAGCGTAGTATCTGGACGTACTGGATCGGGCAAGTCCCTCCTACTGAACGCCATACTAGGCGAGTGCGAAATCCTTTCTGGTTCAGTCCGACGCCCTGTGCCGCCGACATTTGAGGCAATATACAGCTCGGATCTCAATCCACTGGATTGGTGTCTTAGTTCGGCTATGGCCTACGTGGCCCAGACCCCGTGGATCGAGGCAGGTACAATTCGTGCCAATATTCTCTTCGGCCTGCCCTACGACCGACCGAGATATCAACATGTCCTTTTCGCCTGTGCGCTCACGCAGGACCTCGATCTCTGGGACGGCAGGGACCTTACGGAAATCGGCCCTAATGGTGTCAATCTAAGTGGCGGGCAAAAGGTGCGAGTAGGTCTGGCGCGGGCTCTGTATTCGCGTGCCGGCATTCTTCTTTTGGACGATATCTTCAGTGCTGTGGATGTGCATACAGCAAGTCATCTCTTCAAACATGCCATCACTGGGAAGCTTGCATTAGGACGAACGAGGATTCTGGTGACGCACAACGTGGATCTTTGTTTCTCCAAAGCCGACTATCTGGTTGAGCTCGAGAATGGGACGGTTAGATACGCGTACGCAGTGGCTCACTCTCAAGACGAAGACTTGGACGACTCCTTACGCGAGGAAACGTCAGCGAGGGTCGAAGAACAGGACGATGAATCCAAGAGGTACTTCTCTTGTCAAGACGAGGATGCGAACGACACTGGCCACCCCATATTGTCCACTAAGTACGTTGAAGAGGAGACTAAATCCCAGGGGGCCCTTCAGTGGCAGTTGTTTCGAAGATACATTCAGACCAGCGGTGGATGGGCTTCATGGGCTGTTCTCGCAGGAGTCTACATTATGTACAACATATTACAGCTTGCTCAGGTAGGTGAGCATTCTTCATTGTGTGTTCAATACTGACTTTGCATTAGTATTGGTGGATACAGATTTGGAGCAGGGATGCCATTACCAAAGGCTCGGATGGCAGCGAAACAGCATACTACCTTGGGATCTATACCGGTATTGCCGCGTTGTCATGTCTTGCCGGCTCACTGCGTGCCTACATCGCTATCCAAACTTCTCTGACCGCAGCATCTCGTCTATTTCGAGGATTACTATTTGTGGTCCTTCGTGCACCCTTGCTGTGGCTTGACAAAGTGCCATCGGGGAGGCTTCTCAACCGGTTCACAGCCGACTTCTACTTGGTAGACTCACGGCTTGGCTTCGACTTGACGGCCGTTCTGAACGCGGGCATGGATTGCATCGGAGTCATGATGGGTGGAGTGTTGGTGCGCCCGATTCTCCTCGTGTGTGCCGTCTTTCTAGCCGCAGCAGCCTTATGGTACACGCAGCGATATCTGGCCGCAGCACGGGAGATCAAACGGCTCGAGAGTATCTCGCGCAGTCCGGTCTACGAGCAAATCGCCTCGTGTCTGCAAGGGCTAGCCACCATCCGCGCCTTCGGCCAGACCAAGCGCTACATCGAGCAAATCCACACCAGACTCGACCGACAGGCGCAAGCATCCTGGCACCTCTACCTTTTCAACCGGTGGTTCACCTTCCGCATCAACGTCCTCGGTGCAGTCTTCTCTACCGTGACCGCACTCGCCGTGGTCAACCGCCCCGGCATCACGGGCTCCATGGCCGGCTTCGCCCTCGTCTTCACTAACCACCTCTCCTTTGCCCTCGTCTCCCTGAGCCGCGCCTATTCCACCCTGGAAATGGATCTCAACGCCGTCGAACGTATCCTCGAATACTCCGACCTCCCCACCGAAAACACCGAAAACCCCAAGGCAACAACAACACCACCACCCACGCCCTCATCTTGGCCCAGCCACGGCAGCGTCTCCTTCACCCACCTCACCGCCGGCTACTCCCCTGACTCCCCGGCAGTCCTCCACGACATCAACCTCCAGATCCACCCCGGGCAACGCATCGGCATCGTCGGCCGCACCGGGGCCGGTAAATCGACGCTCGCGCTTGCTCTCTTCCGCTTCCTCGACCCCCTGCGCGAGGGCACCATCACCATTGACGGGATCGATATCGCCACCCTTCCCCTCGCCACCCTCCGCACCCGTCTAGCCATGATCCCGCAGAACCCGGTCTTGTTTACCGGAACCATCCGCTCAAACCTCGACCCCTTCGACGAACACGACGACCACACCATTTTGCAAGTCCTGCGGCACGTCCACTGGCCCCTAGCCTCAGAAGCAGACCTGGGTGACTCGGGCTATCTCACCATCCTGTCCTCCCCCGTCTCCCAAGCCGGCCAAAACTTCTCGCACGGCCAACGCCAACTCCTCTGTCTCGCAAGGGCAATGCTCTCCCGCCCCGCGGTATTCGTGATGGACGAGGCCACCTCCGCGGTGGATCGTGCGACGGATGAGCTGATCCAGCGGTCGATTCGTAAGGGGTTTGGGTTTGGCGGGGAGATGAGGCGCACGACGTTGCTGGTGATTGCGCATCGGATTCGCACGATTGCGGATTTCGATTGTGTGGTTGTCATGGATGCGGGGAGAGTGGTGGAGTTTGGGAAGCCGGCGGAGTTGTTGAGGAGGGAGGGGGGCGTGTTTCGGGGTTTGGTGGAGGGGGATGGTGATGCGGAGGAGTTGAGGAATATTATGTCTGGGATGTAGGCTTGGTGGAGGAGGATGTTGATGGTGAAGAGTTGGGGACGGTTAAGTCTGGGATGTTGGGGGCGGGTGGGCGCGGGTATTGGAGATGAGGCATCGGTGGGGCGTGGTGATTATATTGATTGTTGTAGGATTCTGAGACCGGTCTGCGATGGACGGTTATGTTAACTTTTGTGGTTTGTGGTTTGATTTGCACTTGGGACGGGTTTTACAGCAGTTGAATAGATGCAGACTAAATTGCATTAGAATGGAGTGGAAGATTTTCAATTATCATCCAAGTGTCATCTCCTGGCAATACTACACTTCACAAGGTCAAACTCCCCGTCAGAGGCAGATCCCGACTCGATCGTCCCACATACACCTTATATTCTCCCTGCTGCAGCTCCCACTCCTGCGCCTCCACACTCCACGTACTCAAATCACGTCTCGTCAAGGCGAACGTGACCGTCACCGTCTCCCCAGCCAGGATATTCACCTTATCGAACCCGCGCAGCTGACGGATCGGTCCATTGGGGATGCCCACGTACAGCTGTGCGACCTCCGCGCCGTCGACCGAGCCGGCGTTCTCCACCTGCGCCGTGACGTTGACCAAAACATCCCACAGCCGCGGGTTGCCTCCTTCCTGGATAACCGCCGCAGGAGGGTACTGTGTGGCCTCGACCGAGGTGCGTTGGATGTTCAGGCTGGAATAATCGAAGGTGGTGTACGAGAGACCGAAGCCGAACTCGAACTGCGGAGTGATGTCCTCCTTGTCGAAGGCGCGGTAGTCGATGTATACTCCCTCGGTGAAGTTGTCCTGCGGGAACAGGCCGTAAGGCGCGACGGGCTGCACGGGGTGTAAGACTGCGCCGTAGTCGGAGGCCTGCTTGGCGACGGTGTAGGGGAGGCGGCCCGAGGGGTTGGCGCGGCCGTACAGCAAATCCACGAGAGCTTTGCCTGTGTCTTGGCCTGGAAGATGGGCGAAGATCACAGCGGTAACGTTCTCGTGGTCGATCCAGTTATACACGAGACGGATGCCCGCGTTGTGGATCACGACGATCGTGTTGTTGCATTTGCTGGCGACGTTGGTTACCAGCGTGTCGCTGTCGGAGTCCACCAGACCTGTCCGGTCACTGCCTTCGGAGGCGTAGCTGTTGATGAAAACTAGGCAGGCGTGGGAGGCGGGGTCGACGTCTGGGTCGAACGATGTCACGTCCCAGAGGACGGCGGTGTTGTCTTCATAGGCTTGTTGCTGGATGGCGTCCAAGGGGGCGATAACGTATGCGGGATTGTTGGCACCGGAACCTCCGCCCACCCAGAGTGTGTTGTTTTGCGTGGGCGGAGCGACACTTAGAGAGACGGGGGCTAGGTCCAGGGACTCCGGGGCTTTGGCGTCGTAGCCGAACACGGAGACTAGGCGTGGCGACTGGAGAGGGAGGACGGAGCCTTGGTTTTTAACGAGGACGTGTCCCTCGATTGCGCTTTGCAGCAAAGCGTCCTTCTCATCGGCAGAAGTTCCAATGACGATCTCATGCTCGGAGTAGACGTCGACGGGCATCCCAATGCCTGGTGAGGGAAAGTCGGTGTCTTGGTTTAATTGGTACCAGGAGGCAACGATCCTGATTGAGTAAGAATGAGTATCAAAGGTGGAAGGTGATCTAACCTACCTAGTGACCATATCGTCCAGTCTCGATGCTTCCATGCTGCCGTTGGCAATGGCCGTCGTGAGATTGGACCCCCATGTGGTGGTACTTGGCATGACCATGTCCAGGCCGGCATTAGCACCAGCGATCCCGGCGTGTTGGGCATCCCAATCAGTGACAACGTAGCCTTGCAAATATCAGCAATGATGCGGAGGATTGATTAGGCCGTCTTACCTTGGAAGCCCAGTTCGGTCTTCAGAAGACCATTCAGCGTCTTACTGTTCTGGCAGCTGTAGGAATTATTGACTCGGTTGTACGAGCACATCACGGAGACACTTCCCGCCAGAACGGCGTCTTGAAACGGCCAAAGATACAGTTCATGGATAGTTTTGTCGTCGATGTTAGAGGAAACTGAGGCAACAGTGACGCCGTTCTCAGTCTCGGGGTTTCTGTTGGTCTCTTGCTCGTTTCCGATGTAGTGCTTTGATTCAACCCTTAGCCATGACTCAGATGACTTTCCAGTAAGATGGTATGCACATACCTTGACCGAAACGCCGACACCGGCTTCCTGCACACCCTGCACAGTCTCATACACCAGCGCACCGCTGAGGTAAGGATCGTTGGCAAAGCCTTCCCAGTTACGACCACCTTCCACGACACGACCAAGTGGGCCAACAACTGGGCCCAGTAGGAGATTTACCCCCTTTCGATGGAACTCCTGTCCCATGTATAGGGCGCGTTGGTGTGCAAGAGTTTTATTCCAGCTAGATAGAATGGAATCATTACTCGTTTGCCACGGATGCAGTGGCTGTGACATCTCTTACCTTGCTCCCACGTGAATGCCACTTGGCCAGCCATTCACAAAATCGGTTCCACGCTGCGTAAATGTTAGCGGTCATGGTCAATCCAGCGCGACCTTGTGCACTTACCAGCCCATTTCCTGCATCAGAAACACAAAGCCCGGGGAAGCCGAGACGAGAGACTGCTGGAATGTTGCCTGAGCAGCCATTACTGGCAGTATACCCGGCTGTGAAGTTGATCTTCTCCTCGTCTGTGAGTTGAGCGACAAAACTCTTTGCCTTTACGTAGGCTGCGGCCCAGGACCCGGTTCCGGCACCGTCCGCTAGATGGTTGGGTCAGTATTGAGGACATGGTAGAAAAGCACAGTGTTGCACGTACGGGAGGGGTAGACGGGCGGAGAATCGCCATAAAAGTAAGTATCGCTTGTAATATTTTGCTCAGTCGGGGCCGCGGAGCAAAGTGAAAGACCGCCCAACAGGGCCGCAAAAGATGCTAGACCGTACATTCTGCTGGACTCGCTTGCCTGTCTCGATATTTTGCCTCCGCGACTGCCTGACGTATTTATACCTTTAGTCCAATGCATCGAGTGGACTGTACAAGAAGACCGAGTTGGTCAATCCCACCTAATGCTCCGAATACTCCGCAGAATTGCCTGACTCCCGGGTAAATATCGGCAGAAAAACAAGAACTGAAAGGCTCTAAGACGGCCATCTGCAGGTTTCAGCAGTGGAATATCCAGGGCAAGAATGAGGGTTAGGTAGGTGGCTAGGAGGTAAGTGCCGGCTCGCGAGTCAGTGAGCGGGTGTTGATCCCCACATGCCGTGCATCTATGTACAATCCGGGGTTGTCCCACCAGCCCCACAACGACCGACAGGACAGCCAGTGCGGGGCAAGTCCGAGTGAGGAACAGCAAGAGTGCCATCTGTGGCCTGACAAAACCCCGCATTTGCCCTCTGGCGACTGTGGATGCAGGGTCACCCATGCTTCGTGGGGTTTTGCGTGGGGTGCTGTACTCTGGGGTGGCCAACCCAACAATTGGTGCTCTGGTCAATATGGACATCCTGGTGTTGAAAACGTAGTTGGCGTTTTGAGAACAGAGAATTCGCTAGCATTCCGCCTGATTTCTTCTCTTGTCTTGGTGCTAAGCCGGTCGCGACATCCACACCGGCTTGACTGACCAAAGCTTGTGGGGAAGACTTGGGGCTCGGATCAGAAGCCACCGAAAACGACTATGCCTCGAGTTAGTCCTCGGCCAGGAAAGTCGGCAGATGGAAGGAGAATGGAGGAGGGATTGCCATTCATATCAGCCAGGTGACTCGAGGCTAAGTGGTCGGATTGGGCTTGAGTACGCGGCCAGGCTCATGTTCACTCCTAGTGCCAAGGCGGCTAGAGTGAGGTCAGTGGGAGAAGCGGATCACGCGGATGCTAGAGTAGAGGGGAGATGATCATGACGCAAAGTAGAAAAGAGGGGAAATGCGCGAGATGTGAATGAGGAGAAGTTGTGAAAGTGAGAGTGGATGTGAGGGGAGGAGGAAGTTGTGGTTGTAGAAGAAGGAGAGGCTGGAGGGAAGCAGTTCGGAGGAAGTCAGACAAATCACGCAAACATACAAACATGCAAACAAAGTACAACTTCTTACCAACTTTTCCCTTTCCTTCTTGCTCTTCCCTTCTTACAATTTCTTCATCTTCATCTATTGACTAGGTACTATCACAGGTGCAGCTCATCTGTGGCTTGTGTTTACACTTCGACTACAAACAAAATCCATGGATTGTGAAATAGGACTGAAAATTCCTGCAAATTTACCTGTGGCAACCCCATGACAGAGATCGAGTTCCCACTTCCCTACGCATCGGACGACTCCACCGGCACTATATCCGGACTGACTTCAAACGAAAGGGTGAACCTCGGATTAAGTTGTACAGGGGTGGGAGCCTCCATCGGTAGCAGATACGGATTCGGAACGCTCGGATCCTCATTCAGTGTAGGAAAACAAGTCGTGAATCCGAATTCCACCTGGCAAAGCCGTATAATCCATCGCGCTTCTTCCTCGGGGTCGTTGGCGATTCCGATCCAACCCACCGTGGGCACCGAAATCTGTGATTCGCCCTGACGAGTGCAATGTAGCGCGACCGAGGTAGGTGTTCCCCTCGGGATTAGCACGAAACTATACACCTCGCGGTCCGTTGGGCTAATGGCCTGGATGGCGATCTGGGCATCTTTCGCTACATTCGCAAGCCAAACGGCGTTTTGTGGCAGCGCTTCCCCAGGGCGGCCCCGGATCAGCGCATGGTGGCGCTTCTCGCCGCTATATACGAACCAGTGCACCCCGAATGCATGTCCGACATAGCGAGAAAAATTGTCTGGGTTGCGTACTGCTCCCCAAATACAGCTCCCGGAGATGAGGAAGGGCCAACCGTGCTTGCGGGTTCTGACAAGCGTTCGGATTGTTACCCAGGCATATTCCTGTCCCGGTTCCATGAGCGAAGGGTCGGCCAAGATAACCCCATGGAGATTGGTCCCTAATGGGTCATTGATGAATTCAGCTAGGTGCGTAATACTGGGTGACAGTACGACCATGACGCGAGGCTCTAATGCCTCCATCAACGCAGCGACATGCTCTGATGGCTCTCGACCCCGAAAAAAGATCAGAATCACTGGCGAGTAGAGCATCATGGGAGGACGAGGATGCTCGGCACCGACATCACCCCGTTCGTTTATCCGCCCAGGTCGACTATCCACTTCGTCGGAATCATCATCCTGTGCCCCATGTTCGCCCTCCCCAGCGGGAACATTGACCGGGTTTGGGCTGTCGGTATCAGAAATCACTTCCTCTTCCACCATACTCAGACGATCGTCAGGTCCCGTATTCATATCGGGTGCCTAGGTTTCCCGCGTTTTGCTATGCGTTCCTAGTGAGTATCGAGGTGGGTATCCTAACACGAGATCAAGCTAGAGGGTATCAAGGGCATATTTGTACTTACGGATTGGCACTCTCAAAACATATGCACGTTTGGGTATTGAGGTTTGTCGCTGATTATTACTTTTCTTTCCGGACGAGTTTCACTAAAATAAGCGGGCTTCTACCGCTGCTGAAATCAAAGGAACCCAAACGGTGATCTCATTTCATAGCATAAGGCAGCTACCGACAGCTTAGTCTTGAGTTGTTGAATTACGTTATTCTTGCTGAAGGCGCACTTCGGTCAAGATTCCCTTCCACTCGAGCTGCACCCGCTCGTCGGTCTGGTGTAGACACCACAGTTTGGCTAAGGCTGCGAGACTATCGTCGTCCCTTCCTCTCATGGCCAGCCAACGAGGTGAGAAGGGGAAAGCATGGATGGCGCTTCCCACCATCAATGCAGGGGCCATTTGGATGATGGTACGCGGAAGGCCCAGTCGCCAGCCATTGTTCCAGTCGAACGTCTATTTACAGTCTCATTTACCTCGCCCTGGCACTCTGACAGCTTACCTCGTGCCATAGGTGATCCAATAAGCCACGATTGCACCAACTACAATGCTGATGGCCTCCAAGACCAACCAAGATCCACGCCAGCGGGAAGGGGCTGTCTCCGAGATATACAAAGGCGCACCCATTACCAGCGTGCCGACGCCAATTCCACCAGTCAACCGAGCGGCAAGCAACGTAGCATAGTCCAAAGTTGCAGTCTGGATGATGGCGCCGACCATGAAGAAGACCCTGGCAACAGTGAGGCACCACTTGCGGGAGATTCGGTTGGCGACGGAAGGGAAGAAAAGACAGCCGATGAAGGGGCCTAGTTCCAGCATAGCGGTCATGAGACCCGTGTTGAACCCATAGTGCGCAATTGTCGGGCGAGCACTCGGGGAATAGCTTTCGGAACAGGCTCATCTCCAGGAGTGCAATTGCAGTCACTGAACCGACCAGAAACCCGTCCCGGAAAACCCAGGGAAGCGCAAACAAGACTAAGGTATCCAGGTTCGACCCGACAATTGCCTGCCATTTTCCCCGCATTCCAAGCGGGACAACCGGGGAAGGAGACGAAAGACGGGGGAATGTGTATCCTACACCCTTGATTGGACATCCCCAGGCCCGGAGCGATGACACTCAATCCGGCAGCCGCTGAAAAGGGCGGGCGGAAGAAATTGCCCCATGCGGTAGCGTAGATTTGAGATGGCTCAGCCAATCACGGCGCAGGCTAGTGCTGAAGAGGCATAGCCTCGGGTAGATTCCGACTGATTTCTTGGTGACGGTATGACATCATCAGCATCCTCTTGCTGTCGATTGGACCACAAGCGAGGACTCTCTAAATTGTACTATCAAGACCAGGAATGAGTAAAATGATAACTACATGACTCTGCAGACTTCAAGAATTGCCTATCTATCGTCATCATCGCCAATCAGCCTTGGCCTATATTCATCGAAGGTGAGGATTGTAAATCGCCGACCATTCGGGTAATGAGCGTTGGTGCAGCCGCTGGGCTGGTGACCTTTGCACTAAGGACAATATCGCGCGGATGCTGTAGAATTAGCCATCCCTATCGATCGCAAGAGTCTATCACATGGCAGGCTATTGCTTAGACTCCAAACCGAGGTATAGTCTTGAGAAGGAAGAAGTAAAGCATTGGAGATATATTGAGGCCTCCTCAACCTCGTTGACCAGCAAGGCCCGTGGTAGCATGATATTCCTTCGACCTGCAAGACTCTTAGATACTGTATGTGGTATTCCTGGTGCATCTTCAACTGTGGCTACAGGCAAACCATTTATGTCTTGATTATAGGATTCAGTTGGCTTCTAGATCTTTCTTCTGGAAGATGCAAGGTGATCTCTGGTACGCTGTGGGATTGCTTGGGTCTACTGTGCTCCTCTATATAGTTCTTCTCTGGTAAAACCACATCAGCGCATCAGTGTGTTGCTACTTTTGCATATTCCGAGTTCTTTGTGCATCTTCAGATCTTCGGACCGATACTGGTTTTGTCAGATTGATGCACTTGAAAAACACCAGGTTGCCTCGCTAGTGAGCTGCAGTAAGTCTATGGCTGTACTCTCCGCTGTGTGCGTGATTGTCATCGAATTTGCTTCTGCTACGTGGGCCATTATGGTATCTAGAGATTGACTTGGTCCCGATCTTACGCTAGATAGAGCATGTAGGCAAGACAATGCGTGTCGTGAAGGAATTATAAATTTGGTGTGAGATATCGCTCGTGAAGATCACCTGTAAACTACAGGTAATTTTCACCAAGAGATAGATCTATATTAACAGAGAGAGTGCAAGAGTCAGTGTTGGACATAATCTCCTGACCCTTTTCCTGGTGTGAGTGTTATCATCTAATCATCTCGATGTGCAAGATCCAAGCTACACTAGACCAAGCACTTCATTTACCACAGCTCTAGCCTAGGAGCTACCTTACTCCCTTGTCATTCTTGAACGCTACCTGATCTAACACCTCGATCCCTATCCCCCTTTTCTTTTTCACTTCACACTCATCGTTCCCTAGCAACAGAACACCGCAGATATCTCTCGCTGTACCGTCTTCGCAACAAAACCCAACCTACTCACTCGATCATCGTCCTACATCGTCTACATCATTAACCTCGTCACAAGAACTAACAACAATCATGCCCGTCACCTGGAACTCAGAGGCCAACGCCAAAGTATGTCCTCTGCAACTCTCTATCTCCTTCATCCCCGAATGACCGACTGACAAGAACCTATCATAGCTCTTCCTGGGAGTCCTCACCCAGCTGAGAAACCAAAACGTCAAGCTGGACTACCACGCCCTGGCCGGATTTGTGGGCTCAGGTAGGTCCACATCATGAAAAGAGAGATAGTTGCTAATGTGTCAGCAGAATGTTCCGTTCGTGCCGTGCAGCAGCAGATGGATAGGCTGCGCAAGCAGGCCAACGAGAGCGTTAGTAACTCGAATCCTCCCGCCGGTACTCCAACTAAGCAGAGGGCCACCAATGCTCCCTCCGGCAAGACGACTCCGACTGCCAAGCGCAAGGCTGGGCGTATTGCGACGAAGACACCTACCAAGAAAATGAAGCCTGGTTCTGAGGACGCGGTTGCGGAAGAGGAGGAGGAGGAGGAGGAGGAGCAGGAGGAGGAGGAAAGCGTGACAATCTCTCCTTCCTCTACCAGCCTCTAGATGAGCTATACATCGTTCTCATCGCCAATCCTTGATCCAACACTTGCTCCTATCGCTCTTCGGCCTGCTTTGCTTTTACATGACTTCCTGTTGATGAGACGCCTGGATGAATGTAAACACAGGTCATCATCACTCCCATGCGTTCTTCTTGCTCTTTTATCACTTGCTATGAATAGGAGTCATGTTTAGTTGAGTGGGGATCACATTAGCTACTTTCAATACATCATTTCTATCCAGCTCGGATTGATGTTGAGGCTTTTAGGATGTTCAGAGGTAGACAAACAAGTGAGAATTGCCAGTGTCCACGCTTACTAACCTACTATGATTCGTTAAGTGAGCCCGTCATGCTGTAGCCTTTTGTCGCCTTCCATGGCCATCGAGTCAGACATGCTCTCACTTCTGATTCTGAAAATACAAGCCCTCTATACTAACACCCTGCACTTCTAGTAACACCGATAGAAGTTCAACCCCGTGAGTTCCATCCGGTCAGATATATCCCTCTTTCGTAAAGTATCTTTATACAGTAGTGAGGGAAAGCAAGGTACGCCGTCACAGAAATGAACGCCATGTTCCATGGATGGCTCAAAGGCGCGGTATAGAAGACCAGGTGAGTTGTATGTGTACTGCGGTTGGTGGTTGAACAGGTTCTACCTCCACGGTCTCTAACTAGTGTAGTTTACTTATATCACACACGAACTCCATGACATTGAGCGATTCTACTGAATCCCCTTCCACACAGCCAGTGAGTGGGGATCCGCTTCCACCCTCACAAGAGAGTCATTTACTTAACCTGCTTGCTCCACTGCGCCTTGAAGAACACCTCATCCTAAGCTTGAATCTTGCTGCAACCCCTCAATATCAACAGTCTCTGATCAAGGTCAGAATCCGATTGAGCCAGTGGAATAATCATCTGAACACCAAGATTGAATCTGGCGTTGTGTTACTAGTGAGAGCAAAGAGAAGGCGTCCTTCACCACTTCACTCAGCCAGCTTCCAGTCAGACCACTGCCATCGCACCTCCCTCTCCTCTCCTACCATCCAACGCCTGCACCAGATCCAGTACAATTCATACCATCCTGCCTTCTCCTTCTCTATCATTCTCCATCGCGAACCCAGCCACCAGCACAAAGCTCGACCTACATCGCAAGCAAACACCCACACATCGCCAATCCATCCCAAGCACGAGTTACCAACCTCCAAAACGAAACCGCCGCAAATCACCACCACAACCTAAGAAAAAACCACTAAAGCCAACATGAAGTGGACACCCGAAAACATGAATGTCGTACGCTTCCCCAGTTCAGCCCATCCCAGCCCAGTCCAGCCCCTTCATCCATCACCTCACACACCAAACTAACCACCTCGCACGGAATCTGCTAGCTATGGGAAACCCTCTTTGAAACCCACGACCTCACCATCGACGTCGACAAGATGGCCGCAACCTGGCGTAGGTCTATCCCCTCCCCCCCTCTCAATCCCATGACCCTCTTTCATCCCCTCCTATACCCGACTACTAACCCACATTCCACCGCAGCCACCCCTCACCCCGACGACGAAAAGCCCACCCCGCGCGCCATCAAAGAGCGTCTCGAGAAATTCCGCCGCAATCTGAAGAACGGGGGCAGCTCGATCACTTTTAGTATGGGGACGAAGCGCGCGGGGGGTCCGAGCCCCGAGTCGCCACAGAAGACTCCGCCGAAGAAGAAGAAGCGGGTGTCGAAGAAGGCCGTGCCGGGGAAGGGAAACGTTGCGTCGGAGGAGAAGGGTTCCCTGGACGGTGATAGACAAGGAGGTGCAGGGGAGCAGGGTTCTGCGGGGAATGTGGGTTGAAGATGTCTGGGAGGGGTGTGGGTTTATGCCATGTACAGGCGATAGGGGGTGTGGGCTGGGGGATGGGAACGAGTTTGGATTGCGGGTTTACGTGACGATGAGGGGTTTTTTTTTTTTTTTTTCTTTCTTGCCAGTGAGGGCACAAATCATAATTCGAGAAGATGAATGAAACTCATTCACGGTGAAAAAGTGCAAAAGTTCCGGCTGGACTTGTGAGCCAACTACACTATTCCTGCGCATCAGTCTTCTAGGCGAGTAGCACAAAGCATGCAGCCACACGCCCGGGAATATAAAAGCACGAAACCCCGAGGGTGTCAGCCAGCCAGGCGGGCGACGATGACAATCTCGATGGCCGGAAATGCAAGCGTCGATCTTAGTGCGGGTGGAGTGTAGCCCCGTTGATCGGCGGCTGAGATGCTGGCTCTTTTGTTCTCTCCCCCCGACGACCCCGTGCTGCCCGGTAGAGGTGATTTGGATGCAAAGGTATAGTGGTGCATCGTGTATCTGATACGATACAAAGCGTCGGTGTAGCTACGCAGTTCATCCTCCCACTCCCGTAGAGTATCTCTGATGTTCACAGGAATTGGCACCTCAGGCCAACCCGGCGTGACGATCCCTGCCCTAATCCGTGACGGACCGCCTCTGCCACCTTGGAACAGATCCAGTCGTGCTTTGCCTGCATGAGGTTTCGAGCCACGACCTAGTTACCCAGTGGAGTCTGTTGCACGCCAGTGGACCATGCTAGACCTGGTGTTTGCAGTCCACTGCTATTGGGTTCATCGCTTCAGCCCATGAGTCGTGCTGCGGCTCCACCGATCGGCACTTCTTCTGAGCGAATCCCAGTACCTCGTAGCTACCGACCGGGTGGTTCCTGACCATACAGAGGAAAGTGGATCGGAAGCCTGGAGCTTGTCGAGGTTTTCTTGGGAAGGTGTGCTAGTGCTCGACCAGGGACGGTGCAAGGAGCTGGCGGCAGCTCTTGCGTACAGTTCTGGGATGAGATGAAAGCCTGGGAATGATATTGCTGCCACTCGCTGAATCGATCGCAAGAAACAAATCCGAAGTACAGTACATACTCAAGGTAACGAACGCCACACGGGGGTTTGCTAGGAGTAAACCAAAACGCCACCGAACCGAGTAAAAACACCTTTTACACCCCCTTCTCCCGACGCATGTCCATTGTATTACTCCCTCCACCCGTCCATGCCAGAAAACCCTCCAGTCGATCGGCTCTGCAACCACGCTATGCGTCAGTCCAGTCCTCGTATCCGCCAGGTCGCAACTCCTTGCCCACCCCGCTCGTCTTCTGGATAAACTTGGTGACCAGTTCCTTGATGCGCGGGCCGCGAGGGATGTAGTGCGACCCCTGGAAATACTCCACCTGCGCATGGGCGCAGCGCTCGACCAGTTTCAGCGACTGCCGTTCGGTGATCCAGGTATCCAGCGCGGCGAGGAAGTGCAGCACCGGGGTCTGGATCTTGCGCGCATAGATCCACTCATAGGTGCGGTGCTCGAACATGAAGGCAGAAAAGGCGATGCAGAATTGCAAGGGCGGGTGGTTAACCTGATTTTTTTGGTTGTGAGATTCCGTAGTGATGCGCATGATAGTTAGTATGCGTACGTACGTGGAAATGGGGATTCGTCTTCAAGTTCTGTTCCAGCAATGCGGTCAGGATCACCGACCAGGCGGCCCCCGCTGAGAAGCCGATCACGCCGACAAAAGGACCGTGTTCGTTCAAGACAGTCGCTAAGTGCTTCCAGGTGTGTTCCAGTCCTTTGAGTTCTTGCGTTTCCGGATCGCCGTACCCCCAGAGCCAGCTGTCGGGGAGTTTGTTCGGCTTCATGTAGGTCTCGTCACAGGCGTCGAGCTCGGAGGCTGGGATCGGTCCGTCCAGGTAGACGAATTCCACGCCCCCCGGGTAGGGAAACTCGGATTGCAGGGCCGAGCTGGCGAAGAGGGCGCGAGCGATCGGCTCGTGGAGGTAGCGCATCTTGGCTTGGAAGGTGTGTGCGGATTGCCCAGTGCCTGTCGTTGTTCCAGTCGCGCTGACGAGAGTGGAGGGAGAGAGGGTGTGTACTCACCGTGAAGCATCAGCACTTTCGCCGTGCGCGGGGGTTGTTGAGGTCGAGTCTCGAGATACATCTCGTCCCAAGCTCGGTCAGAACACTCGGAGCGAGATAGGTGGGTGATGAGTGGATATCCTCCAGCCTCCAGCACCGGGAGACAAGACCCCCTTTATACGCGATACGTCTCCCCGATCAGAACCCTGACAGGCACTCCCTATGCATCTTTGAGTTTCCGATGACGATCAGTCGGCAATCTGGTACGAAAGCTGCTGAGTGGGCACCGGGTGCTGTCCCACCTCGCGTGGCGCTATCGAGCACGGTTTCATCCACAAAACACCCGATCAATAGATTCCTTGCTTGCCTCGACCGCATGGGCATGGATGCTGACAGGACCTGCTCCCGTACCGTCGGAGCATTCGAGCTGGTCAGCACGCCATGTGGGCTGTACACACTCTCGGGTTGGATCGCTGCCAAACTCCTCCGGGAATTACCTCTGCATCCTGTCCGGATTGGTACGTGAACCATACCCTCGAATCGCAGGCCATTCCAAAAATCTCGCGTCCTCCGATCGTAATATTCGCCGGACGCAGATCGGCCAGATGAGATCGCATCTGGCCTGGCCGCCTCCTGGCCCAGTCAATCCACTACCCCTAAATCCCAGAAGTCTAGCAGCTCAAACCCGTGGAGACATGGTGCGTGCATGAATGCGACGAGCCCGACACAACTATACTATCGATTGGGCCGCACTCGGAGATGAGTAGTATCGCGACTCGAATTTGAGTCCGGGTCGACTATTGAAGCACTATTGTTGTTCGCGCTCGCAAGAACCAGTAGCATTTTCCTGGCTCCTCGGCGTGTTCTTCGGCCTGTACACAGTAAGTGAAGGCTCCTTTCGACGCTCGCGATGTCGTGGCTGCAGCATCCAGGGCTTTTTGCTGGGCGATCGCCCAGATCGGCACGGATCGCCGCGGCGGGGCCCTCAGGACCGGATTGGACTATGATTGCAGTGGGACGCTCCGCACTAATACGAACCTCTCTGGACCAAGAGAGGACTGTATGCTAGAGCTGTATCGATCGACATAGAGAGGGAGGATGGGACCCAGAGCGCTGGTAATGTGGATGGCGTACTATGGAGAGGTGGTGTTGTGCCTGACCTAATGGCGCCAGGCCTCGCTCAGTGGGTGGGTATAAAGACATCAAGTCTGCCTCCTCTGCACAAGGCTTGGCTGCATTGCTGCCCACATTTCATAGTTCTTTAATCACATCATGGCACCAAAAACCGTGGCAGAGGCGGCAGACAACACGCAGCCGCCGCCCGACAGGCATCTGTTCGGCCTGCTGGAACAAACTGCAGAGAGATTTCCCGACCGCGACGCCGTGGTCGCGCTGCGACAGACGGAGAAACCAGGGCCTGTGGGCGCCGAAGTGCAGACGCCTTTGCGGTGGACTTTTTCAGAACTACACACCCGGAGTGTACGTCTGGCGGCGTCTCTCGCACAAGCGGGAATCGGCAAAGGGAGTCGCATCGCGGCCTTCCTGCTCAATGAGGCCGAATGGGCGGTGCTTTTCTGGGCTGCGGCTCGTCTCGGCTCGCAGTTCGCTCCATTGGATCCTCGCATGCTCGGTCAACGCGCAGATGCCCTGCATCTGTTGCGGAAGCTAGAACCTGCCGCGGTGTTCGTCTCCGCGGTGGCTATGACCACGCCTCTGGATGCTGCGCTGACAGAAGGGGGGTTTCAGCCGGTGGTGAAGAGCATCACGAGAGTATCGGACGATGAATCGTTCCCGGATGGCTGGACGACGTTGCCACGGCTGATGGAGCTGCAGAGGGAAAACGCCCCCACGGCGTTGGTGCTTCCCCCGTCACCAACCAACACAGAAGACACGGTTCTCATTCTGTTCACGAGCGGCACCACATCTCTACCTAAGGGCTGTCCGCATACCACGCGGTCGATCGCGACGCCCGGCCTGATGGTCGTCAACACCCTCAACATCAAGCCCGGGGACCACCTCTGCGGACACCTCCCCAGCTTCCACATCTTCGCGATCGTAATGACGCTCGGCACCTGGTTCAGCGGAGCGACCGTCGTCTATCCCAGCCCGACCTTCGATCCCGCGGCCTCCCTGGAAGCCATCCGCCTCGGCGCGAAAGTCCACACAGCCTGTGTCCCATCCATGGTGCAGGCCATCGCCTCCCAGCTGACGTCCGACAGCGAGGCTCTGCAGTCGTTGTACCAGATTGTCCTGGGCGGCGCGTCGTTATCGCCCAGCATCGTCGAGCTCTGTCTGTCTCTCGGGGCTGATCGAGTCATTGCGGGATATGGCACCACGGAGGGGGTGGCCACTTTGTTGCATTTTTATGACGCTGCATCATATCAGAAGATCCGGGGGGAGGTGTGTTTGGGTCCTCCCCGAGCAGGTGCGAGGGTTCGCATCTGCGCCCCTGACAGCAAGATCCCCATTCGCCGGGGTCAGCTCGGTGAGTTGCACCAAGGGGGAGATCCCATTTTTGGAGGGTATCTCGATGCCAGTGCGGAGGACAATCGTACCTGCTACCAGGAGGATGGCGTGAACTGGTCGGCGACTGGTGATCAGGGGTACATGGACGAGGAGGGCAATGTCTACCTCTTGGGCAGATATAAAGATCTGATCATCCGCGGTGGGGAGAACATCTCGCCCGTGAAGATTGAGCAGTGCTTGACCAAAATCCCCGGTGTTCGGGTCAGTCCATCCTCCCACTCCCTGACTGAGTCAATGCTGATAGCCGCCATAGGAAGCATATGTCGTGGGCATCCCTGATCCCGTGGCCGGGGAGGTGCCGATGGCAGTCATCCGTCGCGACCGCACCGTCGATGATGTGTCCACGAGGATGCTTCAGGCCAAGGTGCAGGAAGAGCTCGGGCGCTCTTTCGCTCCTACCATGATCCTCGACTTACAGGAGGACCTGCAGCAAGACCGCTACCCGACCACCACGACCGGCAAGGTCCTGAAACCCACTCTCCAGACCTGGGTGGTCGAATATCTCCAGCAGCAGGCCGCACCCGAGTCGGCCTCGGGGGATGACCTCGTGTCCCAGATCGCGGCCATCTGGGTGGCCATTACCGGACTCCACGCCGACCAGCTGGACCTCGACGCCCCGATCCGCACCTTCGCCGACAGCATGATGATGATCCAGTACCTGCACACCGTGACGCAGCGTCTGGGACGCGTGACTCGCAAAGACCTGATCGAGCACGACACCATCCGCAAGCAGGCCGACTTCCTCCTCGCCAACCGCAGCATCGCCAGCAGAAAAGCCTCCGTCATGCAGCCTCCCTCCCCCGGCAGTCCGCCCACCTCTCTCGATCCAGCTCGCGTACAGCAAGTCGGCGAGGCCACCCTCCGGCCCCTCGGGTTCAGCTGGGATGATGTCGAGGAGACCCTGCCCGTCACCGACACGCAGACCTGGTTCCTGAAAGACACCCTCAGCCCCAGCGCCTTCAAGATCCGGACCTCGTGGATTGCCGCCCCCGGGCTGAGCGTGGAGTACCTCGAGGCCATCATCCACCTGTGGATCCACCGCCACCCACTCCTGCGCAGCACCGTCGCGCAGTACGACCAAGACCGCATGGTCTGGCTGATCATGCGGCCCACCGCCCGGTGGATGCAGCAGCACATCACGCACGGCCGCGCAGTCGACCACATCGCCGCGCTGACCCAATACCACGCCGACAACCCGTGGGAGGGCTGCGTGGTGCTCCCCGGCCCCTTCCTCAAGGCCACCCTTGTTCGGGATCGAGACTCTTCCCGCGCCGGGGTGATCCTGCACTGCCACCATGGCATCTACGACGCGGTCACCATCTTCCGGTGGCTGCAGGACTTCAAAGACCTCCTGGCCAACAACGGTCTGCCGCGCCTGGACTTCCGGAGCTATGGCCGCTTCCTCGCCGACTACCAGCAGTACATCTCCAGCGCGGCGACGGCCGACGCAGCGGTTGCCTTCCACGTCCAGCGGCTGCAGGGGGTGTCCGCGAGGCACGCCACGCCGTGGCCGCGCCTGTCGACATGGAACGAAGTCCGAGCGCAGGGACTCGACCCGTTCATCAGCACCTCGACCAAACGCTCCGTCCGACTCCCCCAGCTCGCGGAGATGCGGCGCGCATCCCACATCCCCGTCCCGGTGATCGGAAAGGCGGCGTGCGTCCTCCTCAACGCCCATCGCACCGGGGTGTCCGAGGCGGTCTTCAACGTCGCCGCGTCTGGTCGCGTCTGGCCCGACGAGACCCGCGCCCACCCCAATCCCCTGGAAATCGACGGGCCCATGATCGGATTCTGTGTCGAGCGCGTCCTCGTCCAGCCCGCGGAGACTGTGCGCGAGCTGTTGACCCGGTTGACCGCGGACCAGGACGTGCAGAGTCTCTACACGCATGCCCCGTTCAGTCGCGTCCTGGACCGGCTGCGCGCGCTGGATGCCGCTGCCGGCACGAATGACGCGGGTTTTATTGAGCAGGCGGCGTTCGCGCAGGTGTTCAACTGGCGGTTGGAGCAGTATGCGGAGACGGAGGGGGATCCGATTCGGATGGTGGATTTCCGCGGGGGGTATGATCTCGGGGTGATTTGGTTGCCGACGCTGTTGGAGGGGGACGTGTTGGAGTTGGAGCTCATCGTGAATACGTTGGCGGTGGGGGGAGAGGCGGAGATTGTGGGTTTGATGGAGGAGTTTCTGGCTGTCATGGGGTGGTTGTGTGAGGTGGAGAACTTGGATAAACGAATAGCGGAGTGTCGTTATGAGGGGGCGGCTTGTTGGTGATTGTGGAGTTTGGGATAGAAGGAGTAAAGTAAAGTTAGGCCAGGAAGCTGAAAAGAAAGGGGGGTCTGGGGGTTCTCCCCCGGAACGCTGTATTTTCCCAAGATGTTGAAAGAGTGAGTGTATCCAGAAAGTTGAAAATAAGGGGTGGTCCGGGGGTGGAAGTGTGTTGGCTCGGTGGTGGTGATACGAGAGCTACACACAATACAAGAATTTTTGTGACAATAAATTTTCTAATTATATGGTCAAAATAGACATCAAGCATCTTGTGTAGTAGGTCTAGCAGAAATACACCGACTGTACCGAGTACTATATATATCTTACAAGGAGGCAGCACAAATTCTGGCCGAGAGCCGGCGTGAACGACGCCTACTGAAAATCAAGCACTACGCAGTATTCTCAGCTCAGTCTCAGTCTGTCTCTTCCGAATTCCCCACCATGGCTTCTTGCCAACGGATGAAGTCCGAGATCTGAGCTCGAACACGCTGCAAATCGTCCGGGACCTGTGCCAACAGCTCCCGCGCATCCTGCAGCAGTTGCAAAGCGTTGGCGCGTTGACCCGGATACTCGATCCTCCACGCCGGCCATTGCAACCTCTCCAACCCGGTCATCGACTGGAAGGTCTGACCAGGGCACTGCTGCTCGGCTTCCAACCGCGCTGCCTCGTAGGCTGTGCGGTAGACGGCCAGTTTGCGCATCAGCAGACCGCGTTCCTTGTTCCGCTGCTCGCGGTCATCATCCAGCACAGGCTGTTCACTCGGCGCTTCCGACAGCTGTTCGTCCAACTCTGCCAATCGAGTTTCCTGCTCCTCGACTTCCTGATGCAAGTACTGCAGCTCCCACAGCGGACGACCCTGCGGCTGGAGACACACGTTGCCCGGGCACAGGTCCCTGACCCGGTGTTCAGCCAGCTGTACCAATTCATTCGCGTGCGCGGCCTGGGCCATCGCACGCACAATCTCCCAACGCGCACCCCACTTCTCTTCGTCCGTCTGCACCCCCTCTCGCAGTTGATCACGAACCCTGGCGAGCCAGGAATCGACACGCTCCGCGGACTTCCTGTGTTCCTGCGCAACCCGAAGCGGCTCCGTCGCAAACTCCTCCGCCTGCATACGCGCCATCGCCCTCGCGACATCCACCTCAAAAGCATCCCCATCGAACGCATCGGGCCAGCCATGCTTCAAATACAACTCCCGCAGCGACCCGTCATCCCCCAACGCTGACCACTCATCCCACCCGTCACTCTCCCCGCCAGTTGGCACCTCGTCGAGCGCGCGATACCACCGGACAACATCCCGCAGCACCTCCCCCGCATCGCGATGCGGAATATGCTCGAAGCTATTTCGGTTCACCGACACCGGCTCCCGCTCCTCGACGTCCCGCAGCGCCAGGTCCGTGGTGGACCAGCCCTCCTGATCGATCATCCAGATCAAGTGCCTCCGCGCGTCGTACAGGATCACACTCCCGTGGTTCCCGAGCTGGGAGAGGGGCGTCACCCACGGACGCATGTACGCTCCATCTTCGGAGTCGTAATCCGGTACGGTCTCCACCCCGTACAGAGCGTAGAACGGATCGCGGCCTTGTTCGACGCGCTCCGCGTCCCGGAAATCAGTGAACTCGCCCCCGTGCAGGAAGCCGCTGTGGCCGGCGGCGGCGGGGTCGATGTAGGGCAGGATGCTGTAGAGGTATTGCACGGCGGGGTCGATGTTGAGGGTAGTAAAGTGAGAAGCGAGGGCGGTGAGGTTGTGTGGGCCTCGCTGGATGCCGGATGGGTCGAGGTAGCGCATGGCCACGAGGGTTTCGTAGATTTCTGACATTAGGTCTGCAATTTCGTGGAGGCGGGCTTTCTGCTGTGGGGTGATGGAGTCTGTGGAGGGGTTGGAGGAGGGGGAATGGGGCTGGTAGCGCTGCCATAGTGGAATTGAGAGCGACATGATCAGGAGGGTGAGAATAGTAGCGAGCATGATGGCATTGATGAAGGTAGGAGGCAGGATGGGCTTTGGTTGTTTGTGTTCAGGGTAGCTTGTGAGGTAAATATAAGCTCGGCGGGCGTGGCGCTACGGGATTTTTGTATGCGCAGTGCGACCACATGAAACTGCTGTGATACAGTGACGCGGATTGATTAACTCAGTTGCATTGTCAGAAGTTTGAAGGAATAAATGAGTGCTGGACTTTGTAATCCCATCCTAGAAGAAGAAAAGAGTTGAGAGGTTGACGATGGTTGATGTAATGAAGAATGAGTGGGTGAGTGGAGGGAGCGATAAGCGTTAAAGATAAAGAATGGAAAAGTAGGCAGAAGCCGAGAAGCCTAGGCTTAGGCTGCCAGTTGGTGGAAAGCGGTGAGATAGTGGAAGCGGTAAGCGCTGTTCTGCCGGAGATATTTTGGTTCAGTTGTTGCTCCTGACTGTGTACTTATAACTTGTTCCTCGAGCGATCATCAACACCAGCTCATCATCCAGCAATTTCCCAATCATTTCAGCGTTTCTGAAGCCGGGAGTCAGATTTTGTTCTGATTTTGTTTTTATCGCGCGCACTGATTCTCAAACACAGACGTCTCATCAAGCTCATGTTCGACGACTGCCATGGTTCGACGCGCCTCTTATTTTGGATGGACAGCTTCCTACGTATCAATACGAACATGAGACGCTGCAAGCTTCACTCCCATTACCTGCTTTTTCTAATTGATTCTGGTTCTGGGGCTGTTGAGGCCGAACCTCCATTGGTCATGATCTCGCTCTAAAGCAGCTAAAGGGTTAGCGTTGTGATAACGAGGTTAGTTTTGCCTGATGGCCATGCGCCTGGCTATACACTACTTACAATCCCTGTCTAGCCTGATGTTAGCAAATCTCCTTCACTCTGGACCTTCTGACTCTGTGCTTTCCCCCCAGTCTATAATTAGCATGGTCATAAAGTCTGTTCTCCCCGCTCGCCTTCTCAACTCCCATTCACCCCCACACGTCAACCTCTCTATCGAGCACATTCCCTTCTGGGGCACAAGCTGTCGCCATGGCACCACAGCAGCTGTATAGCCTGACTGGACAAGATGAGCTATCTCCACCGTCTGAAGAGATTGGCATTCTTGACGACACCCCCGACAGTCCACTTGACACCGAGTCGGAGCTCAAAGAAGGCCGTCCGTCGATCGTCGCGTCCCAGTGGACCATCGGCTGGATGACCCCAAGTGCTATAGGAACCTGCTACCTGCTGGGTAAGTATCTATCGGTCATCTGTCCCGCCTCGTACCACTGATACTAACAATATGGCGATACCTGAACAGCCATCTGTTTAGCCTCGGCGCATCTGGGACTATTCCGGTGGTTGAACCGCCGCGAAGTCTCCAACACCATCAGACAGCCCTACGTGACCGCGTTATCCGTGGTCTTTGTGAATGGATTTCGAACCTTGCTTGCGGCTGCACTGGGCATGTCTTTCATTCAGATCCTGTGGCGCGACCTTCGCATGCGACCGATGCGAGTTGGGGACCTCGACTCTTTCCTGTCGATTCTGACGAATCCCCTTTATCTGGGTCGTCTGCGTCTCCTCGGCGCCGCTCCTCTACCGTTCCTCTGCGCTTTCATTGCCTGGTGCATTCCGGTTGCCATGATATTTCCTCCCGGTGCCTTGACCGTGGAGGCAGAGCTCCAGCATCTGGTCCTTAATCAATCCGTCCCGACCTTCGATCCTGGTTACATGGGCAACGGTAGCTTTGTGGGGATGATGGCCGAGGCACTGTGGCAGCCTGACGACTTTGATGCCTACAGGTAGGTCATGGAACGGCACAACGTTGATGATATCGTCTCATACCTGATTGCCTTAGTGGTCCCACGAACGATCTCAGGCGCATCGCGCAACAAGCCATGATGGCCGGAGCCTACCTTGCCAGCCCCAGTCCGTGTTCTTCTAACTGCAGCTACATTATTGAGATTCCAGGACCGAGCTTCCAGTGCACTGACACCACATCCCCAGATCTTTTTACCTGGGTCAATAAGACCTATTCTTCCACGTCAAATTTGGACTACCTTTACATCGCCTCCGCTGACTACAGCGGCCGCGTATCCTCGAACTACACACTCGACTTTCTCCTCCGATGGACCGAAGATATCTCCGGCGAGTACCAAAATTTAACGTGTCGAGCCCATGAAGCCACCTACACACTACACCTCAATTACACGGAAGGCACGCAGAGAACGGAGGTTGAAGTCACACACGGCCAAGCGCTTAGTAGCCGATATCTCTATGATACCTTCGGGATGTATCCCCAGTCCGGAGGCAAGTACTCCGCCATCAACGCCACAACGGTAGGTAACACCGGCGGCAATGTCTCTGAGATCTACCGGCGAGCGAACCTAGCCGCTGTTCAAGATACTCTGGTGCTAGCACTCTCAGGGTACATTGACATATTCGGTACAGTTCCCCCCCGCCCCATGATCCACTTCTGGTGTTGTCAATCATATCTAATCAGGGCAAACCCACAGTCCTCCATTCCCAGCCAACCGCCAACACAATCATCTCCCTCACTGATCTCTACACCGGTCCTGCCAAGCATCCCACCTTCACCATCACAGAAGATTCCCTCCAATCCATGCTCCAGAACATCACCCTCTCTCTCCTAACCCTCAACCAAACCACGACGGCCAGCACAACCGTCACCCAAAGCATGACCGTGAACGTGTATGTCTTCAGACGCCCCGAGCGACTGATCATCCCTTACGTGATATCTCTGGCCATCGCCTTGGCATTCCTCGCGTGGGGCGGCCTTTCACTGGTACGGAACGGCATCTCCGCCAGCGCGACAGGACTGTTCCAGACACTGTGCACCACGCGAGCCAGTGCGCAGCTGGATGATCTAGCTTTGCAGGGCTGCCTCGGGGGTAGGGAGAATGTACCCGATAAGCTAAGGAATTTTGAGGTGATGTTCGGGGAGATGCAGACCAAAGATGGGATGAGGGTGGCCGGGTTGGGGGCTGCGGAGGAGGTTGCGCCGCTAATCAAGGGAGGTTTGTAGATAATCTTGAATCGGGTCGGAGGAAGATAATCTGTTACTTGGGAATATTGGGAATTGGAACTATTGGATTGAATTAGTGGCTTCAAGATAATTTCCAAACTACCTCCGTACTTCCATTCTAATCAATTAATTGCCTCGACACCTCAGGCTACACGAATCTCTGGCGACCGAATCCGTGGAAGGCGGTGAGACAGCTTTCTGCCGCTGACCTCCGCGACCCCGGTTTGTCTTCCTCTTTGAGTAACTTATCTTCATTTTGTCTCGTCTCTGCACAAAACTACATACAACTTCTTTCACAAGAGACCTGAAATTTGCCAATTTTGGCGATTCGTTACAGAATGGCGACAAAAGCGGTCATTGCTTGCGATCAGTGTCATGGTCACAAGCTCAAATGCACCCTTCTTGCTCAGGGATGTGTTCGTTGCAACCGTATACTTGCCCGCCCAGTGCGCCGTCGCCTCCGCTGAATTGTAGTAGGTCTGGCCATTCGATGCACCTTCACGCGACCGCCCAAGAAGCGCGGCAGAAGATCAACTCGCAGGACGCTGGCTGTCACGTTAGCTTGTCCACAGGTAAGTTGGCTCCATGTTCAATATGCTTGAATCTCAGGTGTAACTGCTCAGATGCGATGCAGGATGCCCCAGACTATCCTGTCTTGGATTGTTTGGAGGACCTTTCAATTCTTCATTCCAGCAAAGACACCGTAGAGTAAGTCTCGCTTGCATAACGCTACGTGCACTCTTTCTCTAACGATGTCTCTCAGATCCACCCTCTTCCAGCCTACACGGTACGAGGCCTCTCGACTGCTGGAGCATTGTTACGAATCTCCAAATCAAGAGTTCCACACCCGACTTGTTCGAAGAAGCAGACTATTGGCCCTGGAGTCTCCGCGACCGACTTCGCCGACTCTTCTCCTCTCGTTCCTGTGTACGCACTCAATGGGTCTCTGTTCGTCCTCATCGGTCATTCAATTGATAACTCTCAGGTGTTGCCTGCTTCATGCCATCAGCAACAAAGCAGATCGATTCGACCCGACGAATGGCCCAGGGAAGATACTTTCTCGATCAACTCAACCGCCACTTTCATCCACGCACACTGCCAGGCACCAACTATGTTCTCGACGATGCTCTAACCGCGTTCATGCTGACTACTATTGCCCCTAGCCAGAAGTCGTTGGAATCCAACCTCCAGTACTGGCTGGTATTTTTGAGGTTCGTGGTGCAGAAGCTCGATCTTCACAGAGATGATCAGGGTCTGGATCAAGAGGACAGGGAAGAAAGGAGAAGGTATGATCGGAATTCCAGGTCTGCTCGACTGTACTAATGATGGACAGATTGTGGTGGGCAACCTATATCATTGACCGGCATGTCGCTCTGTCATTCAACGGGCGTCCACGTCTCACCGACCAGGAGTGCTCGTATTTACCGGTTCCATGTCCAGATGCGGTCTGGGATCAGATGAGTCCATTGCCTCAGCTCAGTAACGATGTGCTCCAGAGCTCAGAGTCAAGGTATCAACTACGCAGTCTCGATATGCTCGGGACGTTCTTGCCTTTATCGAGGTATTGGGACTCTCTCGCCCCTGACAATAAGATTAGCCATCGTCGCTGATTCTCAAGCAGGATACTAGGTGACATCCTCGAGTATCGTTTCCTCGACGATCACCCAACATTCAGTAGCAACAAAGCTCTGCTGGATACCAGCCGCAAGGTCATAATCCAGAATCTAAGGCTGTGGCTTGACTCGTTTGAGTCCTTAGTTGAGCCTAGCTTCTGTCGAATCGCAGAACCAGGCTGCGAACTGATGCCGTCGCCCAATGCCCCTGCTGTCGCTTACTACGGCTTACACATGTACCACTGCATGTTTGTCCTGCTCCACGGCCGCATGGATGTGGTTCGAATGTATCATGACCTAGAATGGCAAGCATCCGCGGACTTTTTGACGGCCGGTGAACACGCTGTGGCGTGCGCGAACGTATGTTCTATGCTTGGGGCATAGCTTCCGATGATGACCGCCAAGGCTGACTCCTCGTTAGGTTGCAAGTCACATCCTTCGAGTTGATCCTCAATTGAGCTTTATGTATCGATACTTCGGCACATACTTCCTGCAGTCGTCCTTCATCTTTCTAATCCTGGCGCAGAAACTGGGTCAGAAATCCGACAAACTGATTCTGCGCAATTGTGCGATCAATCTTCAGGTCTTGGATCAATTTGTCCTGGCTACCAATATGGATTATCAGCGGACATTTGCCAAGCTTCTGCGGAAAGCTCTAAGCTACAACATGAAGCAACACTCACCAGATCAAGCTCAGGATGGCCATGGTGATACTTCGCCACTGGAAGAGCTGCAGAGTAATCTTGATCCCGAAATGCTTCGTTACCGCTGGACTCCGGGATTTACCGGCCTATGGGCACATGGAGGACCTTAAGCAGAAGAGACCGGACGCACTACTTCTCTCTTCCTAAGCGCAAATGAGGGACAAGCGCAATTTTCTCTAAGATGAAAGCGCTTGGTGTGGGTTTGAAATTTGACATGGATGGAATGTCTGCACTGGAATCTCTGGATATCTTCTGGGGCCAGTCTTGATCGTCCCAGCGTCGAAATCTATCTGCAACAACAATTGGGTCTAGAAAAGATGTCCTCCGCCACTCAGAATGTTTGCAATATGCTTGGTCTCCCTTGGGTATCGGTCGATGAGGCTTAGCCGCGACATCCTGTCGACCCAGTCTTCATCTAATGCCATCTCAACTTTGGTCGCTGTTCGGTCTGGGTGGTACACGGTGGCTAGACCCGGTTGATAGTTGGCCGACTGTGATCCAGTGATGAAATTGATCCAGTCAGTCTGAACTCGATCGACTAGACTGGCATTGGGCACTGTCCCTTCAGGTAACATTCGATCGGACTCGCGCAGTGCTTCTGCGAAGCAGTCGTAAATGTAGATGAGATCTACGCAGTGGTGGGCTTTGCCATGATTAATTCCAGGGAACGGATTGCCGACCGCCATGCGGAATGATTCTACCTTGGTTGGCCGGGGAGTCAAGGCATCATCAAGAGTACTGCTTGTTGCAACTTCCCAGCTCATCAGCTCTTCTCGGCAGCGCTGCACAGGATATCCAAATTGGATGTCCGATAAGAAACGATATACTTGGTTTTGCAGGTTCTCTTTGCTAATGCCTGGTCGCAAATGATATGCCGTGTAGAACTCTTTGCGAAATGCTTCGGAAACCTCGGCCGCTGATTTACGGTGAATCTCTTCGAAGCTCTCGAGTTGGCTGACCGAAAACTGGTGCAATGTGCCCTGAAAGGTTCACTATGTCAGTATTCAAACAGTGTAGAGCTTGACTATGTGACTGACCTCAAGATCTGTATCGCCAACCAGAACAGCTATAGGCTGCTGATCATGACTCGCTGAATGATCTGACAGTTTCTCTAGGTCATTATGGTCGAGGTGAACATTCCAGCGACCATTCGGTCTCTGGGAAATGGTCAAATCATCTATTACCAAGGGGAAGACGAACCATCCTAAGATTGCATTTGCACGCAGAATGTCTGCGACTGGTACTGTCCGCATGAAAGCCATACGTGCCTCCGAATCTCCAGTGGGAGCGCCCAACGCCTTGCAGAAAGTGGCCCACCGAGCATCAGCGGCTTCCATGGGGATTGGGCCCAGCACCCCTACAGCTCCAGACTGTATGATTCCCTGCTGACACAAGGGCTGGCTTTTTCCCAACACTGCCTCGAGAACATGGGCATGAGATGAGCTTCCACCTGCCGACTGCCCACCCACGGTGACTCGACGTGGGTCGCCTCCAAATGCCGCAATGTTCTGCTGCACCCATTGAAGCGCAACTCTCTGATCTCCAAGCCCAAGATTGCAACCCTTCTTGTCTTCTGGCTGAGTCTCTATGATCTCCGTAGAAGCGGCAAATCCAAACATGTTCAGTCGGTAATTGACCGTGGCCACGATGATTGGCGTGCCCAGCGATACGGACTTTTTGACAAGGCGTGCAGGGTCTGCGCTACAAGTTAGTAGTAGCCTTCATCTTGAGGCACCGGCTGGTGCCGCTTACCCCACATAGGATCTGTTCCTGCGCCGAAGCCGTATGCTCCTCCATGGATGTATACATAGACAGGCAACCCTGAATTGTCAGAATCGAAACCGGCAGCGTTGAGGATGTCCGGGCTCGGCCTCGTGATGAACAGGTTCAGGCACTCGAATTCGGACTCCTCGACATCGGTCGGGAAGTCAAGATGCGATTGAAAGAAGTCGCTGTTGTTAGGCTCCTGCGGTTGTGGACAACGGGGACTGTACAAGAAGTGCGATTAGTCGATGGTCAGGATGGGTCGAGGAAACCTGACTCACCCATTGCGTGTCGCATCGAAAGTATCCTGTGGCAATCGATCACGGAGCTGAGCATGCTGCCATCTTGCTGGTACAATACCATAAGGGATTCCTCTGAACTCTTCGACGCCCGTGATGGAGGACGGTCTCCCGTGAATCCGTTGCCCATAGGACGGAGCGGTATGGGTGGGAAGAGTGACGACCACAGAGACTGTCATAATGAGATTTGGCCACAGGAGCAGTCAAGCCAAGGCAGCAGATGAGAACCGGGGCAATCAGGCAGAGCAAGCGAAGCCGAGCAACAGGTACTGATTCGGGGCGGCTAATCCTTTATACCTTCAATGCTGGAGGGGCGGGCCGAGGTGGATCCCGCACGGGTCACGAGAACTCGAGCCACGCGGGCCCAATGCATCAAGTGGAGGCTTTTTCTTCTCCTCCAGCCAATCTCTCCACCCTATTCTCACGGCCGGTAAACTGTAATCGGCCAATTTCTGCCTTGGCAATCGGCCTTTTGCGCAGGTTGAGTCTGGCTGCCTCCAGATTTTGATCTTCTCCGTTACCCCGTGGGAAAACCCCGGATTCGAAGGGTGCCATATGGCCGGAAGATTCCAATCATCGGACTATAAAGCCTTACAAGATGCTCGACAATCGTCAAGTTCCCTTCGCGGATTGTGCTTGCTGAGTGTGCGAACATCATCTTCTTCCCTGTTTGTGCTGCCTGCTTAGAATTATCGACAACCATGACAACTCATATTCTCGACATGCTGGGGATCCGGGCAGAATGGCGAGCAATCGCCATCAGCTTGTTCATTACCATTGCTGCCTTTCAATTCGGTTTCGATTCTTCCTACTATTCTGGTCGGTACCCAGGGCTCCTCCGTTGGAGTGCTTGAGAGTTTAGCATGATCTTAGCAGTGGTCAGCGGGCTAACCATAGTCTACTACACAGGCATTCTTGATATGGAGGCATTCATCAAGACTTATGGACACTACGATAGCGCGACCGATGGCTACGTCCTCAGCTCCAGCATCCAATCCCTGACCACCAGCATTATCAACGTGGGTGAACTCGTCGGTGCAGTCTCATCCTATTTGGTGGACGATCGAATCGGGCGTCGAGGAGGGCTGTTCGTCTCTAGTGCTTTCGTCACAGCTGGTGTAATTTTCCAGGTCGCTGCTGATAACCTTGGATTGTTGATTGTTGGCCGATTGCTGATGGGTATGTTCTATGTCACTCATCATAGAGCACTGTTTGCTTCTGCAAGCTGTCATCAATGACTTTTGGAGGCTAACAGAGTTTACAGGCTACGCGGTGGGGCTGATCTCGTGCCTTGTCCCTCTATACGTTGCCGATTGCGCACCCTCCCGCTTCCGTGGAGCATTGGTCTCTGTGTACCAGTTTGACGTAGGGCTTGGACTCTTGCTTGGTGTGATTGTGGACTATGCTACCAAGGATCGATCGGACAGCGGCTCCTATCGGATTCCCATGGCTGTTCAACTCGTCTTTCCGATCATTCTAGTTCCGGGCCTTATCTTGTTCTGTCCCGAGTCACCTCGCTGGCTTTTGTCGAAGGGAAAGACGGAACAGGCCAGGAAAGCCCTCCGACGACTGTACGGTGACCGACCAGACTTCATCGAGAGCGAAATCGTCATGATCTCAAGCATGATCGAGGAAGAACAGCGGAACGATAGTTCGTGGGGTGATTTGTTGAAATGGAAGGTCGATGGACGGAAAGCATACTTGGGCTGCTGTATTCAAGGTAAGCAGCCATCCGTGCTCTGGGCCTATCTATCCTAAGTCTTCGTGTGTAGCATGGCAACAGGCATCGGGAATCAACTTCATCACCAGCTACGGAATTGTTTTCTTCTCGGCAATCGGCATCACCAACAGCTTCCTCATCCAGATGGGCCTGTACCTTTGCCCAATGCCAGCGGTCTGGTTGAACCAGTATTGTGTTGAGCGTTTCGGTCGTCGGACGATGCTGCTTGTCTCCTGCTCCTTGGTCTGTGCGGTGTTGTTCATTGTCGGCGGGGCGGGCACGGCTTCGGACAAGACATTAGGCCTGGACCGACTCATCGTGGCCATGGTTTACATCTTCATGGTTGTGTTCAACCTGGCTCTGGGACCGGCGGTGTGGGTGGTCACGTCGGAAATCTCGACTGGCCCCAACCGCAGCAAATTGATGGCGACCTCGACCGGTACGAACTGGTTCTTCAGTTGGATGGTCACGTTCACGTTCCCGTACTTGTTCGACGCGGATGCAGCCAATCTCAGCGCGCGTGTGGGCTTCATCTACGGTGGCCTGATGTTTGGCGCAGCAGTATGGATTTACTTTTTGCTGCCGGAGACCGCGGGACGATCCCTGGAGGATATCCAGGTCATGTTTGAAAACGGAGTTCCAGCACGGAAATTCAAATGTGAGTCAAATGTCTCAGCACAGACGGTTTAGTCACTGATCGTTTTGCCAGCATATGAGATGCCTCAGACCTCGCGCCTCGTGACCCTGGAGGATGAGAAAGAAGTGCGGGCTACAGAAATGGAGAGTGTGTGAGCAGGGCTGGATCGCATGTACGAGTGTGACTTGTCATGTCAGCTTCGATCGAGTCTCTGTACAAGCTATGCCGGCTATACGATGTCCACTAGTGTTGTTGGGAGGAGAGACCTCAATGCCCCTCGTCTGATCAGCATATCCGAGACATTGCGCCCAGAACAAGTCAGATAATTACCTCATTCCAACCTCATAGTCAACGCGATAGTTTCTGAGTCTGTGACTACGCACACCCGTGCCCTTTGGTGTGGCAATTCATTTCTATGATGGGAGAATTCTGATTCTGTACTGAGGGCTGGTTGTAGTGGATGGAAGATGGGATCCTGTGTAGTGATGGCCTCATCATTCCCCCACAACCCGGAAACGGCGGGTGTCCCAAATCACAGATCGGCCCTCATGCATGGGAGCCTATTCCTCCTCTTCGGCATAACCGTGGAGCATTTTGGAGGAGCTGGTTGCGGCCAGATGATCGATTCTGAGACATGGTATCCAGGGCAAGGAGCAGGAGGTCTTTTCTCACGTCACCGCTTCTGTCAGCCTCGAGTCCGACCGACAGTCCGACAGCGTGTGCAACCTGGTTTTCACCTGGTTCATACGAGGGTCGGTAAAGCGATAGGGTTATTTTTGTCTGGCGAGGCAATACGAGATGCGGGCTTGGCCCGGAATCCGTGATTGGATTTCCATTCGGGGATCAGTGCGGGTAAGTTCGATTTCTTTCATTTAAGTTAGTACTTGACTAACAAGTATTGACTGACTCCTCCGTAGTCTTGACAGCTTCTAACTGCTATTTCTGGATTAACTCTATTCTCATTTCCCCCGCATCCGCAAGGCTTCCCATGGCTGTCACCTCCTTCCGATTTCCCCGGATCTCTTTTACGGCAGACTGCAGATCTCCGAAAAACAGTCACTTTTCTTGGCTCGAGGGCTGAGTCTAATGTCAGGCCACCGGCATGCCAGTCACGTGTGGGTGAGCTCCCAGCCCTGCTGCTGTACCACGGAAACAGACCAGCCGGAGGCAGGCGGGCATGAACTGCTGTTGTGCGAGGAGGACGACTCAGCGTGGCATCGGCTGTGCCCTGCGGATTCAGAACCAACCTCGGCGAGCTCGTAACCCAACCTCATGAGGTCTGGGACACTGCCTCTGCGATACGAAGGGGTGGCTCGGGTGGCCTGGAGATGGGGGCGGTGTGCTTTGGACAGATCTGGTTGAAGATCTGTATCTGTGAATGTTGGAGTGTGGAGAGTAGGGAGGAGGAAAGGTATAAATGGGTCGAGTCTCCTCGACGAGATGACAGCTTCATCATCAACATCAACAGTTTCAACTCTATCAGCTATACATCCTCGGACAAATCCAACTTCATTCTCCTCTTCTACTACCTCTTGATTCTACCACCACTCCAATCCTCTCTATTACTTCTTCGGAATCTACCACCACTCCATCAACATGAAGTCCTTCACTGCCATCATTGCCTCCCTCCTCATCGCCTCCGTCTCGGCCGCTCCTGCGCCGGTGGAGGTTGAAGCCCGCCAGGTCCAGACCACGACTGTCTCCCTCTCGAACGACCAGACCGGAGCCAACGCTGGCGTGGCCATCCCCGTGGACGGAACCTTCAGCAACATCTTCTCCCTCTACGGCGGCACCGCGGTCGGCGCCAGCGGCCAGGTTATCGTCTCCAACGCGCAGTTGACCAACAACTTCCAGGGGGTGACCTGCCTGATCTTCAACAACGGCAACCTCATCGGCACCCTCAATGACCGCCAGACCGCGGCCGATCTCGATGGCAACCCGAACGGAGTCAGTCCTTTCGATTTGAGCGGAGGATTTATCGCGTGTTTTTAGGGCGTGGTGACGGGTGATGGAAGTAGGGGTGAGATAGTAATGGATTTCGGACTGACTTCATGATATGCGATTGTTTGTTCTGCTTTTGTCTGGCCAGACGGGGATGTGTAGTGTTTTTGGAGTTTTGTGATGTTGTCGAGCGGTTCGGCGAGCGATTAGATTATCCGCAATACACTCCTTTGCTTGGTTGAGTTGAGGTTTAATTTCAAGTAGCTTATGTGGGCTGCTAATCTAGTAAATCTACGGAATTCCGGTGCTGAGAATTCAGTGTGTAGTTTCGAGTAACTGTTAACTATCAGATTATGTAAATACTAGTAATGAGATATTGTGAGTATACCAGGATATGTGTCAAAGGGTTTTGATATGTCCAATCTATATTATATACTATACAGGAAATCTAGAACCATTCATCTACCCAGTCGGAGTCAAATACATTAGATAGACGCTTCATCCCCGAATCGAATACAAACGAACCCAGAGGTGAACTCTGGGTGCAACTCATCCTGCATTGTTGAACGACTGAGGCGATGCAGCACATACTGGCCTTTCGGGGCTTCTTTCGTACGTGTAGGATAGTGTATCTTATCTGTCAACTGGTTCAATCCACTAAATCCCAACTACGACAATCCACGAGAAAGGCCAGACCATAGAAGAATGCAGTTTGCCGTGTAACAGCTACAAAACAACATCCATACTTAACAAGTTTTGGAAATGACCATTATAATGGTAACATGGCTCTTCAACAGTCGATAGTCAAGATAACTCGTAGCCTCCTCATTCCCGCCCACCAGCGCCGCTTTCTGGCCCTCTCTCTATCTCGCTGGTATGGATTCTGGACTCCTCTGATGACAGTCCACGCACTCCACCGACTCATTCCCACAGTATGTTCCCTTCTCCCACTGCGTAGCCCTATATCATCCAACCCCCCGCCCGAACAACATCAACTATGCCACTTACTACCCGCCCCATGGACCCCCACCAACGCCTCCAGCCGCACCCACAACACCGACATCGTAGCAGCGAACAGCAGCACACTGACCAGCAGAGACATATTCTTGAAAGCCCCCGGGGAGGAGGAAGTGGAGCTGCGAATCAAGACGCCCCCGACGGGAGTACCGATCATGGTCGCCATGCCGCGCACCATGTACAGCACCCCATTGACGGAGGCGAAGTTCTGGGCGCCAAACAGCTCAACCAGACTGGCGGGGAAGAGCGAGACGTAGGCACTGGCAAAGACCCCATACAGGACGGTGAAGGTGATGAACAGCGCCTTGGACTGGGCGGAGACCCCGGCCAGCGTCGAGGGGAGCCAGAAGGCGACGGTGGCGATGGCGCTGAGCAGGGTGGTGAGAAACAGGGCGTTGAGGCGACCCACGCGGTCGGCCAGGTAGCCGATCAGCACCTTGCCGATCGCGTTGCAGGCGTTGCTGAGCGCGATGAAGTTGGCGCTGGCCGTCGTGCTGTACCCCAGCGTTTGCGCGTACGAGGCATAGAAGAAGACCGGGGTGTAGTAGGCCGCCGCCTGGAAGATCGCCCCCAGGGCCTGCGCCAGAAACCGTCGGGATCGCGCCACCCGCCAGTCGACCAGGGGCACCTTCAGCAGCAGCCCGTGCATGCGACGAGTTCTGCTGCTGCTGCTGCTGCTGCTGCTGCTGCGGTGGCGGCGGCGGGCGGCGTTCTCGAGGGCGATTTGGTGTCGACTGACGGGATCCCAGGCCATCGCGCTGCTGCTGAGCGAGATCAGCGTGAAGGAGACCGCCCCGGTCAGCCGTAGGGTGTTGCGGAAGCCCAGGTGCTCGACGCTGGCGGTTAGGGCTGGCGCCCATACGAGGCCCCCGACCCCCGTCCCCGCCAGGATTATCCCCATCGCCAGTCCGCGATGCTGCGTGAACCAGGGCGGTGCAATCGTCACCGCCACCATGTAGCACAGACACGTCCCTAGGCCATTGAGCACCCCCTGGGACAGCTCGAAGTGCCACAGTGACTGGCCGAAGCTCGCCAGCACCAGGGACACGGCAAACACGAATCCCCCCGTAAAGGCGACCATCCGCGGCGGGAATGCTTTCGCCCAGGCCACGCTGAAGGGGGCTCCGATGGTCATCAGCGAGCAGGAGATGGTGCCAATCAGGTCGATCTCGGCCGGGGTTGCCCCGGTGAATGGGGTGTGGGGTTGTTTGGAGAGGTTTTCATATAGGGCTTGATAGACCCCCCAGGCGAAGTTGAGACCACAGCAGGTGAAGATGATCGTGAAGGAGGATGCGACGATGATAACGAATTGTCTATGGAGGAGCTGTTTAGCATGGGTGGTGAATTCGAGGGGAGTAGAGAACTGTTTGGGCAGACAGCTTACTTTGTCGACGTCTGATGAAGGGCATGGATTGGGTCTGTGTTTCTGGGGTTCCCAGGCCCTGCAGACCCTGGATTGTGGATACTTCTGGCGCTGGAGACGGTGGATAACTCGATGATTGGGGGCTCCACCAGGACGTCCCCAGATGGCTGTGGCGGCGGCATCGTGTTCGATCCGAAGGCTTTTTTGTGCACGCTGAAGAACGGACAGACTTTATCACTCGCGAAAAGGAACAGTTTCCACGAGGACAGGCTTTGCAGTCAGAAAAAATCCCCAGTCAGCCGGGGAAAATAACTCCCTGGTGCGGGGAGAAATGAGTCAGTCGGCTATTGCGGGGGAACACGGGATGCGGCTATGCATCCATTCCTGCAGCGCCTCTTAGGGCTAGCAATTGAGCTATTTATCAATTCATGCTCGGTAGTGTTTACGAGGGGCTCGTCGAGTTGCTGGAGGCAGCTTCCTAACCCATGCATGTCGGATTCAGCAGGAATTATTCTAATCGAATCTATCAAACGTTCTCTATGTTGGCTAATTAACATACACCCATCCTCTAATATTCTATCCACCCTTCTATCATCGTAACCCCTATGCAAATCTTGGACGACTCATCTTGTGCACGTAATCCTCCAAGAGCCTCTCCTCCTGATCAACAATCGGCTGAATGACCGTCAACCCCCGATCGATCTCCTTCTTCAACCGCTCCCACTCATCCGAGTTCCCAGCCGCACCCGCCGCACGCTGCACCGCATCCCCATTCGCATGGCCGTTCTCCGCGCCCGTCGCATGTCCATTCGCCTCCTCCTCCTCCGCCGCCGCGGAGAAGAAGGGAGTATACCCCGCAGCCTCGAAGGCCTCCTTCGGCGGAACAGTGTAGCGGCCCTTCTTGAGCACATACTTGCTGATGGAGACGGCATACAGCCGCTTGAGCAGCTTCTCGGGGTCCTCCGCAGCGGCCCCTCCCCGCGGGGAGCGCGACTTGCTCGGCTTGAGGAAGTAGGTCACGATATAGATCCACTTCCTGTCGAAGCTGGCAATGTGCGACTTGACCTCGTACTGGGTGTAGGCGGGGATCTCGCGCTTGAAATTGGTGTAGACACTGCCCAACAGGAACCCCAAAAACCCCTTTTTGCCTTGCTGCTCCAGCCGTTTCTCCAGCAGGGCGGCCCCCTTGACGACGATGTTGGACATGAGCGCCGTTCGCGAGACGTCGAGGTCGGAGAAGTAGGTGGAGTTGGACTTGTGCAGGTTGAAGTCGATTTCCAGCACGGGAGCGTGCGAGTAGATGCTCAGGGGCTCGAGGATCTCGGTGCTGGGGCGCGGGGGCTGCTCGACGGCGGGGGTGATGAGGTAGCCATGCTTGAAGAAGTAGCGGTAGACGCGGATCTAGACAGCCAGCCAGTGGGTTAGCCAGAGAGAAGACGTAGAAGGGTTTGTTGGGACGGGTGACACGCACATGCCAGACCAAAGGCAGCGCCTTCAGGTTCAGCAGGGCCAGGACGAGAGCTGTCGTCTTCCAGAAGGTGGCCGACTCCCACAGATAGCCGGCGAATGAGCGGATGGCCTCCATAGGGGATGGAATGCAATGGAGAAAAGACTGGATGAATGAAACAAAACGCAAGGGGCTAAACCATGCAAGAATGATCGACAAGACTATAAAGTATAAAGGACTGGAAGTATTAGACGATTGGGATTGAATACCGCCCGTCAGAAGGGGGTTGGGCCATTTTTAGCAGAGGAAAATCCTTGCGGTGGATCCGAGCTCGGCAATCGGCGCTGATAAGATAATCAGTAAGAAAGTGATCTTAACTTGACATTCCAGGAACCGAGGCTGTTTTGAGTCTGACGGGTGTGTGGCGGAGGTGGCGGAGGTGGCGGATGTGGGTACCTGAAGGACAAGGCTGCAAGTACTTGCTGCCATCCAAGTCAAGAATCCACAACAAGGTCTTATCCAAGGTTATGTAATTAGGGCTCACTTAATTTAGTTGTTCCCTAGTCAATTACTTTATTGTGTGAATTCACTCATGGATAACTCCACTGCATTGATTGCTGAACAGGCTGCTGCCATGGACACATGAGGGCCTACCGCTGCCTGTACCTGCCGAGTGATGCCTGGTGATGCCTGGTGGTGCCTGGTGGTGCCTGGCTGGCCGGGAAGAAAAAGGGGTTCAGGCAGCCACCCGCCAAGCCCATTGCTGCCTCAGGATCTTCAACACTCCAAGCCCTGATAAAGACTCCCCTCAACGCTCTCAACACTATCACAACCACTTCATCGCTGGTATTCCATAGCCATGACCGCGCAACCAGTAAAGATAGAGCTCCCAGGATATGGCCTGCCGTTGAACTACGAGCCTAAAATCGAGGTATCGCTCATTCCAGCGACATACACGCAGGTTCATCCGCGCTAACTGGACGACTACTAAGGGATATTCCTGGAACAGGAAGAGACTACCCAATGCACTAGATGGCAAGGACATCTACGACGGGTACATTGGGTATGCTTTCAAATTGACTCCAAAATCATCAGACCACTTAACTGACCCCCGCAGCAACCTCCTAGTCCATCGCGAGATCCTCATGCTGCAGATCATGAACACCATCTCCGAGAAACCCGACTGGGACCGCAAGGTAGATCTCCCGCACCCTTATAGAAATCATTGCAATCAGACTGACCCTGTCCAGGTATTCGACGACGAAATCATCGCCAAATGGCGCCAAGAGATTTCCGAATCCGGTCAAGACGTGACGCCAACCATGATCGATTTCATTCTCGCCGAGATGAGGTTCAAAGCCAAGATTCACCAAGAGGAAGGCACCTTCACCGTCTTTGACCATGTGGGAGTCGTACGCTCGGATACCGCGATCCCCCAGGATCTCCAACAGGCGTTGCGCCAGGCGGTGGCTCCGTTGGAAGACCTCCCCCTCGAAGACAGGGACTACCATCCGGGCTCGGACAACAAGGTCCGGGATCTGGTGCATCCCTCCCTGTTCCCTCTCGTGTACGGCCGCACGCGCATCTTGCCGGACCGCATCTTGACCGTGGACGACTGCCTCGCGTCTTCCGGTGTGGGCGACGTGCTTCCCGTGCCGGACGACGAAGGCTCGCAACAACCCCTTCCGAAATGGAGGCGGTTTGGGATCCCCCACAAGGTCTATAGCCAGAAGTTTCAATGGCTGCCGTGCGACGTGGAATTCGCAGGGGAGGACGACTGTCGCATCGTCTCGTACATCAACAACCTCCACCCACGGCACCATCAGCGCCTGTACGGGCTCATCGAGCAGGTGATTGCCCGCGCCATCCCACAGTGGAACAAGAGCTTGACGCGCACCCGTCGATTCAACAATGCGCGCATTCGCTACAGTCAGGTGGAATATCTCGAGACACCGGACGCAGCGCCCGAGCCGGAGTGGGAATCCGAGAGGGAGGATGAAGAGGGGTATGAAGATGATTACTACCAGCGCAGCAGCGAGTGGTGGAGGGCGCGACCCATCAAGCTCCCGGAGCCTGCGTCGACGTTTTTCCCTCCCCAGGCGTGTCACAAGGGGGTGATGAATCTGCGCGACCAGTTCGGCGAGTCCGGACTGCAGGTCATTGTCAAGCTGGCCAATATCGAGTTGAGCCCGGAGCAACCGGCCTACGAGGGAGGATCCTGGCACATTGAAGGCCAGCTGGTGAGTCTTTCTTCCATGCTTTTGATCTGTTCACGCAACGCATGTTGATCGGATCCGCAGAACGAGCGTATCTGCGCCACGGCGATCTACTACTACGACAGCGAGAACATCACCGAAAGCCGCCTCGCCTTCCGCCATCGCGCCCAGTCCATCGACGACGTCCGCTACGAGCAAGGTCAGCATAAATTCATCCATGCTGTGTACGGATTCGGCCCCGATGTCGACGGTTACAGCTCCGGCCACTTCACGCAGGATCTGGGCAGCGTGGTCTGCACCGAGGGCCGTCTCGTCACCTTTCCCAACACGGTGCAGCATCGCGTGGCGCCGTTCGCGCTGGCAGATCCCACCAAGCCCGGACATCGCAAGATCCTGGCCCTGTTCCTGATTGATCCCCACCGTCGAGTCATCTCCACGGCCAATGTGGCCCCGCAGCAGGCGGAGTGGGCGAAGGATGGTCAGTCGCAGGGCTTGATGACCTTGCAAGAAGCTAAAGAGCATCGCTTGGAGCTGATGGCGGAGAGAAGTGCTCTGCAGGACAAGCAGAACGGTGCATTCGAGACAGGCTCATTTTCTTTGTGTGAGCACTGAAGGAGTGGAAGCATCGCTTGTTGATGTAGATTCAAATGCATGTACAGTACAGATGATAAATTAGCCTCTGAGGAGCGGAGGAGTTTCCTGCGACATGGGATGAAGCGTTGTAGTCCTGGCAGATATCGCGAGAGATGGAGATGGGGATGGGAACTTTTGTTTTGGCTATTGTAGCAAAAATTTGGATCAAAAAATCAACTCTTGTCTCCATGGTGTAGTGGTTATCACGTGGGTCTCATAGTTAAATATGACTTGGAAGTCGCACTTCCAGGACATCCCAAGGCCGGGAGTTCGATCCTCCCTGGGGACATGTTTTTTTGGTTGGAATGTATGTATTCATTGAACAGAAGCCACTGATAATCTCATTGCTGCCCATGTCCAGCACATACGACCACAGGGTGTGGAAAATAGGGCTTCCCGTCCGCTCAGCCGTACTCAAGTCATATATTGAACGCGGCCGAGTGGGATATGAGCCCTTTCTCAGTCGCTGCTTTAAGGGTGAGCAACACTAAGACGAAGAGCGGGTGATTTGGGTGATCCTATCCAGAGCGTGGGTGAGCAGGATGAGCAGAGTGAGCAGATAGATAAGCAATTGAGTAACCAAGTAGACCAGCTACGCAACCAAGTAAGAAAAGTTTTGAGCTAAATAGAGTATTTAATTAGGGGTACTTTGGCACAATTCGTCAAGCAGGCTTCTTCTCAAATTGACTTTGCGCACTCGCAATGATTTGATTCCAGTTGCGAAGGCCTTGAGTATTCATTTAGTAATCGTCTCCGAGTTCCAAATACGTACCAAGTTTCCGAAGTGTCGGACATAACCCCACAGACCGGCCAAATCCTTGCAGATCATTAAAAGGACGCGGCAGGTGGCGTAATCGTATTACGCATCCTGTGATCCACAAATCTCATATTCATCCTGAACACTAGTAATAACAATGTTGATAAGAATATTGAAGATGGCAACCGAACCAATGGGAAGGGTGTCACGGTCTAAAACAGAGACTGTTAAGGGGCACGCCAGGCGATTGGATACTCATTCATTTACTTGGCTAGTTTCGCTCCTTATGCTCAATTCCACTATGCTTAACCATAACTACGTTTGAAAGCTTAGCCACATGCAACACTGATCAGCCAATAATCTGCTTGATGGCTTTTAAATAAAATGGGGAACCGTTTCAACTAGAATGCCCAGCCTTGTTCCACGACCCATGCTGGTCAACATTATAGATTTCGGTAGCATATATTAAGGTTATCTTAGGCCTCCTCAGCCAAACTTTTACTTTGCATATTCCAATCCGACCTACTTCACCTTATTCTCATTCCTTGTCTTTACATCACGATGAGATTCGACTTGGGACTTTCTGCCAACTTGGCTCTGACTTTGGCTACTACGGCCGCTGCCAATAGAGTTCGCACTGTTTACCAATTCAAATCAAATGATACCTGGCTAGAGAATGTGGCTACGCGCTCAAACGGAATAGTCTTGGCTACAGAAATTGGGCCTCCCGCCAATCTGTTGGCCTTTGACCCGAGCGAGAAACACCCTCACAAAGTGGTTATTAGAGACTTCACCAGTGTCTTGGGACTGTCTGGTATTGCTGAAGGCGCGCACGACGTGTTCTACGTTGCTGGCGCTAACACCACCTCCGACAACATTAGCGACCCACCTACCAACGCTACCCATGTTTGGAGAGTTGACTTCAACCACAACGAACAACACCCCAAGATTGATCTCCTCTGTCGTCCCCAAGCACCGACGGGTTTCAATGGGTTGACCGCCATGAACGAGACGATCTTACTTGCCAGTGCAAGTTACCAAGACTCCATCTTTGCCATAAACACGGAGACTGGTTACACCTGGGAGGCTATCAAGCAGGAAAGTATAATGTCCATGATCAATGGCATCAAGGTCTCTGACGGCTTCGTCTACTGGTCTGCGGGTGGTGCGCTCTATCGTGCAGAGTTGCATGATAACGTCACTGCTAGTACAGGTCAAATGATTTACCAAGCTAGCGCTATTGACGACTTTGCTATCTCTCCAGATGGATTTTCTCTCAACAGCACTTATGGTTCAGAATACAAATTCGCCTATCTTGCTACCGCTGCCGAGAACTCTGTTGAACAAGTGATTTTCACCAAGAATGGAACTTTCGTGGGCGCCGAGATCATCGCCGGCGCTGTTGATTCTACTGAAGTCGCAGAGCCCACTGGTGTCTTCTTCGGACGTGGAAAGGATGAAATCAATAGTATATTCGTGGTCACTGGAGGTGGTAGTGCTGTCAACGTTGATGTGAATGGGACTGACGTGGCAGTCGGTGCTCAACTCTTGGAAATCCGATTGAAATGAAGCAAAGGAAGCCATTTGTACGTCTAAGCCGGAAGAATCCACTGTGTTTGGACTACCATTCAATAACTGACACCTTTCCAGCCGACCAGGCCTATCTCAAAGTTGGGACTGAGATAGTAGACCTGTGGATTTCTCACCTTAAGAGATATTTACATTACAATACTTTTCCTCGGCGGTTGTTATTATTAATGTTAATTCATACGGCCGAACCCTTGCCTGAGGGACACACTCTTTGGTCATCATGTACTATTACTTTTCTGACGAACTTGGAGCCTTGCCAATAGATGTAGTAAACTGTGCCGGGGGTTATATTCTACTCCTCTCCTGGCATATGACTTCAAGATCTTTGCATCACCTCCACAAATCCAAAAATACTCCGAGGACACTACGATTTTGCAGACTATCCAGTACAAAGAGATATGAAATCCAACTTTTGGAAACTAACAAATATAAGTATTATATACATTTATCTCAGAGAAAGATATGTTTAATATATAGTATCTTATACATTCCAGATATTTTTCTTATCAGATAGTTAAAGAGAGATAAAATTCTGCATGCAATAGATAAATAATAGTCTTCTAAATAATTAGACTGTAAAGCTTTTTTTAAAATAGCAACTTCAGAATTCTGCAATTATTATTTTATGCCCTATTATATTACTCTTTAACAAAGCCAAAGATTATTCTACCAGTTTCACAGTATCTGACTTGCTCTATGAATATATATTCTATTTCTATTAATGGGAATTATGATTCCTGGTTGGAGTCATGGTGATCTAGCCATGTTATAGTCGATTATATCGTATTAAGGTATCTGAAAACTAATCATCGCAGATTAAAAACTTTAGTCCCGACCCTCTTGGCGCATGAGTGATGATGAGCCTAGTTTACAAATTCTAGCGGCGTAAGTAACTCCGCTAAGAAGTAATGTTTGCCGGAGTATCAATCAACAGCTCACTCGTCGGGACTGGTAACTGGGCACTAGTGCTATTGTAAGGCGATCAATTCCATATATTGTCCTTGCCAGTTCTATTAACTCAGACTATATGCTTAGAACATGCCACTATTCATCATAGATCTCATTGGACCTTCTTGCACTGTTTTGTGTAGTATCAATATTCTATTATAATGGGCTTTGAAGCTTGTCAAGGCCAAGAAGCAGTTGAGCACTGCATCGGAGTGGAACCCATTTACCACAAACAAATCAAAGTTCAAATCGATTTTTCAAACTAGCCGCGAGATGTCGCTTGATAAAGGCTTGAAACTACTCTTATGTCTTGAAGGTGTGGATTATACTTTACCTAGAACGTTCACAATTAGTATCAAAGATACATTAGCACTCGAATTTCTCTATGAAAGCTCTACGGAAGTTTCAAGGTCTCTGATTTCATCTAGTATCGTAGCATATTATATATAAAGCTACAATCAGACTCGTGGGCGTGCAGAGCCTTCTTATCTTGCTCACCGCGTTGAAATTATATCAATACATCAAACTGACTGATATGCCGGAGATTAACGCACAATAAACAATCGTTTATACCTTTGAGCCAACATGTGCATTACGTGGTCTTCTGAATAAGAGCCACTTTGCTTCAAGCCAGCTCTCGATCTGCGAATCATTGATTAGCGTCTGCATTTGGCTCTTCAGTTGTTCAACCTCTTACAGGCACAAACTTGAAAAGAGTCCACATAATGACAGTAAAAAGTAGCGACGCCCCTCCCAGTACCAGATACCATCGCCAGTCTGGGTTATTGTCTAATAGATTCACATTCATACCGAAAAGACTCTGAGTCAAAGGGTAAGCTAATATGATTCGTGCGATTGGATTAAAATTCCTTGTATCGGCAGAGTAGAAGAACTTACTGAGACAAACATCAATGGCAGAAAAATAAACTGTGGAAGGAATAGTCAGAATAGTACGTGAGGGATTTTTGAATACTGACTGTGATCCAGCTAAGTCGTTTGATACTAGCTGCCTCGCTGATTGAGATCCAGGCAAATTCCTTTGGAAAAGTTAGAGGCAGTCAAACAAATTGAAAAGATGCGCACAATCTGCAAAAGCTCTCGAACCGCTCGTTCAATCTCAAACACCTTGGCATTGACCGACTTGTCAAATTCATTGACCTGTGCCTGTAATCGTCCTTTCTGTTCGGGAAAAATAGTTGTGTCTTCGTCGATTGCTTGTCGGAGACCCTCAACATGTTGGCGTAAAGCCCTTTGCAGCTCGGCACGTTTCACTCCATTCTGAGCAAGAATCTGGATTATCTTTTGACCTCGGCCCTGTCTCAAAAGTTGGTCACGCCGCTGACAACATCAGCAATCGTGTACAATGGTGAGACAAGAAGATTAAATAGAAATGTTTGTACTTACAGTCATCTCGATATTTTCCATCGCACCAGCGCATATACCATTCCATTCCTGACCTAGGTGGTCAATTAAAATGTTACAGAGATCCGCTGGTGATGGAGGGATCCGACTGTCCGACAATGTACTCCTAAAAGTATAAAAGTCCCCTTTCGCACTCGACTCCTTAGTCCACTCAATACCTGAAAACGTGGCATGGTGCGGGTTTGATTCAATGTCGGTTTTGTCGGCAGGAAAGCAGACCGAGATGTGAGATTCTGAAGGCTCAAATGACAAAGACTGTTTTGAATGACCTCGACAGAAGTAATCGTCCCTAATCATTTGGGAAGCAAGTCTAGGCCTTTTTCGCGACCATGTAGGGTCCCCTCTCCGGAATAGACTTGAAACGTCAGCGAGAACATCAAGCAGTGTGCGCTTCTTACCAAAGTTTGGTTTTTGATTCCTTCGATCGATCGACGCCATTCGCTCCCACACTCGGGTGCAGACACAAAGATATGGAACCACTATCTTGCTGTGTGAATTCGATCCATCGTATGGCCTCGTTACTGAGATGAAACCAAGCTTCGGCAGAGATATTGCTTGTATCGGCTCCTTTCTCGAGTAACATCCGAACAAATGCCTCGTTCTTTTCTTTTAAAGCGTAATAGAGAGGTGTTTTTCGGGCATTGTCTTGTAGATTCAAGGAAAATTCCACATCCTTCGCATCCAATAGGGCTTTAGCAAATTTTGTATCCTGCACATTGCTCAGCAAATGAAGTGTACATCTGCCTTCGGAATCGAGCTTGTTGATGTCATATCCTGTTTTGAGAAGTTTACAAACCAGCTTCGAAGCTTCTTGATCACCCAGAAGCTCTCTTTCTTTGATGAGCAGGTGTAACGAAAAAGAGTCCTTTTCTTTCAGCATGTCCACCACAGCAAGATGACCATTGATCAGTGCCCATATAAGTGGTGTTTTAGAAAAGTTTGAGCTAGCGTCTATTCGCTTTGCTTCAATAGACTGTATTTGGGCGTTTATTGGTGGTCCATCCCGAATATCAGGATTGGCACCGTGTTCGAGAAGCGCCTGAACCATCGCATGGTCACCATACTCCGCTGACCATGACAACAAGGTCCTATTGTTCTCTTGAAGGTCAGGATCAGAGTGGTAGGGAATAATTTCGAGCATCTGGAAAGAATTGAGTTGTCGACTAGGCACAGAGCTTTCTGGCTTGTTCTTCACCTCAAATCTGGCCTTGACAAGCCACCAGAAACATGAATGACCGTTGACTATTCGCATTGCATTCGCACCCGCTTTCATTAAAATATGCATCAAGCTGTTATTAGACTTTGCGGCAAGAAAGAGCGGTGAGTCATCATTCACGTCCTGATGTTCAAGATCAATTGTCTTATTGTTAAGTAGTTCTTCGACCACTGTGCTGTCCTTTGATTGTCTGATTGCCCACGCCAGCGGGGTCTGCCCTTCCCGATCTTTGGAGTTAATATCGGCTTGCTGTTGTATCAGATATTGCACGATCTGGAGCCGGCCAGACCCCGCTGCTAGAGATAGAGGTGTTCGTTCGTTTAAATCCTTGGTGTCTATATTTATGTCTCTGTGGGCCGACAATTTTTTCACTATTTTATAAAACCCCTGCTTGGCTGCCAATGCTAGTGGTGTACAACCATGCACGTCTGTACAATTGACTTCAGCGTTTTGTTGGAGTAGCTCATCAACCACAGCGAACTGTTCATGATGTTTCGTAGCAAGTAGCAGTGCCGTGCAGCAGTCGTGTTTTTGATACTTGTATTCCAAGTCAGCGCCGGAGGAAATTAGTAAGCCCACTATTGCTTTTTGGCCTTCGATAACTGCCAATCCTAGAGGAGTATAGCCGTCCTCATCCTCGGCATTTACGTCAGCCTCGAATTCTAAAAGAAGCCCTGTGATCTCAGTGAGTCCGAGCTTCACTGCCAGCGTCAATGGTGAAACGCCACCCCGAATTCGATGATTTATACCCGCGTTAGGCACGGCCAAAATATTTCGAACTGTGTCAGTTTGCTTTGTTCGAATCGCTCGTGTCAAAGCGATCTCCATATCATTATCCTCAATACTTGGATTGGCTCCAACACGAAGAAGACGATTCACGATTGTTTGGTGTTCCAATTCTGCGGCTAAGGAAAGTGGCGTACGACCTTGCGTATCTTGGTGGTTAACATTTCCTGGGTTGGAAGATAATAAGTCTGCAACGATAACGTCGGATCCTTTGGAGACTGCCCACATCAGTGGGATCCATCCTTGAAGGTCCTCTTTATTGGCATCTGCTCCATATTTCAGGAGCAGTTCCATTACCTCAGAAAAATTGTTTCTTTTGCCGGTCGGCGTTGCCGCCCACGATAACGGAGTGCGACCCTCTTGATCCTGCAGATTTGGATGCGCTTTATTGAGCAGCAAGACTTCGACATATCTGACCTCATGCAGCTCGCAGGCGTAAGAAAGAGCAGTCCGTCCTTTGCTATCCCTAATGTCCATGTCGAGCCCTTCAATCTCGATCAGCCTTTCCAGTATGTCGATATGCGACGGATGTCGTGCTACAAGTGTCAAGGGTGTATCTTCTGATCTGAGAAAGTTCGGGTTAATGTTTCCATTTCTTAGAAAGGTCTGAGGTATGCGGCGATTCTTTTTCGAGTGATTTCGTCTTAGTGCCCTTCTGAGAACTTCTAGAAGTTTGTCTTGATCTTGAGAAGTATTATTTGAAGTATTGTGCGTTCGGTCTTCTTCTGCCATGATTAGAATTCTGAAGCTATGAAATTGCCGAGGGTTGAAAAGATATGTATTCTAAGGGGAGACACGTTATTTAAAATAAGTAGTGGGGCTAGGAAGGATTAAATCAAACAGGGCTGAGAGGGGCTATGTGCAGAGTGGCTGTAATTAGAGAAAAAGATTCTAATGTATACTTTATACAGCACGATATTTTGTAATTTATCTGATATGGGATATGATTTTAAATATTCAAGGTTCAGAGTAATACTTGTGATATCTGAATGAAATTCTGGAACTGACATATTGCTGATCTCGATTTTGTCAGATGTTGTGTAAACAGCTGGTCAGGATGTAGAAAAATAGAAAGAGGGGACATTTTTTTTCTGACTTAGCAAGGCTGAAAGATTGATACTATTCTCCTGGTAAGCAGACATCCAAATATTATTAGTTTCGTTGTGTCCCTAAAACATATACTTAAATCATGTCCGGATAAATAGCTTGGCTCTAATCTCTGATTTAAAATGTTTGGCCATCGATACATTATCTTGTTGACTCCATTGTTGACTCCAAATCTCTATAAAGGATCGAGGTAGGGCCATCCGGAATATGGACTAAGGGTAAGAAACACATCTTAGTGTGGCAACTGTCGATGGTACAATACATAACAGTACGCGTCCATTACACTGAAGTACCCAGCCATCCCCCTTGCCAATCATGAAATACTGTGGGGTCAGTGGCGCCTGTCCCGAGTCCACGTCACAAGGACTGTTGCGGCGGTTAAAACAATTGCTAGGATGCTCAGGGATCTCCTCTCTGTAAGACACCTTAGAGAACGATCAAACAGTGACGGCGATGTGCTCTCCATCCCAAAAGAACTCAACGCCTGATGTAACGGATGCGCATTCTGAAAACCTCCCTGTGTCCAGCACTTTTCAATTATCTGGCCGATCCACAGACCGTTTGTGCTGGGAAGGGAAGTTCGCTGGGGCCAAGTTGCTCGACCATCTTCAGGGGCGTTATCTTTGAAGAGATCAAACTCACATTTAGACCCTGTTACAACTTCGTACATAACTGCGCCGAGCTGTCCAATATCTGTCTGTATTGAGAAACCATTATCGTCGGCTGCTTCCATTAGTGTATCCAGCGGGAGAACAGATGCTTCGGTGAGGTCGCACAGTTTGACGGAGAGATCAGAATCAAGGAGGTAGTTGCGAGTAGCAATATCCGCCACAAGCACACGTTTATCATGGACCTGCTCCAGTGTACGTGCCATTTGACGAAACCATGACATCTGGAGTGCCTGTGAAGGCTTATTCTTTTCCAAGTAGGCGTGAAGGTCGCCGTTTTCCAAGGGGGCGAGTAGTATAGCTTTCGTGGAGAAGCCGATACAAGGCACAACACCATCAATTTGACCATTACCGCTCCCCGGGGAATTCAATCGACGGTAGACTTCTTGCTCTCGCTGAAGGACCTCCAGATTCACCTGAACTTCATCTTCAGAACTCCATGGATGCCTTAAAGGCGTCTTGACGGCTAGCTCATCACGTAGTATCACAACACCTGACCTTCCATATCCTAGGATTTCGCTGTCGGGTATAGATTGACCATCAAGATCTGTAAACAAAGAAGATGCCATTGTAGGCTTGAATTTCACAGAAGACTCTTTTGAGGGACTGAATATGTATTTGTGACTGAGAGCTGGAAACATGGGATATAGGTTTTGTTGACCCTTTCTGATGTACAAGATGAAACCCGCAATCACGTGAGCAACCGCCACTTTAGCTTAGACTGCAACAGGAGATGATTAGTACAAATCTGTATGGATGGCTAGTGTAAGATGATTGACAATGGAGATAAAGGACCGCATAAAGATTTCCGCGGCATGAAATCCTAGGGTTGGGTATGGAAAGAATAATGGGAAGTTCATGAATAGGATCTAGAGGAGATATTAGCTATAAAGATGCCAGTATTGTATATATCAGTACACAGAGAGAAGAGCAAATATATAGAGGATAGAAGATACAGATTCTAACTAGAAAAAGAGAAGAACAGATCTTATATTCAGTTAGTCTAGCTACCCTGGTTAGTATATCCTGGTAGTGCAGCACGTTTTAGAGGGGTCCGCTCAGGACGCTGACAGCGCCCCCGAAGCGACCTGAAGATGACTGAATGGACTGAATAAAGCAGCGACGGGCCCAACTGGGGCGCTCGGCGACCACCGACATACACCTTCTGTTCTATGTTTTTGTGTTTGTGTCTTTTTAGACTAGGCCATCTGTATCATGGGCTTAGGATTGAGTTGGGGCCAGGAAGTTGAAAAGAAAGGGGGGTCCGGGGGTTCTCCCCCGGGAAAGGCGGCCCTGTAGTTATGGAGCTTGGTATGTTCTGGGTATGGAGTGATTTATATCTACAGTGTCCACTTATGAGTGGGTGCATGCATACCCAGGCAGTGCTACTCTCTCTGACAGGAACGGTTTCTTTTTCTTCTGGTGACACGACGGTGAAACCGGGATCAATCCTTGCGAAACAACGAATGTAATAATGAATGACAGTCACGAATGGTAGGTATATACACTAATAGCACGGCAACTCAACCCCTGCCGGCACCCTCTCACCGGCAGGTCTCTCGACGTCGGTCCCTGCAGAACTACTTGCCCAGCTCTACACACACACTGTGACCTGTAAACCCACTGTGCTGCGTGCCCCACGGGTCGAAGAGCGTATCGTCGGTGGAGAAGCCTTCCTCCGGGGGTGGATTGAGCTGGCGTTTGCGCATGTCCGGGCTGGGACGGCGGACGAGCCGGCGCGGGCTGGCGAGATGGAAGAGCGGGCGTAGATGCGAAAGACAGGCGGCGATGATACCTACCGCAGCTTCGGTGCAGGTCCACACTGCCATGGGGGCTTGGTTGTCTGTTTCAGATCATCATCAGCGACCGTGCAAGGAGACAACGCAGGGGAGGATCATGGCGACTTACAGGTGATGTCCGGGCCGATCTGCGTCACATGGATCATGGCGATCAAGCGGACGATATCGAAGGCGAGGGTTCTGGCAGTAGAGACAGCCATCAGCAAGGGTGATGCGGTCCATCCCTGTCATCCCGAGAGACTTACAGAATGCCCACGAGGAACACCCCCGAGAGGAGGACGCGTTGGGTCTTGGAGATGGGCAGGGCCCACACACTCTTCAGCGGGAGAAGGAGGAGGATCAGATCGGTCACGATGTTGGGGATCTGCTGGCCGTAGTAGAAGCTCGTTGCGTCCAGGCAGCGTCCGGGCAGGGCGCGATGCCAGAACTTGGCGACGGGGAGGCACAGGAAGGTCCCGACTAGGCTGACGATGATCGCCCAGAGAATCACGACGAGGGCGACCAGGTTCACCGCGCGGGACATGCTGCGGGCGGCGAAGAGCCGCTTGTAGGATGCCAGGATGGAGAGCTTGATAAAGGCGACACACAAGGGGTAGACGAAGCCATTGGACCAGCCGATCTGGGAATTGCCGCTGTCAGGGGAGGTCGTGGGAGGCAACGATGGCAGCAGGAGAACTGACCTTGAAATAGACGTCCAGGTTCTTCTGGGGAATCATGGTGATATGGGACCCCATCCCATTCCAGAGCACTAAAGATGACGACGGATGGACCTGGTCAGTTCGAGGGAGACATGTCTTCGCATCGAGCACCCGCCACGTACAGATAACCACCCCGATGGAACAGCCATATTTGAAGAGCTACCGCGGGGTTAGCCCAGTGAGTCGATCTGATACGAGCAGTCTGTTCCTACCAGAGCCACGAGGATCAGATAGTCGTCCAGGTACAGCCGCGTGCCCGTGATTCGGCGTGCAACGAGGCGCAGCACCACCGCAATCGTGGAGAGAGCGAAGGCAAACGGCAAGGCAATGATAACCGATCGGCGGAGTTGCTGGTTGGGATGATCAAAGTCACCGGCGATGGGCTCGGAAGACATGGCGGCTGCAGGTACTGATGTTCTGCAGATGCGATGCGTGGCGAAGGAGATTTGGAATCATGGTTGCAGCAGCAGAGACGCGAGCTGATGTATGTTTCTGAGGAGGCTGTTTTTGGGGGGGGTGGGGGATTGTCTATGAGGGTTGGACCAGGGGTTTGTGATGTATGATGATCGACAGATTCAGTGCGAGGGAGTCGAGAAATGATGGTGATAGATCAGATGGAGGGGATGAGTAGCGCGAGAGATGAGGATGGGAGTGGGCCATAGACTTCTGAGGAGGGATGAGCATCACCCGAAGGGGAGAGAGGGCAAGGATGAAATGAGATGAAAGGGGAGGAAATGGGAATGAGCCTTGCGTCGTTAGGGAACACTGAGTCTGGCCGTGGATGGATGGATTGTCACTAGGTTTTGGACCTGTCAGATTGAGGGGTGGAGTGAAGTTTAGGAGGGGTAGAAATAGTAGAAGTAGTAGAAATAGTAGAAGTAGTAGAAATAGTAGAAGTAGTAAAAGTATAGGAGTAGTAGTAGAAGTTGTAGTAGTAATAGTAGTAGTAGTAGTAGTGGTAGTAGTAGTAGTAGTAGTAGTAGTAGTAGTAGTAGTAGTAGTAGTAGTAGTAGTAGTAGTAGTAGTAGTAGTAGTAGTAGTAGTAGGAGTAGAGGAATATAGAAGAAGTATTTGTTGTCACTTACATAGAGCAATCCCTAATATTACTCTGTACGTATACTCTGTATGTATACTCTGTATGTATACTCTGTATGTATCCTCTGTACTCCGTACTCCGCATAATATAGTTAGTGAGTATACCTATGCAATTTATATATAACTTTCACCCGAGGTTCAATGCAATCGAGTGAATGTGATGTGTCAGAATACCATACCAAACTCGTAACTTACAACTGTTTTCTCTCTCTCTCTCTCTCTCTTTCTTCCGCTTCGTTTCCTCGCTTTCTCTTTCCTTCTTTCTCTACAGGTTGAACCCTTTTCTTACCCCCACCACCTCCTCCCAATCCATACAACTCTATACTCCACTCTCGTCTACTTTATACCTCAACTACAACTACACGACAGATCATGACTGACCTCACCATCACGGAGGGAACCTTTGTCCTGCCTGATGGGGTCGAGGTCTACCAAAAGACCTGGTCGGTAAGCAACCCCCCCTTGAGCAACCCCTACAACAACAAACCAGCTCACTTGTAAAAGCCTCCTACTACGAATCCCCCCCTCGCCATTATCGTCCATTTCCATGGTTTCAGCGATCACATCAACAACTACTACGACCTCTTCCCCACTCTAGCCCGTCAACGCATTCTCTGCACCGGCATTGATCAACGCGGCTGGGGCCGATCGGTGCGGTGCAAGGCCGACCGGGGGAATACGGGCCCCACCCCCCTCATTCTCGCCGATATGGCCGCCTTCATCCACGCCCAACAGCAATCCTTCCCCGACCTCCCTCTATTTCTCAGTGGTCATTCCATGGGCGGCGGACTCGTGGCCACGCTCGCCTCCACCCCCAAGTACCAGTCGCTGGTCGCCTCCCTGCGCGGTCTCATCCTCGAGGCGCCCTACATCGGCCTCACCCCCGAGCAGACCCCTAGTTCGCTGCTGGTGTTTGCCGGGCGCTTGGCTGGGCGCCTGCTGCCGCACTTTCAACTCACGCAGAAGATGGTGATCGAGAACCTGGTGCGCGATCCCGAAGTGCAGCGGCAGATCAAGAACGACCCGCTGAACCACATGACGGGAACGCTGGAGATGTTTGCCAATATGCTGGATCGCGCCGCCGCGCTCACCGCCGGGAAGCTGGTTCTGTCCCCGGGGGTGCAGTCGGTGTTGGTGGCCCATGGCACGGGCGACCAATGCACCAGCTACGAGATCAGCAAGCGGTGGTTCGACCAGCAGACGAGGCGGGTGCCAGCGCAGCAGAAGAAATTCGCCTCGTACGACGGATGGAGTCATATCATGCACGCCGACCTGCCGGAGCTCCGCGCGGTCTATGCGAATGATGTAGCGGCGTGGGTTGTGGAACGATCGCAGGAGAAGTCGGTGAGATTGTGAGAAGGAAGGGAGGTTTGACTCCGTAGGGAACAACAACTACCTCTAGTTAGTGGACACAATCAGTGCAGATTGACTCGCATCCTCGCTGTCCTCTCCCCCTCTAGCCCATATTCGTCGGCTTGCTCGGCACCCGCCCGATCTGGTCCACCCACTCGTCCTTGCTGCGGCACCAGATCTCCTGCCCCAATTGGCCACACCGCGCCCGACTCTCCTCGTCGAGGGTGCCGGTTTTGATGATAATGATCTCGTCGGCGTCGCCCGGCTGGGAGGTGAAGGGAGTTCCACAGTCGGCGCAGAACTGACGACGCACTTGGGGGCCCCGGTCGCTGTGGCCGAGGTATAACTTGGGGGAGCCGGTGGTGTAGACCAGGGCGGATCGTGGAACGACGATGTTGGAGGAAAAGGCGGACCCGGTATAGCGTTTGCAGCTGGTGCAGTGGCAGAGGATGACCTATGGTTGGAGCCAGAGGGCCGATAATGAGCCTCGGGTGTCATACGGGGGATGGAACGGTGGGCGGGGCGCGATGTACCTGTGGGAGGGGATCGGTAGCAGGCAGATCGACGCGATAGGTAATTTTCTGGCACAAACAGGCCCCGGTGAGCAGGGTAGCCATGGCTGTGGAGGAGTGGATGTGGATGGAGGACGGAGGAAGATGAGGAGAAAGAGGTTGAAGCTGAGAATGAAGATGAAGATGAAGATGAAGATGAAGCAGAAGCAGATGCTGGGAATATTGCCGGTCTGGTCACCGCCTACCTGCACCAACCATCTCAACTAAAGTATTTAGAGGCAACTGAATCAGCCCTACTACCACTAAGGAGGTAAAAGGGAATATGATTCTGCTTTGACTATCAACCTAGGGCAAGCTGATTACGGAGTTACTCTGTCCCACTCTTCATGTTAAGCTGACCTGTTGCTGGATCTGTGTGGCTGATCCAACGACTACAGTGTGGCTAGTAGGAACGGAGGTGTGGCGCAGTAATCAACTCCAGCACAAGAAGTCGGCCTCTGCTTACATCCAGGATCACACTTCAACTTCGCGGTCCCTAGTCCCTTGATGAGCTATTTTCCCTGCCGGACAGTTGACACAAGCTTGGACTGAGCCGGATGCCAGGTCGATCTACCTCGGAGATTTCACCCATCCGGCACAGAAACTGAAATGCGCCTGAATGGGACAATGATGGCTGACTTCCCTGGGAGAATCGTCGTCTTTGGGCTCTCAAGGCAGACTTCTGGCTAGTCTGAGGGGGGGGGTTTCTAGTCGAACAGTTATGCACTAATTCGCATGGTAAACCTGGGACTTGCAAAGAGACCTTCCAGCATGCCCAGCGAGACCTACGAGGTCTTCTTTACCACTATCGGGATCTGCTAGGCTGGTAAGGTCTTCTACGTGGGCACATTCACGCAGCCATCTAGGCGACGAGGGCCAGAACCTCGTACTTGGGATTGAAAACGTTTCGATGGCCGAAATTCGCGCCGCACGACTATCTCCAATTCACCTCAACACCCAAAGCTCATGATTCTCTTCCACCGTGCTTACAAGATGCAACATCAGGGAGCAGTCCCCCAGTAGTCAAAAGTCCTGCGGTCTAGCATCTTGCAACAATTCTGGGTGCAGAAGATAGAATGGACTGAGCTCCTCCACATACCCACAGGCCGGGTCACTCATGGAATACCCGATGAACTGCTGCGTCGCATGGTCGTATGTCTTGACTACCGCCTGGGGCACCGCCAGGTACTGGTTCTCCTCCTGCCGGAGATAGCCGCGCACGGCGAAGGTTGCGTATGCAATGCGCCGTTCGTCTTGGGTGGTGTTGTTGCCCCCGCCGTGGTAGATGGAGGAGAGCATGATCAGGGCATCGCCTTTCTCCAGCTCCGCAACCACGCACTCCCCAACATCAGGCGGTGTCGTTCGGTGGGTGCCCCTGGGAGTAAGTCACCATTGTGGTCAGACAGACCCTCGAACCCAGACACACCTACCAGAGATGACTCCCGAGGATGCATTGAGTGCCTCCGTTCTCGCGCGTGACCTTGCAGCCAGCCACCATCATCCCCAGCGCTGTCTCACGGGTCTGATCCCGCTCGTCGTCCCACTCACTAATCTCCGACAGGATTCGGTGGTTGATGTACGAGTCGCGGTGCAGGGGCTGGGCTGTGGCCCCCGGACCGACCTCAATCGCCGTACAGGAAGTCACATACGGCTTGGACACGGACTCCTTCTGCTGATCGCCCCACCAGAAAACACTGCGCGTCGTGAGAAAATGCGCGCAGATGGCCTGAAATAGTGGGTTCATCACTTGAGTCCTGGTGTAGGTTGGGCTCAGGGCAATCATCGACGGTGCCCGTCGGGTTTCCTCTGTCGTGGTGAGTGCGAGTCAGCGGGGTGGCCCTCTTGGGGATTGAATGCTACCGCAGGAAGCCACATACTAGGGAAGAAGCTGCCGTTCCATTCAACATCGCGGTGGAGTCTCTCCTGGACATCCTGATTGACTTGATCGACGTCTGCGGCCGAGATCAATTCTCTCACGACAACGCAGCCATCCCGTTTGATGATCCTGAAAATATCCTCGAGAGGGTGGTCTTTGGAGACTGACTGGACCCCGGGCCTGGTGTCTGCGGTTTCTGTCATGATGGGTCTCGTTGACTTGGAAGTGATGGGTAGATTCCGTTCTTTTGCCCTGGAACCAGGGTAAAATTCACTCAATTATATCCTGGGTTGCCCTACAGCCATTCTCAACTACCACGGGATCCGAAGCACCACATGTTATCCCTCGCATGCATGCTGATAGAAGATTGGGCCAAGTGTCAGCCAATCTGCCTGCAGAATGTTTGAACGAGACAAACAGTTTGGTAGTCGGGTTCATTTCGCACTAGCCCGCGTGGCAATCCACCTCCAGTGCCCTCTATTGCTAGCACACCCACTGGGATGTCGCTGACTTGGATGATCACACGAGGACATTGGTGCATCCCACTTCTCAACCCGAGGCTGTATGGCCATTGCGAACAATGACTTCGCCGCAGCACCTCTAGATAAACGACGCAACCGGCAAACATCTGCACTTCACGTTTCTTCTCCCCAACTCTTTTCACAACTGGCTACGATACAGGTAAAAACCAAGTATGCTAGATCCAGCAGACTACGTCATTCCCCAGGGCTCCTTAATCCTGGTCACTGGAGCAAATGGCTATATTGCGTCTCATGCCATCGACATCCTGCTGCAGAGAGGATACAAGGTCCGCGGCACAGTCCGAAGCGCCACACCGTGGTTGGACCAGCATTTCACAGCGCGGTATGGAGAAGAGCGTTTTGCAACTATGATCGTGTCGGCCCTCGACGACCCGGCCGCATGTCACCAGGCAATGCAAGACGTGTCTGGGGTCCTGCATATCGTATGTGAAGCCCGCGCTTGGAGGTCAAGTGGCGCTAAAGGCAAGCTCTGATCTAGGCATCGGATATGTCATTCAATCCTGATCCCAAGGCTGTGATCCCCTGGGTTAGGCAGGCGACCATCAACCTTCTGGAAGTCGCCGCCAGCCAGCCCTCTGTGACTCGCTTCGTGTTGACCTCCTCGTCGACTGCTGCGCTTCTGCCGTCGCCTGGCGAGACCGGCACTCGAGTCGACCAGAGTAAGTGAAACCCTCGCGTACGGAGCTATACGTTCTGAGTTGGGGCATAGACACGTGGAATGAAGTCTCTGTCCGCGCAGCCTGGGATGAATCCACTCCGTCCGCCACGAGAGCCTATCATGTCTATTCTGCAGCCAAGACCGAACAGGAACGCGAGGGCTGGCGGTGGGTGAGAGAGCGAAAGCCCCGATTCGAGTTCAACACCGTCGTCCCCAATTCCAACGTGAGTGAGCACTGGGGCGAGCCTGCGCAAAACGCGGTCCGAGATGCCTAACCCGGTACAGTTCGGACGCATTCTCCATCCTCGGATTGCAGGCTCCAGCATGATCCGACTGAGAAACATCCTTCGCGGTGATGGCTCTGTCATGGCCGAATTTCCCCCTCGTAGGCCAGTTCGTCCAACGTCCCCGGTATCACTATCTAACTCGATCCTCGGACGACAGAATGGTATGTCAATGTCGAGGACACGGCAAAACTACACGTTGCAGCTCTGCTCAGCCCTTTCGTCACGAACGAGCGCATTTTCGCGTTTGCCTCGGAGTTCAACTGGACCGACGTGGTGAGGATCCTCCGCCAGCTCCGGCCTGGGAATGCCTTGATCCCCGATCCCCCGGTGAACGAGGGTCGCGATTCGAGCGAGATTGCCCTGTCTCGTCGGGCGAAAGAGTTACTGCACGACTTCTACGGACAGCCCGGCTGGATTGGGCTGGAGGAGACCATTGCGGCCGGGATTGAGGACCTGGCCTAGCATATGCAGATAGTTCTCACTAGATCAGTTCGCAATACAAGGATCGTCACTCATCAATCAGGCCCTAGTTATTCTCTGTCTGCTCGAGGACCAGCCCTTCAAACCGCACCTCAAACTCCGGTGCCTCACTCGAGGGGTTGGCAACGTAGACGCCCGCCCAGCACCCCTCCCTCTCCCCCCCCTGCGCCGCAAACACCCACGTCAACTCCCGCAGGATAGTCCTCTGCCACTCCCCATGCTGCGTGCGATGCAGCTGGAAGATTTCCAGGCTGAACCCCTGCCGCACAACCTCCAAGGTCACCTGCTTGCTGGCCTCGACACGAGGGACCACTCCTCCAACGCTGCAGTCCGGCCACCGATCCTTGCCCACCGTCGCCACAACCTGACGACCGGCCAGGCATTCCATTCCGGTCTTGACCCATCGGCGACGACCGTCAGACCCACCCCACACCAGCGCCAGTCCGGCCTGCGCGTAGGGCGCGTGCAGGTCGCCCGTGATGGTGACCTGGGCCCGTTTGAAGGCCGCCAGGGGCATGGCCTGGTAGACGAGGGGCGCCGTGAAGATGCATGTATCCGGAGGACTGTCCCACAGGTCCGTTCCGGGCGGAGCGCGCAGCGAAAACGCCGAAGACAGAGTGTCTGGGGATGGGAGAGGGGTGGTAGCGTTAGTGATGTGCCAGGGCGCCATTGGTTGATGCCTTTCTGCTGGTTCGATGGATGGACTGCTATTTGCTGTTTGCTCGATGGATTTGAAACTCCTTTCAACAACGAGAAGAAGAAGAAGGTGTCGCCGGAATTTAAGAAGTGGTTTGCGAGGTGCCTTTCTGCGATATGCCCGTCGCGATGTGCAGATGTTTGTGTGGAAAGGGGGGGTGACGTGGCCAGGGGAGGATGGCAACGAGATTATAAATTTAGACGCCGGCTCGAGATGCACGGTGATATTTCTAGCCTCTGCCACAGGGTCCGAGAGTGGTTTCTGTGCAGCTGTGCCAGCCAGCCATCATGGTGGTCATTCACATCGTGCTGTTTCAATTCCAGTCTGGCCTGGCTACGGAGGTGGTCGATCAGGTCAGTCCCTATACGCGGTGCAACCCTCACCCACACCCACACTCCCTGAGATGGAATACTGCACATCCTGCCAGGAGTTCGGGCAGACCAGGAACTAAACTGCTGTGCACTGGGGCAGGCCTGCAAGAGCGTTCTCGCCCTCAAGCACCGATGCATCCACCCGCACACGGGGAATCCGTACATTGTCTCCTTCCGCGGAGGCAAAGACCATTCCCCGGAGAACAAGCAGGTGAGTAGCTGTGGGCCAGCAGGATTGGCTTTCACCGGCGCTGGGCTGACGTCGATGTCTCTGCAGCATGGGATTTCCCATGGGTTCGTCGCCGAGTTTGAGTCGCTGGCGGACCGCGACTATTATGTGTCACAGGATCCTGTTCATTTGGGACTTGGAAAAGAGCTCGATCCTCTGGTTGAGAAGGTCCTGGTGGTGGACTTGACGGGAGATGTGGTGTAGATCTACTGGCTTTGTGATATCGCTAGATATTTATATTATATAAAATTGATCTCGAGCTGATGCTAGGACTTTCCTTGCCCTCCTCCATCCTTCACAATCTCCCCTTGCTCTCCCCCACCAACAGTTCCACCTTGTGTTGGAAGTCGGCAAATATAGCAAGGGCCTGCGCATTCGATAAGTCGAACCCCCCCGATAGTAAAGTTGCATGGACTCACCTGATACAACCGACGCTGTCCCCCTCCCCCATCGCTCGCGGCGAAATGCACCCGGTATCCCGCTTCATCCTCAATGTAGCTTCGACGGACCTGCTGCTGCAGTTCTTTCGTCGACGCTGCAATCGGGAAAAGGGACCTCGACTCCAGCCACGCGACTGTCTCGTTCATCGCGGCCAAGGTATCCAGGTCCTCTGGCGGGATCGTGTGGGCCGCCACGCCGCTCAACTGGAGAATCTCCTCGACGGACAGGCAACTGCACGCCTTGACTCGAGTCGCGTTGCTGTGCTGGCGGTAGTACTCTTGCGCCTGGACGCAGAGATCCAGCAGGGGGCCGTGGTCCTTGTAACTACGCGCGTGTCAGCCAGACTCCATTGCGGCGTCACAATGAAACACACGTCGGATCGAACCCGGCCTTGAGCTCGTGCACGAACGGAGAGATCGAGACGCAGCCCGCCTCCCCAGCGAGAATCGCCTGCTCGATGGTGAAGACCGTGGTGGCGAGGGTCTGGATCTCCTGCGTCCGCAGTGCGTGACAGGCCTTCAGCCCTTCGAAGGTGGCGGGCGCTTTGATGACCACGCGGGAGAGATCAACTCGCGGGTCAATGTGCTGGAAGATATCATGGTAGCCTGCTTGTGCCAGTGTATGAGGATTCCGTGTGCTGGTTCAATGCGTGTGAATGGGTCACTTACGCAGACCTGTCTGGATCACCTTGGTGGTCGAAAAGGCATGGCATGGATTGACCATGACATGCACGGCACCCGTGATGTAGGGGATGACTCGGAGAGCGAGGAGAACCGTCTGCATAGATGAGGATTTGATTTCAAAGCATTTACTGCAAGCGGAGACTCACAGCGACCTCGACGCGTAGTTCGGGGAGGGTCACGCCCGCGTACCGGCCCTGGATATCTCGACAGATGGTGATCGTCTGGGCGATGATGTCTGTGTTTTCCTCCTTTGCCAGTTGGAAGTACACTTCGGCCTATACAGCGACTCAGTATCGCTAGAGACACTCGCCTGGGGGAGGCCACAGACCGGATTGGAGGTTGCATCGGTCCAAGGGCCCTCCGGCCCTCCGTCACGGGCAGCTGGGACTCGTTAACCCCAGATTCACCAGACCAGCTGTGGTCGTACTGTACCGGCAAGGCCGAAGCTGTCCAGGTCAATCTGAGTCCTAGACCGAAGATGCGTCAAGACGTTCACGGTGGAGTCCGTCATGATGTGCTCAAGTCCAAGCAGGACGTCTTGAGGGAGGCTTCAACTATCGGAAACGATTGTCTACGTCAACTGCACTGATGCATCTGTTATACTCATACTCATACTGTAGAGAATCAGGTTCTGTAGTTAACCATGAGCACTATGGAGTACTGACACCGCAAAGCAGTCAAACCACCACATCCAGTCTCAATCACGATCTCTCACCACATCGATCACCCATCACCCACCACCAACTGCAGCTCACTGCGCACTCCACAGACTCCATTACAAACCCAGCACCCTGGCCAAATCCTCCGCCAGGAAGCGATGGAACTGCGAGCGGGGATGGTAATCATCCCACCAAACACACCCCTCCCCCATGCACCGCGCATCCCGGAACCCATACCGCGCAGGGTCATCCAGGACGTCCGACATGAAGGCGAACACGTCATAGAAAGCCATGGTAGTCTACACCAACGAGGTAGGACAAGCCCCACATCATCCCAATCAGCAAGATTCCCCCCAAAAGCCCTTCGTCTTCGCTGACTAGGTCGGTAGCCAACGACCCTCGCAAGAAGTAGGGAAGAAGAAGAACAAGAAGACGTACATCTGGATTCTCACTGCGCCACCGACGCACCATCCCCAGCAGCAGCCCATTGAACATTCGAATCGTAGTCAGCTGGCGAACGCGTCGCTCGGCCCTGTCAGCCAGCATATGCGGGGTGCGTGTGATCGGGGGCACATTCACGATGAGGAAATGGCGGGCACCGCACTCGTACAGCGTCTGTAAGAGCCGGGCGTAGGTTTCCATGGCGGCGGTGATCTGCAGGACGGGGTTGAGCGAGAGATAGCTGTATTGGACACTGTACGGATTTCACATTGATTGTTATTTCTTGTGATGTGTGTGTGTTTGACCCCCCAGACACCCCATATCCAATCAAAACATGTGAGGCAAGGGAGACTTGGAAATCGGACTGGAGAGGGCCAAAAGATGGGCAAGCAGAAACAAAAAAAACAAAAAGAAAGAAGACAGGCAATGAAGCTTACTCGTTGATTCCAATCCAGATGGCAAACAGGGCTGCATCGGCGGCCCATGCGCGGGGAGGTGTCTGGGATTGACAGTACTGGCGCTGAAACTGCTGTGACACCTGGTGCACTAAATCGCCCGGCTCGTTGGGGATCACCGAATTGTCAATCGTGGCGCCATACATGGCCAGGTTGTAGCTGAGCGTCAGGGTCTCGTTGAAGCTGGTGGCCAAATATCCCACCCAGTTGATTCCGTCGGCAACGGTGCCCAGCCCTGCGCGTGAGGATTAGGGATCGGAGGTCGCGGATCACGCAACGCAAATCACAGACGACGAGACAAGATCCTACCGAGCGCGGGATTGCCCATGGGATTGTCCGGGGTGGGCTGCACCGAGGAGGCATTGAAACTGGTGGTGGTGTAGGAATCTCCACTGCCCACAGTTAGGGCTCAGACACACCCAGGGGCAAGAATCACCCTACAAGCTGAACAAATAACTGACATTCCCTCCCAGCAGCTCGGGTCCTGACAGTGCCGCCAGTCCAGGGTTTAGGAGGTGCTGGAGTTTCATCGTGAAGGCGATCGCGATTGTGTATCTTGCTGGGGCGAGGAACTGGAGTTCGTCTGTATAACGTGGTACCAGATGCACTATTTATTCCACTGCGGCGATCCGTCCGCCATCCATTTCCCTGTCGGACCGTCAAGGCTCTTGCTCGGATAAGGGTAGTCTTCGTTGTACGAGCTGGCCTGGGCTGAGGATCGGAGTCACACAAGGGTTCGTGAAGACCTCGATCTGTAGTCAGTCATACTCAGAGATCTCCTTGTGCAACGTCGCTGACAGAAGAGGGTGACGGATGCAATATCATCACGTCCGGTGAAAGCCGTCGCGGTGACCTCGTTACGAGGTAGAGAGCAGATTGGGAAGAGGAGAAGCAGAATGCTCGTCCATTGTGAAGAGACTAATTACATCAGAACTCATTTCAATTTAGTTCCTCCGTCATGAATCCTGCCTGCACGGTTTCACACATCGCGCCTCCTCGCATCCCGCACCAATTGCTCCGCCTTGGTCTGGAAATCACAAAAGATGTTGATTGCCTACGTGACGGCAGAGATCAGTAACAGCTTGGTTGTGAGCCTGAGAACCGGATGGATGACAACCTACCTGCCCGAGTTTCAATTGTGCACGGCCTTCCTCCGCACGAGCAAAGGCCATGCGATACCCTGCTTCGTCGTCGATATACGACGGGTAGACGAGTTGATCTTGCAGTGCGGACGCGTCTGAGAACAAGGACAAGCTCTGTACCTCATCCGCAGGCTTGTGGCTTGACTGCAGCAGTTTCAAGTCATCGGGGACCAAAGTCAAGGCGGCCACACCAGCCAGCTGCAAGATCTCGTTCAACCCGATGGTGGCGCACGCCTTGACCTTCGTGGGCCAGGATTGCTGCTGGAACCACCGCTGGGCTTGGACGCAGAGCGGCAGCAACGGATCGGAGCCCGTGTAGCTGGGCGTAAAGATCTCCTTGAGCTCGTGCACAAAGGGCGAGATCGAGACGCAGCCGGCTTCTCCAGCCAGTATGGCCTGCTCCATGGTAAAGAGGGTCGTGGCGAGCGTCTGAATGCGCGAGTATCGCAGCTCCCGACACGCCTGGAGGCCCTCCCATGTGGCTGCAATCTTCAGCACCAGACGGGAGGCATCAAAGGACGGGTCCAGGTCATGGAACAGACGATGCAGTCCTTCAGGAGAGCTTGTCAGCATCGGTCAACCAGGTTGACGTGGATACAAACTCACTCTTTGCCGCGTCCACCGTCTGGCGCTGGTTGTACGCGTAATTCGGATTGACCATGAGATGCATGTTCCCCGTCACGAAAGGACGAGCTTCCATCGCGAGCAGGATAGCCTGAATGCTGCATCAGCTGGGGTTTCCTAAGTGACAAGGCCAACCTACCCCGATCTCGACAGTCAGCTCCTCTCGCGGGACGGTGGGGAACCGCTCGTGCATGTTGGCCGCGAGCTCGATGGCGTGGTTGAGGACATCTCGTCTGCTCTGCTTGACCAGTTCGGTGTAGTACTCATACTGCTAGATGTCAGTAGGATATCGTCCGTACGTAGCCCTAGGCGTACTTGATTGGAGGTGCAATCGACACACTGCTCGACCTCACGGGTCACTAGAAGGGGGTCAGCTAGGGTTCACTATCTCCTCAGGATCTGATGCATACCGTGCACATCAAAGGTATCCAGATCTACCTGGGTTCGCGCGCGCAGATAGTCCAGCAGGTTAATCTGTGCGTTCTCCATGGTGATTTCTTTCAGCAGTCGCTTGTACCACTCGAGTCTGTAGGGAGATTGCTGCTGTTTGTTGCTGCTGTTGTGAATCAAGTCTTGGTTACCACAGGACCAACCGAATAAATAGCGAGGCCCTAAATATAGGCATCTTAGACATCCTTCAGGAGGAAGATCCGCTGAGTCGAGCAAATGCGAGCTTGCTGCTCACTCACCAACCACAACTGTCCATTCTATCTTCAGTGCCACCGCGAGGGTGACACTGCTGCAGAATTCGTCACGGTATCGTCACGAGAGATGAATCTCATTGTCTGCACCATCAGTCAGCGCCGAACTGGTGGATCCGGAATCGCTCTGCACCGAAGCACGGCCTGCCCGGAGGAAGGCTATAGCAGACTTGCGCAGGTCGCCTGCGCTACATTGCTGAGATGCGCTGGTGCAGATCAGTTATCAATGAAATCGAGTCGCTCCTGGCGCTAAGTAGATTCTGCGATGCGTGAGCACGATGGTGAATGTTCAGAGGAGGACAAAGTGACAGAGCAGACTCGTTCTGGTCCATCGTCGTCGGTGCTTGTCCTCCTTTTGCCATTCACGTTACCAGGCTGAGGATTCTTGCGTATACCGGTCTGGCTTGCTGACAACCAGCGATGCTGAACGATATGGGCCGTGACCTGGGCTTGGCCCAACTGCTGGAGCAGCAGATCCATCTTTTTGCAGATGAGATTGCCCTGGAAGAAGGGGATCAGCGCGTTACCTTCCGGCAACTACATCAAACCGCCTTGAGCCTGGTGGTAGAGCTTCACAAGCTCGGGGTGACGAAAGAGCAACCCATTGGGATTCTGATAGCCAGAGGAATCACCCATATCCTGGCCCAGGTGGCCGTCGTATATGCTGGCGCGACCTGTGTCCCTCTAGACACTGATCTCCCGGATGTCCATCTCGAAAGACTCTTGCATCATCTGGGGACATCCCTCGTTCTTTCGGACCGCTCCAACACCCATCGACTGCCTACCCTGCACCACCTGCTCGTTCTCGGCGAGCTCGAGGATGATCTCCCCAGCGAGGAGGTCACAGTATCTGCCAGTTCGTCCTCGACCTGCTCGCACATTCTGCACACATCCGGGTCCACCGGCCAGCCCAAGGCCGTGCAGGTGCTGGCAGCGGGACTGATCAACCTCGTCTTCAACGAGTTCGCGCCTGTCCGTCGCGGCCACCGCGTGGCTCATGTCTGCAATGTGGGGTTTGATGTGTCGCTCTGGGAGATCTGGTCCGCCCTCCTGCATGGGGCCACGGTGATTGTGTTTCGGCGCGAGGAGTTCCTGGACCCGGTCATCTTCGAGCAACGCTTGCAGGCTGATCACATCGACGTGATGTGGCAGACGACCTCGCTTCTCGCCGCCATCACCCATGCTTGTCCGGGGGCCTACTCGCATGTCGACAGCCTGTTGACCGGCGGAGAAGCCATCCATCTCCCCACAATTCGCACCATCTTCGCTCACGGGCCGCCCCGGCAGTTGTTCAATGTCTACGGCCCAACGGAGTTGTCGGTCTTCACGACGTATCACCTGGTATCCGAGGCCGACGTCGCCCGCGGAGAGATCCCCATTGGGCGACCGCTGAGTGGCTACGAAGCATTCGTGGTCGACGAAGGTCTGCAGCCGGTGGCCCCGGGCGAGGTTGGGGAGTTGATCGTAGGGGGAATCGGCGTAGCCAAGGGGTATTTCAGGCAGCCTGAGAAGACCGCACAGGTCTTCGTGCCAGCTCCCCACCTCCACGACAAATGCCAAAGCGCGCCGGGGTTGTTCTACCGAACTGGCGACGTGGTGCGACAGGATGAGTCCGAGCGAATGATGTACCTTGGCCGTCGCGATAACGAGGTCAAGATCCGCGGACAGCGAGTCGATCTGGGGTCGATTGAGAAAGCCCTCCTGGCCACGCAACTCGTCGTGCGCGCCGTGGCGCTGAGAATCACCCTGGATGAGCTGGACGGAGGATCAGCCTTGCTCGCCTGCGTCATTCCTTTCTCCCCCAAGATCTGCCCCGACGCCATCCGGCAGCGATATCTCGACCAGGCGCCGCATCTGCTGGTGCCGCGCATCCAGGTGGTCGAGCGAATCGCCCTCACGGGGAGTGGGAAGGTCGACCGCAAAACGCTCGCCCGGGAGTATCTCGAGGAGATGGCCCAATGGTCGCCGAAAGAGCCTGCAGGCCAGGGGACTGAAACGGTGGAGGACCGACTGCAGGCCCTGTGGCGGGAGTTGCTGGGTCTCCCCAATGCCCTCTTCCGCGACGAAGATGATTTTTTCGCCCTCGGGGGGACCTCCCTCCATGCAGCTCTTCTGGTGTCTCGCCTGAAACCGCTCTTCGCGCGGGAGATTCGTGTGGCGGAGCTGTTCGAGCACTCCACGTTCCAGGGGTTGTGTTCTCTGCTGCGCAGACCCACGCCCGCAGCCCTAACCGACCAACACACATCCGATCAAGAGGCCTGGCACCAAGACTGCCTCCTGGGACAGGATCTCCGACCCTCATCGCGATCGGTCCCCGACTGGCGAAGCCCGTCCGAAGGCGTGGTCTTCCTGACGGGAGCAACGGGGTTCGTCGGAGCTTTCGTGCTGGCCGGACTGCTCGCCATCCCTGAAGTGCAGACCGTCGTGTGTCTCGTGCGGGCCTCGGACGCGCTGCACGCCCATCGACGGATTGGCAAAGCCCTGCGGAAATACAGTCTCATGCTCTCGCCGGCCCAGGAGGCGCGCGTGATCGCGATCGCCGGGGATATCGCCGAGGAGGGGCTGGGACTCACCCCTCAGCAATATGGCTGGCTCTCGCACTGGACGAGCGTGGTGTTTCATCTGGCGGCACATGTCAACTTTGTCCAGCCATACTCCAGCCATCGGGCGGCGAATGTGCTGGGGACGTGGCATATCCTCCGGTTTGCGAATGCCGGGCGCACCAAGGCGCTGCACTACACCTCGAGCATCAGCGCCTACGGACCGACGGGGCTGGTCAATGGCCACACCCACCTGGCAGAGGAGGAGCAGCCAGCCGCTCATCGTTCCGCGCTGCGCTATGCCATGGGGTATGCGCAGAGCCAGATGGTCGCCGAGGCAATTGCCTGGAATGCCATCGCCCAAGGGCTGCCCGTGACGATCTTTCGACTGGGCTTCGTGCTGGGACATAGTCAGACGGGGACGATGAACCCAGACGACTTCCTGGCCCGCGTCATCGTCGCCAGTCTGCAATCCGGCTGTTACCCCTTGCTTCCGGGCCATCGCGAGGATCTGGTCCCCGTCGACTGGGTGGTGGCCTCGCTGTTGCATTGTGCCTCGAAAGTGGAAAACACCCGGCAAGCCTACAATGTCGTGCATCCAGTGCCGGGCTCAGGCGTCAAGCTGTCGACTATCTTCAGTCTCCTGAGCCAGCTGCGCGGCCAGACGCCCCTCCGTGCGGTTCCATACTCCGAGTGGATCGAGATGCTGTCTCAGCTGCCGGAGAGTCCTGTGCGATCACTGCTGCCCTTGCTGGAGGAAAAGGTCTGGAACGGATGCAGCCTGTGGGAGTTGCAGCAGGGGATGCCAGAGTTTGGCACGGATAATCTGTGCAGGGCGCTGGCTGATGCCCCCGAGCTGTTGCATTGCCCGTCGCCTCTGTCTTTGGTAGTGCGTTACAGTTCTCACTGGCTAAAGGGGGAGCAGATGCATGAGACTTGAGTGGATGTGTGAGTGAACGTGTTCTTGTGTCTAGATTGTCAACATAGTGGTTGATATATGTCTGCAATTGACTACAAAACCACCTCTTGTAATGCATCCTCCTCAAAAGTAGGTCTGTAAACCCTCAATCCCTCTCAGTCAAACGGTAAGGACTCCCAGATCATTCTCCTTCTCCTTCTCCCCCTCAAGGCGATCTGGACGCGATCACCGGTTACGACCAGACTGGTATCGAGCACAGTGAGACGTAGACGCTATTAGCGACGGTTGACCCAGAATCAGCGTAGGGATTGGTGTGTGACGTACCCAAAAGTGACAAATATCTCTCTTCCAATGCAGATATTGCAGCCCTAATCGGGTCGAACCGGGGGGCTCGACAACGGTCTTGTCGCCCATGTGCCGACCAAGCGACGCAGCAGCTCCAGCCGTACTGCGTCAATCTTCTCGCTTGGAATGGTGTTGGTTTCGAGGAGGGCGAGGACGGTAGGGTTGTAACTGGACGACGTTGGCTCAGCTTGGGTCCTTCAATATAGAATTTCGATGCATCTACAGCATTCCCGAGATCATCGTCTCTCGTACTCTTCCCCAGACGGAGTCCCTTCAAGCGGAGGTGCGATTGCAATAGTCTCGGGGGGTTTCTCGGGAGCCGCGAGGCTGTAATGGATATGGGAAGTCATGTTGGCCTTGCGCGATATCTCAACCGCCAAACCCAGATAATCATTTCTTAATATCTTCAAAGGCGTAAGAAGAACTCTCAAGCACAATCTCCACCGAGGAAGCTGTCTCTGCACTGCGTTAGAGCGGGAGAAGTGTTGTGCACCCGCTGTGCAGACGGGGCTGTCACTTCGTGTCCCTCCAGTTGCAGTTGACGTGTCCAGGACCAGGATCCCTGGCGATCGACTGCAGCATAAGATGAGGCCAGACGCATATTCTTATCGCCTGGCTCTGCAGTCTTCTGCAAGTCCCCGTGCAGAAGTTTGCCATTGCGACTGACAACTGCAAGCAAACACCTCCGATACCCAACGTTCAGGTGATGCCCGATGCATAGAAAGGGGCGACATGGGAGGAGTTAGGGTTGTGGGGAACCAGGCATTCAGGGTGTACTTGATGTTGTGGAGGATATTTGGTGGACTTGTATCATCTCTGTACCCACCAGAGGCCAATTGATATATTCTTATCCTCTACATTGAACATATACTGCCCACAAGTCTTTTCAAGTTCCTCCCATCATGAAACCCCTATCCCAGCCTCCCTACCATCACATCATCCAGCTCCCCACCACCCCCGAGGTAGACCTGTCCAGTCTCCATCCAGTGTCCATCGGTCAAGAATGGCTTTCCGGGCTCAACAGCTACCTCGTCGACCGGAGCGCCGTTCAACTATCTCAGCTGTTCCATGAAGACTGCTGGTGGCGCGACATGCTCGCCCTGGACTGGGAATTCCACACCCTCCAGGGCTTCACCCGCGTCCGGCGCTATCTCGAGCAGCACCTGCCCAAGGCCCAACTCCAAAATGCCCATCTTTACGGCGCTGGAGCAGAACCCGCCATTGAGACTCCTCAGCCCGGGCTTACATGGATTACGGCCACATTCGCCTTCGAAACCCGCGCTGGTCATGGGCGCGGGGTCTTCTACCTCACCCCGACCCAGGATGGAGATTGGAAAGCCTATTCGGTATACACAGCTCTGCAGGGGCTACGCGGAGTCGAAGAGCAAGTCGGACTACGGAGGCCGTTCGGTACCATCGACTCAATGCGTGGAGGGATCTCTCAGGGTAACTGGCTGGAGCGACGCCAGAGAGACATGGAGTTCAACGACACCGACCCAACAGTACTAATTGTTGGCGCAGGTCAGTATCATCTCCTCCTCGTGATCATCTCAGATGCTGACAGCTGGCAGGCCAAGCCGGGCTCAATCTGGCGGTGCGTCTGCAGACTCTGGGTCAATCATGTCTCATCGTGGAGAAGAACTATCGCGTGGGAGATAATTGGAGACAGCGATATCGGGTTGAGCATCTCGCCTGCACTGGATGTGATCGAGCGACTAACAGGGGCAGACTCTCATCACCCACGACCACATCGAGACCTGCCATTTGGCGCATCTGCCCTTCCCCAAGACTTGGCCCAAATACCTGCCCAAAGACAAGCTGGCGGATTGGCTCGAGTCTTACGCAACCATTATGGAGTTGAACGTCTGGACACAGACAGAGATTAAAGCTGCCGAGTACGATCAGGAGCGCCAGCAATGGACTGTTTCGCTCGTCCGAGACGGGGTGGAGCGTATCCTTCGTCCGCACCACATGGCCTGGTGCGCTGGACACCTCGGCCTGCCTCTGATTCCCAGTTTTCCCGGCCAGTCCCAGTTTGAGGGGCAGCTCTATCATGCAAGCCAGCATGTGGATGCCAGACAACTTGCCCCCCACGGGAAGAAAGTGGTAGTGGTGGGCACGGGCAATAGTGGGCATGATATCGCCCAGGACTTTTACGACCACGGCGCCTCGGTGACGATGCTCCAACGGGGTCCGACGTATGTCTTGACCGAGAAGCACGGATTGCCCTTGTTACCGGAGAATCATGGGATTGACGACAACCGGTGAGTGTCTGCCCTTTTGCTGTCCAACCCTACCTCGTCCCCCTCCTTCGATCTGCATGACTGACTGCAACCGCTCCCCTCAACCGAATAGAACCCCCATCGAAGAGCAAGACATCTTGTCCGAGAGTCTCCCCTGGCCGGTCACATTAGCCCTATGCGTGGATCTGACGCAGCGCATCTCAGCCGCAGACGAAGAGGTCCTCCGGGGTCTCCGAGCGGTGGGTTTTCAATTGGACTTCGGCCTCGACGGCGCCGGACTTTTACGCTCGCTGGTGACCCGAGGTGGGGGATACTATATCGATTTTGGCTGCAGCCGACTCCTGATCGAGGGAAAGATCCAGCTGCAGCACTGCGCGGGCGGGATTGCCTCTTTCGACACCAGGGGGCTGCATCTGGCGGATGGGAGGTACTTCGCAGCCGACATTGTAGTGCTGGCGACGGGGTACGCCAATATGCGCGAGTCGGTGCGGCGCACGCTGGGGGATCTTGTGGCCGACCAATGCAAGGACGTGTGGGACTTGGACGAGGAAGGAGAGATTCAGACGGTGAGTATCTTATACAGTACCTCAATGGGACCCGGAAGCATCTTGCATGATTCTCCCACTGACCTGATCCCTTAGATTTGGCGACCAAGTGGCCATCCCAATCTGTGGCTCATGGGAGGGAGCCTATCTCTGTGTCGCATTTACTCCCGATTTATTGCACTGCAGATTGTCGCCACCGAACTTGGGCTGATGGCGCAGTGAGGGTACAGCTGGCCTGGCGTGCGTGAGACACAGTCCCCTGCCTGCGTTTTCTTGGTCTGCAACCATGGGGCCAATCGTTTTGTTTTTGGAGATTGTCATGGCTCCTAAAATCAAAGTGTCTGGTTGGTGATGGCGCACAAATTCGTCTAGTTGTCTGGAGAGGAGAGAAGGGGATGGCTTAGGGCTCTTTCTGGCTAGTCTGGAGCTGAAGCTGACAGCTGAAAGAAGGGGTGGAAAGAGATTAGCCAGACTCGAAGTATCCATAATGAGGGGGCTTTTCTTTGCACATGAAATCTGATAATCTTCATAGATCAACTGCATAGAGAGCTGGAGTTGTCGCCATGGGCCAGAAAGTCATTCCCCCGAAGTCAGTCATCGTGACGGCCAGTTCCTTTGCCATGTTCGCTGGTGTGAGTTATCTGTCTCTAGAGTACTCTAATCCAGATGTGGACACCTTTCTCTACAGCTTCGTCATCCCCATCCTGCCAGATATACTGTACCGCACTCCTCGACTAAGCTGGGCACGTTTGTGGGCCGCTGCTCTCGAGGACCTTGACGGAGCGAAGGGGCTACTACGAGATGAATGTGGTTGTGGGTGTGTGTGCCGTGTTTCTGGTCCGGTTTGAGTCCGAACTGACGGCTGGGTGCCAGCCGTGTTGTGTTTGGCGATTGGGAGAGCAACGTTCGTTGCTTTAGGGAGTGAGGGCGGTGATCTTTTGGAATGAGGCTGTTTCGTGTGGGTGGCCAAAGGGGATAAGTGGTTCCTGAGCGTAGTGCAGTGCTCTGCATGTTGATGTTAGGGATAGGATGCTGATTGATACATAGCAAACAGTTGGGAGGTCTGGATATATTTCCAACCGGGCCAGACACATCAGTCCTCCAGTTGGGGGGAGTGCATAGCATCAGCCAGTTTTATAACCATCCCCCAGAGCCTATGACACTCCCAATCATCCAGTCTGACCCTGTCTCTGCCTCAAGTCCTTTTCACTCATGACCCACGAACTCCAAGTAATCGCCCTCGCCGGCGGCAAGGGGGATCTCGGCCAGTACCTGCAGGAAGCCCTAAGCCAAGATCCCCGCTACAGCCTGGTGATCCTCACGCGTCAGGTCCGTTTTGCTTTGCCCATTCCATCATATCCCAATAGTCAATGCCACTACTGTTCACCCACTGCCTCTATCTAACCCCAATCCTAAGTTCTCACCATCACACCGACAACAGATCAACCCCTCCACCCTCAAATCCCCCCACACAGACACAAACACAAACACCACCACCATACCAACCGACTACACCCTCTCCTCCCTCCTCAGCATCCTCACCACCACCCAAGCCACCACCCTGATCTCCCTCATCCGCTGCCCAGATGCCGACTACCTCCCCCTCCACACCAGTCTCCTCGAGGCCGCCCGCCTCACGCAGAGTTGCACCCGCTTCATCCCCTCGGAATGGGCGGGGGATATCGCATCCTTCCCGGATCTTTCGCGAGCGTACGCCCGGACCCGGGCGCCTCTCCGCGGACTGCTCGCGAACCAGCCCTGTCCTAAGGTAGAGTACACGCTGTTCAACCACGGGTGGTGCATGGAGTTTTCCTGCCCGAGACAAAGTCGTATCGACGATGTATGCCGGGGAATTTTCCCATCGATCTCCACGAATGGAAGTACATGGTTCGAGAAACGGGGGAGGAGATGCAGAGTTGGACCTGTGGACGGGATGTGGCGGAGGCGGTAATGCGCTTGCTGGGGGCGGAGGAGGGGAGTGGGGTAGGTTATTCGTTCTTGTCCTCCTGCTGTTGCAATTCGGGGAGAAGAAGAGACGACGGAGCTGACTTGGGAGGTAGAAACCTGTCACGTATGTGGCTGGGCAGTGGGGGACGTTCAATCAGATGGCGGAGACATTGGAGCGCTTCTACGGTGAGTGGATTGCAGGTTGCTTCCTCCCGGTCACTGGGGATAGTCCGCTGATTGCTCAGGACGCCCGTTCGAGAGGCTGTATCGATCCAAGGAGGAGATTGAACGCGATCTCCACAGGTAAGAAGACCAGCCGGAGAGTCTGGAGCTGGCGATCGCCGAGGCAGAGGAATGGACGGTCAGCGGAGCGACAGCCTGCCCTAAAGAGAAGACCTTGTGGCAGCGGGAGACGTACTTCGCTGGGATGCAGTTCACCACAGTGAAGCAGTTGCTGCAGCAGGCTGAGAGGGAGGAGCGGGTTTGAGAGCAGACTAGGTCACTGCGATCGTCACTTTACTGTGGGCAGATGAAGTTATTCAACAGCGTAGCACGAATCTATTCTCTGCTTACCCCCCGCCTCACCAAACATGACCCTTGTAGCTGCGTGTTATACACAATGCCTTGTGCCTTTCTCGCAACCCCGCTGTGGTGAGCAGTTTGCATCTGCAAGAGAAGTAACTTGGGATCAATCCGTCGGACGAAAAGACGAGGACTGATCCCCCAATTCTATCCTCGCCGGGCCATTGGAGGAGATCAGTGCAATCCAGAACCCAGTTCGAGGGCTGCCTGGAGAGATGGACACGAATCTTATTATGGTCAAGTTCGTCCTGATTCAATCAACCTGTAACTACACGACCCCTCTTACCACTGCTTATCTGTCCCTCTCTCAGTTTGTCAGCCGATGCAGCATTGATGGCGTGATAGCGGGAAGTTTGACGCCATGCAGTCGGACAGCAGCAATGGGCCGTCATGATACGCTCCTGCCAGCGATATCTCCTCAATCCACCGGGAACGTCATTCAACGAATGTTTGGTGCCATTGCCTCCATCCGGCATCCGAGGGTCTGAGGGGGCGGATATAAAGTGAAGGGGGAGCATCGCCGGCAAACCCACCCCCACCAACCACCACCAGCCCTAACTCTTCCACTGATACATAGTACAACATCATGCCCACCGAATTCATCAGTCTCACCTTCCCCAACCCCTCCACGGAGTTAACCCCCCTACCCAATGCCCCCATTGACCCCGACTACCTCGTGCGGTATGCCCGGTCGCTGGACGACTACGGCTTCAACTACACCCTCGTTCCGTACGACTCCGCCTACTTCGACCCCTTCACGATCGGAGCGACCATTGCCGCGGTGACCAAGCACCTCAAGATCATCATCGCCCTGCGACCCAATACCCTGTATCCGACCGTCGCCGCCAAAGCCCTGGCGACGCTGGACCAACTCAGCCGCGGACGGGCAGTGGTGCACCTGATCGCCGGGGGCAGCGACGCGGATCAAGCGCGGGAGGGGGATTTTCTCGACAAGGAGCAGCGGTACGGGCGCCTGGAGGATTACATCCGGATCCTGCGTCGGGCGTGGGCGTCGGACGAACCCTTCGACTGGGACTCGCCCTACTACACCTTCAAAGGGTTCAGCAACCGAGTGCGGCCGACGCACGGCACGATCCCCGTCTCCGTGGGCGGATCCTCCGCGGAGGCGTATCGCATCGGGGGCGCATTGGCCGACATCTTCGGTCTGTGGGGGGAGCCGCTGAAGGAGACGAAGGAGCAGATCGAGCGCATCTACGCGGAGGCAGCCAAGGCAGGGCGTGCAGAGGGGGACCGGCCGCGCATCTGGGTAACCTTCCGGCCCATCGTCGCGGAGACGGACGAGCTGGCGTGGAAAAAGGCCCATCGCACGCTGAACGCGTTGACGGCGCATCGGCAGAATGGCAACAGTCGCGTGGCGTCCGATGCGCCGCCGCCGCAGAATGTGGGCTCGCAGCGCTTGCTGGAGATTGCGAAGCGAGGCGATGTGCAGGACCGCGCCCTGTGGTATCCCACCGTCACGGCGACGAATGCGCGCGGGGCCTCCACCGCGCTGGTCGGCTCGTATCAGACGATCGTCGACTCCTTACTGGATTATGTCCAGTTGGGGGCGGAATTGATCTCCATTCGGGGGTATGACAATTTGAACGATGCTATTGATTATGGGAGGTATATCTTGCCACGCGTGCGAGAGAAATTGGCCGAGAATCACGAGTAATAGTACTTCAGTGAGTGTATCCGTCGACGAGACTAGGTGGTATAGTCAATGCCATAAATAAATTTTATTCCCTTGTCCTGCAGCTCAATCTTGGCGCGGGCATTTGAGCACATTTACGCCTAGAGTGTCAGACTAGTCGCCCAGAAGGAATAATCACTACTTAGGGTTTTTATCTTTCGTTGAAATCCCAAGATGGATGCAGCCTCCGGCATCGGCGAGTTGCATGACTAAGCAGGAATTATGCATGCCTTTCGATGTACATAAGAATCTCCCACTCGACCGCAGCACAATATATACAATCCAATACAATCAACAACTGAACAGAAGTAGCAGCAAATCTCTTGAAACAGATCTAACCACAGCACCCCGTCGTCCACTCCTCCGGTTTCTCCCCTCCTGATGTCTCCATTGGAGTCACCCTGGCAGCCGGCCTGGCCACCACGACGCGATACTCGCCCCGGTCGCAAAACACCTTCCCCAGGAACGCTCCAAGGAAAATCGAGATGATCATGTAGCCATTGTAGAACATGGCAATCAGCATGATCAGATACGCCAGCCCGAACTGCAGGGTATGCAGCACAGCCCGCATCAATTGCTGCCCGGGACTGGCGCGGAAGGTGAGGACGGTGGGCCCGTTCTCGAGCGAGTCGCCGCAGAAGAACTGCATGCGCTCCGAGGCCGTCTGGGCGGCGACATGACGCTGGAACTGGCGCTGCAGACGCTCCTCGTACTGCTTGCTCAGCAGGCGCAGGAAATCGAGCACGATGACCAGGAAGGCGACACCGATGCAGGAGACAGCGAATTGGCCGGCGGTGGTGATGTGCCAGGAGGAGGAGAGGAAGCCTGATAACCAGACAATCAGAAGTTAGGGCTGGCGAGATGAGGATGGAATGTGAGAAGGGGACTGGGAAAGAGTGAGGGTTTCGTACAGGCATCAATTGTGGTCCAATTCCACAGCATCTGCCGTTATGCATTAGTCAGTCAGACTTATGCAGTTATGCAGCTATGCATAGGTTCAACAAAGAACTTACCGTCACCGAGCAGGCGCTCGAGTTGGACGTACTCGACATATGATGCATATCCATGGTGGGGTGAGGGATTGCGTAGAAGGGGATGCTGGGAATAGCCTCTTCTCCCACCTCCTCCCCCCCCTGGACGACTCGCCTCTTATATGGAGACCGGAAATGCGCGCATTTCGACTTGGCTGCTTGGCAGTGAGCAGATTTTGGCCTTGGCAGACTCCACTGGGTCTCCAGATAGAAAGAGAGGAATTGCTTAAGAGACACCCACGATCCCGGGGGCCCTCCCCGCGTATATGAATCTGGATGCCTCTTCATTCCACCACCACCATGGGCCATATTCAGGATTTCACCGCGGATTCTGCCTGGGAGGCGCATTGGGGGTATTTCTCCCGGCAAATTCCCTGCACCAAGGATGCCGGCACCTGCGCCTATCTGGACGCCGTCTACCACGGACACGATGTCACCATGCTGTATAGCTTCATCCTGTGGGCGGTGATTGTAGGCATCCTGTTTCTGTGGGCACTGGGAGGCCGTCTGGTGCGCCTTGACAGCCCTATGCAGAGACAGAGTGCCCTCTATCGTCTGGCGAGGACAATCCAGTCGGCCGTCCGACGCTATCTGCTGCCCGAAGCCTGGCCAGGGGTGTTCGGCCACACCACGCGCCTGCAGGTGCTGGTCTTCCTTGTGCTGTTGGGCTATCTCTTCGTCTTCACGCTGGTGGGCATCACCTACCAGACCTGGACCACCCCCATCAGCGGCAGCTCGCAGCATAACATTCGCAGCGGACTGGGCCCCTGGGCGGATCGCATTGGCGTGCTGGCCTTTGCCCTCACCCCCCTCTCCATCCTCCTTGCCAGTCGCGAGTCTCTGCTGTCGCTCATCACGGGGATCCCCTACCACCACTTCACCTTCCTGCACCGCTGGCTGGGCTACATCATCTACGCGCAGGCCGCCCTGCATACCATCGGCTGGACGGTGGTCGAGGGCAAGCTGTACCAGCCGCAGCCCGCGCACTGGAACAGCTTCGTCGCGCAGCCGTACATCATCTGGGGGATCGTCGCAATGATCCTGCTGACCTTCCTGGTGCTGCACAGCACGAAGCGGGGGATCCAGCTGACGGGATACGAGTGCTTCCGCAAAGCGCACTACATGGTGGCGATGGTCTACGTCGGGGCGTGCTGGGCGCACTGGTCGAAGCTGTACTGCTGGATGCTGGCCTCGCTGGGGGTCTGGGGGCTGGACCGGGGGGCGCGTCTGGTGCGCATCGTGGTCCTACATCATCTGAACCTGCCGGCCCCGACGCCCTCGAGCTGGGGGGGTCTGCACATCCCCGAAGCGGCGATGCAGTTGCATCCCAACCCCGTCGACGGGGACGTCCTGCGGCTGGACTTCCACCACAACCACGACCCGTGGCACATTGGCCAACACTTCTTCCTCGTCTTTCCTGCCTTGAGTCTCCTGCAGGCCCACCCCCTCACCCCGTGCAGCGTGCCGGACACGCATCCTACCGGCCAGCAGCACACATACATCATCCGCGCGCGGAAAGGTCTGACGCGCGAGCTGGCCGTGTCTGCCGCCAGCGCGGCCCCTGGCACGCCCAAGCCCGCTGGGGAGACGACCCATATGACGCGCGCAGGACCGACGACCCCGGTGCTTCTCTGCGGGCCGTACGGGCAGGCCATCGAAGACCGCAGCGGGGCGTCTCTGCCGGGTAACCTCCTGTGCATCGCCGGCGGCACCGGCATCACCTTCGTGCTTCCGCCCATCCTGCACCGCATCACCGCCCTCTCCCCTGCGTCGGACTCTCTCATCGAGCTGATCTGGATGATCCGCCGTAAGAACGACATGCACTGGATCGCTCCGGAGCTGGAGATCCTGCAGCGCGTGGCGTCGACCACCGCGAAGACCCTCCGCGTGCGCATCTTCGTCACGCGGGAGGCCGCACCCGCACCCGCGGAAGACAGCGCCTCGGAGGACGCGAAAACGCCCTGTTGTGGGGGGTCGGTCCGTGATCCGGGGTGGACCGTCGAATTCCCCCTGCCACAAGAATCGTCCGCTCTCACATCAGCCCGCCATCCGGACCTCCACGCGCACGTCGCCTCGTTCCTGGAGCGGGTGGTGCAGGGCCCAACCCGGGTGCTGGCCAGTGGGCCGCCGGGGGTCATCTCCGCGCTGCGCACGGCGGTGGCAAGACACAATCAGCCGGGCAAGGTGTGGCGGGGGGAGGCGAGGGGGGATGTCGAGTTGGTGGTCGATGATCGGGTGGTGTGGTGATTCATTGAGCTATGACTCGGAGCAGGGACGATGAGCATACGTATGAGTATGGATGTACTGTATATATCAGATGATACGATTGAGGGAGAGTTGAGAACAATGCGATACCCAGTTCACAGTTTCATCTTTATGCTTGCGGGGGGAGGGGATTATTATGCACACAGTTCCCTGGTGCGAAGCTATACTATTGAGCATACTGTGACTGAGATGTAGTTATCCCGGGGATCCAATAGATATGAAATGAGTAGGGGAAGACCCCTCAAGCCCCCCTCTCTGATACGATCAACACACCGTTGATAATTGAAGGTCAATAATCTACACCCCCAACCCCTCCGCCCTCTCGACCACCTCCCTCCCCGGTATCACCATCTCCCTTTCATTCTCACTCCACTGCCCCAACTCCTCTGTATCTGGCACCTCCATCACCACCCTTCCCAACACTGCCACCTCCACCCCCCTTCCCCTCTCCCCCACCCGCTCTTCCTCACTGCCAGTCGAGAATTCCAACACATGGCCGCCAGCCTTTCGATCCTCGGACAGAAAATGCAGATGCCAGCCCGCCACCCCCAGTCCAGCCATGTACTTTGGCGTCCAAAACCCAAATAGTGTTCCATTCATCGATCCGAGTTCGGTGGTCTTCTGACGAGAGGCGCAGGCTGATAAGGTTTCCTCTCTGGAAGTACGCTTCGGGATGATTCTGATGCTCAGGGAGGAGAAGCCCGTGGTCAGACGGATGGCTAGCGGGGTGTTTCTTTGATCGGAGAGGGCTTGAGCGAAGATGTGGTTCGACAGGGTGGTTGATGTGAGCGGGGTGGATGGGAGGGGGAGGGTGTGGGTGGGTTGGAAGGTGGTGAGCATGGCGAAGGGGATGCGCTCTGTAGGTTCGGGCGTGCGGACGCTGGGAGTAGGGGTGTCTCCTGTGTTGTTGCTGGGTGTGCTAGGGAAGTGATAGACTTCCCCGTCGAGGATGATGATCTCCCCGTCGAGGTCAGAGAGGGTGCCAATCCCGTGGGTGCCGTAGGAAGACAGAGAGGAGGCTTCCAGCCCGTCGGTGCAGATGCCGTGGAGAAGAGCGGTGATTGTGCTGTATTGGTAGAGGGTGGTAGCGGTTGACGACATGGTGGGTTTTCTGGTGGTTTAAGATGAGGATTGGGAGTGTCTGAATGGTATGGTCTATGGTGTGAAAGCGAGCTTGATATAGGAGTCATGATGCAATGGATCTTGTCTCCAGGGATGAAGGATAATACATAATTAGGGCTACCGATTGGGTGGGGTGCAGCTGCATGCCGCTCCGCTGGGGAGTCCGGGGGGTGGGAATGTGCGTTTCGAATTCCTTTGGCGTCATCTTATTCGGTGACTTGATAGAACAGGTCATCCTTGGCGTCATTGAGTGAGAATCTGAAACGAAATCATAATGATAGAGGCATCTGCATTGGATGTATAGCAGTCATGCCGGAAGGTCGCGACGCATCCATCTCATTCCTCGTCATGTCATACTCAATCCCTCATCCATATCTGATCAGGACTCCCCAAACATACACCCACCGTCCGCTGGAGTATAAAAATACCCTTCATGCCCCCATTTCTGACATAGAACCCACAGCCCGCTGCGGGATAAGACACACTCCAAACAGCATCATGACACGCACAGAAAGCCCACACTCCCAACCCACCGGTGGCGAGTACATCTGCGAAGAACTCGCCCGTCGAGGAGTCAAACATGCCTGTACCATCTCCCTCCCCCCAAAAAACCATTTTCCTACGGGTCACTCACTAACCAATACCACAAGTCGGCATCTCCGGTGGCGCCATCTTCCCCGTCTTCGACCGCCTGCACTCCAACCCCCCACTGACCCTCACCCTGACCCTCCACGAACAAGGCGCTGGCCACATGGCGGAAGGCTACGCCCGCGCGTCCGGCCGACCAGGCGTCGTCTTCGTGACATCCGGCCCGGGGACCTCCAACCTCGTCACTCCGCTGATGGACGCCTTGATCGACGGGGTCCCCCTTATCGCCATCTGCGGGCAAGTGCCCACCCCCGCACTGGGCACTGGGGCTTTCCAAGAGATCGATTCGCTGGGCCTCGCGAAGACGTGCACGAAATGGTGCGGCATGCCGACGGAGGTGGACGAGTTGCCTGCGTATCTCGCCCAAGCGTTCGACGCCGCCACGACCGGCCGACCTGGCCCGACAATGCTGGTGATCCCGAAGGATGTGGCTAAAGCCCGCCTGAGCCCTCGCGCGGTCGAGCAGAGCCCTAACTTACAGGAGAACCCCTCCCCTTCCGAGTCCCTCCCGACTCCATCCCAGAAGACACTGGATGAAGTCGCCCGATTGCTGCGCCGCGCACAGAAACCCGTCATCATCGCCGGCCAGGGCCTTCTCAACGCCACCGACGGGCCAGCACTGCTGCAACATCTCACGGAAATCCACCCCATCCCCACCACAACCACCCTACTCGGTCTAGGCGCCTTCGACGAACTCAGCCCGCTCGCGCTGGGCATGCTCGGGACATATGGCACCGTGCCCGCTGACCTGGCGGTGCAACACGCGGACTTGATTCTTGCGCTGGGGGCACGGCTGGACGAGCGTGCGGTCGGGAGCGCGGCGGAGTTCGCACCCGCGGCGCGCAAGGCGGCCAAGGAAGGACGGGGGGGCATTGTGCACTTCGATATCTGCCCCCAGCATATGGGGAGGGTGGTGAAGCCCACAGTAGCGGTGGCGGGGGATCTCGCGAGGACGCTGCCTTTGCTGCTGGAGCGGGTGCAGTCGATGCCTCCGGGGGCGGGGGCGGAGTGGGTGGAGAGCGTGCAGCAGTGGAAGAGGCAGTATCCGCTGGATCTGCAGCCCCTGACCCCAACCGGAAAGGAACCGATGCCGCAAGAGGTCATTGCGGAGCTGGATCGTCAGCTCAGTCCCCGCAAAGATCGTACGATGGTGACGACGGGCGTGGGACAGCATCAGATGTGGACGGCGCGGTATTTCCGCTGGCGAGTGCCACGGGGACTCATCAGTTCCGGGGGGTTGGGGACGATGGGGTTTGGAGTGCCGGCGGCGGTGGGGGCGAAGATGGCTCGGCCAGACTGTACGGTCCTCGATATCGACGGGGATGCCTCGCTGTGTATGACCATGCAGGAGATCTTGACGGCGGTGCAGTACGGAGTCGCCATCAAAGTGCTGGTGCTGCGGAATGAGGAGCAGGGGATGGTGCAGGAGGTCCAGCGGGTGGATTTCGATGGGCGGATCACCCAGGCGGACCACTTGAATCCCGATTTTGTCCAGCTGGCGGAGAGTATGGGGGCGAGGGGGCGGCGATGTGTACATCGTGAGGATCTGAGCGAGAGTATCGCGTGGTTGTTGAAGACTGAGGGAGTGGCGTTGTTGGAGGTGGGGGTACAGGGAAGAGTGCCGATGGTGCCCAAGGTGAATGCAGGCAAGGGATTGAAGGGTATTCTGGATGGATTGGATCACTGAAATGGATTGATGTATAGGGGAATGGATTGATTTGGTGGTTCTGCCTGTATGCGATAACGGCGGAGGTGAATTGTTCTTAGGGCTGGGTTGGCGGATGACTTCCGGAGTTGGCCCTTGCTTTGTATTTCCACCCCAGGTGTGGATTCATTCTATGCACAGTGTCAGTGTCAGTATCATTCTCTAGAACTATTTTTCATCTTGGCAAAAAATGATATCTCAAGCAAAAGAAGAGTGCATCATCCGTGAATCGAACACGGGCCTCATCGATGGCAACGATGAATTCTACCACTAGACCAATGATGCGATTTGATGAATGCCTGTTATTTTTTAAACATTATGAAGCCCAAATCCAGCATGATGTCGCTTGCCAGACAGATTCCTCTCATGATCAAGAGGGCTCGCAAGGACAATTCCACAGGATAGCACAATATTATCCGGAAAATCTCCTATATTTAATATAGCCTCTGATGTAGGGGTTTCGCTTCCGGGGCGCAAAATCCGTAGATTGGTTGACGGTACTGACTGGTAGGCACCATTATACCCAAGGGATGCACAAATGGAAATGTGGATTGGGATAAGTGACCGTGTTGGCCTGTACAGAGCAAAGCAACACGACTGCCAGAGGACCACAAACGGCATATCCTGAATATCCACCGCTTTTTCTGGGCGTGTTTCAGCCATTCATTCCGGCATCTCTTTCAAGCCGCTTACCTAAAATCATGCAGTCCCCATCCACAGGGTTTGTCCAGTCACCCTGACGACTTCAACACGGGGACGCAGCAAGCTCCCTGATTCCCTGGCTACCTTTTTCCGGGAGGAAGCACCGAGAGAGGGAGGTGGATCCAGAAGAAAGGGAAATTGAAGTAGGAGTCTGCGGCAATGGTTGCTGTCACTGGGATTGAGATAAATTGAATTCCCGCCTTGGCTGACGGTTCAGGGCTTGAAGACCCATCCCCCCCCCACATTAGGCAGCTCCTCCATCATCCCCATTCTAGGGCTGACAGCACTTCTCGCTTTCTCCGTAGATAATGTCAAATAGGAGTCCTCCGGAGACCCTCTCTGGCACCATCATCTACCAGGGATGGCCAGGCGCAGTGCTCCGAATCCCCAAGGCTATAAAGCGACCGGGCTGCCCCCGTCAAACACCGATATCTACTACCACTCAACTCACGCATCGTATCCCACTTTCACTCCGTACCCATTCACAATGTCCACTCGGGCTCCAGTCCTCGCAGCTGTGGTTGCCCTTGGGGCTACCACCGTCCACGCCGCCATGGGCCCTGCCTTTAGCACTGGTCCCGTCGCCTCCAACTCGTGGATCCGGGAAGCCACCTCGACCTTAGTTCTTCCCAACGGCCCCAGCGGTGGCGCTACCGATGCCATTACCTCTCTGTGGGTTGGGATGGGTACCTCCAACGGGGACCTGATCCAGTCTATCGCGGATAACTGGCAGCAGAAGGACTGGACCATGTACGCCTACACCTTGATGAAGACTGGCGGTGAGTTTTTCCCTCGACCTGATTAGACATCGTAACTACCAAGATACTGACTACGCCGGAATAGACTCCAGCCAAATGCCCATCTACGGTGACGGCCAAGCGGATGGCACCCAGGGTGACCAGGTCACCATGCACTGTAAGGCGCTCGGAGCTATGTGATTGGCCACGAACTCACCTCTGCTATAGACAAGTTCGATGATGCTAGCGGCAACTACACGCAGACTGTGCTGATCAACGGCCAGACCGTCTCCACCCTGTCGACCAGCGATGGCCATGCTCAGGGCTGGGGTAGCGCGGTCGAATGTGCTGAGGACAACTGCGGCACTGTTGGCGCTCACTGTAAGTCCCTGCTTCCAATCTCTGACAAGGGGGAATTTCCCTAACCACTCGTTCTCTCAGCTTGGATCGACACCAAGATCATCCTCGACGTCGCGGATCCCAACTACATCAACACCATGGCCAAAGGGAGCGGAGTGACTGGCGAGATGTCCACCACGGACGGTGGCAAGACCTGGACGGTCTCCACCATCAGCATTCCTGAGTTCTCCTTTGGTAACTGATTGATCCATTCTGGGTCTTTATACTATATACCTTATTCTTCTCTCTGCACTTATTCTGAAAGGAGTATCGATGATACTCATGCCAGTATTTACACTGTGTAAAGGCAAATCTACGCCAACTGTCATACCTACTAATATATATTTCGGTCCGGCCAATACTTACCATTTGAACCATACTGAAGTAACTTGAGCATAGGGTTGTGCAGATAATGTATCTGCCAAGCAGGTCCCTTGCCTTGGTCTCTCAGTCTCCCTTGAATCCTGATCATCCCCGATACTGTAAATATGGAGAATGAGGGCTGAGGGCTCGGGGCTTCAGGGGGACGTCATGCCTAATTGGGAGCGGAAGACAGGGAACCTAATCCGGAAAATGCAAAAGATGCAAACAGCAGGTGTCCGCACAAACATGACAAACACAGCAACCCCGGTCCGCAGCATCAGCATCACGTGTCACCCGCTCGTCTCGTGGGGGGAGAACCTCGGTGAATCCCTCCCTTCTTCTCTTCTTCCCTCAATCAACCATGGGGAGACATGGAGATAATCACCACCACTATTTATCCAATTTCCTCAAAAGAACCATGGGATCGACATTCCCTCGAACCAGTTCAACGCCCTGCCAAGCAAACCAACCACTTTTTGAGTCCCTGCTTCGCGTTCAAACATCCCCTCTCTTGTCTGACGCACACACCCGTTGCGCACCGTTGCACATCCGTTGCTGCATCTCAAACACACTGAAAAATACACTACCACCGCTCCCACCCACTTCCCCCCTCCCCTCGAGTCATGTATCCATTACACTCCAATAATCCCATTGCTCCGTGAGCAGAGTGGGGAACAATCGCCTCTAGCTCCGCCCAGGCACTCCCAGTTCAGCCCAATAAGAGGCTGTATGAGCCATCCCGTCTCCACCCACGATCTAGATTTCTTCCGTGTGGAGGCGGCCGCTTGGTTCCTGGCCTGCACGATCCAGATCGCTCTGGATACAATCTGGTCGAGAGTCCCGGTGGCTGTGGGGTCTGGTTTCGTCGTCTACCTGGCCCTTATCACGCCAACCAGGCCGATTACCAGCCAACTTCCTTGCTAGCACTCCCCAACCTTTGGGTCCGGTGAAGCTTAGATTAGTGATCCCGTCCAGAATCAGGAAAGGGGAAATGCAGTCGTCAGTCGCCCTTCGCCACATGGTTGGTCCCCTCCCCCACGACGACCCTTGGACCGGACGGAGGGTCCGCTCCTCGACTGGCCCGGAGTCCGCTCCAGGAAATAAAATCCCTCGCACCTCTCCCTCCGATTTCAGGGAATCCTTCTACTCTGTTTTCCGTCTTGCGCCGCCGGTCTCACCCTCATGGCTGCGCAGGAGGCTGTCTTCGCCGTCTCGGCCCAGGCCACCCAGCTAGGCAACCGCATCTCGGTGCACATGCTGGACTACCTGAGTACCGTGCAGGATTTGCCAGGTGGCTTTCGCGAATTGTCCCAGACCTTTCTGGACACCTGTCGCGCCCTTTGGGCCATTGACGCGGGCCTCACGGATTCCACCGCCGCCAATCGCCCCCTGCCCGAGGTGATTGTGGAGGAAGTGGGCAAGAAATTCGCCGCCGCCTACCGCGATTTTCAGCATCTGGACAAGCTCGTAACCAAGCTGATTCAGTATGAACACCGTGGCGCCCTGGGGAGGCTCCAGCGGGGATGGCATCGCCCGAGCCACGAGCTCAGCCGCATCCGCGAGTCGCTCCAGAAAACAACCGAAACCCTGCAAATCAGCGTCCTGGCCTTTCATTGGACGCTCGGGGAACAGCCGTTGGTCGCCGAGTCCGTGGGCATCGGGTACGCCGGACTGGCCGCGGCCCTCGATCGCATGTCCAAAGGTCGGTCGGTCATGGGCATCAACAAGGCCAAGTCACTAGAACGGGGAGTCAGGGAGATGGAAACCCCCTCTGGGTCTGCTTCCCCCGTTCCCTCGGGGCCCCCGAGAGAGCCCCTGCCCCCGATCCGCTCGGGGTTAAGCAGTCCCCCCCAATCTTACCCCGATGACACTCTCTCCTCCGTCCTCTCCCTCGATTCGCTCCTGCTTCCGAGCCACCACGAGCGCGACCTACCTCCGTCGCCCCCTCTCGAACCCCTGCCTCGACTGCCACGACCCAATAGTCCGCCAATCCGGACCAGCTCACGGGAGTCGCGCGCAGAGACCTTGTTGGTCCCGGCATCGGATCCGCCGGAAGACCTGTTCACGCCCTCCCGGCCTTCCGACTCGTCCCCGCGGCCGCCGCATCGAACTCCCAGCCGGACGAGTGCCGCCAGCGCCACGCGGTTGCGCAGTGCCCTCGCGTCTGCCGTGCGGGGACGAAACCACAAGCTGCTGGAGCAGCTGCTGGACAGTGGGGTCTCGCCCAATCCGGGCGAGCAGATTCACCCGCTGAACGAGGCCGTGCATCAGCGCGATTTTGAGGGAATGCGGCTGCTGCTTCTCTTTGGAGCCAATCCCAACGCCCCCGATCGGGAGGGGCGGACCCCGTTGCTGGTGGCGGTCGACGAGTCTTTTGTCGATGGAACCACCCTGCTGCTGAAGTACCGGGCTGATGCCAATTATGCGCCCGAGTCCGGGCAGGACACGCCCCTCAGCCGCGCGATCGCCAAGGGCAAAATCACCATGGTGCAACAGCTGCTCGCGCATGGGGGCAGCCCAGACAACGAGACCCCCGACGGGAGCACCGGGCTGATCCAGCTGATCCGCCAACGGGCACCCGCCCCGCTCGTGACTCTTTTGTTGGAGGCCGGCTGCGACCCGAATCGAAAGGGGCGTCAGGGGCAAACCGCGCTCAACGAAGCGGTGCAGAGCGATCAGGTGAACGTCGTGACTGCGTTGCTGGAACATGGCGCGAATCCGAACCTGCCGGGGCCGGAACATGTGCTGTGGCTGGCCATCTACCGTCCGGCCTGTCTGCGGGTCTTGCTGCGGGGGGGCGCCGACATCAACAAGACCCCCGGCCTGATGGAGCAGGCGACCAGTATCAATAACCTGGAAGCGGTTCGCATCCTCCTCCAAGTCGGGGTCGACCCCAATGCCAAGAAAGATGGGATCTACACCCCACTCTGCTCGGCCATCCGCGATGATCGGTCGGACATCGTGACCCTGTTGTTGGAGCACGGTGCGGACGCCAATGTCATGGCCTCCGAATATCCCGCGTGGAAGTGTGTCACGCATCGTCGCGCGCATTACCTGCCCACTTTGCTGGCTGCTGGTGCCGATCTTCATCACCCGCCCGGCATCGTGGAGATGGCCGTTCAGGTCAACAACCCCGAGGCACTGCGGTGGTTGGTGGAAGAGGGAGGGGCCAATGTGAATGACCGCAACGCGCAAGGCCACACGGCCTTGACCACGGCCATCACGGAGAATCGATCGGAGATGCTGAGCTATCTTCTCGCCCACGGCGCTGACCCCACCCAACGGGGGCATGACTGGCCGGTGTGTATGGCCGTGCGGTCGCCCGCTTTGCTCCAGCGCCTGCTCCCCATGGTTCCCGACCTCTCGGCGCACAAGGGCGTTATGGAGATGGCGGTCTTGGCCAATCAATTAGAGAGCATCAAGCTGCTGCTGACTGCGGGCGCCAGTGTCGAGTATAAGAACGGCGGCGTGTTTTCGCCGCTGACCACCGCCTTGCGAGAGCGACACGTCGACATTGTGCGTTTCCTCTTGGAAGAAGCTGGTGCAGACCCCAATGCCCCCGGTGAACACCTGCCCCTTGTGAAGGCTATCCGCCGTGTCATCAATGGCGACTATTCCATGGTCGAGCTCCTCCTCGACAAGGGCGCCGATCCCAACAAGACCTATCGCGATTGGAACGCGGTCATGCAGGCGATCGAGTTTCGGGACTTGCCCTTGTTACACTTGCTGGTCAAGAAGGGCGGTGGCGTCGATCTCACGCAGCATGACGAGGCCGGCCAGACGGTGTTGGAGATGGCGGATGCTTCCGGCTGGTCCGAGGCGACCCAGTTTCTTCTGGACAATGCGCGTCCCTGATGGGTGTTGACCTCTTGACTTTTTACTCACGGCTCTCATGCATTACCAACGTGGCCATGTTCGACCCGACACCCCTTTTCTTATGTTCTGCTCTGCCACTTGTCTCGACCCAGGCACTGGAGGATCACTCTCCTTTCTTCGTCTCATTTTTACTCAAGATTCCCTTTTGCTTTGAAGCTCCCCGCATCTCTTGCAGCCTGGCTGTGTACCCCTGATGGGTCATCGCTTTCATACCTCTGTGCTGTGTCTTGCTTGGCCTTTCTCTGTGTCTCATCCCATACCAATACTTACAATATACACTTTAATAGGGGGGTATCCCCCCGAACTAAGCATGATCTTGACAGCATAAGCCCGGGTTCATCAGACACTTTTAAGTCTTGTCCCTCGATTCATTGTTCTCATCTGTATATACTTAACTTACAAAACAACCAGTACATACGACCACAGGGTGTGGAAAATAGGGCTTCCCGTCCGCTCAGCCGTACTCAAGCCACACGCCGGGAGGTTAGTAGTTGGGTGGGTGACCACCAGCGAATCCCTTCTGTTGTATGTTTTTGTGTTTTTTTTGCTGATATACACACCGGTCGATCGGACTGCTCTCCCCCCCGTCAGGGCTTGCATGCGACCGCGCAAAGCTGGGGTTTGCGCGAGTTTCCTGACAGACCGTTCCGCGCACTCCGCACGGGGTCTTGGAGCGGTCGAGGCCACGGGTCGTAGATGATTTGTCGTCGCTGGGGTTGCGGATGTGATACCTGACTGAACAGATGCACAGTGCGAATTTATATATTGCATAAATGCCCTCCACTCAGTCGTGATTGGCTACTGTCAGCTGCGAGCATTGGGGCAATCAGACATAGGGACTAAGCAAATATGCACAAGCTGATCATAAATACTCCGCCGGTCTTGGAGGCGCCAGAATCATGATAGAGCCATCTCTTCGCAACCCAGGCGCCAGAGGCAATGTATTTGCGCGTGCTCTGATTATGGCCCCCTTAAATGCGGCGTCGACATCGACTTGTGCCTATTCGAGCCTTCAAACCGGCTTATCCGATGATTGATGGCAGTCTGCCTACTACTGCTTGCCCTAAGACCAAATCGGATATAAAGTACGGGCGACGAGAATGGAGGGATTGAATTAGATGCATCTTCTAAACACCAGCTGTGGGCTATAGATAATGCGCACGACAGGGATAGACTCTGCTGTTATGGAAAAGGCAAGGGAGATGGAATCGCTGGAGGAGTCGTATCCCGGGATCGTTCAGCAACGGTGCTAGCAACCATAACGTTTTCCAACTTCAACGACTGGGGACAGTTAGTGAGAGCCAGATCCAGACCTGGTTCTGCACGCTGCTCAAACGATCGTGCAAGGACGCGGGACCATATGTAGGCTTCGCGTTGGCACAACCTGGACTCTGAGGCGGCTGAGTAGGGCCGGCTTAGAATAGTTGGAGTAGCTTGGGCCATTGATAAATCAATCTATGAGAACAAGCTCTAATAGAGCAGTGGTGCGGTCAGAACGAATATCAAAGAAAATACCGAAACACGAGATCCCGACACAAGTATATCATTGTATTGCGTTCTAACCCCCCATCCCCTGACGAGGAAAATGTCACACTCTGTTGTTTTCCGCTGCATCATACAATTTACGGAACTCGGAGCAAGCCTGCAGAAGCTCCTGCGGCGGACCAGTCTCGCAAATCTTTCCATCCTTCAATATAATCACTTGGTCGAAGCGCTCAATATGCTCAAAATGATGCATGACGGACAGAACGGTGGAGTGAGCTAATTCCGTCTCGACGATGCCCTGCATCAGCTCCTTGGTCGTGCGATCCAAACTATGCGTCAAACCGGACATTGCCATGGTCAGTAACCCACCAATTGAGGGACATAACGCAAACGAGGTGGAAGTGCAAAGGTACCTGTTCGAAGCCTCATCAAGAATGACAACCTTGCTCTCGACAGCAAGGGCTCTTGCTATTGCCAACAATTGCTTCTCGCCAACGGACCACTCCGAGACCGAAAATGGTTGATCAATCCATCTGTCATCATCTGCACCTCCTGGGGGGCAAGCAGAAGAAAAGCTACCATAAACCTTCTCCCATAGACCGGTTCGGCGAAGAGCTCGCTCAATCTTGGTATCCTCAATGCACGCCCTCCATGGATCGACCGCATCGCGCACACTTCCAGGGAGGAAGAATGGCTCCTGCGGAATGACCGTGAGACGGCGTCGGACAGCGATTCCGGGTGCTGTGCTGAGGTCCATTCCATCAATGCAGATCGACCCCTGCGTGACGGGCACCAGAGACAGAATAGACAGTATGAGCGAGGTCTTTCCGCTTCCAGAGCGGCCGCATATCGCGACTTTTGAACCCGCCGGGATGGTGAGTGTTAGACTGCTGAGGATTGGCGCATCGGTGGGACTACCCCGACATGTTCAGCACTGCGCATTGTGTGGCGGGACAGACACATACCGATAGGCAACACAAGCATCGCGAAACTGTATCTCTCCCGCACTTGGCCAGTCTCCAGGGAGACTGTCAAGGTTGGTTGCATCCTCCTCCATTCCCGGAGCCTCCTCGTGACTGAAATCGTAGACCCGTGAGACGGCCCCTACTGCCGTCTCAAGCTGCGTCCACGACTTCACTACCTCATTAAGGCTTTGGCTGAACGTGATGATGAGATTGAGTGCGACGCCAATGAGCCCTGGTGCAATAGTACCCTGCAGTGGAACACAAACCGCCACAAAAACAGCCGCAATCACGGCGACAGTGAGGTCCAGCACCAGAGTCAGCCATTGCTGGATACAAAACTGCATGTATATGGGCTGCTGGGATTGGTCGAGCAGGGCCTCGAAGGTTGTTTGCCAACGCTGCTGCCAGTTATATGCTTTGATGGAAGCTATCCCGGTCATTGCCTCGAGAATGTGGGTAATGATGGGAGCTTTGGCTTGGATGACAAGGTGACGCAGCTGGCGCGATGCAGGGAGGTAGAAAGATTGAAGAAGATAGAGCGTGATGAGAAGCAGTGGAATTGAGATAGCGAAGTACCGGCCGATGACGCAGATGATCACTAACTTGACCACACAGTCGGTAGCACCTGTGTTGGTAGGTCTGGTTAGACGTAGAAAGAGGCTGGAGTGGCATGGAGTGAAGCTGTCGAACCTGCAGAGAAGTTGATCAGATGGACGGGGAGTTCCTCATCGATGAGCTCCATATCCTGGCTGAACCTATTGACAATGTCCCCAGTATCCATTCCCTGAAAGCGCCAAAGTGGCGCACTGTAGCAAGGTCAGAGCTATTGTGCATCCTTGCTATCAGTCCACTTACTTCGAGACTGATTTCAACAGGTCCCAGTGTAATGCAAACGCCACGGCTTGGACAATATTGACCATCAATAGCCTTCCTTGATTTTAGCAAAAGGACGTTCCAGAATCACTGGAAAGGGAGCAGACCATGAGCTCGCAAGAAGGCTGAGGATGGTGACGCAAGCCAGAAGACCATAGACCCCAAGGAACTGACCAATACCTTTGCCGGAAGAAGTATTATTACCTCCTGTCCAACGTTCCAGCCAAACTGCTGATTGGGATATGAGCATATGAACATGACATGCCATAGGGTGAGGAGTGTCGGTGATACCCACTCGCAAAATTAGTTGTAAAAGCACCGATGGCGTCGCCTAGAATGAATGTGGCGAACAGACTATACCCGGCTGCACGAGCATAGTACTGGTAGATGGTAAGCCTGCCCTTGCTATTGCTTTTATGGAAATTATCAGCATCCCCAAGTGCGTTCTTGTCAACCTGATTGTTGGAGTCGTCGACCAGGTTCAATTCCTGCGCAGATAACGGGCAGTCTTGATTCGAAGGAGTTTCATCCGTCGAAATAGGCGTTGTATGGGGACGGACTACCACCTTGGTGATATGACCCTTTTCGAGCATAAGAATCCTGTCCGCACGGCATTGGATGTCGCCTTGTTTGTCAGTATATCCCGGAAACATAGACACGAGGCCGAGGAAACCAACTATGATCCGTGACTACGATAACATGGATTCCGGGGTTAGAAAAGTAACCTCCCGCTGCAAAACATCGAGTCCAAATGTCGTGGATGCTTTGGCTGTCGAGGGCGCGAAAAATGTCATCTATCACGATTATGGGTTGTTGTGAATAAATGGCTCGAGCAAGAGACTATAGAGAAAGAAGTGGTGTTAGGAACGAGGGTATGAGGATCTGGGATCATGCTGGGGTAATACAATCTTCATCTTCTGTCCTCCACTCAGATGAACTCCATTGCTGCCTGTGAGTGTCCCATCCCCAGCAAGGAGCTGACAGAGATCACGCTCGAGCGAGCTCGCCCAGATGGAGTAACGGTACCAATCCTCGCGAACTCCGGACGTGTGATCCACAACAATGTTCATCCGAACCGTGTCATTGAAGATCCAGGGCTCCTGAGGGCAATAGGCAATGTCCTGGGGAGGCGCAGAACGCCCACCAGATAATAGACAGGTTTGTCCTAAGATGCTTTGGAGCAGGCAAGACTTTCCTGACCCAGTTGGTCCAGTGATGGCCGTGTACCCTGTCGCCGGAAGTGCGAGGTCAATTTCCTGTAGGACGAAGCCAGTATCGGACGACGACCAAGAGAAGGTCGCCTTGTCGAAAACGATCGAGGAGCCCTCCAGAAAGCGCTGGTGAGACTCATGGAACGATCTGTCGCGGTCGTGGTGTGCCCGTTTGCAATGGCTATCAATCCGTTCAAAGCAACCGAAAGTTTCGACCAAAGAAGGCACAGCCTGGAGAAAGTGTAGCATCGGACTGGTAAGCAGTGAGATGATGGAAAGGGAGGTAAATGCTCGCTGCGCCAGAAGAGGTTCCGACCCCTTGATAATGGTGGTGACCGCAAAGATGGTCAAGGTAATGAACGGAGTGAAGTCGAGAGGTACGTTGGCTAATTTATACCAAGTCAGATGGCAACATGTCTTTGGCGAGGAGTGCATCAGAGTGTAGGAAGGTATAGTAGGGTACAGTAGGGTAAAGTAGTAGAAGGAGCAGTAACATACAGAGAATAATCTGGGCGACAATGAGCTTTCGAAACGCTCGCGATGATGCGAGCTCGACCTTTCGCAGTCCCAAGACATAACGAGTCGTTTCCGGACCAAGGCCTAGGATCTTGACTGCCTTGGTGTGGTGTAGGAAATTGATGGTCGCGTTAATCCGCTTCGACGCCTCTTCGATCCATGTTTTCTGTGCCTCCTCAGACCGTACAGATATAGGAAGCACCAACAAAAATGTCACTGGACTCATGAGGACGAGGTCTTCGGGATGGGAGAATTGATCCGTAACCTACCTACACAAACAATCACGGGCACGATGCACAAGACCCCCAGCTGTCGTTGGAGAAGATATATGGCGATGCCAATTTCCAATGGACTAGCCCAAAGCTCGTGGATTTCTTGCCACTCGGAGATGATTCGTTCAACGTCGGTTCCAATCAACGTGATACATGCCCTATCGTCTGGGACCTGTGACGGTTCCGCCAACATGGTCTGCTTGTATATGAGGTAGATTAACCCACCGCGCATGGTGACGAGGAAGCGCGATAGGTGTCGACCATAGACGGACGTGCTTATCTAGGCCTCGTTAGTGCTGCTGCTGCCAGTAGAAGTCCACTCATGTGGCTATGACATACCGCAATGCCAACAAAGACCAAGACAAATGCTCCGACCAACGCATAGCCGTAGGGGGTGAATGTTTCATTGGGGGATGATTCGAAGTAGCTGATAGAGGTCGATATCAGGAACGGCAGGCAGAATCGGAATGCAGTCACCAATAATCTTGGGATGACGGGGACCAAGAATGCTTGACGGTAGGATTGTAGGACTGATCGTACCAGGTAGAGTTCATCTCTTGCCTTACAAGTCAAGTGTTGTGTCCAGCGCTTTTCAAGACTTTCCCCAACCCCAGCAGCCGCCAGATATGCATCGAGATGAAAGAGATGCCTCTGTTCCAGGCTCAACTTTCCCCGCCGCAGAAGTGGCAATGTCCAGAGAAACAGGGCGCGGCCCCAGAAGCTAGATTCTTCGTCTGGCGTCCTTTCTCGCTCCTTCGGTTGGCCGGAGGGTTGTGGTCGCATCGATTCCAGGATGGCAGCTATCAGGGTTAAGACAACAACTGCAGCCCAGAGAACTGCCGGTAGTATTGCGCCTGGAATCATCCAAAGAGACCGTAATCTCGGAACTGCAAGCAATGTCGACAGCGAGAAGTACAGGACGAGGATGTCCGACGGCGCATCGGGACGTCTCTCATACCGTGACAGGAGACCGACTGCAGTCGTCGAGACGATACAAAGTATCCCGGATGCAGTCGATATGTCGGTGTGCAAACTCTGGAGCCGGGAGCGAAACACCACAAACAGAACGTGGGCGATGAGTAATAATGCGATATTGGTCTAGCTGAAGTCAACCTCTGGATATACGGGCAAAAGACTTAATCGTGCATTACACATTTCGCCACTATCAGACTGCGGGGACCATAATCAGCCTTTTCTTTGTAGATGCTCAACAGCTGTGGAAGAATGAGAAGAATCAGGATCGCTGACGGAAGCGTGGCAAAAAAGGCATCCTGAAAAAGCAGAGTGAAGTCGAAGAAGCGGTGCTGGGGGCAGACCTGAGGCCCGAATGAGTTGTCTGAAGACAAGCAGGACATGTCTTCAATCGTGCCAGGGGATTCGAGACCAGTGCTGTGAATAGACTCTGATAATTGCGACAGACCCAGCAGTAGATAATGGCCAGACGAAACATCCGGCTGAGAGGGATTAGATCATCATCGAATAAATCCCTTGCGTTGATCAGAGCAAGACCCAATCGGATATCTTATGCCTTGCATTTGCTGATCGTGTGGGTGGAGATTGTGACAGGATATTATGACATGTATGCTGGAATCCGCCGTGAGACGGACTTTGGTCATGCAAGGGGTTATAGTGATTATTGTCTGGCTCTCAGTGCAAGCGGAGATCTAGTGCATCTCATCATGTGTAGTTAAGCCATTACGCCTGATTTTAATGGTTTGGTATAGTGGTCAGACTGAGTGAATAGATAAATGCAAATCCATCTTGCTGGAAAGGTGGTATACCACACAACATGTCCACGGACAACAAGTGAGCTCGCAATACAATCATCCGCAGGCTGGCTTTACCCCCAAACCAGGCATCGGTGACTCTTTTCAATGGCGAAGGTGGCAATGATTCGTGACGAGGACAGTAGTGGTGATGAGATGCTAACACATGAATTCTACTTAGGAGCAACAGACAATTGTACCCGATATTCCTGCGTCAGCAGAAGGCATCAAGCGCATCGGACCATCAAATCGTGAAGGCGAAAGTACAAGTCCCCCTCAAATCTATACTCAGTCAACAGCAGAGAGCATTGAGCATGCCTTTTCCATACCCTCGACTCACACGCGATCGAATGTGCCGACTGTACTGAGGCTTGCGTGGGCTGTCGTTCTGGCTGCCTACCAGAATTTGTCTGAAGTATCTTACACCACCAATCTTGCAGAAAGCGAAGGAAACGCCGCAGGGGGGTCAAAGCAAGGCATTGAGGGGTGTCATCAGCTCGCCGTTCATGTTGAGGAGGACAAAAGCGTGGTAGAATTGCTCAACAATGTGCAGAGCAGCTGCTCTATGCGACTCGGGCTGATCTTACCGGATGACCCCGGGGCTATACCTGTAGGTCAGTGGAGGTCTCTGCTCAGCATTGGTGAAGTTGGTGAAGCAATAAGAAACGCACCAGCTGGATTTCAGATCCAGTTGACATGCCATCCCACGCCATCAGCGATTACTGTCCGCGCCCATATCGATGAAGGCCAATTCGAGTCCGAAATGATGCGCATGATGCTATACCAGCTGGCGTGGACCACGCAACAGATTCTCGAGGGCTGTTCTTCTGTGAAGAAGTTGAAGATCATCAGCCCCGAGGGATTGCAGCTTCTCCAGACGTGGAACGCTACGACTCCAGCACCAGTCAATACTTGCGTCCACGAGATGATTCTATCACACTGTGTTAGCACTCCGGATCACTCCGCCGTGTGTGCTTGGGATGGTCGTCTCACGTACAAGGACCTGGACGATCTGTCTCAACGAGTTGCCTCGCACCTGGTGGCACGCGGCGCTGGCCCTGAGAGATTCATTCCTGTCCTGCTTGAAAAGTCTCTGTGGACACCAGTGGCCATTCTGGGTATTCTTCGTGCCGGTTCGGCCTTCTTGCTTCTCGATCCGCGGGTGCCTACTTCTCGCCTGCTTTCGCAGTGTCACGATGTCGGTGCGACAATTGTCCTCACCTCGCCTGGACTCTCTCATATCGCTGCTGCACTCGAATTGGATGCGGTATTCTTGTCGAATGCTCAGATCAACACCTGGTTCGACGGTGGGAAAGCAACGACCAGGCTCCCCAGCTGCCACCCTCATCAAGCACTCTATGCTGTGTTCACCTCTGGCTCGACAGGTCAACCCAAGGGAGTCGTCATTCAGCACTTCTCCTTCTGTACCAGCGCCAAAAACTTCGCCGCCATCACCAAGATTGACCAGTCGAGTCGAGTGTTTCAATTTTCAACATACTCCTTCGACGTCAGCATATCAGACCACCTTGTTCCCCTCATGCACGGCGCATGTTTGTGTATACCCTCCGCTACGCAGTCCCAGAATTCTCTCGCGCAATCCATCAGAGACCTCGGGGCAAACTGGATTGATCTGACCCCTTCGGTCTCCCGGATCCTGTCGTCGGCAGACCTTGCAGGGGTCACGACCCTCAATCTAGGGGGCGAAGCCATGATGAAGAGTGATGTTGAGAGATGGGCGGACCTATTGAGACTGGTCAATTCGTATGGCCCTTCCGAGTGCTCTGTCACCGCGTCATCGCGAGTGATGCGGCAAGCATCGGATTCACAGAATATAGGCTTCGTGACGGGCGGAGTGGGCTGGGTGGTATATCCTGACGACGAGAGTGAGCTGGTGCCCCTCGGAGCTATTGGGGAACTCGTGATAGAAGGCCCTATTGTTGGGCGGGGGTACCTGGCGCATGGGGAAGGGTTCACGGACAGTTTACCCTGGTTGCGAGAGCTGCGCCACGGGCCGATGGTGCGCGCGTACAAGACGGGAGATCTTGTGCAGCAGCTCTCCGATGGCTCATTCAGATACGTTGGCCGTAAAGACACACAGGTCAAACTCCGTGGACAGCGCATTGAACTGGGGGAGGTGGAGCATCATGTGAGCGAGGCTCTCGCGAATATCCAGAGTGCGGTTGCTGAGGTCGTCCATCTACGGAAAGATGACAGCTCACAGGCCATCCTGGTGATCTTCATCCAATGTCAATGCGGAACGTTGGACGGGGGAATCCGTCCTGAACAAGGGGACTGTGCCATACTGCCGCCGTCGGCGTGCTTCCAACGGGACATCAAGAAAGCAGTAGAGACCCTGAGGAAACGCCTCCCCGCTTACCTGGTCCCTTCTGTCTTCTTCGAAGTGAACTTCATCCCTCTCTCCAGCTCGGGGAAGGTGGATAGGAAGCTCTTAAGAGCGATGGCTGCCAATCTCGGGCCAGATGGTCTACACAAATATCGTTGCAGGGAGGAAAGTGGAAAGGCAACCGCGACACTGCCAAAGAGCAGAATAGCAAACAAGCTGCAGACAATCTGCTCGGAGTTGCTCAATACGCCTGTGGGGAGAGTGCCTCTGGACGAGAGCTTCATTTCCCTCGGGGGAGACTCAATCACAGCCATGGTCCTTGTCGCCCGATGCAATCGCCAACAGATTCAAGTAACTGTGCAGGATATTCTACACGCAACATCTCTGCGCGAGCTTGCCTTCTCAGCCACGGAGATTGAGGCTCCTCAACAGGACACTTTGGTGCAGGTAGGGGTGTCATTTCCCCTCGCCCCGATCCAGCAATTGTTCTTTGATATACTTCCAGCGGGACACAACCACTACAACCAGAGCTTTCTCTTACAGATTCAGAAGCCAGTCCGCGTGGAAGATGTGGCCACCGCTATACAGTCCCTTGTGGAACGACATCCGATGCTGCGGGCGAGATTCTACCGCGATGGTGGCGGTCGTTGGGCTCAGCTTGTCACCCAAGACGTCCAAGGCTCATACCATTTTTCCCACATCCATCTGGACCAGTTGGACGAAGCATCGCAGCATATTGGTCGTAGTCAGAAATCCCTTGATATCTGCCACGGGCCTCTGTTCAGCGCCATTCTGTTCGATGTTGGTCATCATACCCAGTATCTCTTCCTGGTAGCCCACCATCTCGTGGTCGACCTTGTTTCATGGCGAATGATCTTTGCCGACGTGGAGAACTACCTGACTGGCAAATCGCCCTCGCCAATACCTAGCATGCCGTTTGACAGATGGTGCACGCTGCAAGACCAGTACATTCGGGAAAACCTGAAAGAAGTTGAGCCAGTGGCAAACAACCCCGGATCGTGCAATCTGATGGAGTACTGGGGTCTCGCCAACTGCTCCAACAATTATGCCGACACTGCCAGAGTTGAACTCTCAGTAGATGTGGCGACGACGAGATTACTCCTGGGCAAGGCGAATGAGGCTCTCCGTACCAGGCCAGTCGAGATCATTCAATCGGCGCTGCTGTTCTCGTTCATGCAAGTCTTCTCGGACCGGGCACCACCTCTGATCTACAGCGAAGGACATGGCAGAGAGCCGTGGGATAACACCGGACCGCCCATCAATATTTCTCAGACAGTAGGTTGGTTCACGACCTTTTGGCCGACAGCTGCATCAGCTCAGCGGGACCATTCCTTCATTGAGGTCTTGGAAAGAGTCAAAGACGCGCGGAGACAGATGCCGAGAAAGGGTTGGTCGTTCTTTTCCTCGCGTGCAGGCCAGTTTACTCAAGAGCTGCCAATGGAAATTCTTTTCAACTACCATGGATCTTACCAGGAACTGGAGAGTGAGACGGCCGTGTTGCGCCATGTCAACGAGATCAGTTATCGGTGGCAGGACGTGCGAGGCGACGCGCCGAGAACTGAGCTTTTTGAGGTCACTGGCTTTGTCGATCAAAAGCGACTGAACATTGAAATTCTCTACAACAATCAAATGCCGCGGAGCCCAATAGAAAAGTGGACTGCAGCAATTGAAAGTTCCTTGCTCGAAGTCAGCCGGATGCTGATTTCCACGCCAGTCCGATTCACATTAAGCGACTTCTCGCTGCTGGAGACAGGATACCAAGAGCTGGAAGATCTGATCACGAGCTTGAATCTGGAGGACATCACTATGATCGAGGACATATACCCCTGCCTGGGCTTGCAGAAGGATATACTGCTAAGCCAAGCGAAGAATCCGACAGCGTATGTTACGACAGCAACATGGGAATTCCGACACCAGCAGACCATTGACATCAGTCGTTTTGAACAAGCATGGCTGGAAGTTGTACAGACAACGCCGGTGCTTCGTACTGTATTTGCAGAAGACACGCGAGGGAAGCAATGGGTGCAAGTTGTGCTGCGAAACATGGCTGGTGCAGTATCTGTCTTGCCTGAAACCGGCCGATGCACGGCGAACAGTGCAGAGATGATGATCAACCAGCACCGACAACCTCTAACTACATCCATGCCCTGGCAACTCCTTGTGGTGCCCACTGGAACTCACACACTTGTCTGCCACCTGGCTATCAGCCACGCGTTGGTAGATGGGCATTCCATGTTGCTTCTTCCTGACCAGCTGACGACTGCATACACGGGCGGGCTTCTCCACAACCGCAGCAGCAGTTAAACCATGCGAAGATACGTTCAGCATGTCATCGCAGCAAATACTCGATCAGTGGCGGACTTTTGGGCCGGATATATTGATGGTAGCAGTCCTTGTCTCTTCCCAGGCAGAGGAGACGGCGACGGCATCAGAAGCACGAGCAATGCAAACACCGTCGAATTTGTGTTGGCAGACCCCGCGATGCAGTCGTTATGTGAACAATATCAAGTCACTCTCTTCAACCTTGTGCAAGTCGCCTGGGGCTTGGTCTTGCGAGCGTATACCGGATCCGAAGTGGTTCAATTCGGGTTTTTGGTCTCCAGTCGAACTGAGTTGATTGAGGGCTTCGAAGCAGCTGTCGGCCCATATATCAACATGCTACTCTGTCGAATGGACCTAGCTTCTTCCAGGGAGATCAAAGATGTTCTTCAAGAAACCAGAGCGAGCACACTGCAAGCCTTGCGCTACCAGCATACCTCGTTGGCGGATCTTTGCAGCTCTCTCCAGGTCGAGAGACATGAATTGTTCAATACTGGGATATCCTTTCAGCCCCATGAGAAAACACAAGGAAGAGCATCAAACCTCACATGGGCTGTGGTGGGGGAGGAAGATCCAACCGATGTAAGTTCCTGTAGATTGTCCATTCTCTCAGCTCCTCTCCAGCGTCACTCACTTACTGACCATGACAAATCCATCAGTTCGATATATCCATCAATGTGATAGGAGATGCGGATCAGCTCCGGGTTAAACTCTCGTACTATTCCTCCTTTATCTCTGACTCGCAGGCCAGTTCACTCGCCGCGACATTTGAGAAGGTTCTTCAAACGGTGGCAAGAAGCCCTGGTCTTGCGATCAAAAACACCGAAATTCTGACCGATAACGAGATAGCACAACTGGAACATTGGAATGGAGTTCTTCCACGGGCGGAGGAGTGCTGTATCCACGAGGTAATTGCGAAGCATTGCAGAGATAGCCCCTTAGCCCCAGCCATTGACGCATGGGATGGCCTGCTTTCCTATGCTGCGCTGGACGATTTTTCTTCGCGCCTCGCCAACGCGCTTGTTGCCCACAGCTGTCCCATCAAAGAGACCATAATTCCTATTCTCACTCAAAAGTCCAAATGGACGGCAGTGGCCATGGTGGCTATCTTGCGTGCCGGTGCGACATTTGTCCTGCTCGATCCATCATACCCATTCGCTAGGCTCCAGATGATCTGTCACAAGGTTAACGCTGCGGTGCTCGTGTCCTCGTCAGCAGATTGCGCCCTAGCCACGCAGCTATGCGAGACAGTGATCATTGTCGGCGACAGGGAGGTCCAAACCTGGCCTTGTACCCATTTGCTCAACTCCATGCGACCTACCCCCAAGACCGCCGCATACGTGGTATTCACGTCTGGATCCACCGGTGAGCCCAAAGGTGTCATCATCGAACATTCCGCCTTCTGCACCAGCGCGCGCGCGCAAAAAGAAACACTTTCCTTAGACACACAGAGCCGCGTGCTGCAATTCGCGTCGTACGCATTCGATGTCAGCATCGCCGACCACCTCACGACGTTAATAGCAGGTGCATGCATCTGCGTGCCTTCGTCGGAAGAGGTAGCCAACGCCTTGATGCCCAGCATTGAGCGGTACCAAGTCAACTGGATGGCATTGACACCTTCTGTGGTCCGCACCCTCGACCCCAGTGATGTACGGTTACGCACGCTCAAGACCCTAGTCATCGGGGGAGAGCCAATGTCCCGCCGGGACATGATGACTTGGATGAGCGCCAAACCACAGCTGTCGCTATACGTTGCGTATGGACCGGCTGAGTGCTCTGTAATGGTGACCTCGTCCAGGATGATGCGGGATATGTGTGTCGACTCGCGCAACATTGGGCATGCACCGACCGCCGCATTGTGGATTACCGATCCTCACGACTATACGAAACTGCAGCCTATTGGAGCGGTGGGGGAGCTCCTGGTTGAAGGGCCGATTCTGGGTCAGGGCTACCTGAATGATCCGCGGAGGACGTCAATGTCCTTTGTACAAAGTCCCCCATGGCTTTCTCGGTACCGGACGAGCGCCGCGGCTCCAAGTAGACTGTACAGAACAGGCGACTTGGTTCAATACCAGTCCAATGGCTCAGTCCGATATTGTGGCAGGAAAGACAACCAGATCAAGTTGCGCGGGCAACGGATTGAACCGGGTGAGGTCGAAGAGCAAACCTTGCGTGCGTTTGATGACGCAGAGCTTGTGATCGTTGACATCGTGTTGCTAGGTGGCAATGATGGCGATAGACATGCCTCTTTGGTAGCCTTCGTCAGCTTCCAAGATGACATGGGGTGTAGCACCAGAGGGGAGGCGGCTTTCGCTGAGCCCACGCCCACGTTTCGTGACGCAGTCACAGCTGCCGTGACCAAACTGCGCTCACGGATTCCCCGGTATATGATCCCGGCATATTTCCTGCCTTTGCAGCGAGTACCGCTAACGAAGTCGGGAAAGTATGATCGTCAAGGGCTGCGAAGGCAGGCGGAAACCCTAACCCAGGAAGATCTGACTGCGTACTTGAGGGCAGGGACCGCGTCCTCACAACTTCCAAGGACCAGACGCGAGCAACAGCTTCAGAAGCTTTATGGGCTCGTTCTCAAAGTTGACAGGGAGAAAATCGGGCTGAATGATGATTTTTTCCATCTAGGTGGCGATTCAATCAAGGCAATGGAGCTGGTGGCTCAAGCACGGGCCGAGGGGCTCTCTCTGCATGTCGCTGAGGTCTTCCAAAACCCTACGCTGGGCTCTCTGTCTGCTGTTACCACCTTGTCCAGTTCACCTTCATCGAAAGCTCGTGCACTGGAGGCTGGAGATTCACAGACCGTGACGCAGACAGCCGCAGCTGAGCCGCTTCACCTGCGACGTATGTGGATAAACAACCAGGAATACGAGGTGGCCGACGTCACCCCTGCAACTGAATGCCAGTCAAATGAAGCCTGTGGTCCCATGCCATATTTCGTTTTGGAGCTTCCGGAACAGATTGATGCAGTCAAGCTAGCCGAAGCCTGTACCTCGTGGATGCAAGTTCATCCCATTCTGCGCACTGTCTTTGTCCAGTGGGGAGGCCAGATTCTCCAAGTGGTGTTGCAAACCCCACCTGTCACGCTGCTTCCGGGCGATACATTGCCGGATTCCGCGAAAGACCCTGTATCGGTTGCTCTGTCATGGTGCTATCAGGACGTGTTGGCGAGGCCTCCCCTTGGTACCCCTTATCTTGCCCTAAAGCTGGTGCGGGGCATCGGCACATCCCATGCCCTGGCGCTTCGACTCAACCATGCTCAGTATGATGGGATCTGCTTTCCAAAGCTCATACAAGATCTACTTGACATCTACCAAGGCCGAGAGATTGAGAAGATTCCCGAGTTCAGCGCATACTCACGCTATGCCACGCAGCAGGTTATCCACAACCAGGATGCTCTTCAATTCTGGACGCAGCTACTGGACGGCGCAAGAATGAACCCTGTGTACCGGCCTCCAGACCAGGAGAAGAGTCTTTGTGCAGACCACGCACTGCCCACTGCTACTACCACAGCGCGAGTTCTACACTCAACTCGGACCATCGGTGTCCCGACACCCCCAGCTGGCATCACAATGGCCACTGTGATCAAAGCGTCATGGGCATCAGTTCTCTGGAGATTGCAGTTAACGGAGGATGTCACCTTTGGTCAGATATCCAGCGGTCGCAGCACGGGCGTTCCCGGATTGGATCAGGTGGTTGGGCATTGTCTCGTGGAAGTTCCTGTCCGTGTGCGCATTGATCCACGCGGGTGCGCGATGGATCTGTTCCATCAAATCCAGGTCCAGCAGATTCAGTCTATGCGGTATGAGTTGCTCGGTCTGCGTCAGATTGTGGAAAAGTGCACTTCTTGGCCCTGCGACATCTACTTCGGGTCCTTGCTGCACCACAAGAGCAGGCCGGATAAGATGGAGTTCAGCTCTGGAGATCTGACTTGTCGTGTTGTCGAGGAGGCCCCGGACGTTGTGTACAGATATCCCTTTGTTGCGGTGGATTCGGTGGAGGACTGCGCCGGCAGCATCTTGTTGGACCTTTGGGCGAAGAGTGATGTCGCGACGCAAGCCTCTCTCGATAGACTGAGTCGGGTATTGGGCGTCACTATCGCGCGGTTCTTGAGTGCGCCGGGGGAGGCTGTAGAGAACCTTACTGCTGGACTGGCAAAGTGAGGCAGAGATACTTTTCCGATGGGGCACTATGAAAAGAGCGATATTCTACAGGCAGCTAATGCCCTGCGTGACAATATCGGGGATCCTTATGCGTCAGACCCACATATAGTGGGATAAGCCCGCTATACACCGTTTCTCTTGCATGTTGCTTCCGATGCTATTAGATCAGGTTTCTATCGCAACTTGACCGCACTCGAGGGTCAGCATAAGACTTTCTGGACGGGGTTTGCATCTTATATGCACGATTCTTCTCGTTTATGGGAGTTTACCAGGGATCCTGTCAGTCAGATGGTTTCCAGCTAGACGACAAATTAGGTACATCTACTATTCCCCAGAATTTCGTATAGGCACTTTGGTGAGCAGTCTCTCTTGTATGATTGCATGGTGCATGATGTGAAGTTCAATGGGAAATTATGTAAAGACCCATGGTTTCGTTGTGTGTAAGTAAAGAGAAGCCCACCATGTAATCAGTCCTGCAGAAATCTACCAGGTTAGTTTCTGTCCCATTGATAATCTCTGGGTGTCAAATTTTATAGGGATTCATTTAGATTATTGATCGAATTGATGCAACATCCCTCCAACAAGCCTCCATTACCCTGCTACATAGGACAAGCATATCGTGAGTTGCCAAGTGGAGCACCCGAATTCGCACCGTAGTGAAAAACTTCCTATATTCTCGTATGATGGTCCGAAGGATACCTTGGGCAGATCAGGCCTTTTTGAGCCGCTCCCAGGTTGGCAGACAAGGGAAAGTCAATATATTCAAAACGACGGTGAAGGAATCCAGCCGGGTGATTGATTGGCAATCCGCAGGTGACTTCCCAGTGGATCCCTTTGGCAGTATACTATGCTTGTGAGCTTTCTGACTTGAGACTTGAATCAATTGAGTATATGGCTAACATGGACTGTCAAAAGCTTTCATTAGAAAGGGTATGGATCCGGAATGGGAGGGTTATGGTTTAAAGTCGACGTGTTACGACCAGAGCCTGACTGGGATTGGGAAAACATGGACTGGAGCTTTTGATCCGATACTCGGAAGTACCAACTTGAAACAATACAATCAGCTTCCAGATCTACACCGTGATATAGCTTTGGTGAATCATGTACGTCAATCTCGGAGTCTCAGATATATTCTCTTGCGGGTGAGGCATGCAACCAGGCAATCAGGTGGCATGAGGCCATTACATTTATTTCATCGCCGATCTCCGAGACTGGATCGAAGAGTATTGGGAGACCGATGAAAAAAATCTGCGTTTCATACCGGACTCTTCTATTTGACCATTCTTGTTTATTATCTTGTTTCATATAAACTTGGGCAATGAGAGTAGTTGGAAAAGGTTGGGGCAGAGTAGGGATATAGTGTCTTGTACTGTTCCTTGTAGGGCGGAACCAAGCATTGACCTAATCTAATATCGTATATGATGCCATCTCAGAGACCGGGTGGAACCCTTCCATTCATCAGATATGAGAGAATCCACGATGAATATAGGAGATCATACGAGTGATGCTCCGGTATCGGAGGTTCGGCGGAAGGAGCCCTTCGCGGATTCAACTCTGAGTGCAAGCGGGACGACCGGGACAAGCTTCCAACCTTAGATTTCTTCGGCTCCACAAGTGGCTTCATTGTGAGAGCCACATTCGTCATTCGCAGTAGGGCTGGGGTGGCTGGGCCCATATGTGACAGATATTGATGGTTCCTCGCAAAAACGCAATGGGATCGACAGAGACGTTCCTGGAGATCATCTGGATCTCTGTATCTTCGGGTTTAGTCTCCGCTGCGGCCGCGTCATCCTTCGTTACAACTGTTTATACTGCACAGTATATACCCGATGTGCTCTACATCAACTATAAATATCATGAGACGCAATTGCCACCGTCTTGACATTGCAGAAATCATTCATCTTGGTATCTGGTAGGATTGTCTCCCGATTTTTCAAATGTGGTCTACAAATCTGGCGGTTTTGACCGCCGTAGTCGGCGCAGCGTCGACGGCGGCCAACCCGGTGACTTCGGCCAACTGCAAGGCGGCCATTTTTCAGAAGTATATCGATGCCAATGGCACCATCGCCAATGTGCAATGGGCATCCTACATCCCTGCCAATGGAAGCTTCAATCCTATGAACTACACCTCCTCCTCCGAATATCCCACCAACCTGCCCGAGGGGTGTGGCGTGCAAATCAACGTCTCTTCCGAAGGTAGCTCCAGCTATCTGGTCGGTCTGATCTTACCTTATGACTGGAATGGTCGTCTTCTGTATGTAATCCTCGATCCTCGCCGGAAAAACCTGGATTTACTGACCTGTGGCCAGCTCGGCTGCTGCTGGGGGCGGCATCAACTGGGTGGATATGGGCACTGGCACCCACTACGGATTTGCAACTCTGTCGAGTAATCTCGGCCATGTTGGGATCGACACCGAAGGAACCTGGGCCATTGGCCGTCCGGAGGCTGTGATCGATTGGGGCTACCGGGCCTGGCACGGGGCCACCGTCTTGGGGAAGCTGTTGATCGAGAAGTGGTATGGCTCGTCTGCACAGTACAGCTACTTCTATGGATGCTCGACCGGTGGCCGACAGAGCATGAAGAACATGCAAGAATATCCCGACGACTACGATGGCATTCTCGCCGGAGCCCCAGCCTGGTGGACCACTCACCAGCAATTATACAACTTGAAGCAGACTACCTACCAAGCCCCGGCCAACTCGTCGCACACGATTCCAGAGGCCATGTTCGATGTCATTGCCGCCGAGGTGTTGAAGCAGTGCGATCCCCAGGATGGTCTGGTCGACAACATCATCTCCGACCCCGCGGGCTGCAACTTCAACCCTAACGTGTTGATGTGCAATGCGACCAGCGCAGCGGACGAGTGTCTGACCGCCGAGCAGCTTGCCACCTTGTACAAGATTCACAATGACTGGGTCGATGTCAACCAGACCTACGTCTATGGACATATGTGGCTGGGAAGTGAGTCCTCATGGCTAGATGGGAACATTGGACTGGGCGAAGACAGCACGATCGACCAGCAGTACTGGTATCCTCGCGACCTGATGGGCCTCTCCGACTTCGTGTGGCAAGATCTGGACTTCAGCACCGTGCAGTTGGCCGACCAGCTGAACCCAGGTAACGCAACGGCCGACAAGTTCGACATCAGCGCCTTCTACAACCGTGGGGGCAAATTCCTGCACTACCACGGGCTGTCAGACGCCTACGTCTCCCCCGATGCCAGTATTTATTATTACGACCAGGCCTCCAGCGCGCTCAAGCCTCAGGGTGTGGAGATGGATGATTTCTACCGCATGTTCTTGATCCCGGGCATGGAGTAAGTTTTTTTCGCATTCCGTCGTGGGTCCCAAGGAATGAAGCATTGACTCTCACTACAGGCACTGCTATTCAACTCCAGGTATCATGAATGCCCCCTGGTACATCGCCGGTGCCGACCAAGCCGCCATGATCAACACCGGCACCTACAGTGTCCCCGGATACCGGGACGCCAAGCACGATATCATTCTGGCGATGATGGCCTGGGTTGAGAATGGTACTGCCCCAGACAGTATCATTGCCACCAAGTGGAAGAATGACACGACGGCGACGGAGGTCCTCCGTCAGCGCCCCGTTTGTCATTACCCCTACCAGGCCCAGTATAACGGAACAGGTGACCCCGATGAGCCTACCAACTGGAGTTGTAAGCTCTTGTACTAGGACTGGTGATGCCAACTAGGGGAAAGGGTGGATAGGACGGTGCCTGCATGATTGGAGTTACAGTCAGATCACAATACCCCCATCCCATCGCGTGAGAGGCGCAACTTCATTGTTGTATTGATATTTTATATCTTATCATAATTAGCTCTGCAATGTACAATCAACGTCAATCAGGAAACCAGAGCATCAACCCCACATGTAGAGGTATAGCCCTGTCACAATAGATCTCAATTCTAGTAAGTCATGCAAAACCCGCGGGAGTTTACATTCCACGTCCTCCATAGTATCAGCACCCCAATCGTGCACATCTTATCTGTTGGGATCAGTACGCGGGTTCGTAATTCAAAACATAATTATAGTGTTCCTCTTCTCAGTGCAGCATATACCAAACGACGACGATGGCATTGAGACTACAGCACATCCTAGCATATCTCGTCAAGCTCCCCTATAAGCTCTCTTATTTTCTATCCCAAAGTCTTACAGTAATTAAATTTGGTCATATCGTGAATACTCGGGTCATTTCGAACAAGATCATGAGGGTGAACAATTTATCTAAGGCAGTGTTGGTGTCGCACCTAGCCTGACAGTACTTGCAGGTGTCGCAGCTGATTTGAGGACAACGAGCTAGAGAACACTCATTCAACTTAGGCTTTGGGAAGGATTAGGCAGGCTGAATGAGTAAACCTTGGGGGATATAATCCAATCCCAAAGTCAGGCTCTGCAGTAGACTCCTCCCAGGCGCACAGCCGGGGAGTTCAAGTCACGGAACATGACCTCTTGATGGCGTTCGTGTATCAGGTACGGTGCCTTGAGCCACCCAGAAAGACCCCTCAAATCCATTGCCCCCTCCCCCCCGCCTAGGGGCTCACGTTTCGACACTAATTGCGCGTAGTCAGCCTTCTCACCAACCGCCAAGGCAAAGGGACCCTACACCGGCCTTATCTTTATCCTCAACATCCAATCGCATCTCGCTTCGGCCCCAGGCACCCTGACCAACCCTTGGATCAACGTCCCAGTTGCACCCGTTGCCTCCGCCTCATCAGCATCGGACGAGCTTGTCGACATCGCTCACCATATCCGCCAGACTATCCAAGACGCCCGTGACCCCGTCTGCGTGGCCCAGATAATCGACCAACATCTGCCAGTCCGGGACACCCCAGCAGTTCCGCGAGGATACGGCTCCCGCACGCCCCGGGTGGCACTGACCTCGTGGTGCCATCTGCCTTGGTATGAATTGGATGTCAGAGGCACGAGGCCCGTCTTTGTTCTCAGGAATACGCGGTTAAGTCGGCCATTGTCGACAATGGGAGTACGGATGGACGACGGGTTGACGACGTGTAAGGCGCGGGTGTCTGCGCGAATCGGGAATACGGATGGCGATGGAGATGAGGGCAAACAGGCGAGCTATTGGGTGCAGGGACGTGTGAATGAAGGGATCTGGGCGAGAATGATGGGGATGTTGAAGCGCAGTGGAGGATCAGAGGGTGAGGTGATTGCGGACGAGATCGGAGTTTACTAAGCACAACGTCAACGCTTAATCGAGTAACAAATTGAAATAGACCGAGCATTTTGAGAACGCCCAGTTTTGCATATTCTTGGTTGACTTGAGAAAGTTTGAAAAGTGCGATAGAAAGAGAGATAAGCGATAGAAGGAAACATGAGGCCTTGAGAAATACAGACGGCTACACAGACATTATAACATGTACTGTACATGTGTGAGAGATGAGGGCGCCATACTCAAGTGACATTAACAAGTCAGAGCTTGACACCAAATGCGCGGAGTGGTTGCTTGAATCATTCACAGTTTACATCTTTGCAAAAGTCAGGTGACGCGACAGTGAGGTGTTCCCGAGTGTTGGGCGCGACGGTGGTCCGTCGCATGACATCAACAACACATCCATCGTGTTTTGTCTCTTGCTTGCTTCTCCTCCCAAACACCTACAAGCCCACACACCCCTCGCACTTTCCATTACCTCCTATCTATCAAGCCTGAACCTTGGACCTCGAGAATCCACCCCCCTCGATCATCTGCTGCTCGTGATGTCTGCCATCCTTCGCAAAACCGTCCGTATCATCAAGCACCTGCCACGTCGCTTTTCGCGTGCCCCTGGAAAGGATGACCTGGACTCCCAGCGTGAGGAGGTGTTGTCCAAACTCTGGGTCACGTATGAGGCAACAAGGGCAATGGGGCTCGATGAGGTCTTAATAGATCCAGAGCAGTTAGCAAGACTCGGCATCCTAACCTTACCTCTCGACCTCACTGGTGACACTGACACCAATCGTGTTGTCCCTCCTGCTCTGAACCCGGCCAGTTACTTTGTCCCCCTTACCGACGACTACATCCGAGAGCACCCCGTCGACCTTTCCGACTCGGTCACTGCTGAGTGGTTTAATGATAAGGCAAAGGCACTAGATCCGGAATTCAGAGGATTTGGCAATGAACCGATGTCATCTTACGATGCTGCAGACCAACTTTCCAGATGCCTCCGTATCGAGATGTCAAGCTCACGTTTAAATTGCGAAGAGGAGACACAGAAGCTCACCTGGCTAAATAAGTGGAGAGTAACGTACGTCTCGAAAACCCAAAACAGATTCAAAGCCTATCTTTCTTGCAAACTAACCAACCTTCTTCAGGGGCTGGTCCAATTTAGAACCGGTTTTTGAAGGGAAGGAGTTGATCTCAGGCACCGAGATCATGTGGTACCTCGAAGCACTTTATGTTTGCCGGGTTCGATCCTTGCCACCTCATGTTAAAGCAATCCTCAGTCACAGCCACGTTGACAACTCGGAACCCACCCTGCTCAAGGCTGAACTGAAAGTCATTATAGCGCTCATGTATTCCAGGTGGTCTATGGAAGGTTTGCTCGATATGATTGTTCCGGTAAGTTTTGAGGCTGTCTTTCATTCTGGTTTCGCCAGTCGGTGCTGATATTTCTGGCCTGTCATCGCTAGGTCTTCCTTCTTTCGTTTATTGGACGCAACGTCCGATGTTCGATCGCCATACACGATGGAACCCAACTTCGAATTTCCAAATCACCCCTCTACCCGGCAAAGAACAGCGAGGTCTGGCAACATGTCGTCAGACATATGGGCGGGAGGATAAACGAGAAGCTCGATACAAAGACACTGCCGGTGGTCGATGAGGTAGAAGAATAGTACTTGGAGCTTGGGTGGACATCCCTTCTCTCGGCATGGCACTGCCTCCCTTGGCTTAATCATCGATTCGCAGGTCTGGATACCTGAGTGGATGTGGTATTGACACCAACTTAACACCAGAGGAGTCATGGGACGCCGGCGCAGCTGTCTCATTCTGCTCTTGGCGTCTTTGAGGAAAGGTTGGATCGCCGAGTTGTTATCTGCGTATAAGGTTGGCATCCAAACAACAATCACATCAGAATAGATCTTTGAGCGCAGTACACAAGTCTCTTGGGCTGTGCAGTATTCATACAGGTAGTAAACCACTCATAGATCATTCCTTCACGCCGCATGTTATTCGAGGAATGCCAAGCCTGGTGCAAAGCCGACCGACCCGTGTGACTGTTAGATATCGGTTAGGGTTATGCTAGAGCTGAACTTACTCTTGGATATGGAACACACCTGTTCCTCGTACTGATATCCCATTGATAGCATCCTGAGGGTGCGTGGAGTGGGAAATACACGCTCATCTGTCTATTCGATCTGCTGTTTTCATCCTCCCAAGTAGTGGGCCAAGACTCGGCCGAATTACATGAAAAGACGTGAACACATCCCCACTGCCGGTGCAGCCGATTGTGTGATCTCTTGACTACGATCCATGTTTGTCTTGTCGCCATGAACCGTTCACACACCCTTTTTTCGTGAACTATATTACAAAAACGTCATTTTGATTGGATATTGTAAACGTAATTTATAGCCCACCCGCTTGTGCCATGATACACCTTTGCACTACGAGCCCGCCGGTGCTGTAACTTCACTGTCGGACGTCACCATTGATACAAGTTACAACTGTCTGGCGTTTGCAACATTATCAGCACCCCTAGGGAGATTGACTTGATCGTACTATCTTCCTTACCGCTACTTCATTATAGTCTTGTAATGCCCATCCTTTTCCTAGCATGTAAAATTAAACAACACCGCAAACGCATTCGAACTATCGGAGCAAACACTAAGAAAGTCTCATATATGAAATTGTAGCTTCAAAGTAATGATTGTCTCAATACGTCAAAGACCGATCTCCGCCCTGGTCCGCCAGTAAATACATACACTATACGCACTAGGAAGACAAGGGTCTTGGTCCACGTTCCCTGAACCCTTTTCCCAATGCCGCCTCCGACACCATCGACCCTAATCCACGATTACTCAATGCATTCAACTGAGTCGTTATACCAATCCGCCAGTCCACGCGATATTGCAGGGTCCTGGCACAGTGAGCTTGAGGTAAACTCCGAAGTCGGGAGCAAACGACGAGGAATGACCGCAGCGGCATCCGACCAGGGCGGAGTGCCTGACTGAGGATGGTGGCGTGAAATTGCGAAATCACACTCCCCGATCGCATCGCTTGCATTTTGCTCCATTGCAGCCCCCGGCTCATCCGGGCCATCATTCTTGCACAGAATCGCCTTGCAGTACGCCGCCGCGACCGCAGCAGCGTACCGATGCCAGCCGTCTTGCTTGTGCGTATCCGCGTAGTCACAGGTCCCGCGGATCACGAGGCAGGGGATCTCGTCCACGACGCCGGCCGCCGAAGTATCAAAACAGATCGCCTCATCAAAGCCCCGGCGGAGACGGTCACGATCCTGCAGGTTCGAGACAACGCCTCCACCTGACAGTATCAGCCCCCGATGAACAACCGGATACTTCCGCTTACCAGGACGCACCGGACGAGCCACGACCTTCCTCTCATCAGCCACCTCACACGCCCGACAATTCTCCCCCTTATTAACATGATGAAACGCCGAATCATAAAGAACATCCTCCAAATCCGGCTGTCCATACCCAGGCCTTCGCATAAGCTCCCTCAGGACTCTGCACAGCGGCCTCCGCCCCATGATCTCCTCCTCCAACAACGCCCCATCGGCACTCACCAGGATGGGATGCGGCTTATTCAGCGACCCTTTCAACAGAAACCCATCCCTCTCATACTTCCCCAGATCATACTCCACCACTCCCGGATGATTCTCCCTCGGCACCCCGACCACAACGTCCCCTAGCCGGATATCCCGCTTGCCGGGAATCCCCGCCCCGATCCCCACCATCAGCGCGAACCGCACGGTCGGGAACAGCCGACTCACCGCCGCGGCGCATAGGGCCGCCTTGACGGGGCCGATCTGATGCGGTCAGGCCAGCACCACCTTGTGCTCGCCGATGCGGCCGTATGAGAAGACGTATCTGTGTTGGCGGGGGTGGGATCGCGGCGGGCGGCAGTGGAATTCTTCATCGAGGGTGTAGCGCACGGCTACGGATTCGATGGGGAGGGCGCAGCAGATGGCGACTGTGATTTCGGTGGGGGATATGCTGGCTGGGGAGTTGGTATCTTCGCTGGAAGAATAATGGGAGTCGTCGTTTGGTTTGGGGTGCGGTGGTGGTGATGGGTCGTCCATTTCGTTTGTGGGTCGAGGGGTATGGTGCTTTCTGTTGGGGAGTCTGGGGAGCTTGCTCCTGGTTTTGCTTTTACTGGAATTTAGTCAAGTTCTGGCCAAGACAGAGGCTTTTCTTTTTTTTTTTTTCTTTTATCAAGGGGAATCTTGATATAATGAGCGCAGGTGAGCATTGAGCCTCATGGCCAAGGCCGGCGGCTAGCCCGCCAATGATGCTCGCTTCTTCGCTTCGCGCTGTCCCCACTATGGCACTACTAGCCACGTTGAGCAGTGGTTTGCGGAGGCATTTATTCTTTACATCAGAGTAGATATCATATCATTCAAAAGGCAAGATTGAGGTACAAATCTTGATGCATTGGAGGAGAGTACTTTGATAATCTATGAAGTACAGGGCCAATATAAACATCGAGGTTAAACTTAACCCTAACCGACATCCAACGATCGCACGATTCAGTTCTACGGGAGACTTGGCATCCCGCGAATAGTCATCAAGATGGCTGGATCCACTTGCCAGGCGTGTGCAGCAATCTCAACTGTACAGTACGAACCTTGTCAGAGTATTACGGTCACCTGATACTTCGACCTTAAAGCTACAATATCAACAAGAGAGGGGCGGTGGTCAAAATCAACGCATTGGCTGTGATCTAGAAAAGAAACAAATCTACCTGCTCGGCTGAGTATAGAAGTCGCTATTACTCAAGACCGAGCTCATTAGATAGACTGTCGAAGGTCGTTACTTTACAGATAGGATACAGGACATTAATCTAACCACCCTCTTCCCTTAAAAGAACTCTCACACTCATCTAATGAGCCAGAATACGCTCCACGGCGTTCTCCGCGACGACCATGATGGTCGCCTGGTTGTTGCCGGAAGCAAGATCGGGGTGAATACCACCGTCCACGATGTACTATGAAACTGCGTCAGTAACCTTTTTTGAAATTCGAGGGGTGAAGAAAGACATACCAGATTGTCCGTACCGTACACCTTAGTGTTGGTATCGACAACAGCAGTACCGTTGAAGCGGCCGTCATCCGTGCCCATCTTGGTGGTGCCAGCGTAGTGGATACCCGCGGTGAGCGAACCAAGAATGGCGGAGGTGTTGGTGTACTCGACCAACTGGAAGCCCGACCCAGGGGCATTGATCGCATCGACCATGGACTGGATGAACATGGTGGCGGCCTCGCGGTCGCCGGCCGTCTGCAGGTAGGGCGACTTCTCGATGACGGTGCGCTGGTCCGCATCCAGCCCCAGGACACCCTTGGAGGTCAGGCCGTGCGTCATGTAGGTGGTGATGGTGACCTCGCCCTCGGCCGTCGGGGTGCAGGAGCCCTGGTAGTACCGGGTGTGGCCGTCGCTGGCGACGTTGGAGCTGAAGAAGATCAGCCGGTGCTTGCCCTGCGTGAGCACCCCGTCGTTCTGCTTCTCGTACGCGGTGATCTCGCTGGTCGCGGTGCCGTTGAGGATCGCGGCCGCGTCCAGTTCGTTGAAGTCCTTGTCGGTCTGGATAACGATCGAGAAGATCGGGTGGTCCATCAGGCTTTCGCCGACGGGCAGGTGGATCCACTCCTTGGCCGGGGGCACGGCGATCCCGCTCTTCTGGGCGGTTTCGATCTGCGCCCGCGGGCCGATACCGGAGTTGAACAGGATACGCGGCGAGTGCAGCGCGCCGGAGGAGAGGACCACGCGGCCGCCGGGAGCGAGAGGGATGGTTTCGGTCTGGTTGGTCGCCACGTTCACGATCTCGACTCCGGTCACCAGACTGCCGTGACGGACAACCCGGGTGGCGAGGGCGCCCATGCGGAGGGAGAAGTTGGGGTACTGCAGCGCGAGTGGAAGGTAGGTGCGGACGGGGCCAGCACGCTTGTAGTCCTTAATGTTCCAGACGGGGTGGCTGTAGGTCTGGAACTTCTCGTTGCGCTGGGCGCTCATGTCGGTGGCGGTCCAGTTGAGGTTGTTGAAGAAGGTCGACAGGGTGGTGAACAGGGTCTGGTCGTAGAGCTTGCCATCGGCTGAGGGCACGCTGCTGCCCGGGTTGCGAGCATAGAGGCGATCGGCTCCTGCAGTCACGTTCGCCCACTTCCAGCCCACCGGCCATTTATCGTCGAAGTCGTGGTCCGGGGGGTGCACGAAAACCATGTAGTTCACCGTCACACCGCCGCCCAGGATGCAGGCTGCCGTACCGTCGGTGTCGGTACAGATGTACTCGGACCACTGCGGGAAGTTGCCGACATCGAAGGATAGGCCCGGCACGTCGATGGCCGTCAGGGTGTCGTTCCACGACAGGGTGTAGTTGGAGCCGGTTCCGACCGTCGGGCCGGCCGTGCTGCGCTCCAACAGCAGCACAGTCTTGTTGGCTTCAGCCAGACGCTCCGCGGTGATGATGCCGGACGGACCGCCTCCAACGACAATGTAGTCGTATCCCGACTGGACCGTGTGGTTCTTGCTGTCAGTCGGGCGGGCCTGGGCGCCCATCAGGGCTCCGACTGAAGCGAGCAGGGTGGTCGCAGTCCTGAAGGCGTGCATGGCGGAGGATCTTGATCGATGACCGGTGACTGGTGGAAACATGCATCCTTGACAGATTCTGGGGTTTATATATCTTTTTCTAGAAAAATATCTATTTTCCCCTACCGGTTGATGCGTTCATTGTTGAAGAATCAGCTAATGATGACCGAGGGTTACCGGTGCCTCCCGGGCTGCCGGGCGAATCGGCATCCAGGACGCGGTCCCACCTCGTGGCGTAAAACTTGGCTAGGGTGTTGTGGGGTCGCTTTATCAGAATTTCATAATCACTTACTCAGAACATACTCAGTCCCCTCAACACCAAAGATCGCACAACTGCTATCATGAGCTAAAGTCCCTGGATACTCGTCTGTGGGTCAGAGTTGTGTCAATATAGATACATACAAGCTGCCTCTTCCTTCACAAAAACCTCTGTTAGTTGATTAATTGACGTAATTCCTGTCCGAGACGCGCGCCTTGCTAACCACAATCTGCAACTCCTGAAAGCTATTGTTCGAGGTCAGCTCGTATTAATCTATGTTGGCCCTCTTCCCGGCATATTGTATCCACCAAGCATTCTGTGAGAAGTTTGAGTTCAGGAGGGGTCACGCGGGCTGTAGAGTATACGAGGTATACTAAGCTCCATGCCGTCTCCGAGAACTTAAAGTGGACAGCCGATTCCCAGTCAGCTTCCTCCATCCTCTAGGGTCTATCGCGGATGGCGCCGGGCGCTTGCAGATTGAATCCGGCAAAGAACTTTCTCGGCGGACAATTGGATAACCGATCGGCCTTCCGTACACGCAGCGGACTCTCGCCGAGAAACAGGCGTCCTGCCATTGACTCGTATTACCCCTGGAGACCCAAGCCTTTTTGAGGGCCTCAGGTCTAGCTATACAAGCTATTTGGGCCCGATCATCCCGTGTGACAGACTGTGTAGATAGTATGGGAAGAACGGCCGAATCTGCTTCTCGTGATGACGGGCCGGGTTCGGGCTGGAAGTGGGTCCACGGCGGACATGCTTCTTTTCACTTCGAATGCCAGCCCGAATCTTCTTCAGATCCTCTATGAAGACCTTTGAAGAAGATGTTAATAAATCTCCAGTCCTACGAACTCAATAGAAATGCACCATTTTGCAGATCGAGGTCAGACAAGTAAGAGATTTCTCAGGTGAGACTTCTCAGGTGAGCGTGTGTATAGCACACAGAGTCGGAAAGTGAGATCCCCGTGCCCCGGAATTGCATGTCCCGATTGCCACACAACATTCTGCCCGCCGTTGAATCGCACAGAAAATGGCACTTGTGTTCAAAACATTTGACAATGTGATGCTCTAAATTTACTATAATAATATCAAAAAGAAAAGTCAGAACAATGTGTTTCATCCATCGAGAACGTCGTGGTGATTCTAGTCGTCCCCTGACGAGCTGCTATGGCTTTGTCGACCATTGCAGCACCGAAACCAGTCGCTTGTTTCCTGCGAAGAGCCAAGGGCTCTAAAGTAATTGAAGCAGGATGGAAGCTTTCTATAATTGTTTAGCAGGGTCATCTCGGTCAACGCGGGTGTGGAGTCGGAACGTGTCTTAGAGATCCCGAGAGCGGTGAGCTAGCAGCTTCGCCGGGATGACAGACTCTGATTGGCTGCGACCCTGCTCGAAACTACTCTTCTTAGCACCAATAGACACGTTTTGTAACTTTAAAACCTTAGTAACTTCTTGAACTTCCAGTAATTACGCGTAAGAGATATACCGGAATTCAGAAGCTTCCCTGTCCAGACAACGCTCCAACAGGAGTACATCACTGTTGCCAGCACACTGGCAGGCAACAAAGATGGTCATGGCGAATCAAAAAAATATAGATATCTATCTTGCTCTCCATTATCCAGAATTTAAACAGCTGAGAGCTGCCAACCCTTCTTTAGCAGTTTTTACCTCTCGCAACGAGCTCCTCAACTACCATCCTTTATAAACTCAGATAATGAAGCCTACTCCTTGTTAATCTGTATTTAATATAGTTCGGGAACATTATCGCACAGATGAAGGATAAACTACTCTCGAGTTACCCGATACTAAAAGAAGAAAGTCCGCAAATGATATGTATGAGAAAAGCAAAACAGTTCACCAAGCCGACGCCACCCGCCGCATTATCAACTTATAAGTACCGTGGCGTATAGTGGGAATCCCCTATTTTCCGATTCAATCAACATAGGGAGAGTATCTCTACGCCGATATCCAACTGACAAGTTTATGGATGTTGAACATACCTGATATTCGGGATACAGTTACCTGTAAGGCATAATTAGACTTAAACTACTATTAGGAAAATTGTGGGGGTCCATTCCAGCGTATAGAGAAACATACTGGATTAATGCATAGAATAAAAAAAAGTAGAAATACACTTCAAGTCCGTCCGCCCTTCCTCCACTAATTGAGTCTACTAACATTGATCCGATTCATGAAGTCTCTTCGCAATGGCGGGATCTACTCAGTACAGCTCCTGCTGCCATATCAAAGATCTTCCGATGAGAAGATCATATCCAATATATTCTACAATTCAAAACACTGTCCAGTAAGGCTTGCTGCGCCCACAGAAAGACCACTAAACTTCTGCAATTCCAAGTAGTATGTAATCTTAAAGTCCTAAAACTGGGATAGAAGCCCCGCGATAAGACTCGATGTTTGTTCCAAGTCTCTGGTGTGCCTCTTTCGATATAACTTTAGTATTTACGTAGAAGCTAAGCAGCATACATCAACAGAGCTGCTTCTTTCCAGACGGACCGGCCATGACGTCATAGGCAAAATTATACTAATACAGCTCTATTAGCTGCGGTTCTTGTAATAACGCAGAGTCCAGCAACTCTGTTAGTTCTTCGCGTGCCCTGGAGAGATCATTGTTATGAACTATTACACAGTCCTTTTCATCGGCACCACACTGCTTCACTACTTTTTTATAATGGTGCTGCTGCTATGGCTTGTCCCGCTGCTACTCCTACTAAGATCTCAGTATTTAGTCCTGATGCTAGGATGAAATGTAGTAATTATTACATATCTTACTGGTTTACTTCCTGAAAAATTGAAAGATGGCAGTACTGCGGATGCAGTGTTGTAGAATAACTGGCCACAGGAGAAAATAAACAGGAAGAGTATGTTGGATTCAATGATGTGTAAAGATAATAAATGTTGCATTAACCAGCATGGTGCCTTTTAAAGGTTAGATTCGGTGCATAGCCAGCTATCAGAGATAACATGGGACCCTCATTACATTTTTATAGCTGTACGATTGACTGGGCGTTGACTTTTCGTCCTTATTCTGGTACTGCGTTTGCCAGGGCGCTGGTGCAAAATTAAATTTAATCAGCATTTTTTAAATGGAGTTAAGTAAGGTTGGAACCATAGACTACTTACCAAAGGTGCTCCAGGACATTTAAGTGACTACTAATAGTAGAATAAACAGTGGGACAAGTATTGCTGCTTAGAAAGGCCCGGGCTTGAAGAGTCCTTATAGCCTTCTCATTACTTATAAGCTAAGTTTTATTTGTAATCGTAAGAAAAGTTCCATAGCCTTTCAGTCAATAAAATCAGCATACGAATAGTTCCTGCTGGTGTACTACATGTGTCTACATTATCAGTCGTGGCAATACTTTGTAAATTAAAGAAAATTCCGTCGGCCTTCCTGGCGCGGTAGCCGCTATAATTATCATCAATGGCTAGGCTCGCTTGCTCAGCCTGGTCTTCGTCAATTGAACGCACAGAATAAGACTGAAAGTGAGTGAAAACACCAACCACAGCATAACACACAGCAACTAAATAATGCTACTGACTAGATCAAGCAGCTGTTTTGAAGACGAGTCATATTGAACCAGACATCACCGAAGGCTTAACTTCGTAGTCCTACACTATCAATTCTGCTGCCGAGCCCTGAAGAGGACATGAATTAAAGGATGTAAGAAAACACTAAGAGATGCATGAGATAGCCAAGAAAAAGCTGCCGTAATGCATTTCGTCATACTCGCAATACGATAAAATATAGCTAGGTCCGTATTTAAGATCTCGTTTCTGATTTGTATTGGTAACAAGAATGGAATTCATAGAACTGTACATGCCAGTCTGGATGTAATATATTCATCACATTACTATATGAATATATAGTATCTATTGGTTGATTCCTTACCTAGTTAACAGGCTTTCTATCCTGATAAGTAGATTTTATCACAACTAAATAAGGCATAATTGTAACAGTAGAACTTAGATAAGCTGATAATATTGTCCAGTTTTTTAAGGATCTAGTAAATTCTTTCATTGCCAGACGGCGAAGACAGGCTGGGATCCGAAAAGAAACACGACGATCTCCACAATGTGTGTATTTTGTACGAGTAACCTTGTTTATGGATTCCGGGCATAATACTGTTAAAATGTAATCTCAGTAAATAAGAGTCAACTAGGTTACGTGACCCTGAAGGCTCAACATCCTTAATTGTTCTTTCTGAGCGCGCCTAGATAGCAAGAATTCAAGAGCTTTTGACTTCAAATACTACTCGAAATGTTGTTTCAACATATAATAGCCTAATCTAACGTGAGAGAACCTCTAATATTATCGAAGCATTTAGTCAAGCAAGCAAGATAGAAGCAACGCAGAGCCCAAAGAGTGTCTATCGTTGAAAAGGTATCCGTTCCTTAGTAGGCTACGTACGTGCAGTCCGTACAGCCCCGTTCTGCCCTCCAAACCCTATTTCTCTCACAAAATGTCCGAACTCTTGTTTCATGACTGCCCAATATCCACGCTATTAGATAAGTGGCTTCGCATGCACGATTCCACGGCGCTGATGAACTGATCGGCAATCGCACGTGTAAAGTCCGCTCGGCACACGACCCGCAACAATGCCATCTGGCCCGCCCCGTCTGCCATGTGGTACGTGGGGACCTGCCACCCTACAACTGCCAATCTTCTCGACAAGTCAAACTCGTCGACATCGCAATGAAATCTGCGATTAATGCGAAACGCAACAACAGGGATTCCTCGGAGGCCATCGGGCTGGCTCAGTATGTGAAAGCCTAGACTCTGTAGCGAGTCCGCAAGGTGGGTGGCGACTTCGGCGATGTGCCGGATGGTGGTGCAGTAGCCGACCCTTCCTAAACGAAGAAACTGGTCTGTTCGCGGACACGTGCGGGGTCCATTAGCCTAATCTCGAGAGGTTGGAAGTGACTACGAGAATTAACCCACAGTATTGCGCAATTACATGGGACGAGCTCTTAGAAAAAATGAGAGTAAAGGACGATTGCTTTATCCCAAGATAAGAAAGATGGAAAATGAGATCCTGGGGGAGTTCGTCGGGTGAACGCCAAAGGCCCCAGCCGATTCCTGCATATACTAGGCCATATTTGTGGCCTGAAACATTGATCGATACCACCTAGTGTGCTGGTGAGCAGATGCACAGTTGGCAGATGCAGCATCGCAATTTTACGTACCCGTTCTAGCCGAAAGTCCCAGGTCATATCGGGAGACAGAAATGGTGCCACAAAACCTCCACTGGCTGCGTCCACATGAATGGGTATCTCAAGGCGGCGTTGCAAGAGAAGGTCGTTCACCTTTTTGACATCTTCGTATTCCCCGGTATAAGTAGTCCCGCTGTTTGGTATCTAGTGGTTAGATCAGATTTGGTGGGGGATAGGGGAAAAAGGATGGTTTGGGATAGACTTTGGGGCTCAGCACAGTACCTACAGAATGCAACAAATACCTATGGTCCCTTCGTTGACCAAGTCGACTGCCTGGAGCGGATCGATCACGTTCGGTCTTCCGAGCATGGCACATATTGGACATCTATCTCGCAATAGTGCGCCGCCTTTTTCCAACAAATCTGAGCAGCCGAACTAATGATAATATTTGGTGTTGGACAGTCAGCCTTATGTGTAGCCTGCTGTCGTCTAATCCACTTGGATTTCAGGGCAAGAACCGCGAGTATGATCGCCTCAGAGCTTTCTAGTGTGCTTACTCCAACAGGTTCTCCCCCGGTTGTACTCGGGGCGTGATAGAGTTTAGCCAAGACATGTGAGGCATCTCTTCTCGATTTGTGAAGCGACCGGATATGCCTTGGCCTCAACGAAATTCTTCGCCAGATTCTCGGCTATCAGCCGGGTAGCTTCCGGTTCCATACATGTAGTGACAAATGTAGCAAGGTTGTATTGAGGATTGGTATCTCGACTGAGCTCCCGTTGCAGGAGAGCATATGTTGCCTCTTGAGTCCTGTTGCAGAAGTATTAAGATATCTATTCAGAGCAGGGGGGTTAGTGTGCTTACATGCTGTTTTCAGGGAGCTCCTCAAGGGCGACCGAATTAAGGGGAGGAATAGCAGCCTCGTCCCTTATATGTGGTCTTCCAGCATGATCAGTGGTGTGGCTAGCAGTTAGTTGTTTCTGAGAAAAAATGCCAGTGGAGACAGACGCCACCAAACCCGACCATAACCCCTTCCATGTGAACATCTTAATACTTGAGGACCTCGCAAATCGGGGGAAGATGCGGAGAGACTGGATTTAACAATCTTACTTATTCACCGCTTGTCTAGACACAGGTCATTATATACTTTCTTCGTGCCTTTATTAAGAGCCAGTAACTGGAGGATATCATTCAGCCATGACTTAAGCACGTCGGTGCAACACAAGAATCCATGGGTTGTTATCAACCCACAAACTACCCGTGCGGTCCAAACACCTCATCTGAAATGAGCGCCCAATTGTGTGTTATGCTACTTTCAGTCTCTTCACGATAGTTCGCCTGTCTTTTAGAATAAGTACTTAGTGCACACACACACTCTTATCTTCATCTTGTTATCAATTGCTAACTATCGTATTTCAACAGAAATTTCCTTCTATGCCTCCTTCTACATGACCTCACCTCCCGTCACCGGAGTTGCCACAGGCGCAGGGTTGGCTGGGCAGCAAGTCCACCCTATAACCCCTTCCTCATCCCAGATATCAAAGAGACTCTCAGAAATGCTATCATCTTGCAGAGGAATTTCTGGCTGAACATTGAATATTTCCATTCCCTCGTCCATGATGAGAGTGTGAGGCTGGTATAAGTCAAAATGAGAGGACAGCCGAGCCACGGTGATTGCAAGCATTTCACCATCACCGGTACGTGACCCTTCCTGCGGAGATGTGCTGTGTTCCGTCGACTCTGATATCAATGAATTGTGATTCACACAAGGAGATTGGCAGGAAAGAACTCCAGGACAGTGTTGTAACAGAGCGTTTCGAAGGCGGGTGCTTGTTTCGAAGATGGCTTGCCTGGTCCAACCGTAGGCCAGCATCCCGTCTATTATCATTTCCCCAGCCACGTTGTTGAGTTCTCTCGTACGGGCGGCTAGTAAGGGTAGTCTGAAGACGCAGGTGATTGTCACTTAGGCGGCTTTCCAGCAATTGTTGGAGCAGGTGGCTGTTGTTACCTTTCTTTATAGTACTCAATAAATAGAGCGACATCATGTTTGCTAAGGGCCTTCTCCCAAATTTGCCATCAGGGAGCAGGTTAGTTAGAGACCGATCCAATATGAGTTTCTCCCTAAGACCAGAGTATATTGGGGAGGAAAATACTCACTACCAATTGATTCCTGTACCAAGCTCTAGTAAGGATGCTGGGCCACATTCCTCCCACAATTTGATGTAGTTACGACTACGCCTCCAATCCTTCCTGATTTCCTCCGCATCCATATTGAGCTGCTGTGAGATCGACATCACAGCAGCATGCTGACGACTTTGGCCTGGAGCAAGCTTCCAGTTCTGCGCCTTCATTACCTCTACATCATGAGTGAGGAAGACTAGAGACAGCCGACCAGCACTTTCAAAACGTTGTGATTCCTGGTCGATGACTTTTCTGCCTTGAAACAAGCGGCAAATTCGAGAGGCAGCTGTCTGACTGGAGCCAAAAACATATTCTCTGTGTGCCGACCACAGTGAACGATAGAAACTGGCTGGTCGGTGGATAGCATTCAACACTCTGTCCAGAACACGCATCAGCTGGTGAACCTGGGTCTGTGCTGAGTCATGCGCCATAAAGAATGACCAAGCCGCATGTATTTCCAAAGAGAAACCGTCGGTGTCGGTTGAATAACAATCAGGAAGTCTAAACCGAGCTGGTCTCAGGGTTGGAGTTGAGCCTGATGTCCTTCGCTTCCGGGTTGGGTAACGCATTGTAATTTCAGAGGCTCTGGATCCAGGTCCTGTCGGAGGGGGTGGAGAGGGTGAATTGAAGGTCCCGGGTTGGGTAGCAATTGGAAGAAATCGCGAGCGGATCCTCGGGCGAAAAAGGCGCGGAAAGAGGACAGCAGACGCTGGTTCTAAAATATTAGACATCCCGCTGTCGGCCTGGTATTAAGAGGAATGAGGACAGTACCTTTGAGTCTACAACCTCCGACGGTGAAAGGGCATCCAGTGCTTCTGCGATGTCCTCTGCGTTTGTCGCTTTAGCCAAGACCATTGTGTACGACAAGTTCAGGATAATATCATATGGCTAGAGTAATGTCTGATTCTTCCTTTTCTGGGGGCATATACTTGGGTGAGACATCTCTTCTGTCCTTAAATTTGTTACTCTTCGCAGCGCTGCGCTAATCACTTTCCGACCAATTTTAGTCGAGTATGAGCACATACGACTTCCCACTAATATTACTCTAAAGCTGAAAACTAAAGGAGCCAATAAGACATCGTTATGAAATTGATTGACAGGGGTTACGTAACATTGTAGGTCCTATACAGGGGTTATTTTGCCCGCGCGGTTCGAAAGCCCCAGCCAGCCTCTGGATCTCTTGCCAGCAAGACGCCGGATGTCTGTGGATGGTGGTGCTTCAACGATTCTCAATGACACCTATATAGATCAGGCATGTCTCCCATACGCTCTTGGAGCAAACAGTACTACAACTGAGATCAAGATTCGGAGAGTTACTCCATCGTCCCAGCTACTACGAACATGGCAGTTCAGCTAGGTGTAAACTCCGGATTGCGGGGTATACCGGCGGGACTTCCGCGCCTCGTCCCCGTCGACCGCAGCCTTTTCCCCGACGGACTCCGCACCAGTGGCTAGCATCCACTCATTCCCAGCCAGCTGCGTTTCTTCGAGGACTATCCGCGTGAAATTACTGGTCCAACAGTTTGAACACCACAGGAAATGATCAACAAACCCGAAGAGTGGATACATCGTTGGACGTCCGATGAGCTGGAGGAACTCCACAAAGCTGTGGTAGATCATCACCTCTGGCACCCCACTCATCAGCATCAGTAAGGTAAACAGAAAAGGCCACCGCCACTGGGTCTGTGAGATGCTCACAAACCTACACGCAGAGCATGTTTCGCATGCCAAGATTTGAATCCACTCTGCAGCGCATCCGAGATGAGATACTGAATGGGAGAGGATTCATTGTCTTGAGGGGTCTTCCCATTGACCAGTGGGGCCGATACAAGGCCGCAGTGGCCACAATGGGAGTCTCGGTGCATTTCGGATATCTGCTTTCGCAGAACAAGCTCGGCCTTATCCTGGGCCACGTGACCAATCAGGGAGCCGACTACCACAACAAGTTAGATAAGATCAAGATCTCTGCCACCAATGCTCCGTGAGTTTCTTCTGTCCTACTGGAAGCATGGATTTTCCGTCGGTCCTGCATCTTTTCTATTGCTCAATAGTCGCCCTGCTGTCCTATGTTCTTGTCCCTAGCCAACCCGTTCGTCCATCGCTGATTAGCAGTGAGACTGCAATTTTATTTATTTCTACCATTTTCTCTAGAGCGTGCTTTATCTTTAACTTCAAGATTAGAAATTGAGAGAGTATACAAACAATGTCTAACACCGGCGCACTCCCACCTCCCCCTGATGGCGGATTTCACGCCTGGGCCCAAGTGGTCTCCGGCCACTTGGTGGTTGCGGTGACATGGGGCTATGCAGCCAGCTTCGGCGTCTTCCAGGATCATTATAATGCCTCTCTACCGCAAACCTCGTCCGATATTTCGTGGATCGGCGGCTTCCAGGTCTTCTGTCTCCTGTTTATTTCCCCTCTCTCCGGTCGTGCGACTGATGCCGGACAAGCTCGACTTGTCGTCAGTATTGGTGCATTTTTGCTATTACTTGGGACTTTTATGACCAGTCTAGCGACAGTCTATTGGCAGTTGTTTCTCTCCCAGGGGCTCTGCATTGGTATTGGTCAGGGTCTTATGTGGTTGCCTAGTGTGACACTCCTGTCCACGTACTTTGTCCGACGCCGTGTGTTCGCCGTCACGGCTGCTGCCACCGGAACCAGTACCGGGGGAATTATCTTCCCGGCCATGATTCAGTTCCTGTCTCCAGAAATTGGTGAGCCACCCTCCATTATGTTGACGTAAGCCCGCTTTGGACCCCAGCTTACTTTGTCCCTTTTAATGAAGGCTTTCCGTGGGCTGTACGGTGCATGGGTTTAGTCGTCTTTGTCATGCTTCTGATTATCCTTGCCCTACTACGTCCTCGACTGCCGCCACGCAAGTCGGGTCCTCTGATTGAATGGGGAGCATTCACTGAGCCAGCTTATATGCTCTTCACTCTAGGGGTCTTTCTTCTCTACTGGACCCTCTACTTTGCGTTCTTCTATGTATGTCGCATATCCCACCCCGTTTCGTCCCCCCAACGGTCGTCTCCTTCCCGGTCTACTACAGCAGGCGGAGCGGATATAAACTAACAAAACTTAGATTCAAGTGTACGCAACCGACGAACTAGGGCTTTCTGCACGTGCAGGCGTAAACCTAGTTATCGTGATTAATGCATGCGGAATCCCAATCCGTGCGCCCTGTGGATATCTCGCGGATCGGTATACAGGGCCGCTAAACTGCTTGATTCCGTGGGTCGGCATATGTGGGGTTTTGATGTTCTGTTGGGCGGGCGTCCACAATGTGGCTGGCTTGTATATCTTCGCGGTGTTCTATGGTCTTGCTTCCGCGGCAGCCATGGGTCTCTTTGCTGGCACGGTGCCGTCTTTGACGAAGGACCTGGATAAGATTGGCACCCGGGTCGGGATGGCACTTGCCATGATGAGCTTTGGACCCTTGACGGGACCTTCGGTGGCGGGGGCTTTGATTGCGCACTCCGGAGATGATGATTATTTGCCCGCACAACTCTGGGCCGGAGCTGCTCTGATGGTTGGGGCGTTGTCCTTGGTAGGGGCCCGTCTCATTATCACAGGTCCTCGCTTTCTAGTCAGGGTTTGACAGTCCGTGTTAAAATCCAAGTATGTGTTTATTTGTTTTCATTTCTATCGTGTTATCGTAGCTACACCTCCTTCCGTGACCCCTAATACCTGTTGCGAATGTCTCGGTGGATTTTTCGAGCTGAAGCTGGAACTTATGTTAATAGATAGATGGAAGGCTGCTATTCTGACAGTAACGCATCTGGACCCTGGCAAATATTGAGGTCGCAATCACAAGTTCACAACTACTAGCTTCCAAGACAGAATACAGATCAGCCGATCCCATTTTTTCAGTGATGTGGCCCAAAATTGATTAGTAAGCAGTTTAATCATGTAAGATTATATTTAAGTAAGACTAATGGAATAAATATAGCTAGATTCTTACTAGTATAGATTCTAGATACTAATTAGAAGTCTAGTAGAAGTTTATAGTAATCTATATTTTGTATAAGAAAGTATTCAGTTAAAGTAAGAAATACTTTCTAATTAAGACTAGTCTAATAATCTACTATAATTAATTTATATTTAGTATCTAAGAACTTTAATGGGAATCACATAACTCAGAGGAATCATCTGAGGAAGAACAAGCTCTGTTATATGATCTTGTAGAATCCTTGGAGGATCTAGTTCTTACTAATATATCTTCTACTCCTAACGCTTCATTATCTGCCTCACCGTCTATGGTCCTTATTGATAACTCTACTATTAATTAAAAGATTATTGAGAAGATTGATTTCCTTAATATAGAACTAATCAGAGGATTAAAAAGATAGAGATCTGAATTATCTAATCTAGACTATTTCTAAAAGAGTGTCACAGTGCAACCCCAGAGGACCTACCCGCTCTGTTCGACCTAACCGACCTGTTTGACCTGCTTAACTCTTCCTACCCCTTGACTACCCTGCATATGATCCATAATCTTCTTAATCTTCTTTCTACTTCTGACTCTGCTTATAGCTCTTTGAGCTATATCTTATCTATAAACCTGAGGATAGCTTAACTAAGTAGCTAGAAGATAGAACCTAGAAGACTTGTATTGAGAGATCCCTAGCCAGAACTGCTAGTCCTACCACCTCGCCTGTGATTAAGCCAGCCAGCCAGCCCGCACCATGACAAAATGCATGAATGAATGCTCCCACTATTCACTCTTCACAATCAGCTTCTTGGTCATCTTTGTAATATCTTCGCTTATATCGTATTCGGCATTTGCTTGCAAGATATCGAACCTCAGTTTCATATTTGGCGGCCTGAATCCTTGATCTAGCTTTGCTTTTATCTCCCTCCGGCACACGTCAGCATAGGAATTTTTCCAATCTTCAATAAAAGCTTCTGCCTGGGAATGTGTTCTAAAGTGCTTATGACAAGCACCCCGGAATCGATCAACCTCTGGCTTCGTTTTCCCACTGATTTTATTTGTGAGTAGTTTTCGTTTTACCATTGAGCACTGGGTCAGCTTACTGATAGTAGGGGTAAATTCCCGGGTTTCTACCATTGGCAACTGCGTAAAAGGCTTCCTTCCCTAGTAATGGTGTAGTTTCTCCGGCCCCTTCCTTGATTACTAGTTTAGGCTGCTTGACTCCCTTTTTCTCCATAAAACCTTGTGCTTCTAAAAGATTTTCAAAGGCCGCGTGGTCTGCCCTGCATCCAGTCACGCGAGGGTGTACATCGCCCCTGTAGAAATTATTAAGCAAGTTCCCCTTATGATGTGCGGACAGATATACCACGATGAGAATATTGTCGGCTCATCAATTCGTCCAGTAAGAACAGCGTAATATTCATTGTTCTTACGTGGCATTGCCTTGCAAAGCATAAAATATGAGTAGAGTGCAAAATTCCTCCGAAAACGGCTCGTTCAATCTTTCCAGTGATCACTCTGTTTCAGGCGTGTTTCCCTCTGCTGTTTGACACTTCATCTACAGAAAATGCGCCCTCGTGTTATGCTGCATCGTTGACTATATACTGTTATGCGGAACGCAAGGCTTAGCCTCATCGGGCAGATGTTGGGCAGATGTTGGGCGGAGCAGCGCAGCCACATGCGTCACTCATACGATATTCATAGCTTTTTATCGCCCATCACCCAGCAAATCATATTAGGAGGGAGACTTTATCTCTTTGCTAGATGTAAAGCAAAGCCTGCCAGAAGGATATAAGTATGTACTGCTGTGATGTGAATGTCTTTCAAGGGAAAATTACGGCCGCCCTGGTCGAGTGCGGTTTGGCTTAATATTGTCATCATTAGTTAACGTTAACTGACTACTTTAACTCTACCAAGTCCTTGGCAGGAGTGGTAATGACGAAGCAATGTGTCCGATTCTCTGTACTGCCTTCTTTACTATATAGACATAATGGTCTAGAATTAGTCAAGACGTCACTAATACGGGGAGTATAGAGGAAGATGTCTAGACATAGTTCATAAGTATTAAGATGAAGTATACATAGATCAGAAGCTAATGAACAAAAATGTGATATGGCACATACACGGATTAGCTATTCTCCAGTTCCGTTCTAAAACTAGCTTAGCGTAGTTTCAAGGCTGGGCCCCAGGAAACGATCAGAGAAAGAAGTAGCGACACTGCCTAAAAGACTACATAATAGACACTATGGCTCTTCTATTGTTAGACCTGCGTGCCTGAAATGCCCTCTAGCACTCTGTTTTTTGGCACCAACCTTGTCCACACACCATTCAAGAAAGGAAGCAAAACCCTGGTCGCGATTATCTTCATATGTCTGCCAATGTTGTCGGATGAATCCTTTTAGCTCGGCAAAGAACTCTTCAATTGGATTCAGATCTGGTGAATATGGTGGTAAATATATCAATTTGACGTCTACTTTCAAACACATATCCTGTATCCGTCCAGATCGATGAATAGAGGTATTACCCATGACGATAATTGACTTAGCAGCCGGGTATGGTTGGCAATGCTGAAGAAGTTCCTCAATAAAATCCTCAAATCACAAGCCATCAGTGGAGCCCTGGAACACACAGGAAAGAAAAATACCATCTTGGGTGTACACTGGAAGTATCTGGTATCGCTGATGGCGATGGAATTTTGATACCTAGACTAGGGTTATACTGAGGGGCGACCAGCCTGTTCTCCGAAAGCCTATCCATTTATCACATCCGGATTCGTCAACGAATACAAGCTGATACGATCGGAATTCCGCAATATCATGGAAATATTCATCACTTAAATCGACATTTCGCTCTTTTGCTTTTTGTCGCGCTAATCCACAAGGGTTGGTCTGATGGACCTTCATCAGACCTAGGATGGGGCCCGGTAGGCATTCTGATTGGCTGGTATATAATCCACAAGGGTTGGTCTGATGAACCTTCATCAGACCTAGGATGGGGCCCGGTAGGCATTCTGATTGGCTGGTATATCTCCAGATACAATTTATCAGACTAATATAATATAATAGATCAGGAGAGAAAGTAACTAGCCAAATTACTTAAAATTATACTAGATTATAGAAGTATTACTTATTATTACAGGATGGATGGATTATACTGATTGAAATATATCTTTAAATAAGAAGAAATAGCTGGAGAGCTATTTTATCTATTTATGTGAAATTCTTTCAGGTGTATGCGAACTAAGCTAGTGCTAGTTTAGTGTATAGTGTGCGAGGCCTTAGGTACCAACTGGTGCCTGAAGCTGAGCTCTATATCAGGGCCTTGGTTTTATAATAGAAGTCCTTTTCTCTTTCCTTATCTCTCTTTGTGGTTCGCATTCGTACGATTGGTGGTGTAGGTTCAGGGTAATAGTTCTGTACTTCAGTTTCCTTCCCAGGCAGTGTTATGGCTGGTTAGTAGGTAGTATGAGTACGGGTAGGGCTTATTTTATTCACTATTGTTCTCTCTGTCGTATAATTCCTCTCGATCTAGTAAATCTGATGGTTCTCCAGTGAATAGAACTTTCTTCGTATAGCTTGTATAACCGGTTCTGGGGATATGATTAGGCTTAGCTATTAGCTTCGTGTAGAATACACAAAGTACTATATAAGAAGGCTATCCCCCCCTTAAGTTAGTTCTCTTTTTTTTTTTTTTTTTTTTTAAATATTTTTTTTTTTTTTTTTTTTTTTTTTTTTTTAAATATCTTCTCTTTCTTCTTAGTTTACTTCTCTTCTACTTATATAATTTACTATTATCTCTTTCTTCTGCTGCGCAATGCCTTCTCTTCCTGGTTCTGGAGCTGGTAAGCCTAATTAATTAGATAATTCTCTTAGTTCTATTTACTATAATCTCTCTTAAACTTCTACTTCTGCCTCTAATTGTAATTTACTCTTTATTTCTGTGTGCTATTCAACTACCTATAATGCTTGTACTGGTGATCCTAAGTATTGGGTTACTATACAACTTTTAGTATATAGAAATAAGGCTTTACTCTAACTTTGTTATACTCAGGACCAGCAGTATGTTTGGTACTTTTCTTGTTATAAATTCAAGATGAGAGCTAATACTCTTACTATTACTTAGGTAAGATAACCCAGTATTCCTGTATAAAAAGCTAATATTATCAGATGTATACTGGGCGTCCCTCTTATGTCAACAGCCTCCTAATTATATCTTATGGTTTGGTTGTGCTATATTACTGCGAGCATGATAATTAAATGAAATTTCGATAGACTATTTAACTGTCTGGATGGTGGGGAGGTGCTTATACTGGGTGTAAGTTCAAGGATTATAGTATTCACTATGGGTACTATGACCCGGACGAGCCTAAGTATGAGCCTACAGCTATTACTACTCTCCCTCGCAATATTATTAAAGAGTTGACCAACTGAATATGGTGTATAACAGAATTCAGTTTAGTAGTAGCTGGTTTCTTTTGTTAGGTTGAGCAAAGCTCTCTCTAGTTAGTTTAGAGAAATAAGAGGCCTTTTAATTCTCTTTCTTTTCTTCTTTTCTTTTATTTTTCTTTCTTTTAATTTGTAGAATTAGAACTAAAGAAGAGTTATTAATAAGTAGTAGTCTTTTATTATTATTTATTATTGTTTTTTTCTTTTCTCCCTTTTTTTTTTTTTTTTTTTTTTTTTTTTTTTTTTTTTTTTTTTTTTTTTTTTTTTGGCTGTTATTTATATAATATTAGTTAGGGTTTGGCGGGGTCTGCAGCTGCCATCTTGCGGCAGCTTCTGTGTTGTTGAGTGCTGAGGCTGGTTCCCAGGTTGGTTCTATATAGTCTTTCTATTTAACTAGGTACCACAGTTGATTCTTTCAGTCTTTTATTATATTTTGTTTATTAAGAATCTCTTTAACTTTGTACTCTTCTTCTCTGTTGACTATTATAGGTGGTGGTTGTGTATCTTCTTGTAGCTGTGAGGGTAGTGTATTATTGGCTGTAGGGCGAAGTAGATTAATATGGAAAATAGAATAGATTCCTTTCGGGGTATTGAGTTGTATGGTATGTGATTCTATTTTTTCTAAAATAGTATACTTTGTATTCTTCCAGTCCAGCTTCTTGCTCGGGTGGTTTGTTTGAATATTTTGTAGGTTTAGCTATACTTGGTCATTCTTCTGGTATAAAGGGGTGGCTTGGTGGGATTTATTAGTCTACCTCTCTATAGTCTGCTGAGTATAGGTGATGGCGCCTTGGGCCTAGTCTAGAGTATTATATATCTTCTGTATAATTGTATCTCCTTGTCAGGTAGGGCTAGAGGAGGCTATTTCCGGATTTGTACTGTGTATAGTCTCTTAGTGTATTATACTTAGCTCGTACCCGTGGCTTAAGAAAAATGGTGAGAACCCAGTAACTGTACTTATATAGCTGTTGATTACTAGTTTAGCTAAAGGTAACAGTTCAACCCAGTTCTTCTGGTTATAATCTATATAAGCTCTTAGATAGGCTTTGACTGTACTATTTGCGCGTTCTGTTGCTCCATTAGTTTAAGGATAATATACTATAGACAACTACCTGTTAATTTCTAGTAGATTATATATTCTTTTCTATGTCCGGCTAGTAAACTGGGTGCCTTGATCTGATACTAAGGTTCTTGATGGTCTATGTTATCTAAGAACTGTTTTAAGTAGTGCCTTAGCTGTAGCTTCTATAGTAATCTCCTTTATTATATAGAGTATTATTCCTTTTATTAGCCTATCTGTAACTACAAGGAGATTTGTACGTGACTTGCTATTAGATAAATTAGTAATAAAATCCATGGTTAGCTCTTGCTATGGTTGGTCTGGTATTAGTAGTGGTTTTAATAACCTGTGTTTTAGTTCTCTCTATGGTTTCGTACGGCTGCAGATATCGCAGTTTTGGATATATCTTCTTATATCTTGGGATATATTAGGCCAGAAGTATACTCTACTGAGGAAAAGGTAGGTCTGTTCTTGGCCTGGGTGCCCTGTAGTCAGGGGGTCGTGATTGCTTCGAATGAGTTCTGTACGAAGTGGTTCATAGTTAGGGACCTATTGTCTCCCTCTAAAGTATACCTAAGCCCCTTCTATTGAATATTTGCTTGGAGAGACCTTTAGCTTTAGCTAAGGTAGGAATTTCTGTGTTCCCTCTTGTATAAGCTTTACTAGAATTTGGTAGTCTATGTCTACTACTAGGGCATGATTCCAGCTACTCTTAGATTCATTCTCTGGTCCTAGTATTTCTGTTTTAGTCTATAGTGTCAATTCTGGAGAGTCTCTGTTTAACTCTGTTCTATATTCTTATAGCTGTACTGGAGCTATAGTAAGTAGACTAGTTCTGGGTTTTAGATCCTCTTCTAGTATTCTGTCGAAGATCTGGATTATACAGAATAATATTCTAGAATCTTGTTTATTGGGTATATCCTGTTTCTAGTATAATAGAATATCTACTTGTTTATTTTCTATTCCTTTCTAGTAAACTAGTTTAAAGTTAAATCTACTTAGAATTAGGCTCTACTGTATATATCTCTCTGTAAGTTTGTATAGCTTAAAGAAGTACTCTAGATTCTTGTGGTTGGTTATTACTATAAACTCTAGTACCAAGCATAGCTCAGCATCCCAGGCTTTTAGATATTATACAACTGCTAGTAGTTTCTTGTTATAGATCTTATAGTTGTATTTAGCTGGGATATTTTACTTTAAGAAATAGATATAAAAGTATATATCTTCTTTCTTATCTATCTAAGAGAGAGTTCTCTCTGTATTATAGCTAGATAAGTCTATTTCTACTACTATTATATATTTTAGATTAAAAGAACAGAGGACTAGTCTAGTTGTAAATTTTCTTTTTAAAGTCTAAAAACTTATCTTATATTCTAGAGTCTAGAGAAATAGTTAATTCTTTCTAGTTAGATTAGTAAGAAGTTGTACAATTGTTGAAAATCTAGAAATAAACTTTTAGTAGAAGTTTATAAACTCTAGGAAACTCTATACTACTTTGACTAACTTAGGGCTCTCCTAGGAAGTGATTGCTTTAATCTTCTTAGGGTTTATTTTAACTCCTTCTCCTACTTATATGATGAATCCAAGATAAAGGGTTTTCTTCTGTTTGAACTTGTATTTCTTAATATTAAGGAATAGTTCTGCTTCTTTTAGCTTTTATAGTATTTTCTGTATATGCTCGCAGTGCTTCTTGATATCTCTATTTATATAGATTAGCATGTTGTTAATATAAGCTAAGTAGAACTTGTTAAGATATTCACGTAGTACCTAGTTGATGTATTTCTAAAAGATACTTGGTATATTTACTAGCCCAAAGGGGGTTACTAGCTATTTATATAATCTATATCTTGTATAAAAGACTGTCATCTATTCTTGACTCTTTGTAATATGGATTTTATAAAAAGTAGATAATATATCTAGTTTAGTGAACTATTTTGCCTTTCCAATTTGGTTTAGTATTTTATAGATTAGAGGTAGTGGATAGCAGTCCTTCTTAGTAATTATATTAAGTATCTAGTAGTCTATACAAAATCTTAGTCCTCCTCCTGGTTTCCGTACAAATAGTACTGGGGCTGCTGCTGGTAAGTAACTGACCTGTATAAAGTTCTTTTTCAGTAGTTTAGTTAGTTTAGACTGTAGAACTGTTAACTCTTCTTGGGATATATTATAGAGGAGGCCCTATAGCACCTCTGGTTCCTTCCCATCCTATTATATAAGTTCGATTTCGTGGTTGATGCCCTTTCCTCTATATGGGGGTAGTTTCTCTGTATTCTCCGGCTGGAAGAGAGGTAAGAAGGCTTTATAATATTCTGGGAGTATTGTATAAGGATCGACTGCCTTCTTGACTTAGAGTACTTTCTGGATATCTACTAGCGAAACTGTAAATACTTCTATATTCTTTTTAGATCTTTTTTATAAGTAGCTTCTGAGTCTTGTCTTAGTAATTAGCTGGACTCTTAGCTTTATATACTATAGATATAGTAGATCTCTTAATCTTATTCTTGTTATATATAGGAATAGTCTTTCTTATTCTGGTTCTAAGACTTTATTATAGTAGGATAGCCAGCTTTTCCCTAAAATCAAGTTATATCTAAGGTTATTAGGTATTATATAGAAGTATGCTCCCTCCTCTGTATGAGATCTGATATCTATTCTTATTTATAGATAGAGTGGATTAGCACTTCATCGCCGGAGATCCCTTGTACCGGCCTCGGGGTAATACTGGTGATTGATAGGTTACTTACCCGGGCAAACATCTCACTTATAATACCATAAGTTAGATACCCTGAGTCAATAAGTGTATGAGTAGTTGCTGTGAGATCCAGAATTGCTTCCACTAAAAAGGGGCGTGCAACCATGTGTTTCTTTTTAAAACTTTTCTAATTCTTTCTAGTTTTGTTCAGTGATTCTTGTTTAGATATATGATTTTGTACTAGACTTCCTCTTTTCCTGAGTCTGAGTTCTTATCTGAGGTGTATTATTATTCTTGTTTATAAAGTATAGATACAACAGCTACTATACTTGTTGGTCGTACAGCAGGCACAAGGAGATATTAGTGGATAAGGTTACTGTTCTATTCATATTAAAGGCAGCACCCTGCTTCACGTCTTTTCTGTATTTCACTAGGCGTCACCCATCGGGCTCGTTTCTGGTAACCATTGCTGGTTGCACGGGGGTTGTGTTTTCCTTGCTGTGCAGCAGCTACCTGAGTGGGTTCCCACTCTATTGGTTCAGGGCTCGGTTTCCGGTGTGCTGGCATGGTCTTAGTGTGACTTCCCTTAGATAGGAAGGATACTCTGTTTAGGTCGTGATTCACACGGCGCAGTTGATTGTAGTAGCCTTTGTACGTAGGCTCTTGGGGAATCCCGACCAGCCCCTTGATAAGCCTCTAGTTCACGGCAGTGTCCAGTATAGCCTTCTTTTGCTTGTCTGATTAACTATGTCCCCCTGCCTGTAGGAGCGCTTTGTTAAAGTTATTTAGGAATTCTTCTAGTTCTATTCTTTCTTGTTTTATAGTATTTACTCTGTTAAGAGCTTTTTATTATATATTAGGGTCTCTAAAGGCCTTATCTATTGCTAGTATTAGGTCTTTGAGTTGTACTGTTTCAGTATTCTAGGATTTAATCCAAGGAAGTATCTGTTGTACTGCTCGTCCACGTAGTCGACTGTAGATGTAGAAGACTTGTTCCGGCTTAGTAGAATAATAGTTTCCATTAATTATAAGCTTTGTATATATATTTAATTTAAATAGTTTATAATTATACTTATCTTCTCTGCTAAACAGTTCCATATCAGGGTGCCGAGGGTGAGACCTGAAATATAGTTTATATAGTTATAATAAGAGATTCCCTTCTTGTTTACTATTAATAGTAGAGGTTATACTGTGGCTCTGTAATTCATTTATTTAATCTTTAAAGACTATTTTCTGTTTTACTATTTCTATACAGAGGCTAATCAGCTCCTGTAGAAGAAGCTGCATGTTATTAAGGGTAGGTGCAGATACTGCAGTCAGCTGCAGTCCTTCTAAATCTATTTGTCCTATTATTCCAGTGGTTCTTATTCCAATTGTACGTCTAGTCGGACTCTGTCTAGGACTTTTTAAGGAGCTATTTCTAATGTTATGGGACGGATGGATTATACTGATTGAAACATGCCTTTAAATAAGAAGAAATAGCTGGAAAGCTATTTTATCTATTCGTGCGAAATTCTTTTAGGTGTGTGTGAACTAAGCTAGCGCTAGTTTAGTGTATAGTATGCGAGGCCTCAGGTACTAACTGGTGCCTGAAGCTGAGCTCTATATCAGAGCCTTGGTCCTATAACAGTAGAAGACCTGTTAACTAGGTAAGGAATCAACCACTAAAACACTATGGATTCGTCTAGTAATAACAAAGATAGCCTATATCCATAAAATAGACTGATCCTTGGGGGATCAGTAGTCTTCTATAGAGAAATCAGTACCTTATAGGTGTCGGGAAGGTGCAGATTTGCTATTAATGACCTCACGACCAGTATATAAGGAGTATATAGTCAAACCACAAGTAATTTACTACAGCTATAGGGATTACCTATAACAATTTGCTAACTACAGCTGCTGTTATTTTATAATAGGACAGCCCAGCCACCCTAATATAAATACTACAGAGTTGTTCAGGGGTAATATTATTATATATAATTATTCTTAAAAGCTGTTATGAGACCAAGGCCCTAATATAGAGCTCAGCTTCAGGCACTAGTTGGTACCTGAGGCCTCGTATACTATACACTAAACTAGTGCTAGCTTAGCACACACTCCTAAAAGAATTTCACATGAACTGATAAAATAGCTCTTCAGCTATTTCTTCTTATTTAAAGATATGTTTTGATTAGTATAATCTATCCGTCCTATAATAAAAGCTAAGATATTTCAACTGCTTTTTATTATATTAAGAATTCAGCTTCCACCAACTTCAGTAGTATAATAGAGAATATATATTTTATCCAGCTTAATATACTACTAGTAGTGATTTATAAATAATGCCAACATGGGGTTTGGCCCAAGGAAATTGCTTATTATTTAAAGCAACCTACCCATAGCATCCCCCACAACCAGGCCACAGCAATCCAGAATAATGTTATATAGTAGGATAATATTATACTAGACTCTAATACAGTATTATTTCCCACCCAGCTCTAATCACCAGTTCCTGGAATTCCTGTTTTTACTAATGGTATGCTGTATCGTTGAGAATATGGATATAATTATATTACACAGACAGTAAGTAGCATCCAAACCTATTAGAAGAAATTCCACAGATGGTTATAAAACCTACACCGAGGTCGGTTGACCCCGCGGGAGCAGGTGGTTTGTGAGGCTGAATTTCGGCAGTTATATAAAATAGTAGATTACCAGCATTTGTTTCCCAGCTGATTTGGATCACATTATATTCATATTAGCGGGGACACTGAGTTGCAGCTATTCCCCGCCGACCAGGGCGATCAGGCGGTGGATGCTGTACTGCAGGTATGGAAGTATACCCAGGCAGTGCAGAAGCAGCAGGCCATCCAGGCTGATCAGGTGCAAGATGCCAACCCGTGGCTGCGGATGACCGGGTGAGCAGTATATTTACAGGATGTGCTGCCTGATTGGTTATTATAGAGTATAGCCACGCCTGAGAAGGAATCCCCTAATCCTGTAAAGCAGAGCATGGCACAGATTTAGGATGCTATAGAGTGGGTGGTCCGAAAGAGCCAGTGCACAGTACAGTACTGCGGGCAAGCCATCCGCATTGAAGCCGTGCGGTCGGAAGCCGGGCAGATGCCATACCAACTGCTACAGCTGTATATAGATGCCACCAGCATCACTAAACATGTACAGCCGTAGCAGTAGATTTTAGGGTTTATTATATAGACCTAGGTACCACACAAGTAGCAGAGCCCACAGTATGGATTCACGCCCCGGCAGCGGAAGAAGTGGTAGATGATATGGCAGCTGGCGATCAGCCAGGCTAGCAGCCCTGATCCTATAGAGACAGATGACCGAATAACTAACTAAGTAATGGATGCGCTCGAGCGGGTATGTTTAGAGTTTTATATTAAGCTGCTGAACCAGAAATACCAGGTGCAGGAGTACAAGAGTAGACTGGTATGTGCTATAGTAGTGCTGGGCCGGTCGGAGTATAGATGGTATAACCCTAAGAGCTACCCCCCTATTTTGTCGCGGGTGATCAAAGTCGCCCGCTTTATGATTGTCTAGAAGGCGTTATGGCTGGATCCCCACGTTGATCAGATCATCCGGGCATGGGGGCAGGTAGGCAGCTGTACCAACTGGCTGCTGAATAGTACCGCTGTGATGGATGATTTTGATGAGGGGATTGATATAGAGGACCATACTTTAGCTAAACTAGGGTTTCAGTTATCCCCCCCAACTTCGCCCATGCGGAGCAGGGACGGACTGCCCCAGGTAGATATCCAACAGGCCCAGAAGACACAGAAATCGTTCTAAGAGCAGGTAGAATAAATAGTCCAGCAGCTGATAGTGCGCGGGCACCATATACCAATAGAAATACTACAGAATTGGCGGATATACGGGCTGAAGATCTATTATAATACTACTACCCCCGGATATGTGACGTGGATAGGTGAGGATCAGCTACTATACAAGCACATTGACTTTAGCATAGGGCAGTTCCGGGGGTTTATCCACAGACTGGCCGGGACAGCACAGCAGATTTTACAGGATAAACTGTTATTCCAGTAGATGCCTGAGATCCTGTAGCAGCAGCTGTACGACAATCCCACACAGCAGACAGTGGGGTAGAATTTTTTACAGGACATATGGACGCAGTGGCCGGTAGACAGATAACAGTAGTTAATTAAGTAGATATAGACAGAATCCATAGTATAGGAATAATTTATATACTAACAGCAGCTGGACTAGATATAGATTAAACTGGTCTACTAATATTTCTATACTATGACCCAGTTTAAAGAAAAATTAGCAGTATTAGTCCATATTACTAGTAGTCAGCCTGGATATACCCCTGAATTATTAAGCTTACAGCACACCAACACCGAGTAGAACTGGCGGCGGAGTGTATTTATTGATAATAGGCTGGTAGTAGTAGTATTAATATACTACAAAGGGTTTTATACCAGTAATAATATCAAGGTGATCCACTGGTACATTCCCTGGGAGGTTGGTAAGCTGTTGGTATAGTATTTATGATTAGTATTACTATTTATCCAGTAACTTGAGGCGTGGCTTACCTACCTGGGTGGATCCGCACACAGTCCTGATGCCCCCCCCGGTATATTAGGGTTTAGCCCATCCTACTGTAAGACCCCAACCGGCTGTACTGCTATATTAGGATTTACCACATCAGTATTAGTATAGGGCCCCGATCCCAGCAGCCAGCAGGAGTGGATATCGAAGCAATTCCGAGAGGTATTAAAGCAGAAGACACGGATATAGTTACACCACAGTATTAATATTTAGTAATACTAGGATATTACCATCAGGATCAGCCAGTAGTTTATACAGCCCAGCAGTACATTTATCCACAACCGGTAGGAGAAGTAGAATACCACACAGACTACATTAGACACTAATTTAGAGAAGAGGTTAGATAAGAATAGATAGTAGAAGTATATTACAGATTTATAGACAGCATATTCATTGCATGTAGTAGAGATAGTGTACAGACGGGGTATTATAGAGTAAGCTGGGATGACTGTACACCAGCAGCAGATGTTCTGTATTTCCAGCATAGATTGGCACTGGTTTTTAGGGTTTAGTAAGGAAGTATTTGGTTCCAACACAACACCCCCCACAGTCCTATAGAAGGAGACTATAATAGAAAGCTAGATAGTCCAGTAGTAGCAGCTCTATATAGTAGACATACCAGCGGTATTGCAGAAGATGACGGGACAGAATATATAGTTGTACAGGGTACAGCGGCCTGTATTATAGACAATCCAGAACAGAGACAGCCCAATGGTAGCAGTAATACTAACTAGAAGTAGAAAAAGCATATTATTTATACTGCCCGTGTTTACCGCGCCCGGGGGATTAACAGTAGTAGTAGTTCCATTAATCATATTATAATCCAATCTACAGCAGCGGTGCCGGGAGCTGAACATCTAATATATAGTATAAGAGAGCCAGCGGCCCCTGGACAAGACATTAATTATACTAGTAACACCTAAATTAGCAGTAGATGAGGATTTCTAGTTATTTTTAAACCAGATATAATTAATATGGCGGCTGGACTGGATTATGATTGATAAATACCATATAGTACTGTACAACGACCCCTAGTTCTAGCCGGATTTACGGCGGCTAGGGCGGTTGAACTGGGCGCAGATACAGATAGTATTATTAATAGCGACACTACCCCCTAGCTTAGAAGATGAGCTATTCCAGCGGATAGGATATCCGCGCGAGATGGTACGGATGTTCTATGGGCGCAGTAGCCAGGCCAATATCATATACTGGGTATAGCAGCCGGAATTAGGGTTTAGTGACTGGGCAGCCAGCCCAGTAGTAATCCAGTTTATCCAGGATCGGGTCCAGTAGATAAAGGACAAGATAGTAATTTATAGTACCACCAAGGTATTAGTACAGCAGCTGGCACGACAACTTGGCTATAAGATATTTTAGAGCGAACAGGTGGACAAGACTAGGGTATTACAGTGATTTACAGATAGGGGAAAGATGATCACTACAACCAGTGTATTAGATATAGGGGTAGATATTCCCAATATCTACAGTATAATCTATATAGGAGTACCGCGGTCGTTGCTGGATTACGCACAGGAGAGTAGATAGGCAGGGCAGGATAGACAGACCAACAAGATGATTATTATCCAGCCGGCAGGGTTATTTCAGCCGGGATTGGATGGGGAGATGGCGCGATACATAGAGATGATAGCTAGGGTAGGTTACCAGTGATATATATTAGATGGATACCTGGACAGGATAGTGGATGAATACACACACTGGTATTACCAGGACGTGGATGCCCGCGAGCAGGCATGTAATGGATACAATACTGACTAGATGGAATCCCCGGTAGTTATTAAGGTAGTTACTACTGATTATAAAGAATCATCCATATCAGTTCCATCGAATTATTTGGTAGTTCATCCCCCCGCGGGTTCCCCGGTAGTTCCGGTCGCGGAACAGCAGTAACAACAGCGATAGGAATAATAGTATAGTGTACTGTTGCGATTGCAGCAGTAGGGAGCAGAGTAGGCATTTTCGCACTATAAATTCGTCCAGGCAGAAGCCCCCTAGTAGCGGCGGGTTTGTTATATTTATACAGTAAATAGACATGTATAGAATAAGCATGATTTATATTATTACCAGGCAGCGGGCAGTCAGGCGGCGTGGGAGTGGATACTAGCAGTACAGCAGCAGATTCAGTATATATAATTCAGTATATATTTCCGGTATGGGATGCCGCCAGATATATGTTCGGGGTGGCAGGACAGGAGCAGGGGGGATTGTGTATACTAGAATATTTTAATGCCAATAGTAGTAGGGATATTGTATGGACTGTGGGTGGAGAAGATACAGACGCTATAGCATGAACAACTCCAGGAATTTAGGATAGACAGTAGGGATTTTAGGCAGGTAGTTTGGTTTTTAAAATAAGAGATAGATTCAGTGGATGAACAGTACAGTCATTTATTTAAGTCATTTTAGTGGCTGCGGCGGATTTGTATAGAGCTGAAAAGCTAAGATGATTATCAAATAAATTTAAATCAGTAATAAAATTAAGATTACAATAGACTAGTTTGGCTGATGACAGCAGTACTAATCAGAATCAGATTTATTATTTATTTATATTTATAACTATAGGTTTCAGCAAGTTAAAGTAGTTGAGCAGGTTACACAGATTACACAGGTTATACAGGTTACACAGGTTGAGTAGGTTGAGCAGGTCCAACAGGTACAGCAGGTCCGATAGATGTAGCAGGTCCGACAGATACAGCAGATCAGGTAGGTAGAGTAGGTCCAACAGGTACAGCAGGTCGGACAGATATAGCAGGTCAGGCAGGTAGAGTAGGTCCAACAGGT